TTTTTCGCATGTTTTGCTTGTAGATCGGCCAAAAACACTTTTTACCTGCACTTCTCAGCTTTTTGATTGTTTCCTGACACTGTCAAGCAATGCTAGACGTATTTGAAGACATTTTGAAGGAGGAAAAAAAGAAAAGAAGGCCTGGCCCCCTCTGAGAATCAAACCTGCGCCATGAGTCACCAAAATCTTTGAAAATTCTCTAAGTCCCACCCCTGGGGACTTACGTGTGCCATAGCTCCTTCAATAGTCATTGAATCTCCCTGGTTCCACTTCCGTAACTATATTATCTTTCAAATCCGCACAACTTTCCTCAGGTGTCCAAGGTGGTGCGGATGACATAGTGCATGCAAACGGACATGCACTGCATGCTTTTTGCATGATTTGCTGGTTGACAAACACCCTGTCATATCCATGTATTGCAATGCAAAAAGGCATTTGCCATCCTCCACCATCAGGAGGAGCAGTGGAAGAAAAGAAAGTATTTGGGCCTCAAAAGGATTTGAACATGTAGCAAATTGAGAGCAAACCAAAATGAGTCATTCGCCGCCAACTGGAGAACACCCCCATATTGCCTGGAAACAAAAAGTGCCAGGAGTTGATGAATACTAGAGTAGATGAAGGTTCCTAGATGTTTTTGGGGATGTTTTCTGAGACATATTCCACTTTAAGCAAATTCCATCCACTCAGAGTTTCAGAAAATGCGTTTTGGTCACATTTTCATAGTAAAAAATCTGAAAAACGGATTTTCCGGGAGCATTGAGTGGAAAACATGCCCCAAAATTTTATGTACAGTACAGTAAGACGCCCCTGAACATTGCTAGCACCTATTTTTGACACTTTCCGGACCACCAAATATAACCCATAACCCGGAACAGTCCTGTAACCCTAACCCTAACCCTAACCCTAACCCTAACCCTAACCCTAACCCTAACCCTAACCCTAACCCTAACCCTAACCCTAACCCTAACCCTAACCCTAACCCTAACCCTAACCCTAACCCTAACCCTAACCCTAACCCTAAGGATCATCAATCCTATGTCGAAGGTATTCGACCGGCCCCCTGAACTCTCGTAGACCGCATCCTTCGCTGCCATGGTCTCCCAGTAAGCCTTCATCCCGTACTGCACTATCCTAACCATTCCCCCTTCAACGCATTCCGACAAGGTCCCAATCAGGGTATCCAACGCCACATGCTGTCTGCCCTGAATCGTGCTATTAGGGCTGTCACTCCCCCGCACAATTATTCCATGGTCCCTATATAATCCCTCAATGATCCCCTCTCTAACACCCCGACTCGGCGGGATGCTCAGTATGAACGGTTGGCTCACAACCGTAATCCATTCCTTATAGAATGGGTCATCCTTGAACGGCGGACGAGCGCCCGCCATTTGGACAATGGTGGACCTATCGAACAGCTGGTTAAGATCAGTTAAACTGATCGTAACCGCCATCCAGTCCACATCGTATTGATATGGGTGCATGGTGATATTTATTTTGCCCCCGGAAAAATCCCTCTGTTGTTGTGTCGAACGCAAGGTTTGAACCATGCACCCTCGGTTGTGAATTGAGTATCTTATGCAACTGCGCTATTTGCCATCGATGAAATGCATTGAAAACGTATTCGCCAGATAGGGCGCAGGCTAACCCTAACCAGTATGCGTGCATAGTAGAGTTGTATAGAGTGCGCTATGGGTGTCCGGGGACTATGGGAATTCATCTGTAGGGGGTTCCTAGGTAAAGGACATGTGTATGGACTGGCTTTAATGCATTCCAGGTGGTGTTGGATTTTGAGAAAAGCGTCAATCCTATTTTGTTTTTTGCATTTTCTGCAGCCGTTTACAGCTTAATTGCACATCTGAGATGACTTTAACTATGAGAACATATATCTGGCTACAACTTTCGTTACGCCCACATCGTGTTTCGGGTGGCGCGGGAAAAAGAAAAAAAAAAGTATCCCCAGCAAAACCGGGGTTGGAACTTGGGGCACTAGTTCAGATAACATTAGCACTTGCCACTATGCCAATGTCTGTCGGTTGAATGTTACCTGTGTTTGGTCAGGTCAACCAGACGGCGCAAAATGCAAAATTTTCGAAAATTCTCTAAGTCCCACCCATTGGAGCTTGCGGGTGCCATAGCTCTGTCAATAGTGATTGAATCTCCCTGGTTGCCCTTCCGTACCTATACTATCTTTTGAATCCGCACCATTGCCTTGGATGGCCAAGGTGGAACGGATGATGTAGTGCATGCGAATGGACACGCACCGCCGGTTTTTCGCATGTTTTGCTTGTAGATCGGCCAAAAACACTTTTTACCTGCACTTCTCAGCTTTTTGATTGTTTCCTGACACTGTCAAGCAATGCTAGACGTATTTGAAGACATTTTGAAGGAGGAAAAAAAGAAAAGAAGGCCTGGCCCCCTCTGAGAATCAAACCTGCGCCATGAGTCACCAAAATCTTTGAAAATTCTCTAAGTCCCACCCCTGGGGACTTACGTGTGCCATAGCTCCTTCAATAGTCATTGAATCTCCCTGGTTCCACTTCCGTAACTATATTATCTTTCAAATCCGCACAACTTTCCTCAGGTGTCCAAGGTGGTGCGGATGACATAGTGCATGCAAACGGACATGCACTGCATGCTTTTTGCATGATTTGCTGGTTGACAAACACCCTGTCATATCCATGTATTGCAATGCAAAAAGGCATTTGCCATCCTCCACCATCAGGAGGAGCAGTGGAAGAAAAGAAAGTATTTGGGCCTCAAAAGGATTTGAACATGTAGCAAATTGAGAGCAAACCAAAATGAGTCATTCGCCGCCAACTGGAGAACACCCCCATATTGCCTGGAAACAAAAAGTGCCAGGAGTTGATGAATACTAGAGTAGATGAAGGTTCCTAGATGTTTTTGGGGATGTTTTCTGAGACATATTCCACTTTAAGCAAATTCCATCCACTCAGAGTTTCAGAAAATGCGTTTTGGTCACATTTTCATAGTAAAAAATCTGAAAAACGGATTTTCCGGGAGCATTGAGTGGAAAACATGCCCCAAAATTTTATGTACAGTACAGTAAGACGCCCCTGAACATTGCTAGCACCTATTTTTGACACTTTCCGGACCACCAAATATAACCCATAACCCGGAACAGTCCTGTAACCCTAACCCTAACCCTAACCCTAACCCTAACCCTAACCCTAACCCTAACCCTAACCCTAACCCTAACCCTAACCCTAACCCTAACCCTAACCCTAACCCTAACCCTAACCCTAACCCTAACCCTAACCCTAAGGATCATCAATCCTATGTCGAAGGTATTCGACCGGCCCCCTGAACTCTCGTAGACCGCATCCTTCGCTGCCATGGTCTCCCAGTAAGCCTTCATCCCGTACTGCACTATCCTAACCATTCCCCCTTCAACGCATTCCGACAAGGTCCCAATCAGGGTATCCAACGCCACATGCTGTCTGCCCTGAATCGTGCTATTAGGGCTGTCACTCCCCCGCACAATTATTCCATGGTCCCTATATAATCCCTCAATGATCCCCTCTCTAACACCCCGACTCGGCGGGATGCTCAGTATGAACGGTTGGCTCACAACCGTAATCCATTCCTTATAGAATGGGTCATCCTTGAACGGCGGACGAGCGCCCGCCATTTGGACAATGGTGGACCTATCGAACAGCTGGTTAAGATCAGTTAAACTGATCGTAACCGCCATCCAGTCCACATCGTATTGATATGGGTGCATGGTGATATTTATTTTGCCCCCGGAAAAATCCCTCTGTTGTTGTGTCGAACGCAAGGTTTGAACCATGCACCCTCGGTTGTGAATTGAGTATCTTATGCAACTGCGCTATTTGCCATCGATGAAATGCATTGAAAACGTATTCGCCAGATAGGGCGCAGGCTAACCCTAACCAGTATGCGTGCATAGTAGAGTTGTATAGAGTGCGCTATGGGTGTCCGGGGACTATGGGAATTCATCTGTAGGGGGTTCCTAGGTAAAGGACATGTGTATGGACTGGCTTTAATGCATTCCAGGTGGTGTTGGATTTTGAGAAAAGCGTCAATCCTATTTTGTTTTTTGCATTTTCTGCAGCCGTTTACAGCTTAATTGCGCATCTGAGATGACTTTAACTATGAGAACATATATCTGGCTACAACTTTCGTTACGCCCACATCGTGTTTCGGGTGGCACAGGAAAAAGAAAAAAAAAAGTATCCCCAGCAAAACCGGGGTTGGAACTTGGGGCAGTAGTTCAGATAACATTAGCACTTGCCACTATGCCAATGTCTGTCGGTAGAATGTTACCTGTGTTTGGTCGGGTCAACCAGACGGCGCAAAATGCAAAATTTTCGAAAATTCTCTAAGTCCCACCCATTGGAGCTTGCGGGTGCCATAGCTCTGTCAACAGTGATTGAATCTCCCTGGTTCCACTTCCGTAACTATACTATCTTTTGAATCCGCGCAACTTTCTTTGGGTGTCCAAGGTGGTACGGATGACGTAGGGCATGCAAATGGACACGCACCGCATGCTTTTCGCATATTTTGCTTGTCGACAGGCCAAAAACACTTTTTGCCTGCACTTCTCAGCTTTTTGATCATTTCCTGACACTGTTGAGGACTCCTAGACACATTTGAAGATGTTTTGAAGGAGAAAAAAAGAAAAGAAGGCCTTGCTCCCTCTGAGAATCGAACCTGCGCCAATTTGCTAAGTCCCCAGGAGTGTGTTCTCCAGTTCCTCTGATATGTTTTCTCAAATTGTGCTAAGTCCCACTCCTAGGAACTTACGTGTGCCATAGCTTGTTCAATAGTCATTGAATCTCCCTGGTTCCACTTCCATAACTATACCATCTTTTGAATCCGCACAACTTTTCTTGGGTGTCCAAGGTGGTACGGTTTGAACTGATGAAGTGTTGTATAGTAGACACCTTCTCACGGGAAGCAAAAATATTTCCACCCACATGTTTACCCAGATATTGTATTACACACTTGTAGTCAATCTATTACAATCGTATCATTACATGCTGCTCCCAATTCTCCCCAAACTCCTCCCAGATTGCATCCACACATTCCTCTATGCTGCCATACCAGGTACTTCCCACTAATCCTGAACCTCGTACCCAATTCCACCGCTCCCCCCTACTATGCTTCCTGAACTTCGCCCTTGCTGTGATATCCTCCTTGGCCTCTGCCACTTGGTCCCGTCTTGCTGAATCTCCAGCCTCTCGCTGCTGGGCTGCCTCCCTCTCTTGAGCTTCCCTATCCTCAGCTTCCCGGTGTACCCTAATCACTTCCTCAATCCTATCCCTTATCTGGTTTGCCCTCCAGGTTTCACTACACAATGCATGGGTGTATCTGGCGCACCTCAATCTGAACTCCTTCTTCCCCCCCACCTTATGGAATATGCTTCCTCCACATTCGCATCTAAGCTGTGCCCCATACTGACTGTACAACTCCTCCAACTCCGCTCGGGGATCCTGCTCAACCGCAGGTGGTAGCCCAGCCTCCGGGCTCAACCACCAGGCACCATCTTTGGTAATGGTAGGTGCCTGCCTTTTCCTCCAGCCTGGGTTGAACCCGAAAGCGTTGAGCACATCTCTGAATCGCTGGGCTTGCTCAGGTGTTACCGCCTGGGTGTCTCGACTGCCTCTGAATACGCGCTCCTTTGCTGCTATCCAGATCTCATCCAGGTTTCGAAGGTAGTCTTCCACCTGTACTAGTCGAACCGATTCTTCTCCCAGGATTCCAACCACCGTCTCAAGGTCAAGGATCTTGAGGCCCTCCACCACCTTAATCGCCGCTGCTACGGTAGGGGCTTGCACTCTAGCCTCAATCCTGACTCCCCCCAACTTCCCCATATTCCCTCTTAACCATCGCCTCAGGCCCCCCAAGGTTTCCTTCCGTCCCCTCAAACTCCTCATCACCTTCGGAGTCTTCATCGATATATTCGATGCGTAGGCTTTGAGAGCATGTACGATTCTTGGGTACACTGTCACTGAAACTAGGCCCTCATCGAAGCTTACACTCCCAAATCCCTTCCCCAAGGGCCCGAACATTGGGAACGTCTCATCCCCTGCCTCATCTCGTCCCCTCAGCACCGGGATATCCATGCTCCTGATCATCAATCCTATGTCGAAGGTATTCGACCGGCCCCCTGAACTCTCGTAGACCGCATCCTTCGCTGCCATGGTCTCCCAGTAAGCCTTCATCCCGTACTGCACTATCCTAACCATTCCCCCTTCAACGCATTCCGACAAGGTCCCAATCAGGGTATCCAACGCCACATGCTGTCTGCCCTGAATCGTGCTATTAGGGCTGTCACTCCCCCGCACAATTATTCCATGGTCCCTATATAATCCCTCAATGATCCCCTCTCTAACACCCCGACTCGGCGGGATGCTCAGTATGAACGGTTGGCTCACAACCGTAATCCATTCCTTATAGAATGGGTCATCCTTGAACGGCGGACGAGCGCCCGCCATTTGGACAATGGTGGACCTATCGAACAGCTGGTTAAGATCAGTTAAACTGATCGTAACCGCCATCCAGTCCACATCGTATTGATATGGGTGCATGGTGATATTTATTTTGCCCCCGGAAAAATCCCTCTGTTGTTGTGTCGAACGCAAGGTTTGAACCATGCACCCTCGGTTGTGAATTGAGTATCTTATGCAACTGCGCTATTTGCCATCGATGAAATGCATTGAAAACGTATTCGCCAGATAGGGCGCAGGCTAACCCTAACCAGTATGCGTGCATAGTAGAGTTGTATAGAGTGCGCTATGGGTGTCCGGGGACTATGGGAATTCATCTGTAGGGGGTTCCTAGGTAAAGGACATGTGTATGGACTGGCTTTAATGCATTCCAGGTGGTGTTGGATTTTGAGAAAAGCGTCAATCCTATTTTGTTTTTTGCATTTTCTGCAGCCGTTTACAGCTTAATTGCACATCTGAGATGACTTTAACTATGAGAACATATATCTGGCTACAACTTTCGTTACGCCCACATCGTGTTTCGGGTGGCGCGGGAAAAAGAAAAAAAAAAGTATCCCCAGCAAAACCGGGGTTGGAACTTGGGGCACTAGTTCAGATAACATTAGCACTTGCCACTATGCCAATGTCTGTCGGTTGAATGTTACCTGTGTTTGGTCAGGTCAACCAGACGGCGCAAAATGCAAAATTTTCGAAAATTCTCTAAGTCCCACCCATTGGAGCTTGCGGGTGCCATAGCTCTGTCAATAGTGATTGAATCTCCCTGGTTGCCCTTCCGTACCTATACTATCTTTTGAATCCGCACCATTGCCTTGGATGGCCAAGGTGGAACGGATGATGTAGTGCATGCGAATGGACACGCACCGCCGGTTTTTCGCATGTTTTGCTTGTAGATCGGCCAAAAACACTTTTTACCTGCACTTCTCAGCTTTTTGATTGTTTCCTGACACTGTCAAGCAATGCTAGACGTATTTGAAGACATTTTGAAGGAGGAAAAAAAGAAAAGAAGGCCTGGCCCCCTCTGAGAATCAAACCTGCGCCATGAGTCACCAAAATCTTTGAAAATTCTCTAAGTCCCACCCCTGGGGACTTACGTGTGCCATAGCTCCTTCAATAGTCATTGAATCTCCCTGGTTCCACTTCCGTAACTATATTATCTTTCAAATCCGCACAACTTTCCTCAGGTGTCCAAGGTGGTGCGGATGACATAGTGCATGCAAACGGACATGCACTGCATGCTTTTTGCATGATTTGCTGGTTGACAAACACCCTGTCATATCCATGTATTGCAATGCAAAAAGGCATTTGCCATCCTCCACCATCAGGAGGAGCAGTGGAAGAAAAGAAAGTATTTGGGCCTCAAAAGGATTTGAACATGTAGCAAATTGAGAGCAAACCAAAATGAGTCATTCGCCGCCAACTGGAGAACACCCCCATATTGCCTGGAAACAAAAAGTGCCAGGAGTTGATGAATACTAGAGTAGATGAAGGTTCCTAGATGTTTTTGGGGATGTTTTCTGAGACATATTCCACTTTAAGCAAATTCCATCCACTCAGAGTTTCAGAAAATGCGTTTTGGTCACATTTTCATAGTAAAAAATCTGAAAAACGGATTTTCCGGGAGCATTGAGTGGAAAACATGCCCCAAAATTTTATGTACAGTACAGTAAGACGCCCCTGAACATTGCTAGCACCTATTTTTGACACTTTCCGGACCACCAAATATAACCCATAACCCGGAACAGTCCTGTAAGCTGCAGGAACTTGCTGAAGCCGCGGAGGTCGCTTGGGGAACGAATGATGTAGATCGGCTTGGGGCTGTTTTCGAGAACCCATCGAACCTTCCCGGAACCGGCTGGACCGACAAGAACAAGGGTCTTGCGGATGGGTGCGTCGAAGCGAAGGTCGAGCAGTGCAGGGGACGTGATGGTTCCAGCGATAGGGTCGCCGTCCTCGAAAATGTTGTGGCGCCGTTCGCGTTTATATTCCATATCGCGGGCTTCCTTCTCGTGGAAATCCCAAACTGCCTTTGCGTATCCACGGGGGAGTTTGTTGTGGGAGCACCACTGCTTGAAGTCGGCATAGTCTGTAAACTTTGCGACTTCTTTGAAAGGGTCTACGGAGCCGTTCATTGCCGCTGAAAGGTGTGTTTGTATGTGTTTGTGTGCGCGTGTGTGCGTAGGAAGGACGGATGGCAGGGTGAGGGTTGTAAATCGTGTGTTCACACTAAATCAAATTCTTGTTGTCATGGCTAAGTCGTGCAGGTCTACAATGCCCTGCTTCTTGGGCATGTGGGGCATATGGGGCATGTGGGGCATATGGGGCATATGGGGCATAACCCCGGGAATCTTCCAGATTTCGGTGATGACTCAGTGAACAGAAGAGCAGAATTCTGACAGCTCAGGAAACGCTGGCGAGCTCCCACCTGTGGACGCCCTCCATTCATCGAGTCAGGCAGACGATATGTAAGTCGAATCTGTACCGACATGTAGGGGAAAACGGTTCCATAAATTTGCGTCCATGGGCTCAGGGGTTGAGCCCGCTCTTGAAACTTTTCTATATATACTGCTGTATAGGTTGAGAAATTGATTGTATTGTCAATTTTTCGATTTATTTCCGACTTTTTATACAAAACTATTGAAGACGGCAAAGCCCTAGACCCTATGGACTCTTATTTTTCTTTACACTATTTGTGGAAAAAATAATAAATAAAGGAACGGTACTCACTTGGATAATAGAGTGCGTCCAGAGGTTTTAGGGAGGTGAGGCACCACCTGCAACCGCAGGACCAACTAATTGGAAGAGGATCCGCTGGTTGTTGGAAAGTTTTGAAGTTAAAACAAGCTCAATATATTATTTCGATGTTCTTATCTTCTGGTCGTTCATTTATCCAATTTTGCCTAAAGCTGACATTAGACGTTCCCTATTTATATGCATCATTTCGATTTTTTATTATTCGATCTTTCAGTTGTGCGTAAAAACCGAAATTAAGAGTTGTCCATTTATTCGCATTATTATTCAATTTTGCCTAAAGCTGACATAGACGTTGCCTATTTATTTTCAGTATCTGTTTCTTTTTATTATTTAATTATTCAATCTTTCAGTTTTGCGTAAAAACCGAAATTAAGAGTTGCCCATTTATTCGCATTATCTAATTTATTTTATTATTTATTATTCAATTCTGCCTAAAGCTGACATAGACGTTGCCTATTTATTTTCAGTATCTGTTTCTTTTTATTATTTAATCATTCAAATTTGCATAAAGCCGAAATTAAGAGTTGCCCATTTATTCGCAGTATACCTCAGAGCTCTAATTATTCGCACGTCGTAAAAGTACACAACACGCTACATGCGGGCGCACTGTCGCTACAGTAATTTGTGGTGAAACAGTAAGATGCGTAGATGCGAGTTTTGGCGACACGTTAAATTACTAGCAATATGTGCTTTACTTTTCCTATTTATCAAGTCCGTTCTGCCCCAGAAGGTTGTAGTAGTATTGCGCAACAAGTGGTTGCAATCGCAATCTCAAGCGTTAGAATCGCAGACCCATTTACCGCAACCTTTGGGTCCTATTTGTATTGAGCCGCCACCTGTCCCTGTCCGCACATCAAAACGTTGCTCACCAGATCATGATTTAAATTTGATTGCCGATCGGCTAAAGGGACACAGTTGTCTTCGCGTTCTTAGCGTACTGCTGTCCGACAAGGAAAAAGGCAACGACGAACCGGGGTATATATATATGTTTCGGAAAAGTGGAAATCAATCCGTAGAACTGGAACAGTATAAAATCGGTTGTACAAACACAAAGGTGGGACCGGTAAAGCGCGGAAAACAGTGGGAGAGGCAATGCAAACAACCTATTACTTTAGAAGGGTATTGGAAGGTAAGCCGCCATCGCTTGTGCGAGCGCTTGATACACAATGAACTAAAGACAAAAAACAAATGGCTTGGTCATATCGAGTGCTGCTGTAAAACCACCAAAGGACATTGCGAGTGGTTTAAAGGGAGCAAGAACGAGCTTTTGGAGGTGATAGCATTCTGGGTCGATTATGGTAATCTGAGACCCGGATGAAAATTAGCACATTTTTCATGTCATGTCGCATCGTCGTTGTCGAGGTCATCGTCATTATCTGTCGCATCGTCGTAGTGGATGCCTGATAGCGGGGAAAACCAGATGTTATTGCTTTGAACACTACAATGGAGCTCCGTGTCATTGCTGATGGCGGGGATAAGGGCTGCATGCGCTGCCGTAACGTGTTTCAGCTCGTTAAATGCTCTGATTGTTACCGACAAAAACGACAAAGATTGCCCAGTCTTGTCGTGGACGCGAAGCGTTACAAAAGGAGGTTCTGCTGTCGGCGTGTTGCGCGGCTTTTGTACAGCAACGACGCCCCAATAAGGGTGCTCGCTTAAGTTCCCACCTATCGGCTTGCATAAAAGGTAAACGCCCTGAGAGTAGAGGCATATGCTGTTTTCGTCTCTTAAAGGCAAGACGGGATGCAAGCTGCCTATTGTTAAAAGGCTTTCTCTTTGATGCCCTGAACGGTCGTGCACCTGATACACACATGAGCATTCGCTGCTGTAATGCTTTGCGAGACCATGGAGAGAGACCTGTTTCCCGCAGATAAAGCAGGGAAATAAGCTATGAGCGCATCGGCGCTCATGACTTTTTATTGCCCAAGGAAGGCACTTGCGATCGCAGCCTGGGACCGTGCAAGATGTTGCAAAGGGCATCAGCTGGTTTTCGAGGTGACGATTGTGTAGGAAGCCTCCGCTCATACAAACTGGGCATTTGTCGATTCTTGGAACGCACGCCGCACATATGAAATGCGGTCCATTTGAGCATTGAATAATGGGAAAGTCGAGCTCATCCAAACAGATGACACAGCTCATCAGGTCTTTGTCGATGCGCTGCTCGATTGTGATGACTGCGTTTTCCATCGCGTTTTCTATAGAGGGGTCTGACATCTGATCGTCTTTTGTTATAGATATAAAAGCACTAGCTGTATATCATCTCTCCTAGTTTTTTTCCTGCGGGGAGAAATAGGTGCGCTTGCGAACCTATAATTAAAAAGTAAGTGTCTATCATATCCAAATCCGCTAAATGTCGGAAAAACCAGAAAACATAAAGAAAGGTGACGCTGAGACAAACAGAGAACAAGACGAACAGCAAAACGAACACCAGGACCTACAGGCAGAGGTGTCCCGGCTGAAAGAAGAACTCCGGGGACTGCAGGAAAACACAATAATTGAGTCAATGAACGATCTAAAAAAGGCACACGACAATCTGTCGAAAAGCGCGACGTGTATGTGCATTGCCCGACAGCTCTGTAACAGGAATTATGCGTATCAAAGAACGATTGTTGCATTGGGAGTGAACTCGTGGTCCCTTTATGAGTCGTTTGAGGATATTCTGGAAATACTACGCAAAAACCGGGGTGAGGTTCTTTATGAGGGATGGAATCGACTCCGTGAAAAAGCGGAACATCACGACCATTGTCTCAAACAGATGTATGATCTTTGCGAGGAAAGCAACATCGACATCGCGGATATCGAGGACGGTGCGGACCCCTGTATCTGTAGTGACTTGCGGCGGGTAAGAGAAGACTTCTTATAAAAGTATGAGATGCCCAGGAAACCTACCTTCAGGAACCGAGCCATTAGTCGGGCTGTATCAACGAGGTAAACAATAGGAGAAAAAGCACAATCTTGGACCCAAAAACGCACACCTCGGTGCCTCAGCTGACTAATTGCAAAATCGACAGCGCAACAACATGACGGTCTCAAAAAATAGCTGAAAACACACTACCGAATGAATGAAAAAAGCAGAAGAGCAAAAGGCGGCGTGCCCATGCGAGTAAAGTACAAAATTACCATCTCGTTATTAAAAGACGTTTGTTTCATCTAACGGTCCAGGAAATGTTTTGGGGCAGCCACGTGCAGCATGGGTTCGCAAATATTGAGAATAAAAGCAATAATTACGAAACATGTGATTTTAAACATTAGCAAAAATACAAACATAGTGTAGTCTATCTACGTTTAGGCGGCGGGAAGTAAATCGCACTGACATATCTGTGTACCTCGTTACCTGATATCAAAAGCTCTTGAAGCTCGCGCGCGGTCTTCAGCAGCGCTTTTGTGTAATCCACAATCATAGGGCTCCTTAAATGGTAGAGCAGCGAGCCCAGTCGGTCTTCAGTCTCACCGCTGCATACCCCTGCAAGCTGCTGTGCATCTTGTGTGACAGATGCCGCCAGGTGAATGTCACTACAAACTCCTTCTATAAGATTTACTATATCTCCAACATTGGCAACGATGACCATTTTCGCTTTCAATTCATCGTCGCATTCGCATTTTCTTATGCACCCGCAGATGTTTTTGTCGATCATTGTATTTATTTCTTCAACGAAAAACAGCAGAAAACCCTCTTTTATATAGTCCTAGACTTGCATCGGATATGAGGTCATGTTCTGTCATTTGCACCGGATATGAAATCACCTATGTAATTTGCATCGGATTGGTTGCTTATATATGGAGACAATAGTTGCATCGGTTTTGATGCGGAATTTGCATCGGTTTTCGGCGCATGTTACATCAGATTTTGCATCGGTTTCGCGTCGATTATTTGTATAAATTGGGAAACGGCGCGTTGCAAAAAGTCTATTTAAAGATATACGGTTATATACATTTAATAAACACATAATGACCAAAACAAAACGCACGCAGCTGGAGCTTGAAAGTGAATTCTGGGAATTTGTCGATACGGTGCGCTATCCAGTGCACGGAGACCATCGCATCGGAAACGACTTGTTCAAATCATGCAGCAAAAGGAAACAAAAACGTTTAAGCAGGATGTATGACTACTTCCATTACAGACTTCAGGACGCACATTACGCCGTGCGTGAAAGCGCAAGAGAAGCGTGTTCTAGAAGTGCCAAACCGGTGTATAAATTCTGTTTTGAAGGGACCAAAGGCTTGTATCCAGTTTATTCTGCGGCTGACTTCTTTCAAGAATTGGTGCCAAGCTTTGGGAAAGAAACTTATGATGAAATCCTTAATAACCCCACTGGCGTCATTGCACTTGCTTGTATCAAGAAATACGACCAACTAGATTTCTGCGAAGGCTTTGCTTTTGTGTTCCTGCCCGAAGATTAGAACATCCTGTCCAAAACACCAAGGTGCTCGTGCTGACTAAGCAGTATATGAACTATTGAACGCCAATTTCTCCTTTCTCATCCAAAGCCTGCAAGAGTCTGGAAAAGCGCGGTGCTCCAAAATACCGCTCCATGAGAGGGGGGGGGGGGGGAGGGGCAAGTGCGCTATGCAGACGGTAGATGTCGGTTAGTTTCTCTTTAAGTTAAACGCTCAAACAAGTGACGCTCCGCGTGTTGCAAAAACAGTATTTAAAGATATGATGCTATTTACATTTAGTAAACCTTTACATATTAACAATTATGCAAAACATGTCTGCAAAGATAACCGTCCAAATCACTCGCCTGAGCCAGGGCGCGTGGTTCAACGAAAGTATTAAACTCCTTGAGAAAAACCTTAAACTGGGCTCCCCCAGGTTAGTCACCGAGACGGCTTCCAATTACTCGTATATACGCTCGCCATCGAAAACAATTTCTCCTTTTCGACAATCAGCAAGCCATTGAGTGCCCTCTTCAACCTGATTCAGAATTAAATGGGGATATTGGACGAAGCTCAGTTGCCCTTGTTCACAAAGGATTTAAAATGAAACCATCTGATCAGAGAGGCGGCAGGGAGCGGAAGAAACTCAACTGTTTTGACCCTACAGACCTGGATGCCTTATAGCAAAATCCGTTTTCTAGTCACGCCGTCATGTAGAACTTATAGAAACTTAGAAATACAAATTTGCAAAATCAACAGATTTAAATCCATAACCAAAGATAAAAAAGGACATCTATCTTTTCTATCTAGGGTCAAGAAAAAAGCTGACATCAAAGGGACAATCGCTCTTTCTTCCCCTTTCATCGTGTTGACTTTGAATGGAACAATCGCTCTTTCTTCCCCTTTCATCGTGTTGACTTTGAATGGAACAATCACTCTTTCTTCCCCTTTCATCCTGTTGACTTTGAAAGGAACAATCACTCTTTCATCCCCTTTCATCGTGCGTGTGACCTTAACGCGACAATCGTTCTTTCTTCCCTTTCATCGTGTCGATCTTAACGCGACAATCGCTCTTTCATTCATTCTTTCATTCTTTAGTACAAAGCCCATAGCTGACGATCGCTCTTTCACCCCCCCCCCCCCCCCCCTTTCAATCGTATCCCCCTTGAGCGTCGCAATCGCTCTTTCATTCCTTAACACAATTCCAATCGCTGAAATTGGACAATCGCTTTTTTCATTGCTGTTAACAGCTCGTCACGCGTCACGCGTCAAAGCTCCCACGAATCGACAGCTACCGTACCAACATCCTTTTCACATCTTCTAAAGACGTAAAGACCTCATACACCCCTTGCTCTCTAGTATAAACACCATCAATAGGATAAAGAATCTCCCTAGCTATGTTGCGTCGTAATAGACTTCCGATGTCAGCGACATATTCGCTCAAAGTTGCCCCTTCGGTCTGGCGCGGCGTTAATAGCATTATGATGGCGTTGGCGTTCTCGATACGCACTACTTTTCCAAATCCAGGTCGTCCATTTAGCAGTTTCGTTCCTACAAGTGCTCCAAGGGGTGGTGCGCCGTTGTCGGAGTCCGCTTCCGTTGCCGAATCTTCCAGCACTATGCGCTTGAACACGCGACTAGCAAAGTCGACCGCTTTTCTTTTGCGTTCTATAGACGGGGTGTTGTTGTATGTGTGTTGCTGGATCCTTTACAGATGTCAAGAATTCAGTCCCAATACTGTCCTCACACTCCGCAGATAGCCATTGCGGTACTATACCTGATGTTATGGCGCATTGCGTACGCGGTGCTCTCGCGTAGCCGAACATGGTCACTTTCCACTGCAGACTCCATATACGTCGTGAAAGAATGGCGCAAGGCGTTACTGGAAATGTTGGCGATTCCGATGTGCTTTTCGACAATCCTGGCGAGATACGCCGACCATTCGCCCGCGCTGTCGAATGCGTCACCGTTGTTTTTGCAGAAAAGATAGCCGTGTTTTTTCCCCGACGTAACTCGCGCACGAACTATCGGCTGGAGAAAGTATGTAAGATACTTTAAAATTATGCTTGAATCGTCAGGGAGTTCGATGGCGTCTCTTGTCCCATTATAAAGACTGTTTTTGTAGTCGCTGGAAGAAAAAGAGGGTGGAAACAAAAGACGATAAGGTAGTGTTCCGCGGAAAAATGACCGCTCGCCACCATATCCACATACCTTACAACAATCACATGGCGCCCCTGAACAAGGGTGATGTGATTTTGTAGCGAGGTTCGACTTTCTGACTCGGTAAGGATTCGGTCCAAAAGAAGTCGAATCTCTTTGCTTCTGAAATTGGACAATCGCTTTTTTCATTGCTGTTAACAGCTCGTCACGCGTCACGCGTCAAAGCTCCCACGAATCGACAGCTACCGTACCAACATCCTTTTCACATCTTCTAAAGACGTAAAGACCTCATACACCCCTTGCTCTCTAGTATAAACACCATCAATAGGATAAAGAATCTCCCTAGCTATGTTGCGTCGTAATAGACTTCCGATGTCAGCGACATATTCGCTCAAAGTTGCCCCTTCGGTCTGGCGCGGCGTTAATAGCATTATGATGGCGTTGGCGTTCTCGATACGCACTACTTTTCCAAATCCAGGTCGTCCATTTAGCAGTTTCGTTCCTACAAGTGCTCCAAGGGGTGGTGCGCCGTTGTCGGAGTCCGCTTCCGTTGCCGAATCTTCCAGCACTATGCGCTTGAACACGCGACTAGCAAAGTCGACCGCTTTTCTTTTGCGTTCTATAGACGGGGTGTTGTTGTATGTGTGTTGCTGGATCCTTTACAGATGTCAAGAATTCAGTCCCAATACTGTCCTCACACTCCGCAGATAGCCATTGCGGTACTATACCTGATGTTATGGCGCATTGCGTACGCGGTGCTCTCGCGTAGCCGAACATGGTCACTTTCCACTGCAGACTCCATATACGTCGTGAAAGAATGGCGCAAGGCGTTACTGGAAATGTTGGCGATTCCGATGTGCTTTTCGACAATCCTGGCGAGATACGCCGACCATTCGCCCGCGCTGTCGAATGCGTCACCGTTGTTTTTGCAGAAAAGATAGCCGTGTTTTTTCCCCGACGTAACTCGCGCACGAACTATCGGCTGGAGAAAGTATGTAAGATACTTTAAAATTATGCTTGAATCGTCAGGGAGTTCGATGGCGTCTCTTGTCCCATTATAAAGACTGTTTTTGTAGTCGCTGGAAGAAAAAGAGGGTGGAAACAAAAGACGATAAGGTAGTGTTCCGCGGAAAAATGACCGCTCGCCACCATATCCACATACCTTACAACAATCACATGGCGCCCCTGAACAAGGGTGATGTGATTTTGTAGCGAGGTTCGACTTTCTGACTCGGTAAGGATTCGGTCCAAAAGAAGTCGAATCTCTTTGCTTCTGGAGGGTGGAATCGCCGCGTAGAAAGCGAGCGCCAAGTATTTTTGCACTTGCGCCGGAAGCCGGCTGTCCTGTGCGTCAACTAGCAGGCTGTCGACCACTTTTTTCTGGCAGCGAATCGCTTCTAGAAACTGGAGTGGAATATGTTAATGTTCTTTTGGCTGCGTGTACTGCCGAAGCACATTACAAACTTGCTCCCATAAAATTGTCGATCCATCCTCATCTACAGTGGCTTGACGCTCTCGCTCTGCAAGAGTCTGCTTTCTGTTTCGGTAGCTTTGAAGACGTGTGATGCTCATCGACTTTTTTGTTCCCGGCAGTCTTGTAGACGATTCCGACTCTAGAAATTTGTGCACATCTATCGCAGCTGTGATGGCGTTTGCGACGGAGCCGTGTGACAGCCCGCGAATTCCTACGAGATATCCTTCTACATACTTGTCCTAACCGACCAGGTGAGCGACAAATGTTATGGACATATTACCAAAAATGTCACTTGTCAAATAAGGGAGGGACGCTCACCAAGAAAAGGTCCAAGTCGTGAAAGTCTTTAAACGATGGTTGCTTTACGCGTCCCGATTGCTTCAGCCAGCCGAGAAACCCGCAAATTCGTTCACGACTCTTGGCGATCGTCTGAGGATTGCGCACTCGGTTGATTCCTTTGGCGCGCGGTCGTGGGGTGCTGAAAAACTCTCGCAAGTGGTGGAACTCGGAGTGGTTCAACGTCGTCATTTCAAAGTCCTGGAGTGTGTAACTACAGTGTATCAAGAACAACGCTTAGTTGAGTCGCCTTGTAAAACAGGGCGCAGGAAGAAACCAAGATTGTATCTACAAGTGTACTTACCACTTGAATTTGATGACCGACTTTATTCCGTTTGCAAGGTCCGCGTCGTCTACATCCGTCATTTTTTCCCTTCTAGAAAGTCGCAGATCCGACTCAATTGTGTCTTCGTCATCGCTGAATGCTGCGTCGCTTGTGCCGGTGTTGAACTCGGTGTTGAAGCTTCTGTTAAAGCTCGTTTCGCGGGTTGATTGCTCCGACATCTCACAGTCGCGTGTGGCTCGCGGCTCGAATAACGGAGCATTGGTTCCAACAGTACCACTAGGGTGTGACGCTGGCGTAAAGGCGGCACTTCCTGATGGCGGCGAGGGATACGGAACATCCGCACCAGACGATATTGGTGTAGTTGGTGTGGCTGCAGGCGAAACAGCAACTAAACAATGGGACAGATTATGACCATCAGTAATGCGCGGCGATAAAAGCATGGACTAACCCTAACCCTAACCCTAAGCGACCTAGGGCGCCCTGCCAAACGGCGATGCAAGGTTTGGAGCCAGGTTGCGCTCCCGAGCTTTGCAAACTGGGTCCGTCTGGGTCATCTAGGTCGAGACTACTACATACCTTGTGTAAAAGACACCGAGTTCTCCTCTACCCGCAACAATCCCTCGCGAGCAGCTTCGGAGACTCCGCACAACTGTAGCAGTTGCGCAAAACCAGTTTGATCGACAAAGGCAAGGTGCGAAGCCGTAGTTTCGTAGAAGGCAATGCTTTTAAACTGGTGTAGCTCCTGCCCACTGAGCACCAGCTTAGTAATGGCGAGCTTGCCCCTCTGAATGATGCTCCGAACTTTGCTGTAGTTGACTGCAAAACCGGCGCACGAGTCTTTCAGGAGATAAAAGCGGTGCGAGTTGGTATCTAAGAGAGTGGCTCCGGTTAGAGTTTGTAAAGTGACATTTTGATCCACGCTTAGATTGCACATACCTGTAAGGACGGGAAGTGTTTTGCTTCCAACAAGCTCCTGAATCACGTTGAACGGGACAGGATGTGCAGCGACAATAAGGGACATGATTTAGATGACTGTAAAGGGATTGAGACGTGGAAAGAGCAGGCACGTTTTCGGTTTATAGGGTTTTGCCACTTACCCTAGCAATCGCACAAATGAAACACTTCGCTTTGTGAAACCCCTTGCATCACACTGGTGAAAAAAGGCGCGCATGGATGCAAACTTGTGCGCATCGTTGAGTGGTCTGTTAGTTGCCGTTGGCGTTTCATGTGTTATTCCGCCGCAATGTTCTGTTTGCAAGCAAGAGTAAAGCGTCTGTTAGCACGTGTAACGCTTAGGAAAAAGAATAGGAATCAACGCCAAGAACACTACAAACCGTTGCAAGACCTTTGAGGTCTTGTCGCCGACCACGTTTTAGCGTGACCTTCCAAACAGCAGGCGCCAGCCAAAAGGAGCATCCACGCAAGCTCCGGCATCGGTTAATCTTATCGTCTTGCCGGCATGACAGAGTGACCCCGGCTTTCGTGTTGATGATTGGAGACGCTGCAGACAAGTGTGCCGTCAATCAGCAACAAAGTCTTGCGCGATGCTCTCCGCTACTCGATGCCGTTGCAGGTCAAGAAGCGAAAGGCGACGTCGCGGTCGGTGACAGCAGTTGCCAGTGTTGGACTTGAACAGCGCGCGCTGGAATCCCGTAGAGGTGGAATTACGAGATTTGTAAGAAGGGCAGGCTTAGTCGCCGGTGCCGGTGATATGTTTGCTTTTAGTGCCATGCCGAGAAACGACATAACTGAAAGAGATACAGTGATCAACTCCACAATCTGTAAAAGGACCTTTCGTCAAATCCGAGTCTGTTGTCTAGGTTTTTCCGCCGCGGCAAGTACCTTTTGGCAAGTGCGCTGTCGCCCCCTGTGCGATTGGAATACGCGATGGTAACAAGCGGGATGTTAGTAGGGCAAAACGAGTATCCCCCTCCGTGCTCACTGAAAGACCTGTGATAAGTTTGCAGAACAGTATAGCTTTAGGAACCTCCAGCACCCGAGTGTCTGTGCTGAGTCATCCTCATCTGCTTAGTCAGCAAAATGGACAACTCTCCGCTTCGGTGCACTTATACCACAGGCTGTCGGAAACAACACAAAGACGCTTACACCCCCTTTTCCCATTTCGGACCAGTAACAAGATATGGACGGTGCAGACAATTCAGATATCGCAATGTTGAATGAGCTAGAAGCGCTCCTCAACAAAGAACACATCTCCCTCGAACAACTGGAAGATTTCCGCGATTCTTATCGTGGCGACCCGACGTCCATTAGGTTTCTTCAAAAAAAAGGAAGCGACGACGCCGGGAAAGCACTATGGACCGCAGACACTCTGAGCATCAGACTGCTCAAGTTCTTGACAGGCTACGAGCGGGCGCGTATGGGCAGCGCCGGAGAACCTGTGCTCAGTCTCCTGAAGTCATTTGAGGACCTCTTGCGATTTATCGGCAACTCTGGAAAAGATGATGCCCACCACCTCATCCGAAAAACAGTTTCCGACCTTTATTCTCTCGATGATATACCTAATCTTGAAGACGACAGGAACGAGGTTATGAGGACAATACACGAGACCATGCGCGGATGGATACAAGGCACAGCGCCGCCAGTCTATACAAAAATAAACGGAACCCTGGAATCGCTTACAACTGGCACTGTTGTCCATTACTTTCCACTGCAAGACGTGACGTTTGAAGAACCCTTGACGTCTGTCATAGGACTATTCGTGGCGATCCTGGCACAGAAAGGTGTAACCCGCTTAGTGATGGAAAGAAGCGTGCGGTAAAGTCTGTCGCTTTCTGGAGCCATAAGCTTAAAAACGTCTAAAGTCCACACCTTTTACTAGGTCATCTGTTGATAAAACGAGTCTTGCAAAGTATACGACAGAGGATCACGCCGACGAACGGAGAGTTCAAGTGTACGAGCGCGTAGCAACAATCAGCTCGGACCCAGAAGAAAAAACTAGGGACAAGTCGGAAGAGGGTGCAGCACCTCTTGCACCAAACGTGAACTTGGACACCGAAGACGCCTCGGAGAGGAACTCAGACAAAGACGAGGAATGTGGGGAAGGGAAGGACGCCACGGAAACGGAGAGGAACTCGGACGAAGACGAGGAATCGGGCGAAGAAACGGACGACACCGAAACAACTGGTGACAAGAGAAAGATACCAAAACATGATGACAACAAGGCACACCGTCCAGCAAAGAAGCGCAAAAAAAAGCGCAAGCAAAGCATAAACCACGTCACAAAACCCTCGAAAACGGGGACCCGTTCGCGCAATGGGACACCCCGTGGGACACCCCCTTCATCAGATGACGAAACATTTTCGAGTAAAGACACATTCATCACGAGGTTGTTGGAGAAATTGGAAGAGATAACAGCTGCCGAGTTAGAAGAGTGTGTCACGCTGGTTAGGTAATGGGTGGCTTCTACACAGGCATTACTACCGGTAAATTCAGGGGAACACAGAGCTTACATCCGACATATTTTTTAACCAGTAAAGGTCTGGAACATACTGATCTTATGGAAATCGATCTGAGTGCTCCCGAAGAAACTGCCGACAAAGCTCTGACCGTCGCATGGCACAGAATGGAGAAATGCACCGGAAACAGGTAAATTGCTTCGATAATACCACATTGACAAAGAAAAGTCACTCATTGTAACTTTTGCACAGAGATATTGCCATTTTTCAGTCATATGTCTGTGCAGTTGCTCTTGCAAACGCGTACGACAGATGCGTAGACTACGGGATGCGCGAGGTACTGATTCGCAGAACGTCCGGACCTTACACGATAATCAAAGATGACGGCAAATTCACGAACGCAGTTCTTACCTGGATGACGAGGGAAGGCATCATCCCCAAAAACACCAAGGTCTTTCGCCGACAAGTGAATGCAGGGAAGCGATTCAGGGATTTGGTCGACGCAATCGGAAAGGGAATCTTGCTTTTCAACTTTGAATCTGATGGGTTAGAATTCTTGTCAAAGAAAGGCGTTTTGCAAATCACTGCACGTACCTGGAACGCAGTCCTGCGGAGAATCCGACGCAGCAAAAGCGTATCGCCGGCAGAATGGACGAAATGGAACAGTGTGACCCTCCCGACATTTGCGGAGGAAGTTATTGCTTCGCCTGTCGATGAACAAGTCGCCCGATCGCCCGTGGCGTCGACCCCGTTCACTGGGACACCTCCAACTCGGGACCGTAAGCTCAACCCGTACCCAACCCCTAGGACTCCGGCGCTTAAAGGAAAAAGGCTTTTCGCCTCGGCTTCCACACCAAAACGATCTTTATCGAAAATGGGGAAACCACAACGTACAGCGTCCATTGATCGCATCAGCAAGACATCTTATGAAGACATGGTACAACGCCTTCGAGCCGAGTGGTACAACGACACCTGCTTCTACTATCTTTTGAACCACGCCAAAGCGAACCACGAGGATTTGTCAGTTGTCGATAGCCTTGATGGAGGCTTCCGTATCATTGACGACGAAACCAAAAGAATCGTGGCTCCCTTCAACCGCGGTAAAAACCACTGGGTCGTCTATACCGCAAGCAAAATGTCTGCTCAGGAGTGGAGATGGGAATTTGCGGACTCCTTCCATCAAGGAGCCCACATCGACGAGGTGGAAAAGGTGGTCAAACGTGTGGTCACTCAAGACACCGTGACTGCAATACCGTGTCCCCCAATCGACACTGTCACAGCGTCTAAGCTCATCCCGAAACAAACGGACGCTAACAGTTGTGGACCCTATGCTCTTGAGTGGGCAACCCAATTTATTCTTGGAGACACTTCGGACTGGACCTCCGTGCCTCCTAATGAGCTCCGTAAGAAACACAGCCGTATCGCGGAAGAAGTGTTCGCCTCTCGGCAGTATGACGAGGAACAGTTAGATCAGGATACTGGAGCTGGAGCGAGTCGTTCAAGTGCCCAAGACAATGATTGTGCAGCAGCCGCTCATGTCGAGCCGGAAACATGTAGTGTAAAGCCAAGTAAGCTTTTACGTGTATTTTAGCCCACAGGTCGTGATTGCGTTGACTCATTTCCTTCCTTCCCTCCTTACTCCAGAATTTGTAAGGGAGCAAAAAAATGTCTGTGGTCAGCCACTGATTGCGGATGGCACAAGCTGCGGCAAATGCCACCAATTAAATAAGCCTAAACAACGATGCGACAGGCAGACAGTAGAGCCGAGCGAGTTTTGCACAGACTGTACGACGATGCAGGCAAACATAATCGAAACGCATCAAAGGCTTAGCGCGAAACAACTCGACGACTTTATGAGCCGTGATCCCCACTGGAAGGAGATTGCGTCGAGAGAACAGGAATAATCGTCCACAGTAAGTTACCGCACTTTTATGTCCGTGTCGATTTAAAAGAATAACGCTGTGTTTTTGCTGTAGAACCTAGGAAACTCGGTGGCGCTATACGCACAATAACCATGAATTGTTGTTAAACGCAACCGTTTGGCAACAATAATAATAAATCATATATCAAAAGCAAAACAATTGAACATAGCGGTTGCAAAATTCCGGCGAATGATAAGCCTTGTCAAACATCCAGGTGCCTGAGCTTAGTAAGCAGGAATTCAATGGCAATGTGTATTTAATCCTAATTTAAACGCCAGCAGCTGTCCACGCCGCTCCACTCATACTCCCTAATAACCATACACTCGTAGCACATAACCCTTGCACCATCCACTTTTCTTTTCACGGGTTTTAAACCATCACACTTGGCTAATTTCGCTAGCTTCTGATAGAACCCATTTTCCGATATACTTGCCGCCACAGTGTTGTCCTTTCTCCACCTTTCAAACAAAGACCAGAGTCGAGAGACCGGCAGCAGCATGCTGTTTGACTCCAGCTCTTCAAAACCTTCGTTTGCAGTTGTCTCAGACGCCTTTACCACTTGCTCCTGGTAGAACTTTTCGACAGGGTTGTTTTCCAACCGGTATTCTCGGCTCACCGCTAAAACACCTTGTGGCGCATCCAACTTGAATCCATTTTCCCTGTACTGCTTGTAGCATTGCAAAAGTTTGAGCATGAAATACGGCGCGTATTCTGTGAGCTTTTGCTTCAATCCCTTGTCAGTCAGGCGCTCGTGAGGCAGTTTTGGATCTTCCACAAACTTGTGTGGAAAATGGACGCTATTTTCCCTATCCCAAATCGCGTCGGTGTCAGGGGCGTCCATCTCTGGACGTCCGTTGCACAAGAGAAATAAGCTGTAATCAGGGCTCACGGTCTCCTGCGCACCGTACAACCCTCGTTGCCGGGATTTATCATTGCCGGTAAGCTCACGCAAGGTTGCGCTTTTGATTTTCTCCCCGACACACGGCTCAGAAACGAATACCGCTCGTGCGCCTTTTAGGTCGACAAACTCGGGGTTCGCTTGGCTCGACCCGCACCGTTTTGTAGTTAGAATTGTTGGCTTTGGAAACTTGCACAGCTCTTCTCCAAGCGTGTGCTGCGTTAGATCTTTGAGAATACCCTTGCCGTTACGACCAACGCCCAGCCACGTCCAGTATTGCTCGTGCCGATTGATTCCTTCTAGACATGTGCAAAGCGTCAGCATCACGTATAGAAGAACTTCCTTATCAGGGAAGATGCTTTCTAGCAAAGCGTCGAGCTTTGCGTCGATGTCAGGACACATAGAGTCAGGAAGAGCGTACGGCACGCCGATGGTGAGATAATCTTCCGGCAACCCATCCCGCAATTCGTCTAGTAAAAGATCGTACACCCCGTTCTTAAAGCACAATAGATACGGTTTTGTGTCAAAAACGACGTCTTTTGTATAAGAGTCCATTAGATCCTCTAAGTCTTTCATGATTTTCACCCTTATCCCCGAGTCTTCAATCGCTTCGACGCGCATCCTTTTCTCCCTTTCCACTCTTTCAACCTGAGTTTTTAAGTACCGTCTTTCGGCTTCATCCTCGCTTTCGCACTGCATGCGATCCAATTCCACAAGCAGTGCGTCGTACCACTCTTTAATGGGACAAAGTAACAAGTCCATTGCGTCCATGCTTGGGCACCCTGCCAGCTCGGTCCACTTGTGCTGTTCGAATTTAAACCACTGCCTGCGCCGAATGCAAATGTATCGCTCTTTCATCAAATACATGGCGAGTATAGCAAGCCGTCCACTAGTGCCGCTCCGAGATTCCTCTATCAACTTTGACAGCTCTTTATTACCCTCTATTACAATGTTGCTTGTGTCAACTGTGATTTCCTTGTCAAAATCCACAGTACATTCCATTGGCTTGACCGCGAGTTGCACCTGTGCACCCACTTGCTTTTCGATGAAACGCTCGCATTCCCTCAGCAGGTCGTCGTTTATTCGAGGGTCGGCTTTTACGAGCATCCCGTCGAATATCAGGCTGTCTGGCGAAAAACCCCCTCTCGTAAAAAAGCAGTGCATTGCTGAAAGCACAAGATTCTCGATACTCGCCACAACGTACGAGAAAAAAGAGCCGCGTTTGTTGTATTTCTTGTCGGAAGCTTCGACCCACTGCCACAGCGGCTTAAACTCCGGCGACTCCTGAAGGCGCGGCACAAGCTTCTCGTAAATCTCCTTGTGGATATTTCTAAGAAACGCGTGCGGTGCGTCGTTTTTGCTTTTGTTTAAATACTTGTTCACCACTTTCTTGTCCGTTATCCCATTTTCTGCTAGAACGGCGCCCTTATCTGTCAAGTAACGCTCCAGATCCGGCGGACATTGGAGATGGAAAAGCTGGAAAAGAAATCTAGTCAGCGTCGGTTGACAGTTCACAACATCGATGTCCGTGTAGTAACCGTTTGTGATGTAAGTTCTGATATTTTTTGACAGGTTCTGGTGCCCAATGCCGTCGACATAAAGACGTCCGTAGCCTTGCGGCTGCTTGTAAATGTAATTTCCTTCGAAAGCGTCATGTTTTTTACGCTGATTTTGGTAAGCCAATAGTGAACTGCGCTCTTTTGCGTTCAGCAAGGGTGATTTCAGCAACTTGTTTATACGCATTTCGTTGGCATACTCCCTTTTTGAGTAAAGGCTGGAGACGTTGGCTCAGATTCAGTTTCACATGAGCCGCTGGCGTGCCGCCCTCTCCAGCTGCTGATTTCGTTTTTAATGTTTTCCGTAGACGCCGGGCGGATTTTGCTCCAGTTGTTCGCGAAGGATAGGCGACTGCGGCGGGTGCAGCTGACATTTTGGGTACGTGTTGTTGTTGGTATATTTGTCTATCACTTAATAAAAGCGCTTTTTTAAACGCATGTTGGTTTAACTATATACCGCGAGGCACATGATGTGTGCGTTTGCGTTTACTATGAAAAATGTTTTTCTTTGGCTTAAGGTATAGAAAGAAACCATGACCGGCACCGCAATCGAATCAATCAAGCAAAAAGGTAGGAGGGACTTTGATTATTACGCAACGTATAAAGTGCACGGTTTTGAAAAGAAGTTTCACAGCGACACAATCCGTGGACTGGCGGCACAACTAGGAATAAACCACTTGACCGCGATTCGCTACTGCAAAATGAACGGCACACACCCACCCAGTGGGCGGATACCTCTAACTATCAACAAAGTCAGAAGGGAACTATAAAATTAGAGGAGAGGGTGTTACCATTAACTCCCATTGGACTATATAATAAATAAACATGGCACCATCATTGCCAAGTGTATTCATTATGTGTTTTATTACCATGTGTTCGACAGACTGCCAACCACCATGCGTATTTAGTGTAATTCTTAATCCACAATTTTGCGCACATGCTTTTCCAACATTTTGTCCACGGCTTCTTGGAACCATGATTCTGTTTCATCATCCAGCGCGCCCTTCCGTTTATAAAAAGCAAGCCATTCTGCAAGTTCTTTTTTTAGATGCTCCTCTGCAGCATCTTTGTCATCGCAATCGAGCGGACTCAGAAAGTTCCCGAGGTCGTGCAATTTATCGGCAATGAAACCGTCTGTATACTCATCTCTCGCTGCTTTGATCAATTTTTCAGTTTTCTTCACCACTGCGTCTATAGTCTTGTTGTTTTTGTCCGTCATTTTGCCGCTTTTCGTTAGTTGTTGTTGATTTATTAGTATATCATTAAAAGAAAAACGTCTTTTTAAACGCATGTTGGTTTAGGGCTATACCGCGAGGCACCAGATGTGCGTTTAATGAGAAAAGGGATGGATATGAATAAACATACATTGAAATAGGAATCACTAGAATAATCACTTTCCGGATACCTATAATTTTAATTGACCACGCTACTCTACTGCAAAATAACCGGAAACGCACCCCGCTGACGAGGTGAGTACCTTTAACAATAAATCAAGTGCGAAGGGAATTACAGAAAAAGTGAAATTGTGCTGCGCTCAATCGATGTCATTATCACTTTCACATGGCCTATTCCAGAACACTGGGTATATTTTCGGTGAGAAACCGAGGGACGCGCTCCACTCATGGAGACAGACGGAGAATTTGACTGAGATATCTCTGCCGAATGTAGCCAAAACCCGCTCCATAAAGTCGCGTCCCCGGGGGCAGAGCTGTTGACTGTTTGTGAAACTTTTCCATATATATATATGTACACATTGAATAATTGGCGTTAATGTCAATTTCTTAATTTATTTTTAGCTTTCTATGCAAAACTTGTGGAATCCTTAAACCCGTTGACCCCCTTGACTTTTATTTTTACTTACATTACTTTTGAAAAGAAAATAAATAAAAAGAAAGTAACACACTCGGATAATGGAACGGGTCCAGGAGTTTGAGACTAAGAATAAAACCCTAGAACCTTTGGAACCGACCGCGCTTTGAGGAATACGCGGCGGTTGTTTTGTTCATATTTGTTTTCGACAGGTAAGAACCCTAACCCTAACCCCAATGAAGACCGCCGAACAAGGTCTTGGCGCTCGCTAACCCTAACCCGATCTTTAACCCTCACTGCTTGCCGGTTTTGTTTTTTTGTTTGTTGCAAAGTAAAATACCCTTTTCGTGGAATTAATGTAATTTCGTGAATTATCAGCCTTTTTGGATGAACGGTATTCCTATTTGTTGTTATTTTATTCATCAATTCTTCATTTAATTCTGCTATTTATTTCCTCACTTGAGTTCCTAGGGTTAGGTCCTAACCCAATAGGGTCCTAACCCAATAAAACTCGCACTATATCTGACCCATAATACTCATTTCTTTTTTAAGCGACCGGACGTATTTTCCGCTATTAACCAAATAACTTTATTATCGTTTTTTATATTTTCCAAAATACACATATCCGGTTGTTTTCATCAAGTCCAAATAAACTGGTCGATTGTAAGAAATGGGCAATCATTTATGTGTTCGTTTACCCTTCTTTCCTCTTACGATCGATCGAGACGCTTGACCGACCGCGCGGATGATATTACATAATCACTGAACGCGAGCCGGGTTCCTCCCCAGGTTTTCTGATAGTCCATGGAGATACAAGCTATCGAAACATTTCCCACACGCAAAAACCATTAAAGATCGTATTGAGTAACGTCAGTGAGTAACTACTCGTTTAAAGTCAACAGACGTGATTGCTTAATAGTTCAACTCACATGAAACTCAAAAATGATGAAGGGAATGTCCATATGGGTTCAAAAACGACACGCGCAAACGCACGACTGAGCCCAAAAAACTCATTCCAGTAACTACGACCCTCAATAAACTGCTTGCAATACGCAGCTAGCCAGTTGCAGCGACAAAAACCTTCTGCCATGATTCCTCAAGACCTCTTCTTCGTCCTGCTTGGACAACTTGGCGGCATATTGGTCCTTGCCAAAGCCCTCGACAGCTACATTCTTGTCAAGACGTTTGGTGCCTCGTTCACAAACCTCTCGGTCACCGCCCGTCGAGCAACTGTCAAGGATGCTTGGAACGCCATCGTCAAACCTCTCTCAATGCTCGCTGGAATCTACCCGTTTTTGGATATCTTGTGGATTCGCAACACCAGAACATGAGTGGGATCAGTAATCTGTATCCGATACCTTATCACGTTCACGTGCGGGACATTTTTGTTTGAGCTTATCTGGTGAGGGCTTAAGACGATCGATATGTCCTTGACACAACCACATGCTAATGTGCCGAACATTAATTCAATCGAAGGCAAGTTGATACCTCGATGTTGTGTCTACTGCATCATGTCAGCACAATCGTCCTCGCGTGTATCTACCTGTACGACCCTCCTTCGAACGAGCCAATCACTGAGTTTGGCGCAAGCATCCTGGTCAGTATCTACGGCTGGTTCCTTTTCTGCGAGTTCGTGGAAAACATTTCACTGGTCTACTATCGAGTTTGGCGAGGAGAGACTCGCCTGCTTTCGCGCCTACTCTTCTCAACGTTCGCTATCGATACTGCGTGCAAGGTTCTGAATCAGATATTCAGCATAGTTGCCATCGTTAGTTATTGGACCGAATGGAAGATCTGGTACAGCACCACGACGGTCGTGACCTGTGCAGTCTTCTTCATATCGCAGGCTTACGGTCCCCTGATCTTCTGGAGACTTTATCAGAAAGTTGCAAAAGAAGAGAGAGAGAAGCGACAAGGATCCTCGGTCATGAAAATTGACACAAGCCACCGCACCAGGCAGACCACAAAAGTCGGTGATGCCAAAACAGACCTGCGATTAAGAAGCCCCCTGCATCAGCAGACAGACTTCACGGCATAAACATGTCCGAGATCCTATGCTGCAGATCGCAATGTAAGTTCATGAACACTAGCCAACAATTTCCATCCGCGCAAATTTAGTGCGGTCGACCGGCTGTCGAAAACTTATTCTTGGCTAAGTTTCAGAAATGGTTCATATCTCTAAGAACGACCAGTTACAAAATTACGACGACCCGTTTGCTCTGCTAATTGCCAAGAGCCAGCACTCTGAAAATGACGATGCCGACACAAGTAGCGCTGATACAGAGTCTCAAGCTAGCACCGTCGGCGATGCGGATGATGGTGACGTCGAACGTGCGTATCTCTTGGCACTCTGGGTACTCGTCCTTCAAGCAACGACCACACCCGACCCCTTTCAGGGTGGCGCAAATCACGCCGATGGCGGAAAGCGCACGGCATATGAGGAAATGGTTAGCTGGGACGACAATACATTACGGGTGCTCATGAAAGATTTGTGGACTGTTTTGAACGAAGCACGACAAGCAGCTCCTCAGAAGACATCTTTTACTGAAGTCCAGCGCATTTTCTCCACTACCTGGAAACGTGCAATACACTTAATTAACGCCGCTCGTGCGTACCGTAGGCAACCGCCTGTGGACGAAGCAAGTTTTCCGCCGGGTTTGCGTAGCAGCTTGACTCAGGGCATCGATACCAGGCGAAGCAAAAAGCCGACGTCTGCTAGATAATCGCTGGCTGCCGCTACTTCCTGGCGTGATTTGTGTAATATAGTGATTTATGATGCATGCGAAAAAATCAAAATCTAAACTGTTCCATTACTTTTAAGCACAGACACCTCGATGCCTGTGCTTACTCAGCAAGATTTGTATTAACTATATGCATCCTACGCCTGACCCCCGCTTCTTCTCCAAACGGGAATCCGTCGCCGCTCCAGACAAATGTCCTCTGAATATTGACTGGGATTTTTACCCCATGTCCGTGGTAAGGAATACGGGCAGTGGGGACTTGGCTTTCCACCACGTTTCTCTGCTCGTTATAAGGATATTTCTTGAAATCCATCTGGATAAAGAGCATCGACTTGATGTAACCGGGAAATCGCTGCAGGAACTTGCTGAAGCCGCGGAGGTCGCTTGGGGAACGAATGATGTAGATCGGCTTGGGGCTGTTTTCGAGAACCCATCGAACCTTCCCGGAACCGGCTGGACCGACAAGAACAAGGGTCTTGCGGATGGGTGCGTCGAAGCGAAGGTCGAGCAGTGCAGGGGACGTGATGGTTCCAGCGATAGGGTCGCCGTCCTCGAAAATGTTGTGGCGCCGTTCGCGTTTATATTCCATATCGCGGGCTTCCTTCTCGTGGAAATCCCAAACTGCCTTTGCGTATCCACGGGGGAGTTTGTTGTGGGAGCACCACTGCTTGAAGTCGGCATAGTCTGTAAACTTTGCGACTTCTTTGAAAGGGTCTACGGAGCCGTTCATTGCCGCTGAAAGGTGTGTTTGTATGTGTTTGTGTGCGCGTGTGTGCGTAGGAAGGACGGATGGCAGGGTGAGGGTTGTAAATCGTGTGTTCACACTAAATCAAATTCTTGTTGTCATGGCTAAGTCGTGCAGGTCTACAATGCCCTGCTTCTTGGGCATGTGGGGCATATGGGGCATGTGGGGCATATGGGGCATATGGGGCATAACCCCGGGAATCTTCCAGATTTCGGTGATGACTCAGTGAACAGAAGAGCAGAATTCTGACAGCTCAGGAAACGCTGGCGAGCTCCCACCTGTGGACGCCCTCCATTCATCGAGTCAGGCAGACGATATGTAAGTCGAATCTGTACCGACATGTAGGGGAAAACGGTTCCATAAATTTGCGTCCATGGGCTCAGGGGTTGAGCCCGCTCTTGAAACTTTTCTATATATACTGCTGTATAGGTTGAGAAATTGATTGTATTGTCAATTTTTCGATTTATTTCCGACTTTTTATACAAAACTATTGAAGACGGCAAAGCCCTAGACCCTATGGACTCTTATTTTTCTTTACACTATTTGTGGAAAAAATAATAAATAAAGGAACGGTACTCACTTGGATAATAGAGTGCGTCCAGAGGTTTTAGGGAGGTGAGGCACCACCTGCAACCGCAGGACCAACTAATTGGAAGAGGATCCGCTGGTTGTTGGAAAGTTTTGAAGTTAAAACAAGCTCAATATATTATTTCGATGTTCTTATCTTCTGGTCGTTCATTTATCCAATTTTGCCTAAAGCTGACATTAGACGTTCCCTACCTATATGCATCATTTCGATTTTTTATTATTCGATCTTTCAGTTGTGCGTAAAAACCGAAATTAAGAGTTGTCCATTTATTCGCATTATTATTCAATTTTGCCTAAAGCTGACATAGACGTTGCCTATTTATTTTCAGTATCTGTTTCTTTTTATTATTTAATTATTCAATCTTTCAGTTTTGCGTAAAAACCGAAATTAAGAGTTGCCCATTTATTCGCATTATCTAATTTATTTTATTATTTATTATTCAATTCTGCCTAAAGCTGACATAGACGTTGCCTATTTATTTTCAGTATCTGTTTCTTTTTATTATTTAATCATTCAAATTTGCATAAAGCCGAAATTAAGAGTTGCCCATTTATTCGCAGTATACCTCAGAGCTCTAATTATTCGCACGTCGTAAAAGTACACAACACGCTACATGCGGGCGCACTGTCGCTACAGTAATTTGTGGTGAAACAGTAAGATGCGTAGATGCGAGTTTTGGCGACACGTTAAATTACTAGCAATATGTGCTTTACTTTTCCTATTTATCAAGTCCGTTCTGCCCCAGAAGGTTGTAGTAGTATTGCGCAACAAGTGGTTGCAATCGCAATCTCAAGCGTTAGAATCGCAGACCCATTTACCGCAACCTTTGGGTCCTATTTGTATTGAGCCGCCACCTGTCCCTGTCCGCACATCAAAACGTTGCTCACCAGATCATGATTTAAATTTGATTGCCGATCGGCTAAAGGGACACAGTTGTCTTCGCGTTCTTAGCGTACTGCTGTCCGACAAGGAAAAAGGCAACGACGAACCGGGGTATATATATATGTTTCGGAAAAGTGGAAATCAATCCGTAGAACTGGAACAGTATAAAATCGGTTGTACAAACACAAAGGTGGGACCGGTAAAGCGCGGAAAACAGTGGGAGAGGCAATGCAAACAACCTATTACTTTAGAAGGGTATTGGAAGGTAAGCCGCCATCGCTTGTGCGAGCACTTGATACACAATGAACTAAAGACAAAAAACAAATGGCTTGGTCATATCGAGTGCTGCTGTAAAACCACCAAAGGACATTGCGAGTGGTTTAAAGGGAGCAAGAACGAGCTTTTGGAGGTGATAGCATTCTGGGTCGATTATGGTAATCTGAGACCCGGATGAAAATTAGCACATTTTTCATGTCATGTCGCATCGTCGTTGTCGAGGTCATCGTCATTATCTGTCGCATCGTCGTAGTGGATGCCTGATAGCGGGGAAAACCAGATGTTATTGCTTTGAACGCTACAATGGAGCTCCGTGTCATTGCTGATGGCGGGGATAAGGGCTGCATGCGCTGCCGTAACGTGTTTCAGCTCGTTAAATGCTCTGATTGTTACCGACAAAAACGACAAAGATTGCCCAGTCTTGTCGTGGACGCGAAGCGTTACAAAAGGAGGTTCTGCTGTCGGCGTGTTGCGCGGCTTTTGTACAGCAACGACGCCCCAATAAGGGTGCTCGCTTAAGTTCCCACCTATCGGCTTGCATAAAAGGTTAACGCCCTGAGAGTAGAGGCATATGCTGTTTTCGTCTCTTAAAGGCAAGACGGGATGCAAGCTGCCTATTGTTAAAAGGCTTTCTCTTTGATGCCCTGAACGGTCGTGCACCTGATACACACATGAGCATTCGCTGCTGTAATGCTTTGCGAGACCATGGAGAGAGACCTGTTTCCCGCAGATAAAGCAGGGAAATAAGCTATGAGCGCATCGGCGCTCATGACTTTTTATTGCCCAAGGAAGGCACTTGCGATCGCAGCCTGGGACCGTGCAAGATGTTGCAAAGGGCATCAGCTGGTTTTCGAGGTGACGATTGTGTAGGAAGCCTCCGCTCATACAAACTGGGCATTTGTCGATTCTTGGAACGCACGCCGCACATATAAAATGCGGTCCATTTGAGCATTGAATAATGGGAAAGTCGAGCTCATCCAAACAGATGACACAGCTCATCAGGTCTTTGTCGATGCGCTGCTCGATTGTGATGACTGCGTTTTCCATCGCGTTTTCTATAGAGGGGTCTGACATCTGATCGTCTTTTGTTATAGATATAAAAGCACTAGCTGTATATCATCTCTCCTAGTTTTTTTCCTGCGGGGAGAAATAGGTGCGCTTGCGAACCTATAATTAAAAAGTAAGTGTCTATCATATCCAAATCCGCTAAATGTCGGAAAAACCAGAAAACATAAAGAAAGGTGACGCTGAGACAAACAGAGAACAAGACGAACAGCAAAACGAACACCAGGACCTACAGGCAGAGGTGTCCCGGCTGAAAGAAGAACTCCGGGGACTGCAGGAAAACACAATAATTGAGTCAATGAACGATCTAAAAAAGGCACACGACAATCTGTCGAAAAGCGCGACGTGTATGTGCATTGCCCGACAGCTCTGTAACAGGAATTATGCGTATCAAAGAACGATTGTTGCATTGGGAGTGAACTCGTGGTCCCTTTATGAGTCGTTTGAGGATATTCTGGAAATACTACGCAAAAACCGGGGTGAGGTTCTTTATGAGGGATGGAATCGACTCCGTGAAAAAGCGGAACATCACGACCATTGTCTCAAACAGATGTATGATCTTTGCGAGGAAAGCAACATCGACATCGCGGATATTGAGGACGGTGCGGACCCCTGTATCTGTAGTGACTTGCGGCGGGTAAGAGAAGACTTGTTATAAAAGTATGAGATGCCCAGGAAACCTACCTTCAGGAACCAAGCCATTAGTCGGGCTGTATCAACGAGGTAAACAATAGGAGAAAAAGCACAATCTTGGACCCAAAAACGCACACCTTGGTGCCTCAGCTGACTAATTGCAAAATCGACAGCGCAACAACATGACGGTCTCAAAAAATAGCTGAAAACACACTACCGAATGAGTGAAAAAAGCAGAAGAGCAAAAGGCGGCGTGCCCATGCGAGTAAAGTACAAAATTACCATCTCGTTATTAAAAGACGTTTGTTTCATCTAACGGTCCAGGAAATGTTTTGGGGCAGCCACGTGCAGCATGGGTTCGCAAATATTGAGAATAAAAGCAATAATTACGAAACATGTGATTTTAAACATTAGCAAAAATACAAACATAGTGTAGTCTATCTACGTTTAGGCGGCGGGAAGTAAATCGCACTGACATATCTGTGTACCTCGTTACCTGATATCAAAAGCTCTTGAAGCTCGCGCGCGGTCTTCAGCAGCGCTTTTGTGTAATCCACAATCATAGGGCTCCTTAAATGGTAGAGCAGCGAGCCCAGTCACTCTTCAGTCTCACCGCTGCATACCCCTGCAAGCTGCTGTGCATCTTGTGTGACAGATGCCGCCAGGTGAATGTCACTACAAACTCCTTCTATAAGATTTACTATATCTCCAACATTGGCAACGATGACCATTTTCGCTTTCAATTCATCGTCGCATTCGCATTTTCTTATGCACCCGCAGATGTTTTTGTCGCTCATTGTATTTATTTCTTCAACGAAAAACAGCAGAAAACCCTCTTTTATATAGTCCTAGACTTGCATCGGATATGAGGTCATGTTCTGTCATTTGCACCGGATATGAAATCACCTATGTAATTTGCATCGGATTGGTTGCTTATATATGGAGACAATAGTTGCATCGGTTTTGATGCGGAATTTGCATCGGTTTTCGGCGCATGTTACATCAGATTTTGCATCGGTTTCGCGTCGATTATTTGTATAAATTGGGAAACGGCGCGTTGCAAAAAGTCTATTTGAAGATATACGGTTATATACATTTAATAAACACATAATGACCAAAACAAAACGCACGCAGCTGGAGCTTGAAAGTGAATTCTGGGAATTTGTCGATACGGTGCGCTATCCAGTGCACGGAGACCATCGCATCGGAAACGACTTGTTCAAATCATGCAGCAAAAGGAAACAAAAACGTTTAAGCAGGATGTATGACTACTTCCATTACAGACTTCAGGACGCACATTACGCCGTGCGTGAAAGCGCAAGAGAAGCGTGTTCTAGAAGTGCCAAACCGGTGTATAAATTCTGTTTTGAAGGGACCAAAGGCTTGTATCCAGTTTATTCTGCGGCTGACTTCTTTCAAGAATTGGTGCCAAGCTTTGGGAAAGAAACTTATGATGAAATCCTTAATAACCCCACTGGCGTCATTGCACTTGCTTGTATCAAGAAATACGACCAACTAGATTTCTGCGAAGGCTTTGCTTTTGTGTTCCTGCCCGAAGATTAGAACATCCTGTCCAAAACACCAAGGTGCTCGTGCTGACTAAGCAGTATATGAACTATTGAACGCCAATTTCTCCTTTCTCATCCAAAGCCTGCAAGAGTCTGGAAAAGCGCGGTGCTCCAAAATACCGCTCCATGAGAGGGGGGGGGGGGGGGAGGGGCAAGTGCGCTATGCAGACGGTAGATGTCGGTTAGTTTCTCTTTAAGTTAAACGCTCAAACAAGTGACGCTCCGCGTGTTGCAAAAACAGTATTTAAAGATATGATGCTATTTACATTTAGTAAACCTTTACATATTAACAATTATGCAAAACATGTCTGCAAAGATAACCGTCCAAATCACTCGCCTGAGCCAGGGCGCGTGGTTCAACGAAAGTATTAAACTCCTTGAGAAAAACCTTAAACTGGGCTCCCCCAGGTTAGTCACCGAGACGGCTTCCAATTACTCGTATATACGCTCGCCATCGAAAACAATTTCTCCTTTTCGACAATCAGCAAGCCATTGAGTGCCCTCTTCAACCTGATTCAGAATTAAATGGGGATATTGGACGAAGCTCAGTTGCCCTTGTTCACAAAGGATTTAAAATGAAACCATCTGATCAGAGAGGCGGCAGGGAGCGGAAGAAACTCAACTGTTTTGACCCTACAGACCTGGATGCCTTATAGCAAAATCCGTTTTCTAGTCACGCCGTCATGTAGAACTTATAGAAACTTAGAAATACAAATTTGCAAAATCAACAGATTTAAATCCATAACCAAAGATAAAAAAGGACATCTATCTTTTCTATCTAGGGTCAAGAAAAAAGCTGACATCAAAGGGACAATCGCTCTTTCTTCCCCTTTCATCGTGTTGACTTTGAATGGAACAATCGCTCTTTCTTCCCCTTTCATCGTGTTGACTTTGAATGGAACAATCACTCTTTCTTCCCCTTTCATCCTGTTGACTTTGAAAGGAACAATCACTCTTTCATCCCCTTTCATCGTGCGTGTGACCTTAACGCGACAATCGTTCTTTCTTCCCTTTCATCGTGTCGATCTTAACGCGACAATCGCTCTTTCATTCATTCTTTCATTCTTTAGTACAAAGCCCATAGCTGACGATCGCTCTTTCACCCCCCCCCCCCCCCCCTTTCAATCGTATCCCCCTTGAGCGTCGCAATCGCTCTTTCATTCCTTAACACAATTCCAATCGCTGAAATTGGACAATCGCTTTTTTCATTGCTGTTAACAGCTCGTCACGCGTCACGCGTCAAAGCTCCCACGAATCGACAGCTACCGTACCAACATCCTTTTCACATCTTCTAAAGACGTAAAGACCTCATACACCCCTTGCTCTCTAGTATAAACACCATCAATAGGATAAAGAATCTCCCTAGCTATGTTGCGTCGTAATAGACTTCCGATGTCAGCGACATATTCGCTCAAAGTTGCCCCTTCGGTCTGGCGCGGCGTTAATAGCATTATGATGGCGTCGGCGTTCTCGATACGCACTACTTTTCCAAATCCAGGTCGTCCATTTAGCAGTTTCGTTCCTACAAGTGCTCCAAGGGGTGGTGCGCCGTTGTCGGAGTCCGCTTCTGTTGCCGAATCTTCCAGCACTATGCGCTTGAACACGCGACTAGCAAAGTCGACCGCTTTTCTTTTGCGTTCTATAGACGGGGTGTTGTTGTATGTGTGTTGCTGGATCCTTTACAGATGTCAAGAATTCAGTCCCGATACTGTCCTCACACTCCGCAGATAGCCATTGCGGTACTATACCTGATGTTATGGCGCATTGCGTACGCGGTGCTCTCGCGTAGCCGAACATGGTCACTTTCCACTGCAGACTCCATATACGTCGTGAAAGAATGGCGCAAGGCGTTACTGGAAATGTTGGCGATTCCGATGTGCTTTTCGACAATCCTGGCGAGATACACCGACCATTCGCCCGCGCTGTCGAATGCGTCACCGTTGTTTTTGCAGAAAAGATAGCCGTGTTTTTTCCCCGACGTAACTTGCGCACGAACTATCGGCTGGAGAAAGTATGTAAGATACTTTAAAATTATGCTTGAATCGTCAGGGAGTTCGATGGCGTCTCTTGTCCCATTATAAAGACTGTTTTTGTAGTCGCTGGAAGAAAAAGAGGGTGGAAACAAAAGACGATAAGGTAGTGTTCCGCGGAAAAATGACCGCTCGCCACCATATCCACATACCTTACAACAATCACATGGCGCCCCTGAACAAGGGTGATGTGATTTTGTAGCGAGGTTCGACTTTCTGACTCGGTAAGGATTCGGTCCAAAAGAAGTCGAATCTCTTTGCTTCTGGAGGGTGGAATTGCCGCGTAGAAAGCGAGCGCCAAGTATTTTTGCACTTGCGCCGGAAGCCGGCTGTCCTGTGCGTCAACTAGCAGGCTGTCGACCACTTTTTTCTGGCAGCGAATCGCTTCTAGAAACTGGAGTGGAATATGTTAATGTTCTTTTGGCTGCGTGTACTGCCGAAGCACATTACAAACTTGCTCCCATAAAATTGTCGATCCATCCTCATCTACAGTGGCTTGACGCTCTCGCTCTGCAAGAGTCTGCTTTCTGTTTCGGTAGCTTTGAAGACGTGTGATGCTCATCGACTTTTTTGTTCCCGGCAGTCTTGTAGACGATTCCGACTCTAGAAATTTGTGCACATCTATCGCAGCTGTGATGGCGTTTGCGACGGAGCCGTGTGACAGCCCGCGAATTCCTACGAGATATCCTTCTACATACTTGTCCTAACCGACCAGGTGAGCGACAAATGTTATGGACATATTACCAAAAATGTCACTTGTCAAATAAGGGAGGGACGCTCACCAAGAAAAGGTCCAAGTCGTGAAAGTCTTTAAACGATGGTTGCTTTACGCGTCCCGATTGCTTCAGCCAGCCGAGAAACCCGCAAATTCGTTCACGACTCTTGGCGATTGTCTGAGGATTGCGCACTCGGTTGATTCCTTTGGCGCGCGGTCGTGGGGTGCTGAAAAACTCTCGCAAGTGGTGGAACTCGGAGTGGTTCAACGTCGTCATTTCAAAGTCCTGGAGTGTGTAACTACAGTGTATCAAGAACAACGCTTAGTTGAGTCGCCTTGTAAAAAAGGGCGCAGGAAGAAACCAAGATTGTATCTACAAGTGTACTTACCACTTGAATTTGATGACCGACTTTATTCCGTTTGCAAGGTCCGCGTCGTCTACATCCGTCATTTTTTCCCTTCTAGAAAGTCGCAGATCCGACTCAATTGTGTCTTCGTCATCGCTGAATGCTGCGTCGCTTGTGCCGGTGTTGAACTCGGTGTTGAAGCTTCTGTTAAAGCTCGTTTCGCGGGTTGATTGCTCCGACATCTCACAGTCGCGTGTGGCTCGCGGCTCGAATAACGGAGCATTGGTTCCAACAGTACCACTAGGGTGTGACGCTGGCGTAAAGGCGGCACTTCCTGATGGCGGCGAGGGATACGGAACATCCGCACCAGACGATATTGGTGTAGTTGGCGTGGCTGCAGGCGAAACAGCAACTAAACAATGGGACAGATTATGACCATCAGTAATGCGCGGCGATAAAAGCATGGACTAACCCTAACCCTAACCCTAAGACTGGGAACCAATAGAACGTCGCAAAGAGCGAGAACGTTGCCGCCGGACGTAGGTTGGGTAAGTACGGTACCCTTCTTTTGAGAGGTAATGGTAGTCGAATCCGCGAGTCCAATAAGGCGTTGGTAGTCTTGAAGAGAAGATGGATCTAGTTCCTCGATATAGGGGGTCATATGATCCGTACAACCGGAATCCACGTTCGCCTTGAAGATGCGGACGTCATGGTTGGCTGGTTGGACTTGACGTGTATGGCATAAGCCATGGAGGCTGCAGCGGGTGCGTCCTGCTTAGTTTTCGCGTTCTTGTCCATAATATCCTTGACAGCTTTGTAAGTAAAGCAGTTTTCTGACTTGTGGCCTTCCCTTTGGCAGTATTTGCACTGGGGAGGTTTCTTGATTGCGTCAGAAGACGAGGATTGCGTAGAGCAGGAGCCTCTAGAGCCGCCAGTCTTGCATTTGTTCTTCTTCTTCTGAGGTAGAGCGGAAGTAACGTGGGCAGCGGATGCGCCCGACTGAGGCGCACTCAGGGTCTTCTCGTTGAGCTGGGCGGCTATACAAATCGCGGCTTCTTGAGAAGGACTAAGTAGATCGTCGTACTGAGCCTGAGCAGTGATCAGGGTACTAAGATTCTTAGGAAGGGCTTGAAGGAAGTCGGCACAGAGCACGTATTCCGGGAGCCCGGGGAGTTGTCCAGCCAAAAGGTTGAACTGGGCAACGAATTTGGTTAAACCTTGATGGTTAATTGATTTGGGCTTCAGAGCGCGCAGTCTGTGAAGAACTTGCGGCAGATGAGTCCGGGGAATCAAGCGCCTTAACATCGCGGAGCGTAATCCGAGTTGAGGAGGCAGTCCATAGACGTCTTCAATATCATGCCATGAAATTATGGAGAAGCGCTCGTTTTCAGGAAGGCTTTTCCACCACTGGAGAGCTGGTCCAGTGAGCGCGTTGACGACGAAATCTACGCATTCGGAAGGCGAAATCATCTGGTACTTCATAATCACGTCGATGTGATCAATGAACCCTTGAAGCTTGGTAACTTTGGGGTCGCCGTTGTAGGTGCCGAGTTTACTAATCGTAGTGTTGATGAAGACTTTGGAAGCTGATTTGCTGGCCGTAGGGGGTGTTACGGGAGTAACAGATCCCACAGATGCACTTTCGTGAGGAATTTCAGCGAAAGGAGGGCTCTGAGAACGGGTTTGAAAGTAAGGATGCCGTTCCGGGGCTTTATAAGCGTATGGGACGGAGTAGGCCATAGCGCACTGAGGAGGCGCATGGGGTGCCGGTGACACCGAGGTCATATATGGCGCGTTTGCCTGGATAAGGCTAGTCGAATAATGAGAGCGAGTGCTGTTCACTGGCGACTGAGTGAGCGGGTTCACGGAGGGGACGGTAGGTCCGCCTTGTTGTGGCGCTCGGTCCGAATTCAAGAGCGAGGTAACTAATCCAGTCAGACTGGCTATTTGATCCTTTATTTGAATCACCTCCTCTTCCTGCTTGACAGGCATAGGTTCTTCCTGAATGGAATCCATCAGGAAGGGGTTGTTTTCGGTTCCGGTGTGTCCGCGTGTTTCAGGCGCATCCACATATGGCGTGGTTGCGTCTTTCCCTTCTGGAATAGTAGCAGAAAGTTCCTCCTTCCTCTTCTTCTCATCCACAAATTCACCAGGCATTTTGTAAGGCGGGGTAGGTGTTGGTTCACTGCGTAAGTCGGCATGACGGGCTACGCCTTGATTAAGCGGAGTACGTGAGTCAATGCCAGAGCGCTGATTAATCGAGGGTTCAGAACTCTTAACAGCGTGTTGTTGAACTTTCTTTCCTCCTCCTCTAGTGGCCGCAGGTAGGGGTCCCAGGAGTGCTCCTCCTTGGGACCGCGTGTTGTGAGCGGAGGGCTTGCCGGCTGCCACAGCAGCTGCGTAGCCCTTCTGAGGTTGGGTTGTTGAATCCTTAGGTGGCATGGTGCTTTCTAAGAGAGCGGTGACTGGAGACCGTGAGTTCTTTATCCTGGACCGTCTGCTAGTTGCGGGCGAAGCCAGGGCTCATAATCACTTAGCAGTAGTCAGCAGAGGAAGCAGATGATTGAGCGAACTCTATGTAATGGTGAGATGTAATACTGTATGGTATAAGATGTAATACAGAGAAGTCTGAAGTGTAAAGAGGACGCGAGGTCCGAAAGGGAAGAAAAGAGTGAAGTTCCGTATGCGGAAGCGTGGCGTAAGCGGGAGGGGAGTCACGTGAGGAAACAAACTACGGGAACCCTAACCGGGGACTCGGGAGGATGATACCTCCAACATGATGAAGATAGTTCAAGTCGAGATAGCGTAGTACGCACTTCGCACAGCGAACTTTCATCATCGCAGTCAGAAGCTGTGTGATGAGCAAATGCAAACTGCGTAGTGCGCACAACGCAAAGCGCAAAATCCGACTTTAGGGGCTTTCAAAATGAAAACCACCAAGGGCATGGAGTGTGGAGGGAACCAAAAACACCACGCGTTCTGATTGGTCACACCCCCCAAAAAGAACCGATAGTTTCGCCCCAAAAAACGCCCCAAACTATCGCGAAAAGTGGGATTTTGAAACCCCCTAATAGGTCCTTTTATGAAAGAACCGGCGACGGGTAAAGATGCTCTAAGTGTATATATATAGGTTGTGTTGTACGGAAGGTAACGGGGGCTGTGCGGAAGCCCCGTCATGTATATATAAATGGGCAGCTCCCGCCCAGGTCGTTCCTTGAACCTCCGTAGCTGTTTCAACATGACATACTCCCACGATTCCAACGTAGCAGAGCGCTACGGGCCCGTAGCCCGTTTCCAAGACCTTATTGATAGTGAGCCAGCCGTCTCACTTACCAAGATCTTCCAGACGACAGGCTTCCAGTCAGCGTCAAAGTGGGACGCCCGCTACGCTGTCGCACTAAAAGTCAAAGTGATCCAGTGCGATGACCATTTTGAGGTCGTACCTAAAGAGTGCGCGCCTACGACGACGGGTAATACAAATTGGCAGTACGTTGGAAGCCGCAGATGAGCTCTCCGCTTATCTCTCTTCTCTATTATCCTTCAGAGCTTTCCTTTGCAGAGGATTTCTTCGTTTTAGACAGATCGGAGATACGCGAGGGCGCTAAGCGACGCCAGTTCCCGACTCCCGTATCCATCATTTATACGGCCTTTGCGCAGATATTGGAGTTCAGCTCTGCGGGAAGCGTAGCGAGCAGGGAGTCGCAGGAGAGCGAAAAGCAAGACAAAGACGAGACGGCCGTTGTGCACTTCTTGAACGATTATCTGCAGTGGATTCTGGACGAAGTTGGGTTCGTTAGAACCCTAGATGACAGACTCGTCACCCTGCAAAACAGGCAAGTCTCCTGTCGTTGAGTACCTGTGATAATCAATGTCTAAACAATGTTGGGATTTGGGACATTTGAATGAGCAGAACTCCACCTTTTTCGAAAGGTTTACGGCTGCATGCGGTGGAAGTTGTTTGTAAGACGGATGGTTCCGTGGTTGTAGCTCTCGACAGTGGGGCGAAGTCCAAAGCAACTCCCACACACTTTCCTATTTTCAAAGAGTGCAAACGGTTGCTGCACCGAAAACCGGAGGACAGTATTGTTGGACAAGTCGCGGCGGAGTTGCTCTCCATCGTACAGTTCGGCCAAGAGCAAAAACACCATGACAACCCGGAGGTACACCTTTTTTGTTACGTTTGAACATAGAAAATGAGATATTTACCGGTTGAGCAATGTAGGCCTTCGGGATTCTGTTGCATCACCGTCATGCGCAGATTGTGTCGGCCTGCTTCTCCGAAGGCTATTTAGACAAGCTGGAGACAGCCCACCCAACTATCGATTTTGGTCAAGGCGACTTTTTTGCCATAAAAACCACCCGAACATATGACCTGGCGATCGTCTCTGACCGCAGAGAGTTCACGATTGCCGTCATGTCCCTCTTCAAGTATGTGGTCTCTGGCAGAGCACGGATTGGGAGATTGGATGAGCTGAAAACTGAGAACGCAATAAATATGTAACGTAAGTAATAGAATATGTAGCGGGACTCCATTACCCACTACTGTCCCAACCCATATATAAATTGAACAGCTCGCTACTAGCGGCTGCTTTCCCACGTAGCTGTCTCATCATCTCATCATGACATCCTCCCACGATGTCAGCCTAGCAGAACGCTTACGGGCACATAGACGACTTTCAAGACCTTATCGATAGTGAGCCAATCATCTCACCAAGATCCACCTATCGCGGCGGTCAAGTTCAAGTGCAAGGGTCCTCATCGTCGTCGTTACGGCTATTGTCAAGAACCCTCGCCAATTCCCACGGTCCATCCCGTGTGAGGGGGAGTTACCATCAGCCGTGAGCGCACCTACACCGGCACGATCGTCGAGTTTCCGCCTGATGCTGTCGCAGAACGTAAGGACAGCATCGTTGCCCCTGGTGAGGCTGTTTTTGAATTAAACAGAATCATCGTGACGACGTTGTGGGCTCGCAAAGAGGACTTGCAGCCCGTAAGCGTGCATGACGCAATGGCGGCACCACGCCTCTGCCAGTGGGCGATCCCGTCCATTTCGGTCGTCTCTCTTCTCTAAGGCGGTCAACGCGAACATCGGCACTTTACGTTCGCCCTTTGAAGCGGAGGTCAAGCTATTGGGAAGCAGGTTGATGGCTGACGCTGTCACCTTCATGTCTCCGTCCTTGGCGGTGCGGCTAGAATTTGCCCACCATTTCGGAGACGTGGCGAGTGCATTTTCCGATGTTGCCGTGGTGGCCCGGTACGGTGTGGCCCGCTATTGCGGCGTTCTGGTCATGGAATTCGAGAGGGACCTCACCGCAGTTCACAAGGACATCTTTGTGGGTTCGGCCGAGGCGGTTCTGGAATCAAGGAAAATTTTGCGTTTCGTCACCAAAGAAACCCTCCATCACGCATCGCCTGTGTATCGCACTCCACAGTTGCGTTCAGAAGCCTGACGCCTGTTCTCCACCCCGCCGGCCTTTTTTGGATGTTGAGTGGCAGTACGGTTTCCGTCTGCATTGTGGTCGTCTCGAGGAGAGCGTCCACAACGGCCTGCGAATGCTGGAGTTCCTACGAACCGTCGTGTTCCCCGACGGCCGTCGGATCGCCACGCTGATGAACCAGGCGCCGGAACCAGACGTAGAGCTACTGAAGATGATCCCGAAGGCGGAGCAAGGGCTTAAGCGCAAGTCTACACCTGGAAAAAAAGCCGCAGCATACCTCCCTATTTTGGGTTGCTACCTGTTGTATGATACGTTTGCAGATACCAAGATGCGTGGCTTTGCCTCCCGGTGGGATCGCTCGGTCCAGATGGTGTTAGCTTAAAGCCACCAAGAGATTCGCTCAAGGCCTTCTAGGATTTCTCATGTAATGGTGGACACGTTTATCCAGTTAGAACAACCGTTTACTTTTGCGTGTTTAATGTGTCTGATTAACTGACCAGTTTTTCCGGGCCAGTTGTCGCTGGTCTATCCCCTATTAAGAGCTAGTGCCAATGCCCACCGGCTCCGCACTTCCCTCGGTGTCGTAATGGCAGTCGGCAGTGCCCAACCATGTGTGTGTGTGGGTTGTCCAGCCATCGTCCTGGGGCAAAAAACCCTGCAGCAGACGAGGCAGGCCTTCGAAAAAATCGCGAGCCTCGAAAAACTGGTCGGGGTCCAGCATCCAAACCATTTGGCTGATGAGCTCCTGGATGCCCTGCTTTCGAAAAGCCGAATGGACTCGGATGATCGAGGACCCGATGCCATGCTGCAGCTTCTGCCCAGTCACATTCGCGACAGGGGCCAGCTCCGACTGTCCTCTCGCAATCCAGATCCCCGAGTGCTGCTCCTTGCTCTCTGGGTCATCAGGCTGCCTATGGGTTCCACAGCGACGAAGCCGAAAGCGAACAGGACTGTGGTTCTGAGTCGCGACAGTCAGATTGGTCTGTGTCTGCCAACTCCTATAAGCCCTCTCCATATGACCCATCTGCTCCGCGAGAAAGGCATTCGGCAGGTGGGCGGCGACAAGGATCCAATTCATGCTCTCGTCGCGTCCCCAGATGAGAGCATCATGGTCGATCACAGTGGCTGTCTCTACTGGTGGGTGGTTGACATGGAAGCAGCCAGGTGTGCGCGGCGGAAACTGCCAATCGACAGAGTAGTCGACTCTCTGCTCAAACCAAGCTGCCGCGCGTGGGTGGAGAGCCGCGATGCCGCACTCTCTCGCGCGCGTGTCGATCCGCGGACGTGCTAGCTTCGGTAGGACAGAGACAGTGACAGGCAGCGGCATGGCTCTCTCTGCTGCGGGCGGCAGCTTGCTCTCGTCAAACCAGAGACCGCGAGCTCTCTGCTCCCTGCATGCTCTCTCTAGGGTCTCTCTCCATGCGGACGGGCGGCTGCCCTCTGGTCGTTTCCGCTTGCTGCCTGTCCGCCATGAGCCGCCCGTTGAGTGAAGTAGGTCGCGAGCAGAGAGCCACTCTGTGTCCTCTCCTCTCGAGAGCGCCAGCCAGACCCCCTCCCCGCCACGGCACGAACCCGGCCAGGGCCCCACAGTCGTCTCTGCCGCCCTCTCCGCGCCCGCGGTCCGCTCGTCTCTGCTCTGCGCTCCGCTCTCGTCTCTCCTCTCGTCTCTCCTCTCGTCTCTCGTCTCTCCGCTCCTCTCTTCTCTGCTCTCTGCTGTCCTCTCCGCTCTCTCTGCTCTCTCTGCCGCCAGCGGCGGTCGCGCCCTGTCCCTACACCACCCGCACCACCAGGATACGCCCCTTTGATACCCACTTCCTTGAGGACCCGGCGGTAGAGTGATTCCAGTACCGTTTCTTGGTCTTCTTCTGCTTTTGTTATGGGTGAGGGGGAAACGAGGGAAAGGAGTTCGGAGAGGATGAGGTGGAGGTAGGGTTTGGACCATAACGGGGAGGTTTGGGCGTGCTGGTTTTGGGCGCGGTTGTTGGGGGGTGGTGGGGGAAGGTCTGGGGTGGGTGGAGGTGAGTGCCGGAGGACGCAGAGGTCCAGGGCTGTTCGGAGCGTTCTGGAGTCTTTCACTACGCAAAAAAGAAAAAAACAACCACATTGGTTAGAAAGGGGGGATGTAGGGGACACAAGGCATGTATAGTACATTACCTAAAGCATCCAACATCCGAACCCCTCTCGCCACACTCCGTTTATCTTGTAAAACCATATGCGGGTCCCGGGATTTCTTGTCTTTCAAAGAGCGTTGGGATTTAGCCGTTGTTGTTGTTGTCGTGGGGGGTTTGTCCCCGCCAGGACTGGTAGTTCCACCGTGACGCCGGGGTCGAGTGTGCGGGGCGGCTTGGAGGACGGTTGTCGTGGTGGTGGTTGTTGGGGGTTTTAGCGGTTGGTGCTGCGATGTGGGGGTTGGCGTGTCGGTGATGGGTGGTGGTGGTGGTAAGGGTTTGGTACCGGCAGGACCTTGGACCACCACTTTCACTGGCTCAAAAAGCACGGCATTTGGGTCCTGCCAGGTATAGGTTGCCCCCGCAGAAGAGGTCCTCGACGAGGAGAAAGAGCTGGTCGCAAGAGCTTGTCATGCAGAAGAGGTCCTTGACGAGGAGGAAGAGCCGGCCGGAAAAGCTCCCCATGCTGAAGAGGTCGACACCTGAATTCCTCCTTGCACCGCGACCCGGGCCTGTTGTTGTCTTTGTTGTTGTCATTGCCGTTGTTGTTGTTGCCCGAGCGGTCCAGACACAGTAGTGGCGGGTTGGACCCCTTGTGAGGTGGCGGTAGGAGCATCGGCTGTAGGCCGCAGATGTGGTCGTGCCATTGTTCTAGTTACTTTGAAAGTAGTGAGAGTTAGAGATATTTCAAGTTGATGACATTCCGATGGTAATAAGGTACCAAGTTGCCACGCCGTTCTGTTTTGACAGGAGCGACTGACGGCACCAAAATCTCAGTGTAAATAAACGGTGGGTGCCCGATTGGTCTTTTTGAACTCGGTGAGTCTGGATCAAATGGATGTTCTCCGTCGTCGTTCCAGGCTGGGGACTCAGTGGGGAGAGGTGCTCCTGTGGTGACAGCCAAGAGTAGTCAATGATAGCAATGAGACGGGGCGGGCGGGGGTCAGTGGCGGGCGGTAGGTTATGAACTCGGCATGTCCGTCGACTGCGAGAAAGACCGAGAACGCGAGGCGAAGCTACGGCCGGATGGCCTCGTCATCCGGAGAATGTACATGTTGCATGTGTAGGGCCAGTGCGGGTGCATAGCGAAGAACAGAGTACCGACTGCACCCGGCACCAGCAGGCGGCTGCAAGATGTGTAGCTGGCATGACGGTAAGAAATAGTTCGTTTTTTTCGTATATAGAATATGTATGTCACTTGCGTGAACTGGATCTTAACATAAAGTGAATACACGTTATGTATTTATCTACATACTGTACTTGTACAAAAGGCTTCTATCAGGTGTTTCTGCGGGGTCTTTCTCAAACTCGATCTAGTTCTATGTATTCTAGTTCGTTTTGCTAGTCGCGAAACCACCATCAAATCTAAACGACTAATAGACTCATCGCTTTCTGCCTTTGTAGTCACACATCGTCAAAGTTGATGATCACTCATAGTTCTGGCGCTGGGACTGGATCGAAATAGAATTCGTACTTGGCTCCGGCTGCGCCGTCGCCTTCATCCTGAACCCAGATGCCGTTCTTAGGCTCCTCAAAATCCCAGTAGAGAACCGGACGGTAACGGGGAAGCTCATTGAAACCGTCCCAGTTGCTGCGAACTTGGAACCGTCCGTTGTCGTTCAGCGTGAAATAGAACGTGTTGCACTTGCAAATCTCGCCGGGTGGGCATTCCGGCTCCTCCTCGCCTACTTGGCAACTTGCGTAAAAATCGGGATAGTCTCCGATGTGCAAACTCTCTTTGAACAAATATTGAACCCTGAACAAATTCTCTTTGATCTGGTCCGTGCAGCCGGGCTTGGGAAAGGTCCTGATGTGGAAGCTGTTCAGCTTTGTATCCACCGTCAGCTGGAAGGTTTCGTTTGGCTCGGGATTGTCGAAAGTAACGGGCGCGTCCGCCCACTTCAAAAAGGCCCCCTGCGCATCGTCGCGGCTGTATGCCTCAGCATCTCGGTTGTGGGTGATATATGTTCCAGTCGTGCAGGACGTGACCATGTGGCGGGTCGCGCTCTCCTCGTCACCGGGGACTCGCCACAAGAAGTTGGCCTGTGGAGTGCCCGTGGTGTTATACGCGTTCAGCAATGCGCGGCCCCACCGCGAGTACGTAGGGTGCAGCACCGGGTCGTTTACCGTAATCGTGTTGTCTCCGTCGGCTACCTCCCCACCGACCTCAAAGTAGGCGTCCCAAGTGTCCAGTTGGGCTTCCAAACCGAGGGCGATACTCCTGACAGCCTCGTTCACTGTGATACCTTTCTGTTTTTCTTCTTCGTCGATCAACACACGGGAAGCGAAATGGAGGAGATTTGCGGCTTTCCGTACCCCACCGGCGTAATGAAGCGAGAAGCTTTTGATGAAGGTGTAGCCGCCGTACGGACATCCCTGTAAACATCCAAGGCAGACGTCCAGATCGCTTTCAATCCTCCCATACTGGGGTCATGGACCATGTTCTCGTAGATGGTATTGGCGTATGTAGGGGCCCATTGCTGCACCTTCAGGGCATGGTTGTACAGGTCGTTATAAGCCGTTTGAGATGTGTTCGCCTTGGCGTATGCCGCCTCCATGTAAGTGGACATCAAGCCGTAGTCGGTGTTGATGTTATTGAGCGCTTCCCACGCTGGCATCGTTTTGATGGCTGCCATAATGGCATGGAAGTTTTGGTCGATTTTGTGGTCGAGGTCTTCGAGAGCTTCCTTGATTTGCTCCAACTGTGTCGATATTTCGGGTTCACTGCCGCCGCCGAGGATCAACTCGAACAATGCTTTCGCAATCGTTTCTGCTTCCTTGAGCCCTAGTGCGACCAAGGCGCCCTTTACGGCTCCTTTCAGCGCTCCAGCGAGGACCGTATCCCACAAGTTCGTATCCCACGGTTCCCACCGTATCCCACGCTTCGCCGCTTGCGTTTCTTCTTGCTTATTGGAATAGCTTTCTCCACCTCGCCAAACCCTTACAGCGATGCCGTTCCTGCGGCGGTCCACGAGGCCGTTGAAGGTGTTGGCCGCAATCCAAACAGCAGGCGGAGGGATCCATTGCCGACGAGCTTCGGCTTGCAGTCCTTGTCAGCCGGCGCCAGTGGTCGCACCGGCAGACGATATTCCTGATACTCATCATCGCTGAACAGGACCGTACCATCGCCAAAAAAGAAGCAGAAATCCTCCAGCTTTGCAAAGAGCTGGATCGGATTCGTCCGCTCGCTCAGCTAGCGGCAACATGTTTCTCGAACACATTACCGCAGATATCCCTGGGACAATCACGTGGAGAGCTCTGTCGAAGAACGACCTTGGTTCACTTTGCCAATGTGTGACATCGAGTCAAACCAACAGAAGGGAAACCGTACAGACGGGATGTACGTCGTTGGTGCTTGCTTCAATTTGTAATACATTTTACTATACCTTTGTGCCTCTTCCTTTGTTGATTCGTGCTGTGTCATTGAGCGAGGTGACTGTTGTGATGTCTTGAGACCCTGAAGTGAGTGTGGTTCGTCCGTTGATTTAACATATATAGCAAAATGTTCATCTCTCATGGTCAAATGTTGACTTCTCGCGCGCATGATCAAAATGTCTGCATGTTGAGCCAAAAAAACGAAAAAGTTCACCTCCCATGTATTTTCGGCAGAAGCGGTGGCCCATACTGCTGACCACACGAAGGGCCCCACGGTTGATGTTCTTGTTCCCACTTCGCTTTTTTTGAAAGTTCTTGGTGGGCAACATAGACTATTTGCTGGATGGGTACAAGAGACCAGAAATTCGTTGCACATCTTGCAAACATCGATTACACAACAACATTCTCCTGGTCAGACGAAGCAAAAGATAACGCTCTCGGCCGCCGACGTCACAACGTTCAAACGATTGAAAATATCCTCCGTCGCCATCAAGCGCAAACCACCAATCGCATCGTCGAAAGACCCGGCAACAGAAACGACCAACCCACAAGGGTGGCTGTTGACTTGCTTCTACCAAACACATTTTGGACCGCAGACGAAGGCGTTATTCGAGTCGTTGTCGATAAAGGCGTGCTCCCGTGGATAATCATTACATATTGCGATCGTAGAGTCAGACGACATGAGTGGACTCAGGTTCAGTAAATTTGATAATTTTGCAGTACCTGGCTCTTTGCTGATCGAGTTTATTTCGCTGTTCTCCGTCTATAGTTTGCAGATGAATTCACCGGTGTTCAAACCCAGAACTGAAGGAGTTGTCAAATTTTCTTTCACAATGCAGAACAGTAAAGAAAATGAGTTATTCTGGTAGGAAACATTCATGCTTGATCAAATCTGTACGCTTGCTAACACGTTGGCCAGGGATGTACAATGGCGTCAGTTCGACGGAACTTTCAAACTCTATTTCGTACGAGCTACCCACGGCGTCATCATCGGGACCGAGGATGTTTCAGAAGATGGCTTTCAAATATCCTACAGCGGGGACCGTCGTATAGTTTCGCTTGAGTTTCCTGAAGCGGAGCTACTCCCACACCTCTTTCCGTATGAGGGAGATATTGACGATAAACCGCCTCTGTGCCTTTCGTCAAAACCGATGGGAAACTCCTTACACGTGAGGCTCGTAGGTGATTCCATCCATTGGGGCCAGTCCGCCGAGAATGTGGAAGAGGTCCTTACCGAGGACCCCAGAGTCTCGATTCTCAGAAAGGGTGGAAAAGTCTGCGGCGCGATCATCACCGACCCCAGCAAGACGGTGCTTCGCGAAGGGACATTTGATCGGAAGAAATTGAGGGAAGATGCAAACAAGTACGCTGAAGCTGTTGATGCAGCCGTTGATGCACTTTGCTAAGATGCACTTTATCGTACCATTCGGATTTAAATATGTCACAATGCAGAGTTGAGCATTTTTGAAGTCTTTCTCGTACTATTCGGAGTTAAATATGTCCCGTGTGTGAGGACATCTCTAGCGTTCGTGGTTCGGTTTTGTTGGACTAGGCTTGTTCTGCTTGCTTTGTCGCTGTGTCTTGGACCCCCTCCGCACAGCTCAGGTGGTGATTGCTTAAGAATAGTTCGTCATTTTGTGGAGAGCTGAAGTCACGTATCCTCGACTGCCCAGCACAGCTTGAGCCAATAAATTGCAACCACATTGCAACCGCTATATTGTGGATGTCGGTCGTGACAGCAATCGCAGAAACGTCGCAGCCCAGCCACAGCATTACACGAATGAGAATGTTCCGCCGCTCGACTTCATCTGATGTGTTTATGGAAATTCCGCCCAGCTTCCTTGAGCTTCGGTGCACGTCGCCTTTGTTGGGCTCCAGTTGTTGGAAAGCATCCAGAATATCCTGCTCAGCGGGCATCGCCGGCAGGGGGTGGTTTGCGGTAGCCTTGATTTCTGGCACATCACCTTTTAGAGCACTTCACGTTGTTCAGTGATTTGTCACTCGCGCAGGCCAGCAGCCGTACTCACACAAATTTTCCGTCCCGAACCATTTTGTTCCAATCCATCGCCATTCGTTCCGCCTTCTCAACGCCTTCGCCTGCCACAGCGGGCTGTCTTGTCAGCTCTTCCACCAATGTGCCACATCGGCGTAAAATGCTTTTCGGCACTTCCAGACCGTTGAGTCTGTCGGATTTCTCTCAGGATTGCAAGTTCCACCTGGTCGTGGAAACATCATGAGCAATGGCATCATAATTGATATGCAGTTTACACCCGCTAATATTTGAGAAAATTGGTAGGTGGTTTGCTTTCGGGGGTCTTTTGAGTGAGCTTCAATGAAACGGACGCAGAGGGAAAAGACTACTGTACGTTTCTTCAAGCTGCATGATTATGATGACTTTATATTGTCTCGTTCGTCAAAGATATCATCTGAACTACACGCAACGTATGCTTCTACTTGGTACAGAAATTTACGGAAGGAATTCACGGTCGACGTGAAGATAACCAACCTCTGGACAATGACTAAACCAATCCCATTTACGTATCGCCATTTCCTTCCAAGGATTTGGTTTCTCCCCCCATAAGCGCGCGGCCCGCTCCTTCGCCTTGTGTTCGCCCGTCGCATCATTTTCGTTCACGTTGAATAGATACCAAAAGGGCTTTGGTGATCCTGCGATTGAGCTTTCCAACCAATCGGTGCGTCTCTTCCACAAATCGGACGAGCGGAAGCTTTTGCTGAGCAGTGATAATGACGGTATTTTCTTCCATGATTTTGCTGTAATGGAGGTCGACGAATTCTGCAGACAGATCTGCTTTCAAATAGCGTTGGCAAACCTCCGCATATAAACTATCATCCGAGACACATGTCTCGATGTGAAAATCAGAGCACTTAGGGCTCTCCGAATCGTACGCGTAGGGGGGTTCATTACGGAACGCAGCCGCTGCATCGGGGGAGACGAGGCCCGCTGCAGCCGAACGTGGAATCGCTGTCGTTAAACAAAGTCGAGGTGCGAGGTCAAAATCGACTGCAGCGCAAAGAGCTGTCCAGTCCCCGTCGACATTGCGGTAAGACAACACCTCGATTTTAAACGGTAGGTTGTACAGGGCGTGGTTGATGTACTTTGACCCACATCCCACTTGCCACTCATCTCGAATGCGCAAGGCACGCATGACCTGAGCGATGGTATCCTCCACATTGCTTAACCGCCCTTCCACATGTTGAAAAGCCAGGATGTGTGGATCCATGGAGTATAATGTGAAAATATGTAGTCGCGGATGTATATCTTATATACTAGGGTGAGGCTCATTATCGTTGGTGCGTTTTGACGAACCGCGATCGCCGAATATTTTGGTATGTTTAGGTAACCGCGCATTGGGAAAAGGGTGGTTGTCTTACCGTCGGAGGCCTACACCAGTAAAACCTGCAGTCGGTGCGGTCAAATCAGGAATAATCTGGGCGGTGCGAGAGTATTCAGGTGTAGAGCTTGTGGATATGTTGTAGACAGGGATATCAACGGGGCGAGAGGCATGCATCCTTCTCCGGGCGTTGAGTTTTGGGTTTCTCAGTTTACATTAGTTACATTAGCGCGTTGGTCTCCGGGTTGCCTGATAGGGCCTGGGGCTCCATTCAAGCCACAGTACATAGCGTTATCTAGTCTTGGATAGTTTTAGACATAGGTGACCGATGTAAACTATCCGTGGGCCACCGCACTCTTACAGTACGTTTCATACAAAATGGGACACTTCGCCTAAACGAAGCTAACTATGATCCTCCAGGGTAAACGACAACCCTGACTGTAAATCGCTTATTTCCCCACCGAAACTGGGATGCCCGGCGGTTGAGTCGTTTGCATGCCTAACCGTGAAGAAAGGCGTGACTTGTCGAATCATCAAGTAGTCTCCGTACTCTCCGACCCGCCCATGGTTATTCCTTTTCTGAAGGTTGGACGGTGTCGTCTCCTCGATGGGAAACAACGAGCTTGCAACTTCGGTACGTGGACTTCGGTGGAATGATGGAATGAATGGATTACTCAACCGAAAGGGAGACCTCCAAGCAGTGTCGACCAGTTTCCGTGGAAGGCGCACGTACTGGTCGTCCGTGTCCACCCGGGCCATCCTGTACAGACACGGGACCGCTGTTCCAGCCGGGCCACGCCCGGGTCGTAGCGGGCGTGGAACCTGTTCCGCATGCCGCTGGGCTACCGGTTCCGTACAGGGCCTACCCTATGTCATCGCCTGGTACATCGCTACATACGCTGTAGCGTATGTAGACTCACAGGCGTGGGAACTACCCGAGCCGTGTAGCTTGTGAATATCCGCCCGGATACTCACAGGCTTCCGGGCCGTGGGAAGCGCTATCCCGGATACTGCGCTTCCGGGCCGTACGCTGTAGGCGAATTCGTACGTCCTACAGCGACGTAGGAACTCGCCCGATGGCGGCAGGATGGCCCGGTAGGTGGAGGGCCCGGCTATCGTAACTGGCGGCCTAGGGCGACGACGAGACGGCGGTGGACGGGACGATCACCGTCACTCCCGACGTGCTCGGTCTGAAGCGCGCCTACGTCGCGCGGGACGCCACGGGCTCGGTCGTGGAGGGATTCTGAGTGGGTGGTGCATTTAGAAATTTCCACATGTTTACGAAAGGATGTACTAGGGTTCGATGGCACAATATCTACCCCATCCCATTGACTATGCATCTTTATCCATGGAAGCACCAGTCGGTGCGATGAAGTACGTCGGCCCTTATCTGCATTCTGAGGACAACGATGCAAAGAGGCAAAGAGCTTCACAAGTTGAGAGCCGATTGAACTCCCAAAGAAAAACCAAAAAATCCCTGTGCGAGTAGTGCGTCTGCAAATTGGTCAGATCGAATGTGATACCCGCGCCGCGAGCAGCATCCATGGCTCGCGCGGTGAGTCCGGATTGCGCCCGCCCTTCGAAAGCGTCAAGGAAGATTTGAACGTCCGCACTGTCCCAAGGTCTCTTCACCATGTCATGGAGACATTTCCGTAGGAAATGAAAACAGGCTGTCTCCTTTCCTTCATCTGGCAATTTACAAACGACTTCACCCAACCAATGCAACCAAACACCCGTGCCCCGAAATCGTCCTTCAATCCCATCAACGGCGGCCCACGCGTTTCGTAAAAAGGTCCACGCCATATGGGTTCCAAGGTACCATTCGTCTGCGACCGTCATATAGCAACACTCCCGTCCAAAGTGAAAGCGCACGCTGCCTTTCAGATGATCTGCCGCCACCAAAATCCACGCGATCATGGTTGTGTCTCTTTTCAATATTGCCGTTTTGAAAAAGGAATGAATGTTAAGCTTTAACCCGGATCCATCCGTTAGGAAATTGTTCCAGGCTTTGGAGTGGTCTTCACGAGCTCGGACGAGAGCAAGGGCAAAGTCGTCCCCGAATTTCCGCAATTCTGGAAAAATGGCATAAAATCGGGTGAAAAGGTAGACGTCGTCAACGGAGTTCGTCACAGCACGCGCGGTGAGACGGAAAGAACGGACACTTTCCAACGGCATGCAGTCCGCCATCAGACGGAAGAGTTCTGCCAGCATCGTTTCGTAAGTGCTGCCGAGCTTTGATTGAGCAGCCATGGCGGCCTAAATCTACCCAACAGCTCACTGGTAGAATACGCAATGCCAAACTCTCTGTGGTAAGATAGCGGAAGAGTAAGAGACAGGCCGCGATCGATCGTCTCAGAGAGGGGGAATGACGCAGTGACGCCTGGCATTCTTTTGTGGTGACGCGGTCACCTGATATCACGTGATAGGGCCACCTACGGTGCGCCAATTCTTGAACGCCACGGGTCCAAGTCAAGTGCGTCCGCGGTCCAGGGGCCTTTTTTTTGTTACAATGGAGTACCATCCACATGTCTTCCGAGCAACAGACCGAGATCCCCGTCCTGGACGACGTCCGTCCCATTGTGCTGGAGTACATCGACCTCACCAACCAGGTGAAGACCGCAAGAAACCAAATCAAGCTGATGAACGAGCGAAAGAAGGAGTTGGACACCCACATCCGGGAGCGCATGCGGTTCGCAAACCGCACTCCGTACAGCAATGCTGGCCCCCGGAGTGATCATGGGGGCCAGCATCGTACCAAATCGTGGCGTTCAAGTACGATGCTGAGTACTCGGTGTCGCTTCGACAGGACCATTAGTGCGACCCCTGTCAGCACTAATGCCTGAATAGTGTGTCGACCACGTACGGGTGAAAGCGATGGCATTGGGACCGATGGGGAGCGGCTGTGGACAGTTGTTTGTTGGCCATGGTCTGGTATGGACGACGCGCCCATACCATAAGCTTACCTACTGGCAGCCGCCAATGTCAACCGCCAATGTCAACCGCCAATGTCAAACGCCAATGTCAATGTCAATGTCAGTGTCAATGTCAGTGTCAATGTCAATGTCAAACACCACTCCTCCGCTCTCCTCTCGTTTGCCAATCCCCCCGCAATATCGCCGCTCCTCCTCTACCCCGCTCATCTGTGAGCCAATCTCTGGCCATTTGTCAACCCCCAATACTTCTCCACAGCCAGCAGCTGTAGCAATGCTCTCTACGCTCGCCACGCCCGCTCTAGGCTAGGTAGCATAGCTGGCGCTTACCCATCCCCATCTTGTTGTTGTTCTTTGCTCTGCTGGGTTGTTCATCTATAAATAGCCGCCCCCTCTTCGGCCATTCCCTTCCTCCCCAGCAGATCAACACCAGTTCTTCTCGTCTCTTGTTCTAGTCCTTGTTTCTTGTTTCGCCAATACAATCTCTTGTTGCCTATCACTCTCGCCTTGTCTTCTCTACTCCGCTTCCGCCTCAGTCGTCGAGATCATAACATGTGGTGTGCGTATGTATGTTTGGGAGTGGAAAAAACACGCTTATTGCATCATTGGGACGAAAAGGGGGCAAGGTGAAGGTGGGACTGACAGCGACCTCGCACGTGACTTCAACTGTCGATTTTCACGTCACTGCGTCGTTGCGGCGAGGTGATGTGGAAATGAGGTTGAAAACGCCACACGACGGCAACAACAAAGATGATGTCAAATCACATTGATGGCGTCATGTCATTGAATACCGATGAGACTAAACTCGTGTGGCACATGACCGCTCACGTCGCAGGGATGTGCCTCATGCACATGCTCCTCACGTGACGAGACACGTCGTCCGCAAGTTTTGATTTCCCTCCATATACTCCGGACTCTGGCGTCGGGGTCTTTGTCTCTCTGACCGTGACCAGACTGCTTACGCGTCTGCTTACGCAATGACAGCAACCGACAGGATAGTTCGCGTCTTCGCACAACAATCTCCGCCCGCGAACGACCCGATTTAGGACCTATCTCAGGGAATAATCGACCACTTTCACACAACACTACGACCGGCGTACAAAAAAAATCACGCATACTGTATATATGTAGAGTTTATGGTATTATGTAGATACAAATCAGAATGGGTCAGCGCAATCGTTCTAGACGCTGTCCGGTATCTGCCTTTTCAGTTTGTTTCCGTCCCCGGAAATTCCCGTCCAGTCACGTGATGCACCGGTGTCAGGGAAGACTTTTCCCTCTGTCGGACCCTGAACCCCTCTTTCTTACTCGATGGAATCATTACCTCTCACCATAGGTTGGCTGCATCTTGGCTTCAGTGCCCTCCTCTTTCACCACCCCCGTGTCGACGGCTCACCGCACCCACTGCCTGCTCCTGCGCCATGGTAAGAGGAGGCTCTTTGAGAGTTTCCCTCAGCTCCTCGTTTGCTTAACAGGCTCTTTTCCGCACAATTCAGTCTGCCACTTTGCGCCTCTTTCGACCGCAGCAACGAGTGCGAACGAGGCCTTTCCGCACCGTGACCATCGACCTTGTCGATGGCAGACTCCCCCTCTTCTATTTCGAACAAATGGGTATCGTCAGCGCCAGTCTTTGGACGGAAGACTCCCTGAGGCTTATTGGCTTCATGCCCCCGAGTGCGAGTCTTCCGCACTACAATTTGTCGCTCTCCCTCCAGACTTTCACGGACGGAGCCTCGATCGACGTCAAAGCGGAAGAAGAACCGGCATATTCCCGAGCAGAAGCTTTCTCGGAGGCCCTTCCGGACACCATTATGAGAGACTTTGGCCTCGAGGAAGATGACGCGACGTGGACCCCCGCCATCGGGTCCATGCCTATGCCCAGCGATCTGACGTCAATGCTGGGCCGACACCGCCAGCGCAGCCTTTTAGTATCTGAAAGCTCTCGTAGAACAGTAATCTCGATCTATCTGACGTGCGCGCTGGACGTAGTGGACCACGACAAAGAACATCTCCTTGTAGGGGAGGAGATTGGAGTTACACTGGTGAAAAGCGTTGATCGCACGGATGAGGGATTGGGAAAAGACGTCGTCCGGTACAATGGCCCGCTCGACTTCGTGGTGGGGCACTTCCCAGGTGACCGGCGCCCCACACAGGACATTGCATCAGACGCTGCACTATGTGTCGTCGAGGCGAAGAAAAGCAAGACCTTTGAGAATGGATACTACCAAGTGCTTGCTCAAGCGAGCACGATCTTATGCCACCGTCGGACCAAGGCCCGCGGACGTGGAGCATACCGCACGTACTTTGCTTATACCGATGGGGAGCGATGGGCGTTTGGATATCTCCGGCCGAGGGGCGATCGCATCCTTGTAAAGAGGTCAGCAATCGTGGTAGGGAAGCTGAAGGGCAAGATCATGGACGTGGAGGGATGCACGCGCGTGTACAATCATCTCATCGCTCTCATTCACCGCGCATACCGATCGACTCCGCGCAACTCCCGCGTGGACTTGTCGGCACTAGACGACAGCGAACAGGAGGAGGTGGACGAGGACAATGGTGAGGGCGACGAGGAGGTGGAGGATCCGGATGTAGATCCGACTGTCGTGGAATCCGTCATTTCGGAGATGGGTCAGATATCGATCTGATCTATTTTGGATGAAGGTGAGCTTAAAAGAGTTCATAATTCCAGTTGAGGGAGATGGACACGTCAACTTCCGTTGACAGCATGGTTGCAAATTCTCTGTCACCATCGTTGAATAAAATAGTACACCATCACTACAACCAAACCGTTCACGACAACCATTATCTCCAACAGCAACACCACCACACGGTTAAGAACGTCAACCATCACTTGACGAACTACAGCCAAGTGGTCAACAACGTGCAGAACCCGCAAAGCGTAGTCAACAACACGCTCCAGCAACAGCAGATACACAACATTTTGAATCAACAACAGGTCATCAACGTTCTCAACGAGGCGACCGAAAACAAGTTGTTAAATCTCAACCTGGATGCCAGGAGCGTTCACCTGACGGCACCGCCTGCCGCAGGAAACAACCGATTGGTTGAAGCGAGACCGCAGTCGCGATTGGCAATCGAAGTCAGGAACGGTCCAATAATCGAAGAGTTGCCGGCAGAAACTGGACTCGTCCCCAGAGGGAGAGGAGCATTGTCGAGGAGAACGAGGGAAAACAGAGTGGTGAGAAGAGCGGAACCTGCTGGATACCGAAGGGCGTTGCGCCAGATCAAAACGTTCCCATAGCCGAGCGAGCGTTGACTAGGCGAACCAGAGGAGATGTGGGCAGGTCGAGATGAAACCTTTCTGGGTTCCAAAAGTGATAAGCTTTTTAATCCTCTTATAACAAATGAACCGATTGGGAAACATATTTCCTCGCTTCTTAAAAGTGGACTTATCGAACTCCAGGATGTCCTCCTCATCGACGGCTACTCATATGGCACGTTGCAACCTTTCCCGCATTCGACTTTTAGCAGCATAGGAACTTTGGGGAATCCATACACCACCGGTTATTTGGACAGTGTTTCCAACCGATTTGGGGAGATTGCCGTGAATTCGTTGACAGCGCAGCCTCCCATCAGCTTAAATACTGAGAATGGCATTTGGGAGGTGCAAACTATCGATGGACGGATTGACTTAGTAAGTCATGTGAAGGGAAGTGAACCTCATTTCTACCTCTATACCGGGTCTCACCGCGATTCCGACGCAGAAATCAGTGTTTGCAAAGGGAAAGGGTAAAGCTTGCGATATCGTACAAAGCACAATGGAGGAGCTGCAAAAAGGCATGATATAGAAGTTGCAGCATTTATGAGCCTTTTGTTTCCTTTGTAGGAGACTCACCGGTGCCTTTTGCCAACCATCGAGTCTGAAGCGTATCACATCGACGCGGGGTGAGGTACTGGTACATCACTCTGGTTGCCGTTTGTCTCGAACCAATCACGGAGAGCTCGCGGATTCCTTTATGGACTTCTTTGAATCCGCTGTAGCAGACCATAGCCTTCGGGAGGACTCTTTGCCGCGGGGAATCCCGTTCGGGAGTGTCGTAAAGCTTCTCGCCGGTGCAGCAAGCGCAGGTCAAAACCGAATTTTGCGGGTTCTTGTCAAGAAGGGCGTCCCATTGACGACACCATGAGCGGCGGTCGTCTTTCTTGCAGCCAAAAATGAGCGGATTGACACGCTTCGCTATCTCTTTTTTGAGCTGAACTTACGGGACCATATGCCTGAGGCTCTGGCCAGGCCAGCATTCGGCAATTCAGTTGAATCCGTCCAGCTGATCTGTTCGGTGGAATGTCTCACTTCTGGCTACGTGGATGTAGATTGTGCTTGGTACGCCCATCGCCAAGACGATAGCATGAAGTATCTTCGCTGGGATCGCATGACTCCGTTACAGATTGCGGCGGAATCTGGCCATTTGGAAGTGCTGCGAGAACTTGTTCGCAGAGGAGCTAATCTGCACCGAGGTCGGATTTCGTCCGGGACCAAGCTACGCTCCAGATCGAGCCGAGGTCTGGGAAGATGACGGGGAGGACGCTTTGATAACGTCCTGCCTTCAAGGACACCGCTTCGTCGTTGAATATCTCATAGAAAAGGGAGCAAACGTTAACTGCTGCAGGAAGGACACGAAGTGCTTCGAGATTCGCGAGAAGGGCAATCCTGCAAATGCCCTGGCAGCCGCTGCTGAAGAAGGTCATGACGGCATATGTCAAATTCTGATTGACGCAGGTGCACAAGTGAACCAGGCGGATGCATGGGCGCTCTGCGTTGCCGCGCAATGGAAGCGGACGGGCATCGTTGAATTTTTGGTGGAGTCTGGCGCGAATCCAAACACAGCTGGACGCCCCACCAGGGGATTACCGTGAGTGTGTGGAAAGCCTGAGGCCCATCTGGATTCTCCAAAGTAACTGGGAATTGCCCCGACTTATTCTCTCACCATACCTACCAGCATTGGAATATGGACCGTTTATGGCTTTCCTCTTTTTCTCGCATGCGAAAACTCCGATGCGTAAAGTATCACCCTTCTGCGGAATCACGGAGCTGATGTGACCGCGGACGCTCTCACTTGTGCCATCAATGCCGGGCTCGACATTTTCAGGGTTCTTGTCAGTTCAGGCCGAACGCCGTTCTCAATGAGCGGTTTGTATGAAGGAAATTCTCCAAAACTTTTTACGCCGAGCCCAAGCCCTTTGGCGGAAGCGATCTCGACCTGAAACTTCATTATATTCGAAGAGCTGTTGGACAAGTATTCGGCGAACCTCTCCTTGGAGGGGCCGAGCGCCCTGTGCGCCGCATTCAAATGGATCACCAATCCATGGTGTGATAAGCATATACGGGAAGAAATCAAAAAGGTTGTCAAGAGACTCTTGGAGGCCGACGAGGTTGCGCTTGACGCGGAGCATGTAATGAGTTTGGACGAGTGTGTAGTCCCGCCTCCTCGGACCCCTATGGAGTTTCTGAAAAGGCCAATCCTCTTGGAAGAGGTATCATGTGTATTACAATTGTTGATCATAGCTTGTAGCTAACTAGCTATTTGTAAATCTCCATGAACTTCATATACATTAGGAAATAAAGGCGTACCTTCTGCCATGAGATGATCATTCTCAGGCACGATCTTGTTATTCTCGCGATGTTATATACATGAGATAGTTATTTGAGCTTCCGTCTTGGCTGTTTCAATAATGATGGAAACGGGCATGCGAAGCCATGGCTCTGATAAAGCTTCTGCCTTAGGGTTGGACTAACGTTTGTCTGGAAACCGGAGACAGGTAACAGCAGCGAGTGGGGTGCGGATAAGACATGTGTGTGGGGTTCCAATATCAATTGTTATTTTGCTAAAGCTATATCGAAATGCCACACTCTGAGCTATGTATAAAATCCGGAAATTACGCCAAGAGGTACTATGATGGTCGACTATCACCTACACTAACTGCCAGGTCTTACATCGACATCACGCCAACAAACAACAAAGCCACGACGGCCGGTCCAACAACCCCCACCCACCTGGGCGCAACCGTCCCCGCACCCGATTTGGCCTTATCCGCCGTACCAGTGTTATTCTTCTCCCCACCCGACGGCCCAGCGTTCGGTGCTCCCCCAGCCGTCCCATTCCCACCACCCAGCACCGCCTTCACAAACCTCCCGGTCTTCGTATCGACAACCGCTCCGGCGGTATAATTAAACTTGACGAGATTCTCATTCCCAAGCGCAGTCTGCATCGCCGAGAAATCCACCGTATCGTTCCCACACGCCCTGCCCGCCGCGTCTCGTCCCGCTCCAATCGCCGCGATGTTGCCCGTGACGATCGCACCGGCGAACGCGCGCACGGATGCACTCGCGCACGGCGCGCCGAGCATCGACACCCCGTGCCCCGCCGCAGGGGAGCGGGTGAACCACAACCGCTCGTTCTTCTCGGCGCCCATGTGCTGGTACAGTTCCTCCGTGTCTGTGTACACGGTCTGGCAGTCCAGCCGGCCTTGTTGGAGGTACACCGGCACCCTGAACACGGCCATGTCGGGGCCCTGGCGGTAGGTAGGGTTCTCGGCGGGGAGAGGCCATTTCGCGCTTTCGAGGGCATGTTTCTGCTGCCAGTTGTACATGTTTGTCGCGTACGGGTATGTCTCGTTGAGTTGGGAGTAGAGGGGTTCGCCGGGGGCGGGGAATTTCCACATCTCGTTGAAGAGGATTTCGGATTGAAGGATGTCGGCATTGGCGGCGCGTTGGGGGAGGGAGAGCGGGTTGGGTGCGCGGCGGATGAGGGGGGATTCTGCGTGGTCGGGAGGGGCCGTGGCGTTTTGTACGTGAAGGGTTTCGAAATCGGCGTCGGTGCAGCGGATCATGCGGTAGAGGTTGGTGAGGAAGTCGACGCGGGAGTCGGTGGGTTTGCCTTCGGCGTCGAACGATCGGCCCTCGGTTAGCGCTTTGGTGACGAGATCCTTGACCGCGGCGTCTTTGTCCTGGTCTTCTCCGGTGCTTGCGGCCTGGAAACAGCGGGAATCGTTGCGCCATAGCATCGCTTCGGCAAAGGCGTCTGGTGATGGAAAGTACTTTGAGCACACAGCGTCGGCGGCACACGCCTTGGCGAGCTCAAACGACCCGGTGTTGCGATCGCGATCGGTGGTTTCGAAGCCGTTGCGGAAATAGGAGATCCCTTCCAGGACGTAGCCGTCGACGGTGTTGGGGAACAGCAACATATGTTTCTGGGTCAAGAAGGTTCCGTAGCTGATGGCATGGAGGATGACTTTGCTGGCGGGGTTGGCTGCGCGAGTAGCGTTGAGTGCAACTTGAAGGGATCGGGCCGCGTTGGCGACCGTAAACTGCTCCATCTTGATGCTCTGGTTGGTTGCGAGGTAGTCAAGGCACGGCTGGACGTTGTCAGGTGTACTTGGGATGCCTTCGGGGCAGGCCAACATGTCCGAGAAACCGGTTCCCGGGTGGTCCCACATGACGATGTCCCATTCTTGCATCAGCTCGACGAAGAGGGGACTGGTGAAGGTGAGGCCAGGTAGGCTGGTGATGGAGGACCCGCCGGGGCCGCCTTGGATGAGCCACCACTGGCCGCGGCTGTTTCCGGACCTGGCGGGCAGGAATTGGATCGCTTGGCGGAGGCCATCGATGCCTGTTGCGCTGTGTAGGCGGCGAAAAGAGTGAGCAATGCGGTCTCGCGGGCGCCAATAGTTCAAATAAGAGAAAGAACTTACGCATCAGGCTGCAAGAGAGCGCAAAGCCCCTGCAGATCTGTGTTAGGCTCCGGGGCGCGCCTAGCCAACTGCGGGAAAATGTTCGGATTGGTCGCATTCGACGGGTTGATGATGCAGTTCTCCCAGGCCACGGATGGATTGTGGATCAGGTGCGGTGGGCCGGCGACAGTAGGATGGGCGCCCGCCGACGGGGTTGGCTCGACCTCCTGAGAAAGGGCTTGACGAGCGTGGAAGATGGCGGCGATCGCCGCGATGTGCTTGAACCGCATGTGATTGGTAGGACTTGCTGAGGTAGGGAGAGAAGTGGGGTGGGTATTGTTTTGCGAGCGAGAGAAGGTACTGAGATGGAGGAGGGAAGTGCTTCCTTCATGCGCCTTTTTATGCTCCGGGACAATTTCTCGGGGGAGATGCGTAGCCTCTACTGGCAGCGAGTGCTGTCCACATCCAACATAGCTGCAGAGCAACCTTCTTTACTGTGGGATTGACTGGCAGAGAGCCGCTGGCCATGAACGCAGGAGCCGCCGACTGTGTTTCTTCCTACTGACTTGGCCTGTCCACATCCAACATAGCTACCGAGCAACCTCCTTTGCTGTGGGATTGACTGGCAGAGAGCCGCTGGCCATGAACGCAGGAGCCGCCGACTGTGTATCTTCCTACTGACTTGGCAGGTCGTTTTCTTTTCATGATGCTTCGGCAACCCGCGGCGGCAGAGGGCGGGTAGCATTGGTATTTCCGGATCCAGATGATGCCGTTGAAGATGGGAACGAAGCTCCATAACTGTGCGGCTTCCAGATCCAATCATCAGGATGGATATTTGCGTGTGCCAAGGGTAAGTTGGGTCGCGCGCGTTCTTGCCACATTGCGCGTTGTGAAGGCGAGCCTCCTCGATTTTACCGATTTGGCTGGTTGTGCTTCAATCCCCCCTCTCCTCTCGCGCACACTGCTGGCTTTCAAATATCGCGGAGGGAAGCATGAAGTGGAGGAGGATAGGGGTTATAGGGCCAGTAGGGGTCCAGATTCCTGACGACGTGAGGCTTTGGAAATATATCACGTCTCCCGTGCTCAACCACCTCCCTCCGCTCTCTCGGAGGCATCCATCTGATTCCACCATCACTGCATCGGCCAGTTGAGTGGGACTGAGTAGGGGAACTGGGGTTGGGGGATGGAGAGGCTTTTCGATGCAAGTTGCAAGTGTAATGAATGGGGTTAGGGTTAGGGGTTGCGAGTTCCTCTCTCTCCTTCGAGGCTTGCGCCTGGATCAATCAATTTAGGGGGAGCCCATCGGACACGAGGAGAAGGGAGACCGCATGGATTCAACTTCACTTCCCTTGGTGGGGGGGCGTGGGAAACAAGATCCTCCCACCAACAACCACCACCCACGCAGCAAGCAATGGCTCCCTCCGCTAAACAACCACCTCCCCCGCAAGCAACATCCCAACTCCTGACTCTCACTCCTACTTCTTCTTCTTCTTCCACAGCCGCCGCATCTCCAGACCCATCACCACCACCAGCACCACACCCTCGGAAGAAGAGACGATTGGACCCATCTTCCACCTCCCTCAGCGACGCTACAACAACGGACGGGGAGTCTTCAAGACACAACAATCAAGCCTCTGGAAACAACGACTTGGGCATCCCCGGATTGCAGGAATTGTACGACTATGGAGAGGTTCAGAGAGAGATTCACGAACGGGCGAGCCAGGAAGGGTTAGGGGGACACTTGCTGAATATTGAGCAAACACCAGTGCCTGATGTTGTGGATGAGGTGCGTGCGAGAGCGGAGAGTGAGGATCCGAGCGATAGCGAGGAGATTGGCCTTGAGAGTTCCTTGTTGCGAGCGGAGCGAGCAGGGGTATCGTTTCGACTATCCGCCTCAACCAACTACCCAACCCAACCATTGAACCGTTCGTCGCGGAGACATTCCTCTCACTCTCAATGTCTGCGGTTTTTGTTTTGTAGGTTGAGGCAGTTGACTCTGAGGAACCCGAACCCAGCGCATCACAATCCGCTGACAGCGACGTCGAGATTGCCAGCTACAGGAGCGCCGTCGTAGGCATCCGCTATTATCGGGGCATGGTGGGCAACCACGAAAGCGTCATCCTCGAGCGGGACCCTGGAAACCCTTACGACGCGAACGCTATTCGGGTCCTCAACATCGGCAGAGTACAGGTTGGCCATATCCCTCGTGACCAGGCCGCCGCTCTCGCGCGTTTCATGGATAGGGGCGACATTCGCGTAGAGGGTACCGTGCCCAGCGGGGATCGCGTGTACAAACTGTCCTTGGACTTGGAAGTTTATGGCTCCGCTGCGGTACGCTCACATGTACTGGATGTCCTCGCGCCCTACCTGACCGCCGACAAGAAGGGTGGTGGTCCAAAGAAGCCGGTTCCCCTAGGCCCGCCCGTCGATCTCGCTCTGCAGCAACTCGTTCGCGAGGGCATCAAAACGGATCCCAGCCAGTCACGGAGGATGTTGGACGATCTCTGTCGTAAGGGCAAGGAACTCTCGGAGATGCCTCTTCATCCGCAAGCGCCGTCGGCTCTGCGCACCAAGTTGCACCCGTATCAACTCCAGGGACTTGCCTGGATGGTCAAAAGCGAGCACCCGCAGTTACCGACTGAAGCTGATAACGCAAACACCAAAGAGGACCTGCCTCAGAAACAGTTCTGGATGGTGCAGCGGGATGAGAAGGTGAGCCTCGCACTGCAACATCGCTAGCCAGGTAAGGATCAGTGTGAAGGACTCATCATCTGCGTTCTCTATAGGGACTCTTTTACCTCAACGTGGCCACCGACAGCCCCGTGCGAGCTCCGCCGCAACTATGTCGCGGTGGCATTCTGGCGGACGATATGGGTCTCGGCAAAACTCTAACCTCGATTGCCCTCATCCTCAGCGACCCCACTGGCGCGCCCCTCATCCCACCCCCCGTCCCCGACGTAAAGTCAAAGTTCGGAAAGCAAACGCTCATAGTGGCTCCACTCTCCGTCATCTACAACTGGTGCACGCAGATCCACACGCACGTGCGCGACGGCGAGCTTTCCGTCTACGTTTATCACGGAAACGACAGGAACGTCACAGCTGCTGCTTTGAGAAAGCACGACGTGGTCGTCACGACATATCAGACATTGGCGTTGGAACCGAATGGAGGGCAGTTGAGTCAATCGGCCAAAGCGAAGGGCAAACAGCGCGCGAGGGGGCAGGATGACTTGCCGGAGTATACTGGGGTTTTGCATTCTATCAAGTGGCGGCGGGTCATTCTGGATGAGGTTTGTTCTTGCAGGTCTCACTGGATATCGCACGCAAACCTGCGAATGTATGTACTGATATGACGCCAACGACACCCATAGGGCCACCTCATCCGCAACCGCAAAACCCAAGTATCCATAGCCTGCGCAGCCCTTCACTCCGAACGCCGCTGGATCCTCTCCGGCACCCCCATCGTCAACGAAATCGACGACCTCTACGGCATGGTCCGCTTCCTTAAAGTCGAGCCCTTCGACGACCACCAATGGTGGAATCGCTGCTTTAAACGGCCCCTCAGCAGGGGTTTGGAGGATGGGTTTCAGCGGCTGCGCGTGCTGATGCAGGAGATTTGTTTGAGGAGGACGAAGAGTATGAAGATTGAGGGGGAGCCAATTGTGATGTTGCCACCGGCGAAGGTCTTTATGTTCAAGTGTAAATTCGAGAAGGAGGAGCAGGAGGTGTATGATGAGGTTGCGGGGGAGAGTAAGAGACTTGTGGCGCGGTTTGCGAAGGAGGGCACTTTGGTAATTTTTCCCCTTCCCCCTCGCTGAAGCTGCGTTCTTGATGTTCTGACTGATACGCGTCGCTGTAGGGTAAGAACTCCGCCCAAATGCTCGTCTTCCTAACCCGTCTCCGTCAACTCTGCGACAACATGTCCCTCTGTCCTCAACACTTCCTCGACGACATGCGTTCAGGGCGGCTATCCAAGGAAGCTGCAGGCGTGCCCGAGCTGGATCTCAACGATGAAAATATTCAGAAGCTTCTTCAGAAACTTGTCGATGCGGATGAGAATGGCGTGGAATGTCCGATCTGTCTGGAGTCGCTTAAGGGGCCCGTCATCACCCCTTGCACGCACGTGTTCTGTAGGGAGTGTATCCAGACTGTTATCAAGGTATGTTGTGAACGTGCCAGTCTCTCGTGCGTTGTACTTACTTGCAACGTTTTCGCGGGCAGACAAAACCAACATGCCCAATGTGCCGCAACGACCTCCAACACAAACCTCTCCTCTCCCGGCCCAAACCCACCATCACAGAAGACACCGGCTCCCAACCCCTCCCCCGCGCACCCGTCTCAACATCCACCCTCCCCTACGAATCCACCAAAATCCGGCACCTAATCTCCTTCCTCAAAACACAACCCGCCGACGACAAGGCCCTCGTTTTCTCGCAGTTTACGTCCATGCTCGATATGGTGGAGCCGTTTTTGGAACGATAGGGGATCTCGTTTGTGCGGTTTGATGGGAAGATGGGGTTGAAGGAGCGGGGGGAGGTTTTGAGTGCTTTCTCCGGGGTGGTGATGAAAGAGGGGACGGGGAAGGGGAAGAAGGGAAAAGGGAAGGGAAAGAAAGCTGCGGGGGTGAACGGAGATGCGGAGGTGGATGCCCCGCCGAGGGTGATGCTTATTTCGTTGAAGTCGGGGTCTTTGGGATTGGTGAGTAGAATGCCCGCGATCCTCATTCACCAATGGGCGTCGTTCTAACCTGTTTCTAAACCAACTCACCAGAACCTAACATCAGCCAACCGCGTCTACGTCCTCGACCCCCACTGGAACAGCTCCGTGCAAACCCAAGCCATCGACCGCGTCTACCGTCTCGGGCAAGTCAAACCCGTCACCGTCGTCCAGCTCATCGTCGCGGGAACAATCGAGGAGCGTATCCTGGAGATTCAGGCGAAGAAGGATCGTTTGGTGGAGGATGCGTTTCGGGGGTTTAAGCAAGGGGGTGGGAGGGTGGAGGATGCAAGTAGTAGGAGAGCGAGGGTTGAGAGTGATTTGAGGGTTATTTTCGGGGTTTAGTGGGCGTCGCACATCGCACAGTGTTCTTTACACTTCTATATGTACTTTCTCTCTACTTTTCTGAACAAAGCGAACCTGTTGCTGGCTGTCCAGGTGCGACCAAAATGCTGCCATGCCATCGTTATTGAGACAAGCACCCTCGTGCGTCTATCGGCATGTTGTGATAAGCGAGCCGACGCGTTTTGGTGCTTACCTCGCGCGTTTACGCAACTCCGACGCCTGCCAGAGAGATATCCCATCTTCGATTTTGGCAAAGCCTTGTCTGCGTCGAAGCGTCTGTTGGGCTCCTCTTCGGGGGGGCGATGACCGCGGGGAACAATCGGAATGACGGGAACGAGCTGTCGGTCCATCCCCGAGCGCGTTTTGCTTACGGCTCGCGCAAGTTTGAAACGCGTGACGCGAACTCCGCTCGTTCTTCACAGCCATCCCGGCAGAAAGTGAGCAAATGCAATCCCGGAGACTTCGGCCCCAAACTGGTCACGGACGTCGCGCAGGGCGGAAGTGTTCTGAGAACTGGAATGTTGGAGGGGCGACCGGAGAGTGGTGTGAGGTTGACGAAGGATGGGCCTCGGGGTGGGGTTTGCCCACTTCTTGAAGAACGGAGGATGACGTGTGGTCGGAGGGTGTCAAAATGGACTTGCTTGTTTTTGCATCCCGTTTGTTGTCCTCTTTTCTTAACCTCCATCTGCTCTGGAGAGGGTGGCGGGTTTTCAAGAGGCACAGGGGCTCGCAAAGCGGTTCCTTCCGAGTGGAAAGCCACATTTGAAGGCGTCCGTGGAGAGGGACCAACCACCCTGATTCCCACACATGTCATCAGGTTTCCTCCAACCCACTGGTAACCGCCCATAGAGTAAGCGGTCGAACAATTTGAACACACTCTGTCGCTCCATCTCTCGGCATACACTGAAAGGAAGTGAGCCCATAACCGCACGCTGGATCCGCAACAGCTCAAAGACTACTGGCGCACGGGCCATCATTTTAGGGTTGAGGAACTTACGCAAGACAAAGGAGGCAGGCCGCTATTGCAAAAGTATAAGCGCATCTATGCAATGAAACGAGACCGAACAGGTCTCCGCCGCTAAGTATGTCACAGTGACAGAGAGCTCAGTCAAGATCTACTTCGCGCCACCGCATGCCCTGCTTAGTGCGACCTGGATTAATTCTAATATCCTCGACTCGCTGATCCATCTTCTGATGGTGAACATCTGTTACCGGAGATGGATAGGATGAAATTCAGTTATGCAGGGCCCAATGCTCGGAAGGCGCAGATTCTCTCTGGCATACCATGCCGCGCCGTCTCGTGGTTGTGCGCCACGCCTCCTATGGCTCTGGTCTCATCGTGGCGCTGTCATTTATATTCGTCAAAAGGGATGTTAAGCTCTCCTTTGAGAGGCAACGCATTCCTTTAGAAGGAGGAGCTGAGGAACACAAGGGTCTCGCTGGGCCTCGCTTTGTTAAGCTAGGCGCCGGATTCCCAAGTCTGACGCGCGAGGAGTTGGGGAACTTTCCCCCGACGCGTTTTGTGCTTATGTAACGCGTCCCGTTCGACGTCGCGTCCGAGTGCGGCAGAGGACGGACGGACAGTGTGCTCCGGACAAGGACCGCTGTCCTCTAGATCTTTACGGATTCGCGAAGAGGCATTCGACTGGGTGAAGGAATTACTTGGCAGGGAGTACTTACCAAATCCCTTATGTGCTGTCAACACTTCTTGCCTACGCACTCTTGAACGTTACAAACAGCTTCGCCGCCCTCCCCGAAGGGCACTCCTCCCCACTCCCTCGACACAGAAATCTTCAACGACGTATTTGACAAAATGATGGTCGCTGAGGGTATCCAAAGAACACGCACAATCGTAACATCACCCGCTTGTCAATGCTTCCCAAACGAGGAATTTGAGCCTGGCGGTTTCAATCGCTGGGCTCGCATTCCGTGTCGGGAGGGAGTGACGCGACGCTGCGCGGGAAGATGTTGGATGGACGGATACACGGGTCGTTTGAATGTCATAGCTTGTTTGGATGAGCCGATATGAGTATGCGAGGTTGGCGAGACGTGGATCCGCGGGGAGCACATTTCAGTAAAGGTTGGCTCCCAACACATTTACACTATGCGCGAAACGGGAGAAATGGCTCCGAAATTGGCACGCAGTAGGTGTTGGTTGATGTGAGATATCATTATGAGATCCGGAAGATGACGACCCCGGACTACCCGTTGTCAAGGTGGCGAGCAAGCCGGACGGCATCGCAGGTTTATATATAAATCGTGGGCACCGCCTTCGAGAGACGGCCCGCACACCATGTCGTTGATAACGATACCAGTGCGCTAAATGAATATATGCCGTGGGGCCGTCCGTGTGCGATGATGACAGTTCTGTGATGCCGAGCGATTTCATCTCAGCCTCGTATTTGCGATTGAATAATAAATAGATGTATGTACATGTACAAGTAGGATTAGCGTGTCAGAAAGATATGACAAACTTGCAGCCCCAATAAAAATCTATATATATGTGTGTGTCGTGGCTCCGTCATCTGCTTGAAAGCTCTGCCAGCAGCAGCTTCTTTAGAACAGGCCGTAATGTCTCACCATCCCCCGCCGTCGGGCATTTCATCTGCTGAAACGCCAACTCCGTCAACACCTTCGTAACCGTCGCTGGGCTCAAGCTATAATCCGGTACACCCGCCAGATCCTCTTCGGCGGGCCTTACGCCAATGTACCGCTCCGCAAGATCCCGAATCTGCTGCCGTGTGCAGTGGTCGAGGGGGATCCTGAAATCGATGCGCCCGTCGCGGAGCAGGGCCGGGTCTAGCTTCTCGACGTGGTTGGTGGTCATGAGCACGATGATGCCTTCGGGACTGTTGATGCCGTCGAGGAAGTTGAGGAGGGTGGAGAGGGTTGGGCCTTGGCGGTTGAGGGGCGGCTTCTTCTTTTCCGACTTCTGTTTGGCTGATTTCTTCTTCCTTGATACTGGTTCCGATGCTGCATCCGATGCGCCGCTTCCATCGCTTTTCAAGGCGTCCGGTTCCGTGGTCTCCACCCCCGATGATCGCTTGTGCACCACGGTGCCCATGCAGTCGACGTCTTCGAAGAGAACAATGGACTTGCTGGGGATGGTCCGTAGAAGAGTTTCCATGTTGATGTCGGATTTGAAGCGGGAAAGTTTTACGTTGTAAATGTCGTACTGTGTTTTGCTGGCGATGGCTTTGACTAGTGATGTTTTGCCCGTTCCCGGAGGTCCGTAGAACAGGTAGCCGCGTTTCCAGCATTTTCCAAGCTGCAGCGAAAATACCGATGCATGTTAAAACCGAGAACATCGCGGAAGCACGGGGAACTCATGTGGCTGACATACCTTGTTGTGCAGTTCTCGACTTGCAAGAAATGTATCAATGTCATTACCTAGATCTTCCTCAAAATGATCTTTCAAGATGATGTTGGAAAGCGACGTCCTGCAGTGGAAGTCATTCGAAATCCAATGCAGCTTGTCGTCGTTGTTGTACTGACTTGTGAGCGTAAAAATCTTCTGACCGCTCTGTACCTTCCTCGTATACGCCTTGAACGCCCGCACCACGCCTTGCAGAAACGGGTCCATCTCTGTCGCCAGGTCGTGATCTATGCTCAGCTCAAATGCGTCTTTAACAAGCTTCCCGGCGTCGTCCTCTGAGTGATTGTATCGTCCAGAGATGAGAATCCCTTTGTGATCTATGGTGAAATCGGCAGTGGGAATCAAGACACATTCGTCCACATCCTCGCCCTCGCCGCCATAGAAATCCTTCGCCACGACTTTGTACGAGTCGGCGTAGCCCTTGATGGCGTTGTTCTTTCGCAGATACCAGGCAAGCGCAAAGTACAGCTTGTTTGGGACCCCGTCTCTATACGAATCCTCGCTCGCTTCGCTGACCGGTTGTTGGCTTTCGATCACGTAGGTGATTTGCGGTTTGTTCAACTGCGCTCGCCGACACCACTGTTGTATGAACGCAATGTACTGGGCGGAGTTGAAAAGTTTGGATAGCAGGAACGTGAAGAGTGAGAAGAGGAGGGCGTCTAGTAGCGGATGCCCGGTGCGCACATAGCGCAGAGCTTCCATTTGGAAGACTCCAGATATATTTGGCATGTCGTGGTGATGGGCGTCCATTGCGGTTGTTGTCGGGGAGGTTCCCAGGTGTAGTTTGTAGGATTCAGGAACGGGGTGCTGGAAGAAGAGTGACCAGCTCGGGCAAACAGCCTTTATAGGCCCACTTACCTGGTGATATCTGCACGTTCACTCTCCTTCCGCTGTAGTATGTATCCGATAGTGGCTTTGGATGAGCCTGTGGTGGTGGGGCGGGGTGGATCAGCCTGAGTGGGGAAGGCGATCGTCGGCGGCTCGAGTGGGACTGCGGGGCAGCAACTGGGGCCCCTGCACCTGGCACGCATACTACGCATACGACGCATACTACGTCAGGTGCGTCACCCACCTTGTGCGAGTACGTCGTATACCGAGTTGCGACGAATGCTGGGCAGCCTGAAGATTCCACGCCAGATGCAGAGACAGAAGGAAAAAAGTGGTTGCCTTTGTGGTCTCTCAACGATCGGGGGTTAACATTTTGGCGAATGACAGAATTCGACAGCGCGTTCATCAGGCACTTGGAGCTCCAGGTAGCAAAAGGAAGTAAAGCCACGTTTCGCCCCCTATCCCCTCTCCTCTCACTCCCCTGCAGGAGCGTCGAAGGGTGGGATTGCTCCACCTGCGGGATACTGCAAGGGTTTGAGGTTACCCTGTTATGTGGCAGACTTGGTCTGTTCGACTTGCCTGTTTGAATCGCGCTTCTCCCAAGCAGATGTGACCCAATCGCAACCACATCGGGCTCCGTTCAACATGGGAAAAGGCAATGGGATATTGTGCAGCAACAAAAACAGCAGCTGATCGAAGATTGCAAGGATTCCTGCCAGGGTTCTGTTTTCTTCGAGAAACATTACCCGTTCCTTGGCTCGTCCGCTCAACATCCTCTATGACCCGGGAGTCGATGGACTTTTACACCGACAGTCCAATGCCCAATCATCTGTGACTGCTCGCCCGATAGACGGCTGCTTGATTGACAATGGGTTTGCAAAGTGCAGTCAGATGTGCGTAGGGTTGTAGGGTCGTAGGGTCAGATTGTTGGCTCATGGAGTTGCTGGAACAATTCAACGTGGGCAAGGAGGCTGAGGAGGGAGCACGGGGGTGGGAAAGGAATGGAGATATAATGTGTTGTTTTTGCGGTTCGCCAGAGGGTTCTATGGCCCGATGGTCTAAGGCGCCCCTTGAGGATGAGAAGCGCTTCACACGCTTTCTTCACACGCTTGAGGATGATGGGGCACAGGTATATGGGTATAGGTAAAGAACAAAGATCAGCATCAGGTATTTAGCTATTCCCACCCGCGATGGCACACGGACCTGCGTGCATCGCAAGATATGCGACATTACTTCTTGTATGTTGTAATCGAATGGATGTTGTAATCGAATGGTGTACATCAAAACATACCATCACTTTCATCATCCAAATTCTGCCTGCCTACCTACGAAAATACAATCCTAACACCAGAACAACTATACAAACAGTCTACAGTTGGAGGTTCTCACGTCCCTCGCAGCCCTCGCAACCTCAATAGGCGGGATTGTCCGATCTACCTTCTCTTCGGCCGCCGCGTATTCCCTCGCCCTCCTGCCGCATCCGCCTACGCTGGAGCTCGCGGAACATATCGGCGAAGTACTTCCCGTCAGGGCTCAGTGCGTTGTACTCCCCTGCCGCAAATCCATGAGCCACGCCGACAGCTCTAGTGCCACTTCCAGCTTCAGATACAACGGTCGTCCAACGCTACTGTGGATGATGATTTTGGATTGGCACATTGCAGGGCGGATGACTTCCATGTATTCCCATCACAGCACTGGGATGACACCCAGAGAATCGATGACGAGCGCCATGCCTTTCGGAGGAACAGGTTGTCGAGCTGCGATGGCCATGTGATGCATGAGCGTCAGGAAGCTTGGACGGCGTTCGTTATTCTCGAACATGTTTACGTAGAAGTGGTTGAGCATATCGTAGTGCGCCGAGTTGTACTGTACAGTAGCACTGATAAGCGAGTGGGGAAATCTCTGACATCACTATCGCGGTAGTCCATGGGCGTGTTACCCGGTCGGTTTGCATAATGATCGACCGAAGCAGAGGAATATCATCAGGCCCTTGCCCTTGCCCTTCCTGACATCTTTTGTGAACCTCATGAAGTCATTGATCCACCGAACGACATCCGTCCGTCCCTGGTCCTTCCCGCGTTCTCGATACGACCGAGACGCTTCTCATGGTCCCGAGAGTCGCCTTGAAGGTCCTCTCGCATGAGGAACGGCGGCTTCAGATGGTAGATCCTGTCCTTCGAGGAACCCTCCGACCTCACACAACGGCGGCAATTTCGTCGTCCTCCAAGAGGGGAATCAGGTAAGAACTTACGACTTTGGCGTCGTCCAATGTATGTTGTAATTGCACCACCTCCTCGGCTTCCTCCACGACCGCCTTCTCGACCCCCTTCTCGACTTCGGTCTCGGTCTCGGTCTCGGTCTCGGGCACGGTAAATGGTCTGGTTAACCATCGTAAAGCAGAGGTGAGAGACATTCTGACTTGCCGATGCTGATGCCTACTGTGCGCTGTGACGAAGAGTTGGAATCTACGGTCGTTCGCGAGTACAGTACATACACGGCGATGATGACAAATCCCTAAGCGATGACGACAATTCGCGGAGTTGAGAACGTCGACCATAAAGGTCCATGGCTTCGGATTCCCCATAAAACAAAGAAGTGCAGAGAGCAAGCTGCATCCCTCTACAGGACCTCTACGAATGACCACCCCATGGCGCCATCATTTGTGAAGTCCTCGCCCAAAAGGAGAATTTCGATAGTTGCTCTTTTCGGAATCGGATCGGGGTCAAAGCGATCTTCCCCAAGTTATTCGCAAACCAGATGCCCTTCTTCACGACAAGCGGATGTGCCCGGGACGCTGAATCCCGAACGCGGGAAAATCTTGGCAGCCAAGCCGCTCGTCACAGAAACAGGTCTTGTCGACCTCGCACAGAGCTCGACAATCAGCATCTCCGCGTAGGATGAGTACACCGTGGAAGGTCACACTCGACGTCCTCAGGACGGCATCCAGTGACGGATGTAGCATCGAAACGCCCTGCGCTCTCGATCAGACATGTCCGCGGTTCTCCGCAGGCGTGGTTCTCCACTCAGCCGGGGTCAAAGCGTCCTATTCCTACCCATCGACGCCAAAAACTCCTTGGCTGCGTGCATACTTGTCGGACACTCATCGCTAGGGAGTGCTTTTTCCAGCCATTGCTTTTACCGCCTAATGTAATCTCCTGCTCCCTCTGCATCTCCTGTTCCCTCTGCATCTCCCTCTGCCTCTGCCTCTCCCTCTCCTATTCCCTCTGCCACTCCCGCTCCCTCTGCCTCTCCTGTTCCCGGGCGGGTAGATTTCTCCGACGGCCTTCCCGCCGTTCCAGTGAAGCATGCTCTTTGGGGAGTATACCTCCTCAATTGGGCCCTTAATGCTGATGAACTCCCGAAAGGTATGAAGGTCACCGCATGATTCCCGCAATCCTCCCCAGACTCCGAAATTGGAAAAACCGCGGTAAGCTGCTATGTCAATTTCAGCCCATTCAATCGCTGGTCAATTTTTCCCGTTGGCAATTCAGATTTGCGGGTGAATTTCGGACGCCTGCTATCATCGCAATGCCCATCGGTAAGGGTATAGCGCAGCCCCATTGAGGCACCCAGCCGAGTTCGCCATCCCCTCGTCCAAGATCTGCAGTGTGCGTCGACCACTGCCGGACATTGACGCCTACGTGTTCGACAATATCCATCCCCGGGCTCCTGGGTACGGCGGACAGAAGCCGGAGGATGGAAACTGCAAACCCGCCGCGGTACGAAGCCGGTCCATTTGCGCCCACCGCGAAGATCCGTCGTGCGTCTTTCCTGGATCCCGCCCGTTCAGGTCAACAGTGCTCGGGATGTCTATTCTTGAGCAACGCTGTTTAGGCTCGGGAATTCATCGTCTGTGGCGGAGCCGTATTGTAGTCGTTGTCCCAATCTTCTTCCATATCGAGGACTGTTGTGTCGTGCGATGCGCCGTCCCTCGGTAGAAGTGCACGGCTCACTCTTCTTGCACGGTTGGTCTCACTCCAGAGCCGCTGTATCATCGTCGCGAACCCAAAGGAGCTCCGGGGTTGTGCAAGAGGCCCAATGTGACACAGCCCTTTTTCGAGATGTGATCCCCGGGGTAGTCCCATGTACTGACGAAGACCGTAGTCACCCCCGGCACTCCCACTGCGGCACCGATCAGTGGAGCTGCCAATTCCACTCCTCTTTGTCGCGAAGAGGTCAGTCAAAACCCGCGGTCCTCTCAATCTTCCAAAACCATTTGCACTCGGGTAGTTCTGAAGCGACCGAGCGCTCCTCCAGTTGTCACGCTGGTTTCATCCGCTCCTTCTTTTCGCAGGGCGGGGCACTTTCAATCCTTGGGTTGACCGCTGGCTCCCAGTTTGAGGTACTTTTCATCCCGGGACGACAAGCGCCATCATCTGGGGGACATTATGATGTTTTGAGATCCACCCAGCAGTGGCCACAGTTTGACCGTGCCGCCTTTACAATCGCATATAACCCGCCACCCGCAAAGACTTGGAGTATTTTTCGCATCCGGAAGACTTGAAGCACCCGCGGGTCAGTGGTGCCCGATATGCATCGTCGAATTTTTTTCGATAAGTGATCTCCAAATCGATGTCAGCTCGGTACGCTAGCCTAATCTGGCATGTGACCATCCAGATCGGCACGGAAGACACCGACCAGCCGAAAAGCTTTATCCGTAAAGAGCTCGCGTGCCTGAACCTGGAGGCGTCCATTCTCTCAACAGGCGAAGCGCTTCTGCTCCTTGAGCTGTCTTTCCAGTCTAGCGGTTTATCTTTGGCCCCCGGCGCAAAAGTCCAATCGGGAAGGCTTCCCAATCCACGTTGTCTGATCTTCCCAGTATTGACCCGGTCCCTCTTTTCGCGGTGGGTGTAGCGCTTCTCCTCCTCGAGCTGTTTTTCAGTCTTGGGTGAGAGCCACGCCACAGCCTTCGATCGATCCTCTACGCCATGCCTACCTTTTTCACCGTGGGGCCGGGCGGTGACAGAGACGCATGGCATTGGCAGGAGCACTAGCTGGAGCCGGGAGCTCCTTTTCACTTGCACGACACATCAAAGTATCCCGAAAGCCGAAATTCAAAAGATTGCCTGAAACCGCCACTGGGCTGGCGTACAGCAAACGTGTCTCCAAACCATTTCCCGCGGATGTCCGGGCCGAGAACGTTGCTCACATTGCACCCCCCGCGGGCCCTGAGTCGCATAGTGTGCTAGTCGCAAACCCGGCATGAATGTACGCAGATCCGTTGGTCGTCAATGACCTGCCTATTCTGCCAAACAGACCAAAAACCCTGCGGCAATCCAAGTCCGGTAGATGCAAATCAAGTCGACCACATCAATATTCCGGACCTCCGGCGAAACATTGCTCCATCCTTCATTTCATGCCGTGGCCCTTCGACGCACAACTCTCGCAGAACCTCAGGCGGTATGCAAGCAAATGTAAGCGGTCTTTCGAGCTATGCCATGAATAGCAATCCGATACACATACTGTAACCTCTGCTCACGCGGCCAGTCGGGGAATTGGAGAGCAACGCCTTTTGCTGCAAGATCCAAAGCGTGGACGTCCATGCGGCCTGCATGCTTCCCCATGGCTCCCTCCATTTCCGTCTTCTAATGAATGAACAGAGGGACCAGAGAGTTAGCCTATCGACCGTGAGAAAGGGCAGGTAACAGGTCGCTGTCGAAGCACGATTTCTTGGGATGGAGCAAGTTCCACCAAAATTGTGCACCTGGATAGCTTACATAGTTCCGAGTCCGCACCAATGCGCGCTCCTCTTCTAGACACTCCTCGCACGTAACAAACTCGCTGTTGTTGGGTATAGGGGTTTGGCATTTTGTACAAACGCAAGTCTCTCTCAGTATATCGCGTCAGGCTGCTTGCCAGGCCTCTCTTTTTGTGGCTTCTTTCTTGTAGGAATCGGGGCTTTCGAAAAAATATGTGGGAGGGGTTTTTTTCCATCTCAAGTGTGGGTTCCAGAAGTTGCGCTACGGTTGGGAGGGACCACGGGTTTGCCAGGGATGGCTGCAATGGCGTCGAGATAGGCTTTTGCACGCCCACACTTGTTGCAAGCCGCACGGGATGTCTTAACGCCACCGACAATGCCCGTCCTCCAGGCAGCGGACGTGGTGGCCCCACACACGACGCAGGCGCCTCCGGGTGCAAGGCACAAATAGTTTCGATCGTCTTTGCCCCCGCCCGCACCAGCACCAGAGCGGGTGGACGTGAGTGGGGCTTTGGGCATGTTTGGTGTTGTTGTTGTGGTTGCGGGTTGTCGGGGTTGTTCTTGTGGCTTCTTGTGTAGGCGTGTGTGTGCTTCTCGGCGTGTGCTGAGGTTGGAAGAAGAGAGCGCGAGAAAGAGGTCTCGGAGGTCTCAAGAGGTCTCAAATGCACGTGAGTGACCAATATTGATGTCAATTAGACGGGGGGCACGGCTTTTTGCGAGGTGACTGTATAAGAGCAAAAAAGATATATGCGGCTTGCTACGTACCATTTCGGCTCACCGTAGCACCCGCGGGTGCGTTCGCTACTTGGCCCTCTCGTTCTGGCGCTTGTACCTCTGCTCTTTCCTTCTGCTCGTGTCCTGTGTGAGTTGCAGCTGTACGCTGCTGTTATGCTTCGGATGCTGACACCGGCGCTATAGTGTCGTTTCGTTGCTCTCGATCCATCAAATCGACCCCAGCTGGGTGCGCTTGCTGCTCCAGTATCGTTCCCCATAATCCACCTGATGGCAGATGCCGGCCAGCGTACATTCTTCCCCCACACCTGCTTCCGGCAAATAAGGGAGACAAGCCCCACACCATCCGTCGGCAAACACCACCACAACCCAACCCAATACGTGTCCCCAGGAAATTCCCACAATCCAGTCCCCGGGTTGCAGGAAGTTCCGTGAACGCCGCGGTTTCGTATTTGGATAGCGTTTGTTGGGTGTGCAGGGGTATGGCCGAGGATGGTATGAGTATAGTGTCCGGAACCCATCTGCGAACGCGAAGAGGGGAGTGCATGTGCTCCTTTTGCTCGTTTTGGGATGCAAGTAGAAGGTATCCCCAGCCGCTTGCATCCATTGTTTCGAAATTGCGAAACTCGTTCAATGGGCAGAGTCTCCTGCACCCCTGGGTCCGTCCATGCCAGATTGCTCCAACCCTGGTCTGTCCGGCTTTGAATATCCTGGTCCTGCGTTGTCCCTGACCGGCGCCCATGTCTCTCGTCTCATCATGCGTGTTCGCCGACCTGGTATCTTTCTCTCGCTGGTCTCCGCACGTAGGCTGCGGTTCGCTATTGTTGTAGGGGGGTTACTGATGTTTTCGGTGATGGGATTTGGCAATGGGGGTTTCAGGGCGAGGGTTGGAAAGCGGAGTGCATGCACGACAAACGCGTCAGAACCCTCCTCTCCATCCCTCTCTCTCCGAGACGGCAAACCGCGAAGCAATACTCTTGTCCGTATGAAGCTCATCTAGCGCATGCACCAAACACCCGCGACGTCGAAAGAGGGAATGCAGTGATTAATCCAGAAATGAAATGAAACAGGAAGGAATCGTATATCTACCCACTGTCCAGATGGGTGTGATTAACGGCAGTGGGTGCGAATGAACAAAACGGGAGCGGGTTGCGGTTAACAATCCCTGATATCTATTGAAATTTCTCTCAAACCCTACTTCCTATCTCCCTACTTCCCCGCCTCAGCCGCCCCCTGCGTATCGGGAAAATACCACGCACTAACCGCAATAATCAGATACATACTAATCAGCAAGTTCCCCTCCAAAAAATTGCTCTTCCCATCCTGTATCAGATAATTCACCAGCAACACGCTCACAAGTAATATAATCACTTGGAACCCGTCGAAGAATAATGTCATCTCCTCGATGCCCATGATCCAGCCGAGGATGACGATGAGGGGGATGATGAGGAGGGCGACTTGGAGACTGCTGCCGATGGCGACGCCGATGGCGAGGTCCATTTTGTCTTTTATGGCTACCGTTATTGAGGTTACGTGTTCTGCGGCCTGTACAAAGAAGCCGAGGTTAGTTTCTAATGGACGCGGATGAGCAGAGTACGAGGGGTGATATCTGATACGTACGTTACCGACGATGGGCAAGAGGATGAGACCAACAAAGTATCGGCTGATACCCGTGGACGTGCACACTTCATCGATAGCGTCGACAAGGAACTCGGCGCAGAAGGCTACAGCGACTGTCACGACGGTCAGCAGGATGACGGAGCCGGCGACGGTCAACTGGGGGGCGTCCTCCTCGTCGTCATCGTCAGCGTTGTCATTGGCCTCTCCTTCACGTGTCACCACCCCATTATCAGGCTGCTCTTTCTCAGCGGCCTCCGGCGCATCCCGCGCAGGTCCGGCGCGAACGTTCGGGTTAGCGGACGCGACCGAGGACGGGATCAAATTGGTCAACTGTTCTACGGAGTGGATTTCGTGTCGTTTGGGCACCTTCTGGCTCGGCATCTGGAACAGCAGGGCGTGTGTTTTGAGTTGAAACAAGAGGTAGCTGGCGTACACGAGCAGCAAGATGACCGCGGTAGCGTGGCTGAGGTTGACGATACCGCTGTTAACGACGTTCGGAGCCGCCGAGGTCGCCGTCATGTGGAACGCTGTGGGGATGATGAGTGCCGCGACGGCGAGCGCGAGGAGCGAAGAGGCGGACTGCGCGACGGTGGTGTTGAAATACTGTTCGTAGCGGTTGAAGCCGCCGAGAAGGAAGGAGCAGCCGAGCACGAGCAGGAGGTTCGAGAGAATGGAGCCGACCATTGAGGTTTGCACGACGATGACTTCGCGTTTGGCGAGGGCGATGACGGCCACGATCAACTCGACGGCTAAATGTGGTGATGACGCGCCAACTTGATATCAGCTTTCCCGCTGGAGTGCTCCGCGTCAGCGATGTGGATGAAGCAATTTCTCTTACCGTTTCCGAAGGTGGCGTTCAGGAGCCCGCCGAACACTTCGCCTGTCCTGCCCGCGAGCTCTTCGGTGGCGAAGCAAAGTAAACCAGCGAGAGGGATGATGGCGATAAAGTTGACGACGAAAATGATGGTGGGGCTAACGCTCGTGAAATGCAACGCAATCCCGACAGGGACAAGCACGAGCAGGATGTTGAGGTAGGAGTTGAACAGGGCGATTTTCATCTGGCCTAGAATGGAATGTTCTACGGGCGGCTGGTGCGTCTTAGTTTTTGACCCGCCGATATCCTGCGATCGGCGGGCAGCGTCGCCCGCAGTATCGGTCGAGTCGAGGTCGATGACGGTATCTGCGCCGTGGGTAGGCGCATGGTTAGCGTTTGAGGGAGTGGTGTTGGTAGTGGTAGGAGAGTTTGAGGAAAAGACGGTGTTGGGTGAGGAGCGGGAGGAACGGAAAGAAGCGCGGAGAGGGTTGATGAAGCTCTTTCCCAGCTCTGTCTGGGCTCTGCCGCGGACTCTGTGCATGTCTGGAGTGATTGATCAGTAGTAAGTAGGTGGGGAGGAGAATGGTGTCTGTCAGGGCGTGCAGTCCGTGTGTTGGGGGAACCTTCTTGCGAGCGAACGTTCTTTTAAGCGAAGCTTCTCTCAATTGGCAAGCGGCCCGAGTGTCTCCGTCAACGAAGAGGTGTTCCATTGCCAAGCGCCCGTTCGTCTCTCCTCATCGTCCCCCAGCCACCAATGATAATACCAAGCCAACCAAGGCTCCCCCCAGCCATTGTCCCAACTGCCGAAACGCCGAAACGCGACGGAATGTGGCTGTGCTCCTCATCAGATTAATCAACATATGTCCATGTCCATGATGAGTGCATGGTTAACCCATGTCGCCGCAACCGCCGCAAACCTGGTTACCGGGCGAACCTTCTAATTCTAAAAGTTACATAACCCATGACGTCACACCCTCCCCCCTCCGCACTTCTGACTTCGACAGAAACGGTGGATTTTGTCATGATCGTACGGTATAATGCTCCCGACGACGAGGCGTTTTCTGCGAAGTGTTCCAGAGCCTTTGCTTATCCGTCTGCCACATCGATGCCACATACCACCAGTGGACCCATCCTCCAACGTGTCTCCACTTCGCTAGTCGGCGTCTCTCCCTCGAATCCTTTGCCTCAGAAAATGGATTTTCCCCAACACCGATGAAAGCGAAATCCTCCCTCTCCATCTTGTGCAAAGCACCTCACCGTGAATGTGATTCACAGTCCCGAGATTCCCGGGATTGACTAGAAGTGGGTAACTCGTGCTAGATGTGAGTAACTCGGTTTAGGGTTAGACTAGTTAGACAGCTGCCGAGCGGAGAGGGTAGACCCTGATTTAAGGAGGTAAGGCCGACTCACCGAAGGCAAAGGGGTTGGGTTTGTTAATCAAATGGTTCACTTTGGCTGTAAAAAAGTCTTATTCTGGAGGTGAGCTACCCACATTTAGCACGAGTTACCCATTTCTGGTCACGCCCGAGATTCCACGAGGACAAACAAGATCGGTCGAGTACAGCGGGAGTAGAGACATGTACAGTACAGTTTTCGAATCGATCTCTCAGATCCACGGACATTGGGCCCCGTCATTTGTATAGAATCTCGTCGAACGTGTCCATGCGCATGATGCTGTCGAGGTTCCAAAAGTCGTTGGGGACGATCGGAATTCTCTATTATACAGCTAGAGCATCCCGAGTGTCATTGGCTCAGATGTTTCACTCTCATCAAGAAGGGAGCATCGAAGGATGAACTGTCGTACAGACATGTTGGATCCTTGATGCGCCTTCGCTCCCCGTCCGACATATTATCCAACCTCCTCTAGTGCGCCTTCCCTCGACCCCATTCACTGCCGATGCATCCATCTCTGCCCTGTCCGCAAATATCCGTGTCAAAACGCACATCCGCCGATTTCTATTGTGCGCAACGAAAGTGTCGCGTAACACGTCCTTTGCGCACATCAATCGAACCGCACCTGAGTTCGTCGTCGTGGCGGTGGCACACTCTCCGACGTCTCCCAACCTGGTCTGGAGTGAAAATCATTCGAGAGTGTTGCAACGTCCCACTCCACCCACGTGAAGTCATAGCAACGCATTGAGCATCAAGTACCCGACCAAAAATGGGAGGGTTTGCAGATTAGGCATTTTATGCTCTCATTCCCCACAGCCCTGTCAACCATATCCAGACTGCAGTAAATCTGAATATCTTCCACTCAGTCTGCTAGCTGGAAGTTGAGCTAACACCTTGATCGACATCTGATATTCTGTGCTTGATCATTCACCGGTGCTTGATCATTCATAGTAGACTACCAAGCAGGACTGCTTGCCCGTTCGCCATCCAACACGGGCCTAGTCTAAATCCTCTACACAATGTCATTGGCAACACGAGCCGCAATAGCCTTGCGTGAAGCCGCAGGATCCACGGTCACGGCGGTGTTAGTTTGCTTCGAGCCGGCGGCTGAAACAGAGCTTCCAGTGTTATGATTCTTGTTGAGCATTTGTTTGTTCTTTTTGATCGCTCCCGCGCTGCATTTTGGAAGAGTGAAGGTGTCAGCGGAAAATGAGTTTCCGATGCGCCCCTGGAGGAAGACTTACAATGCTTTGACCATAGTTGCGAACACGATCTGGACTTTTCGGAGCTATGGGACGGTATAGGTGTTCATCGCTGGTCTTTGCACAAAGTAGGAGGAAGCGAAATTCGAGACAACTTACCTCCCACACCCAGGAGCGACGGTCGAGAGCCCCGGAAGATTCTAGCGTTCCAAAGTCGAGCTTTGTTAACCCTTCCATTTGTTGAGCGAGCGAGAAAAGCGGCAACACGGCGGCGACAAAGATGGCGGCGATCAGTGCCGTCACTCCGACACTGATGCCGATGGACATGGCTCTGCTGCGAGTGCGGGCGGCGTCGATCTTTCCATAGATCTACGAAAGGTGAAAAGGCCGGAATCAAAACTCCAGTCACAATGAAGAAAGCGGACAAGTGCCAGAAACCGTACCTCGTCTCTTGGCATTGTCACTACATTAAGGACTCGGTAGTTGAATGCGAACCGAGTAACGCCCATCATCGCGATCTACAGTGCCCCGGGGGGGATTTCATTACGAGCACGACGCAGTTACAGCTATGTTCCAAACTTACAAAGCGCTCATTATCCAAGGTAATTTCAAAAGACGTGTTGGACAACGCGGCCGCCTCTGCAGCGCTGACAGTCGGGAACTTCTGCATGATTTGCAGGCGCATACTGGCGGTCCGCTCGTCCACTTTGGCAGTGGCGTATTGTGGATTCCCACGTGCATCGATACTTACGCCCGTCGTTACCATGTTGCTGCTGGACAACACCGTGAAGTTCGTGGGGAAGAACAGGTCATCGAGTTGGAGGATTGCGACGACTAAAAGTGACGTTCAATTGAGATCAGGATACCACACGGCAAAGAATTGCACTGACGCGGATGCAGACTTACTGCTCCGCTCCATGGGCTTGATTTTCTGCAGCATGGTAATCCACGACGCACCGACGTTGATGCCACCACTGCATCCCCAGACCGGATTGCCGTCGACACGGGTAAGGCCCAAATAGGCGCCCGTGTATCCGCTGTTTGAAACCGTGCTGAGGAGAAAGTACGGGACACCAAACGTTGGTTTTTTCTTGAGCGCCATCTGCATCGACATCGTGTAGTCAGGATAAGGAAATACAAGAGGATTCGACGTGTTGAGAATTCGGTGAGCTATTGCGGCAGGGTTAGTCAACTAGTTGAGCGCACACGAATGGAGCGACTTACTCAGTGGGTCCAGGTCGTATGCCCGGAACTGAGTGGGCTTGTCGTCGTCGAGGAAAGCGATCGTGTCATCGTTTCCGGTGGCCGGATTCTTTAGGGAATTTATCTTCAAGGGATCGAACAGAATTAGACCATGAACACGAATCCGCTGGAATGCAGTATCTCCGTCTCCTCACTATTGCTCGGGACACGCTCGTTGTGTTGAGAACCGGTGAGTTGCTAAATGCAAGCACGGCGGTCAGAACAAACAGCTTCCGGAAGCACGCATACATAAACACCCTACGTTTCGTCGTATCCAGCTCGCCAGCTTGCGGTCGAGCATACGAGATTATCAAGACCATTTTTCTGCCGCAATATGGCCACGTATGGAGCCACCCCGGACATCTGGAACGAGGTCCGTGCTGGATGGATGATGGGAGTCAGATCATGCACCCTCACCACAAATCTAGATCAGCGAACGTTGAATGGCCATATCAACCACTTACGTCCAGCAAACAGATCCGTAATGTCGGCGTTTGCCACCGCCGATTGGATCACAGGCAGGATCGCCGCTATTGGGGTTTGGCAGCGGAAGGAAACCTGCCCTGCGAGTAAGCTATTCGATGCCCACTCGAGAGAGTCTAATGCGATCTTTTCCATACATCTGAGATGAGCTCCGAAAGGTATTTTTGAGTGACTAGCTGGGCCGTTTCGTCGCTCGCATTCGTCAAAATAATTGTATTCTAGAAGTTCCAAGTTGAGCAGAGCACGTTAGCATCAGCGTGAGGAAAATCATTCTTCTTTCTGGCCACTCTTCCGCCCAGTACCGGAAGCAGCACACCGAGCAAGGCCAGCCCGATCAAGACCGGCGCCAAGAGGGTCAACGGGATCGCCGGCAGCCACGTCGCTTTGTGCTTATGGCTCGATTCCTGAGCGAGGTCCCCAATGTTGTCCTTGCTCCCGGTCGAGTCTCGGTTGCTCATCTTGATCAGTTGACTTTGACAGTATCGTCGGAGGGTACGATCTCCCAGTGTCCGTTTTTGCCGTTTGGGTACGATCTCCCAGTGCCTGCAATGCTGGCAATTTTTGCCGTTTGCGATGGCTTCCCGAGGCTTCCCGAGAGGTGCTGGCTTGGCATTTAAGGGCTCGGGACCTTCACCAAACTCCTTTCATCGGGTACAGGTCCCCATCCCCCCACGTCAAAAACGCCCTCATCAAGGTTAGGCTTGAGTCTGCTCTCCGGTTCAAAATTACCGAATGTCGTGCGGGTCGAAAGGCATCGGCGACAAGCGGCGAATACCATGAGCGATTCATGTAACCCCATTCATCGCGTACAGGTAGAATACGTCTCCCCATCCCACGTCAACAACGTCCTCAGCAAGGTTAAATGAGTCAGCTCTCCGGTTCAAAATCACCGAATGTCGTGCAGATCGAAAGGCATCGGCGGGGACAATGACCTTTTCATGTCGTTCAGCCACCACCCGCGAAGACTATTATGTCCAGATGTACGAAATGAAACTGGGATCATGAGGGAGTGTTCAACACCGTATGACTTGAACAATGCAGATGTTTACTTCCGCCTGTGTTTGACGTCGAAGTTCCAGACCTTTTCTGCTTGTTTGGCCGGTTGGCCCTATGTTTGATAAATGCGCATGACCTGGAAATGACGGGTTTCTGACGGCGACCGCCTTGCCTTCGTCACGCTTGCCTTCGTTTGCACCGACAGAACGGCTTGATCTTCCCATGGCCTCTACACTGGCGACTTTCCATTGGTGCATTGTCGAAGTCGCCGGCGACCGTAGTTCCGCCGCACTGAAGTCCCTCCGAGGGCGTGTTTGTGGATGTGAAAGGCCGGGGAGCGAAGCCGGGAGACCCTTTCTTTCTTGTGCCTTCCCTTCATGGAACTTTCCTCAGATTGAAAGGCGTAAAGAACGCGCTCCGAACACCGAACACCTTTCTTTACGCCGTTCAACGGATTTGCATACCCGACTCGGAGGAGGAATCAGAAGGAACTCGCTCCCCTGTCGGACATACCCGACTCGGAGGAGGAATCAGAAGGAAGCAGGGGAGCGAGTTCCTTCTGATTCCTCCTCCGACTCGGGTAAGTACACGAGAAACAAGCGTCCAATCGAAGGTTAGCATCACCTAAACGCCTCGACGCCGCTGACGAGAAGTGCGTCGCGTCGGGAAGAACGACGACGCACTTCTAGTCAGGCGGGGGCCGGACCAGCCGGTGCGGTTTGCGCCCCCCTCTCCTCCAGGGGCAGATCGTCCGTTTCGTAGACCACCTCCGTGGCCGTAGGTGTGAGAAACCTATTCTCGACACCCAGACCTGGCATGGGTGCCAAGCTACTCGATCGGAATGGTCTTACAGCCCAGATGACTTGGTTTATCATAGCCACCGCCCAATTCAAACCATCATAGCCACCGCCACCGTTTCCTCAACGCATTCTTGGTAGAATTCGGGAGGAATGCGAAGAATGTCTCGGGTAACCGTGGGCGCCAAAGTTGTTTCCGTATATACGCGTCGGGTTCTGGTGGCCTCCACTCGTATCTCCGGAAGGTGCTGCAAGATCAGCTGCCTAAGTTCGCTAGGCGAACGGCTCTGCAAAATATGTCGACCATTATCTACGATCAGACCAGCTTGGACAGGGATGGAGGCTGCAAACTACTCAATGTCGCAAATGAAGCGCTCACCTGATAGTCTTGGATAAAAACGCGTTGAGGAATGGCAGGATTCAGGACTGTTTTGCAATAAAAGGCAAACGGTTGAACAATTTCATCGACCGTGAACATCTGCCAAAAAAGCCGGAGGCCGTGCTTGATGACGCTAGTATGCGTTGGGCCGGTAGCGGTAGTCCCAATTGTTGGCCATGCTGCCGGTACAGGCCACCAATTCTGGGGATTGGGCAGAGTTGATACGTTGTCCAATGTCTGCGTCGAAACTCAGGCAAAGCTTCGGCGATGCTCACTATGCATGAGTTGACAGCACTTACAGTTCCCACTGGCAACTGTGGCAGAACGCCTGCATCGGGGATGCCCCTAACAGAGTCGACCTGTTTCCGGGCAGCACGAAAGGGAGCATCAAATGGCGGCCAAGGCGGTGTTGATGGTGAGTTTCATGTTCCGATGTCGAAGGGGGATCGAATGACCAGAAATGAACGAAAGCGTATGCGAGCGAGAGAAGCGAGGCAAATGTAGAGGAAAGAGTATGAGTAAGCAAGATATGTTTAACAACGAAGTGAAAAAGCCCCTTTTGCAGTAACTTCGGAAGCTGTCACTGGAGCTGTCAAAACGCAATAGGTCGAATTGCGAAACTAACCGGGTCATGGTCTCCGTAGTCCTTCACTACATATACAAGCCCTCGTTCTTGCTCACGGCGGACTACTTTTTCAAGCGAGAATATCGAAAGGGGACCTGCTCATCGTGGGACACATCTTCCGCTAGACCTGAATGTGCTGGATGGTTTGTCGAGATAGGTGTGTTAGCAAAGGGCGAGAGAACGAACGGAGACGGGAGAGATGTAAGACGGAGAGGGTCAGAGATATATCTTTGCAACCAGCGAAGTGGCGAAGCAAAGGTTTTCGATATGCCTTCAGCTTGTCTACTTATATATATAGTAGCAACAGTGCCGATTCTAGACGTTGGAAACACTGCCTTTCCCCGGGACATATATATATCCTGCCACTCCTCCGGGGACGTCAATTTGCCAACTGTGCAATAGCAAAACCGCATTGAAGATTTGAAATTTAGGAAAAGCGGTGATAGGTGACTAGAAATGCTCTCAATCGCCCATGCCGTATGCTCGCATAACCCATTCTCAGAATGGCGTTTTCTTTTTCCTACAGGACACCTCCCAGCCTTCTGGAGGCCACTCAGGACTGCTCGGGAGGGCCGGAGGACACTTTCTTCCCATTGCTGCGGCGGCATGGTAGGCCTCAGAATATGAAATGACGGGCTACTGACGGCGTTTTCGGCGGAGTTTTCGGCCTTCGTCACGCGTCACGACAATGCCGCAAAAAGTGCTGATTCGGCGTAGAACTTTGCACTTGGATAATTTGGCTGCGAACCCGTTGAGCGCTTAAACGTCGAAGGAGCTCGTCTAACAGGGATCGGTGCGTGGCGTCATCCTTCGAATAGGTAAGCAAATCGGCCATGTATACGACTAATCCCTGATCAATGAGATCGGAGAAGAGAGTGATCATGTAACGAGTCCACGCTGCTGGCGCCGACGAAAGTCCCATGGGTAGCACTCGCGATTGAAAGTTTCCGAAACGCTGTCTTGGGGCGGTGTCTCGAAACGTTAGACTGCAGTGCGTATGCGCGTCAGTATAGTTTGCGCTTCATCGGGTAAGCACTAATTTGAGCATCATAGGAATCCCTGGCGCAACAGGAAGACATGGGGCTTGTCTTTCCTATATATCAAGCTCTTCAGATTCTGCAACTGTACACCAAATAAAGCTGACATTCCGGGTTATCCGAGTGTGAGACGATCCTATCTAAAAGACGAACAAATTGTCGTGATGTGCAAAGCGGCAACAGACTTCGACATCTCCACTGGGCGTTCACTAATGTCCTTTCTGCAACTTGGGCATCGCTACGGAATATATAGGGTCCCAGTCTGCACTGTCTCGAGCATAGGCTGCATGTTCACATGTCGCATCCATACCGTGTCGCGGGTGCATCCCTCGTCACTTCGCTTCTTGTCAACGCATTGATCATCTTCGCGGCAGGGGTCTGTTTAATCCCGTCCTGCGCACTTCGAGGCGCACTTCGTACACTGGAGCCTTGGCGCGAGCTTTGAACAGCGGTTGCAAACCTCGTGAGCATGACCAAAAAGACCTTTTTGCAGATGACAATCTCCCTCGGATCCAACGTGAGCTTCTTGGCGAAGAAATCGCTCCTGACCGCTGAAAAATCAAAATCGGTCGCTTGTTCCATGAAGAGACAGAGACGGCGGATGGGGTAAACGAGCGCGTAGGCGACGCCCGCGGATATTGCCGCGGCGGTGACGGCCGTAACTACGATGGCTATTATAATGGTCTTTTGCGTCTGCGAGAGCGTGCCGGTGAAATCGGACTGTGGTGCGCTGAGGATCAAAATCCAGTTCAGACCGCCGCTGTCCTGCAGGCGCCTGGTGCTGACGAGCGTCGTGCCCATTGAGCTTTCGAAAGACCCTCCAAACCGGTGGCCGAGCCCCGCAAGACCGCCGGACATGCCTGCGAGGTACCGGGCGGTCTGTTGGATTAACGGGTTTGGTGCGGATGTCGCGCTGTATCGCTCCGTTGTGTTGCCTATTTGCGTTTGGTCAGGGACCGATGCTGCCACCATGGACCCGTTCGCTTCGCTATATAAAGGATTCAAAGGTCAGGATCATTGCGAAGCGCGAAACATTCTTCTGTGATGCTCCGCTGATGTACCAGATAAGCAACACAGCATTGTCTGACGTATATATCGACATCAGGAACGCCTCAATCGAGCGAACTGACAGCGCAACAATGCCCATTCCCTCATGGTCCTCGTTCGGCGTCGCACTCCCTAAAGGCTGATTCTTCCTGCGTCAACGAAACGATGAGCTTTGTCATATAGGCCCCCTCGCTCTCGTTTGACCTCCAGACGACGCGAAGCTCGCTCTGATACTCACCAGTATTTCCGGTACAACGGAAAATGCATGCCCGCCTTGTCAGTCTTGATCGGCGCCCATATCCCGACGGAGACGTTTGACGCAGGATCTGTGGCGGGGAGATCTATGGGGTACTGATGGCCTGGCGGGTCGAGGGCGGGGATCGGGGGCAGCAAGCTCCACTGAACCAATCCCGTAGGCCCCGCGATTGCCAGTTTTTGGAACAGCGCATTGAAGTAGTAATCGCTCCCGATTGCCTGATTTAACGGGGTCGATCCGTCTTGCACAAGGAAAAAACCTAGATCCTTGCCCGTTGTGTCTAGTATCCATGGGACGTTGGGGAAAGCTAGCAAGAGATTGGCTTTGGGTTGCGCGCCGGTGGCAAGCCCCATGTTGGCCGCGCCGTTAGTTCGTTTGGCGGTGTGGTAAATAGTGGAGATTCTGCGAGAAGATACATAAGGCTTCGGATGAAGGAGTGACTGCTCGGATACAGGTGGCGCACATACGCATCCGGGTAATCAGAAAACTTTAATCTCGTATCGGGGTTCATATCGGTGGCCATACTCCGGACGGCATGGCTCGCGAGAACGGCGTCCAGAGCTGCCGTCCCCCCAGTGAGTATGCTCGTCACCGCATCGTAACTTCTTTGCAAACTGGATTCAAAAATCAGGGCGGTGCCTGCGAAAATAGTACATCAGCAATAGACTCTGGAAGGTATGGAATGTAAACGCTTTCTTACTATGGTCAACCGTCGAATTCCATCCACGGAAAGCGAGCTGGCTTATGATGGCACTTGTTACCGCAACTGCGACAATGACAAGAACTACAAGGTATTGCATGAGACGAGGTGGGGTATGCAAATCTCTCTGCCGTTGATCAACCTTTACCTATCAGGAACAGGGCAAAGGGCGGACTGTAACATCCAGGGGTGAGGTGGCTGGGCCGGCGTTTTCCTTCCTCCACTGTGCCGTCCTCCTGTGACGGCAAGACCATTCCTTGCAGGCTCTGTCAAATATGGACCGGGTCTGTTGACTGTTCGAATCAAATGAGACGCCGCGCTGGTGAGCCGTGGGAAGGAGCGCCGAGTTAGAAGGACTTGGCCACGTTTGCTGTTTCTTTGGATGTTACTGGAAATTGAAGGTTCTATGGGTAATTGATGCGTATGGGCACGGCCGCAGGGCATGCGACCGAATCAATCCTCCTTATAGGGTGCGGGAGCGAAAGCTAGCTCATGGCCATAGGTAACAGCTTGTTTCCTTCACACGAGTGCGTTCAAAGGAAGTTTGCCTATGGCAAGCGTCACCGAGCGTCACTGAGCGCAATTCGCGATTGACTTCCCGCTTTGCTGCCACGCTGTCGGATTCCGTCAATTGCTGAGTCATCACGCCCTGTAAGCCCTCCACATTCATTTCCCCGCTCGCCACAAACGGGCTGAACGGGTTCGCAAGTTCCAAACCTGTGCATCGAACCAGAAGTCCCAAGTGGCACGGAGTACAACCACAGAGTCAAGCCTACGGACCCTGGTTTCTGCTGGTCACTCGAGGCTCTTCCAGCACTCACAACCTTCAAGAAACAGATATATTCAACGATAACCAGGGAAGATGTCCAGGGAAGATGGCGAGTTCTTCCTCTGGCGAAGATACCAGAATAGAAAGACCACCGAGCATAGTCGAGGATCTCTTCCTGATCTTACCGGCTGAGAGACACGCGTAGAGCCGAGACGAGGAAGAGACTGTCAGCTGCACCCTGGGAAAACCGTTATGTGCGAGCGGGGAGAGGGGACGTTGGCAAAGCCCGCCAAGAGGGCGATATTTAGCGGGTCTGCAGTGGGGATGGGATGGCTGTCACGCATTAACCGGGGGGCCATGGCAATCAGAGTTCACGCAATAGGCAAGCCGTACGTTCTTGAGACCGCCGCAATGGAATTCACGTGGGAAAGCTCCAACAGCCAGGCGCCAACATCGCGCTCAGTTCGTTTTGCCCTCCCCGATTGCCGTAAAGCAATCGGCACTATGTTCTCACTTTCCAGGGATGATCCTGCCAGTGTGCCAGCAAAGCGCTTTGAGCGGCTTTAAGAAAAAGCATCAGCGTGCCAGGCATTCCGTCCATGTACGGTCTGTTCAAATTCCGTTTTGCCTTTAACCTACTCGACAATACTTCTTGGAAGTTGGCTCCGGTTATCCTACCTGTGTCTCTGTCCCCGGACCCGTTCATGATACAACTTGTCTTTCCTTGACGCCTCTAAAGCAGATCGTGCACGACGCTTCGCCTATAGTATTGACTGGCAGTTTGGATCTCGAGCGGCATGTAATACAGTAGGTGGCCAGATACCTGGGTATACTGTACAATGCCGTGAGTTACAGTCAGGTACAATTTGACAACCACACAACCCCAGCACTTGACAACAACCACACCAGCACACGACGGGGAGAGCACTGATGACCCCCCCAGAAGAGATCAACCATACATGTCTGAGGTTGTCAAAATGCCGGAGGCAATGTCGGCCTCTTGGCAATCTTGGCGACGGCGTTGGCTGTTTACTCTCTGGGCCGAGATGGCCACCAACAGAAGTCGCCGGCCTGCCTGTCCTGGAAATTGACGGCAGCTGGCCGGTGACTTCTGGGTTGCACACGGAGGCTCAACAACCCGTCGTAACCTGATATCTGGCAGCCTACTCAGACTGTACTGTACATGTAGAGGCAACCGGTGCGCTTCACAAGGGCGGTTGTACGGTACTGTATGCAGCTGTACACTACTACACACATATGTCGTCCGGTCATGAATACTATTCAATGAGGGGGGTTCGTGTAACCGACCGCTTGTGCCGCCAGCGGCAACGCCTTCTCTTGCGTATGCGACCTTCCTATTTAAGACAGGCTAGTACAGTACGCCTTGGTTTGTTCCCTCCCACTCACAATCATTTGCAGCAGCAGCAATGGCGGCTACTCTGTTCTGCCTTCTGTACGGGGACGATCCTCGGAGGGTATTCGCCGTGCAAGTTCCGTCGGATTTCGCTTCTACATTCACCGTCGCGCAACTTCGCAGCCTCGTGTTTGCTCAAACTTCGTTCTCAAACTCCGCAGCAGTAGCAGCAGGAGCGGGGGGACGACCAGAGACACCTTACACCGCTGCGGACGTTACGTTGTACCGAATCGACGAGGAGGATGCGCTTGGCGTCACAGACGACCGGCTGAGGCGCGTTTCTCTGACCTGCAGTCCTCCCCACATCCAGGACATGTTTCGCGTCACCGAACTGGATGACCCGTTGGCGGATGTGTGGACCTTGCTTGCTCCGAGGGATACGGCACAGCAACCCCGCCTGGACTTTCTGGTCAAAGTAAGGAGGTCGGTCGACGATGTGGACTCCCTCGCGCCACTTCCACCGGCTTACAGTGAGGCTTTGGTTGGCGACGAGGAAGGGGATCAACGCCTACCTGGTGGAGCCGTCACGTTTCGACCCACGAGTGCTGAGCCATCACGCCTTGAGTTTCCTGGAAAGTCTCAGGCACGCAGTGCCGATGATCCCGAGTCAGCAGCATTACGAGAAGCGCCCGCTTCACCGGCCCCGATGGCGCCGATTGTGAATCCCGCGCGACCTGCAAATCCTACGACATCGGGATCAGGTGTTGCCGCAACTGTTAGGCCTGTCTCGGTTTACCCGAAGCTTTCATCACAGACGGACACGCATGTCCCCCATCAACCCGTCACGAATCCTTCTGCAACAAATACGTTGGTAGCAATCGATGGGGACCAGATAGAGACGGCTTCGAATCCTGGGATGGAACGCCAAGGAGATCCCGGAAACACGACCGGCACGCGTCAAGGAAAAAATGGCCGCGCCGCCTTGTTCAGCGTACGCACCTGGCCGAGATCAAGACGCTACTTGGCGCTCTCCGTCTTTGGCGTTCTCATCGTCATCGGCATTGCTGCGGGTGTTTTCAAATTGATGCAATCAAACCACGAGGCTCCGGCGTCCACAACGCAGCCTACCACCTCGTCGACCACCACTTCATCAATTCTTCCAACTCCGACGGCGGTTGCGGATCGTTCTCTGCGTACGTTTGTTAATCACACTGATGGAGTCAATACTATGGCAATCTCCGCAGATGGCAAACAGTTTTTCAGCGCTAGCAGAGACCATACCGTGAAACAGTGGGACATCACCGGACAGATAATCCGCAACTTTGCGGGTCATCGCGACTGGGTCAACGGATTAGCTCTCTCGCCCGATGGAACGCTCTTTAGCGGCAGTGGCGATCACACCATCATCCAGTGGAACATCTCCACGGCGAATGTCCTTCAACAATTCCCTGGACACTCTGACGGTGTCAACACTATTGTTCTGTCGCCTGACGGGAGATTCGTCTTCAGCGGCAGCTATGACAAAACAATCAAGCTGTGGTCCGTGGAGACGGGAGAAAACATCGGCACCTTCACTGGCCATTCGGGCCAGGTGTATTCGCTCGCAGTATCTCCGGACGGGCGGCACCTCTTCAGCGCCAGTGGTGACTTCACTATCCGGCAGTGGGATGTTGCCACGGGGGAGACCCTCCAGATCTTTACCGGTCACACGGACCAAGTCAACGGCATTGCGCTCTCACAGGATGGGACCATGCTTTTCAGCGGGAGTGGGGACAATACCATCATCCAGTGGAATGTCACTACCACCCGTTCTGTAAAGAAGTTCGCTGGCCATCCAAGTGGCATCCGCTGCGTCGCCCTATCACGCGACGGTACACTGCTGTTCAGCGGCGGCGTTGACAAAACCATCAAAGAATGGATCGTGGATACCGCGGAGAACGTGCACACGTTCCCAGGTCACCGAGATGAAGTCTTGGCCCTAGCGACGTCCCCGGATCTGAAGCAAGTCTTCAGTGGAAGCACTGACAAGACCATCAAGTTGTGGACGGCGTAAGAACGCTGCTTACTTAACCCCCGGCGCGTAGCGAAGGACGTTGTTTGAGTTTTGTCTTCCGAGTCCCATACCTAATATAGAGTTAGATAACAAGTTGACTAGAGATATGTCTTAAGTTTCTAGCGGGGTTACTCCCGTTTTCAGGTTGAGATTCATTCGAGATAGTGGCCGTTCGTTTCTTCCTCCATTATATATCCTTTCCAAACCGAATAATATTCGTATCGGCGTGAGGAAAAAGCCGGTGAAGCACAGGTCAGACATGGGAGTCGTTGCTCAACCACAATGAAAAGCACAGCGCACTCGCAATCCGTTTTGTATTCGGAAATGTTGCAGCCTACACCCTTATCGGCTTTAGACGCATAGTTTCATGCTGATTCCGCCACTTTCAGGATGAACCGGACTGTTGCGCGAACGACCGCTGTAGGGTAGCCGCTGAGCGGACACAAACCTTTCCCGCAGCAGACATGACACCCGCCAAAAGAGATCGAAATGAATGTCCATTATCTACTGAGGCCGTAGACTGAATCGATCATACATGTAGATGTTGGCCACCAGCAAGCTACATAGTAGTGCGCCAAAGGATGACGGGGGCTTGCTAGTCCTAACATATGACCGAGGGTAAAGATCCGTGAATACATAGGTAGATATGTATACCGCCGAGGTAAATATGTATACCGCCGATTAAGACGCCGGTGCCAATGCTGGCGCCGTGCGTCCACCCCGAACCCGCTCCCCATAAACCTCCGCCAACACAGCCTTCTGCCCATTCAGCCCAACCGGTTTCGTCAGATGAGCATCACCCCCCGCCTCGAACGCCTCGCGTTTGTTCCCTACCATATCAATCCCGGTCATGCCCATCACATCGCGAGAACAACAAGGTCGTGCCCGAGAATGCTCCTCTCATGGGAAAGGGTACGCATTTATTTCCTAATGTATATGTAGTTCACGGAGATTTACAAATAGCAGTTAGCTACAAGCTATGATCACAAGTTGGAATACACAGGATATGTACCACCTGCTGCGAATGCAGTAACGGATCAGTAGCTGTCCTGACCACTTCCCCTGAGGGGATCTACGTGTAGGTGAAGAGAACGGAACCAGCGGACGGCCAAGCTTCGCGAATGAGCGTCCGCACCTCTTCCGAGAGGTTTGGCCTTTTGAGAAACTCCATAGGGGTCCGAGGAGACGGGACTACACACTCGTCCAAACTCATTACACGCTCCACGTCAAGCGCAACCTTGTCTGCCTCCAAGAGTCTCTTGATAACCTTTTTGATTTCCTCCCGCGTATACTTATCACACCATGGATTGGTGATCCATTTGAATGCGGCGCAAAGGGCGCTCGGCCCCTGTCACGATCGAGCGGGAAAGGTACTAGGCACGGGGCTCACACGGCAAGAGTAGGGTGGGGACGAAGGCGAGTATCGAGCTGAGACTGGGTTCCGTGGACTTGGAACAGATTCAGACTGGGTTCAGATGGGGTCGTGCGGCCACGGTGTGAACAGTGGTCCAGACGGGAAGGTCCCGAGGCCCAAAGGGCCTGGGACATTACAAGAGCAGTGGAAGAGGTAGTGTAGGCGACGAGGGCTTGATATGTATTGACTGGGAACCGAACTATGACAAGAAGGGATGACTTGTGCTGATCTGCTGGAGAGCAACAAGGGGACCGCAATGGACTACGCTATTTCTACTCTTTGTGGAAACAAGAAGAAGGGAACGGAAACGCGGCTGGTTCGCGCGGCTTGTCTGTCGAGTCGGTTTCGACGGGGAATTGACAGCGGCGGCAGTTGGCTGTGGCATGCCGTCAGAATCCTGCCAAGGGCTTGCCATGAGATGGACATAACAGCCCCTCCAAGGAGTTTTTTTGGTGTTTTACGCCGCATAAGGTGGGATGCTCGCCACGACGAACTCAGAGGACGAGTCGGAAGTGGTGGGAGCTGAGGTGGCACGACCATATCAGTCTTTCCTTAACGATGCGGAGGATGAAGATGTTGGCGTTGATTTCACTCATGAGAGGGGCGACACCGGAACGGGCGTGGTGCGCCTCTCGGCCGGATACCCATGGACTTTTCCGGTTTTCGATTGCCGAATATGTTGATCCCGCGGCGATTCGCCAACGCCGTCAACCGACTCGGCCATCATGTGGGGAATACCTTCAAGGAGACGTCCTTGACCCTCCGAACCTCGGTCGCCATTCGCGTGAGAAGCGAGAGGGGGGTTTCACTTGTGTAGCAAAGGCCTTTGCCCGAAGAGTTCCTTTGAAACAAGCCGCGACCGCCACAAGTGCACCATCCCCCATTCCGAACCATCCCTACCCCGCTCTCAGAGATCCGCGATTTCAAGATCCCGGATCCAATGATTGCGGGCGGTCTACCATGGTTGTTCCCAGGTCCCACAGATGGTCTTCACCGAAGCGCAACTCTGGTGACTCCTTTCTCTTCTCCAGTGTGCCAACTTCGGCGGAATCATGGTCGGGACAGGGCTGGAAAGTGACATGGCTGTACGCGGGTTGCTACGAAGTGGGAAACGTCTAACCACATTGCTCCCACGCAGCATCAACTCATGTTGCTACTGTTGCGGCACTCGGCCTGCAGCCCCATCTCATGCGATCATCAGTCAGTCCATTCAACAAAAGAAGTGTTCCTTTCCTGGCCTAAAAAAAAAAGACTTGAAAGATCTGGCCGGATAGTGGGTCGATTGGCTTTGGGCTCAACGAACAGACACGCGTGCATGCAACCGTGCTCTCAATGCCGAATCTGCCCCGCATATGTCGATATGAAGCAAAAGCAAAAAAAGTCATCTTGCTGGTGACCCACCTCCCCCACTGCCACGACACCTCGCGGATCGCTTCAGTTCTTCCGCACCCGTACGCCGACCGGACGCATTCACACAAGCGCACGGTTTATGTCATGTCCATTGGGGTCCGTGGATACCCGCCTGCTTCGGAAAACGGAGGCGGGGGGATTTTGGGGCTTTGTCACGCTAGGCAGTGAGTGAGTCCCCCGGGGCGGGTTGCCAGGTTCAAGGAGATAGACGCGTGTGATATGCAGGTGGGATGTATTTCACAAGGCGGGCGTGCATCTCCGTGGCGGGTTTAGGCTGACTGATCAGCCTTGATGTGTTTGTGTGGGCTGACTGGTGGGGAACATGCGATATATACAACAGAACGGCTATATACAGAAAGCCGCACAAGACGCGCAAAAAAACAAGATATGTACAGGTACGACCCACACCGCCGTCAACGATAGGGAGGGCACAGTCACTGGGATCTACGCCGCGGCCAGCATCTTCGTCCGTCTCCTCGCCAAGATCTTCCGTCGCACATGGGGCCAGAACGCGCCGACGCCGAGCCGCTCGACCAACGCCTCGTCCTTCCAGTCCCCGCCGGTGACGATGCCCCTGCATGTCGGTGCGCCGCATTTGCATTTGAACCTACTCCCACTGAAAAACACAAAAAAATAGAGAAAAAATGGTACGTGTTGGGCATCAGGTATTAGGATGGGGAGGTTTGCGCGGGGGTGGGGATGTCTTACCTCTCGCTATCGACCGTCCCATAATCGTACGTCAGTTCCTCTCCCCGTGCAATATCCCTCCGTGCAATCATCGTATCATACGACGTGTACACGAGGTTCGGGTCACAGTTATGGTTCGTAAAGAAGCTCGCGTCGACGCTATGTATGCCGGGCGCAACGTATATGTTATGCGCGGCCTGTTCCGCCATATGGTTGCTGAACGCGTGGAACCACTTGGGTGTGGTGACGGCCGCGCTGGGGAGGAGCAGGGGGTCGATGGGGCCCGTGAAGATCTCGGTGCCCTTTTTGATGGGGGAGCGGGCGAACTGGCCTGTTCCTGCGGTTGGGGAGGTGCGGGTGGTCACGCTGGGGTGCGTGTGGTAGGGGGTGGGGAGGGTGAAGTGGTTGAGGTTGGGGAGGTGCACCCTGTTGTCGCGCGGGGTGAGTGGCGCGAGGGCGTGGCCTAGGGGTATATCGGACCCTGAAGCGAGGCCGGCGTCGAGTTCTTCGAAGATGAAGCCGGTGATTTCGTCGATGCGGACGTTTGTGTTGAAGTTGAGTGAGTGGGCGATGGCGTAGTTGAAGTGTGGGAACACGGTCAGTGTGAAGGAGCCGCCCTCGTACGTCGCCGTGACCGTGATCGTTTCCGTGGTTTCGTCCTCGTCAGCTGGGACGGGAGACGGTTTCTTGGTCGTGGGGGGAAGAAGCGTGCGGTTGGTGGGGAGTTGCGAGACGTGGACACTCTTTGTCTTTTTTTTCTTCTTCTCGGGGTTGAGTTCGTCTTCGTCGTCGTCTTCATCGTCGTGTTCGACAACCTCGTCGCTCATCGTCAGATTCCGCGTGTGTTCATATTCGACCACTTTGACCTTGGCATCCGGCGCATGCGCAAACTCCAATCCCTTCTTAACAATTCCCTTCAAAGAGTGGGCGTCGTGATCCTCCAGATCCATACCATGATACTCCCTCACCACCGCCTTGCCCCGGGGCACGGCGGCCGTGATCCGTTTCGTGCTCTCTTGGGGGAAGGGTGCGTAATCCGGCTTCACCTCCCCTTTGCGGGTAGCGGACACGGCGGCGTGGATTTTCTCCGTGGCGTCCCGGATCCAGGCGGGGGTGGCGAACATGCCTACGTGGGCTGTTTCGTCGTACCACTCCAAGGGCATCTCCTCACCCACCGTCGTCCGTCTCTCCAACCAATCCACGATGTATTGCGGACTCAGACGGGATGGGTCGGGGAGGGCGGAGGAGTGGGTTGCGAGGATGTAGGACGTGAGGGAGGAGAGGTGGGGGAGGTAGAGGGTTGCGGTGTATGTGTGGGGGAAGGTTTGGTGGAGGTGTGTGTATGTCCTCCTGAATGTGTCCGAGGCTGGGAAGGTGAGGGGTTGGGGGGTGGAGACGGCCACCAACCCCCCCGGTGCGAGATGTGTTGATAGAGTGTCTGCAAGCGTGGACGTGACGGCCGTGGAGGCATCGTCCAAGATGATGATATCGAACCCCTTCCCGATATCTTTCATCTTATCCTCCAAGTATCCCTCAACGCTCACCCCATGCACCTGCGTAACCATCCCCAAAATATCATCAAACTCCCACATTCCCCGTCCCGCCTCCTTGATCTTGTTTACAGTTCCCTCCCCAACACCGCTAACCCATGTGATTTTCTCGAGTGTGAAGTATCGGAGAGATTGGCGGACGATGGAGGCTTGCGGGTTGCCGAGGATGAGGACGCGGCGGGGGAAGGGGTGCATGAGGAGAGTGGGGTGGAGGAGGTGCTCTGCGTGGAGGAGGTCGGTTGCGGTGCATGTTTGGGGGAGGGCGGAGGAAGGGTGGTGGAGGCAGGTGCCGTGGGCGGGGTGCGGGTGGAGGGTTATTTCGTCGGTGTCCGTTTTGATGTCGGATGGTGGTGACGCGGGTGGGACTTGCACCTTTTCGACGATCTTGACCACCTCGTTCTCCGCCTTCTCGACCTTGACGGCAGGAACAGCTGGTTGCTCGTAAATAAACATCAGCCCGTCCTTCTGCTCCTTTACCGCATTCGCAGTCGATCTCCACTTTGACGCAGCACCGGCACTGGCGTTATGAAAGAGGGAGAAGACGCCCCATGTGAGACACAGGGTGAGGGCGATGAGGGTGAGGAGACGGGTGAAGCGGCGTTTTAGTGGTGGGAAGTGGTGGGACCTAAGGGAGGAAGGAAAGGGGATGATGATTAGAAACTGGATGTGCGACCTTCAGCCCATCCTGCGGCGAGCGAGATATCCTCCCTGCGCTCGCTCGCTCGATCTAAAGGTCATCCTGCGCCTGGCTTTGCCGAATGCACATCAAAATCTCATCACTGCTGCTGAGCTCTCCCAACTTGCGCCGCGACACATCATCGTCGTGGAACCTTCCCATCTGCTTCCTGCGTCCCTGTCTGTATTCGCATCCAATATACTCACTCAGCAACCCTGGCACCGGAAACACCACCCAAGAGAGGAACGGTACTGGCACGGCGCTTTGAGGGCGACGAGGGCGGATGGTGGATATCTCCGCCGCCTGTCATTTTCGCAGTTTTTCCTCCTTTGCTTTTACTTGTGATGTGATGTTGATGATGTGAGTGTGATGGGATGCGAGCGCTTTGAGATATGCAAGACGATGCAGGGAGTAAAGCAGGGAGGGAGTAGAACGAGGAGGGGTAATGATATCTATGCCCCTCTTTCTCTCTCTCTTTCTCTCTCTCTCTCTTTGTGTGTTTGTGGGAGAAGGCGTTCTCGTTCTCTGTGCTGTGCTGAGCCAAGTAGTCTGATGATTCCGCCGATTCTGCCTCTGCCCGCAAGCAATCATGATCTGATTTGATACTATTGCCCGGTTGCTGTGTGCTGTGCGTGCGTCTCGCTCTTTCTCTTCCCTCCCTCCCCATCATAAGCCAATAATGCCCAGTCATAAACAACCCCCTATTGCGACGGATTGGGGGAATGGGGGCGCCGAATAAGAAACAAACAAACAAGCCGCCCCCATCTCTCATCGCACTCCCTATAGTATTATCGCACCCCCGTTTGTTTCGCCTGTTCGAAACACGCCTCCCTCACTCCGCGCCGCCACGAGAGAACTCCGATGGGAAGTGGCGCAGTCAGTGGACGCGTTTCATCCATCACCACCCATCCTGTCACTCCTGCCTTCCTGTCGAAACACTGTTTCCCCCCCGTCCTCCCCCCCCCCCCCCCCATGTTCTATTATATTATTTGGGGGAAGAGCATGCATCAAGAGGACTCCCTGTTGGTACGGGGGAGAGAGAGAGAGAGAGAGAGAGAGAATGAGTATCTAGTACGTAGCAAGTAACCTTATTCCCCACGCACTCGGACGGCACTGGAGCTAAATCCAACCCATCCCCCTCCCCAGAGCACATGCCACGATTGTCTTCCATGATCCCCTCCCCCGTTATTCCATTGTGTGTATCGGAGACCCCCCCGCCGCCCCATGTGTTTAAGTAAGTGCGCCAGAGAGAGAGAGAGAGAGAGAGAGAGAGAGAGAGAGAGAGAAGAAGGGAAAGAGGCATCTCGTTCGTAGAGTTTAGAATGTCCGGCGGGCCCCCGTGCCTCCGATTGAGACCCCATCCCCATCCCCCACCCATCCCTGATTGAGTTGAATTGGAGAGAAGAGACAAGAGAGAAGGAAGGCTCAGCAACCCATTCGAAACGGGCGGATATATATACCACTGGAGCCGTGCCAAGCGCCGCCCTCCTCCTTCTTCTCCCTCTTGCTCTCCGCGGCATTCGTCCTACGTAGCAGAGTGTCTCTTCTCGCCACCCCCATCCCCCCATCCCCCACCCACCCATTAGCCAGCCTCCGGTCGTTATTGCATTCCCTTCGCTCCTTCTTTCTTGGCATTTCCCCACGTTAGGAAGTTAGGAAGTCATGTCCGACATGACAAAAGACAACTACCCCCGCCGCGGCAGCAACAACAACAACATCGACATCAAGTACCACCTCCCCTCCTACGCAGACACGGCCAAACGCAGACCAAGCGACCTCCTCGCCCGCCGCCGCTCCTTCTCCTTCGCCTCCCTCACCGGCTCCTCCCGCGGATTCCTCAACCTCTTCCTCTTCCTCAACCTCGGTCTCTGGGCCCTCGCCTTCATCCTCTTTGACACCGGCTACATCTCCCTCGGAAGCCCTCGTCGGTTCCGCGACGCCTACTATGAAGATGATGAATCATCCACCACCCCACCGACAACAATCCGCACACATAACAAGATTCCCGTTCAACTCTCGGGAACATGGGGTTCAACCACACCCCCACCCCTCCGCTGCAAATCCCCCGCGGGCTCCACCCAACAACACCTCCCCGCAGGCCGCCACTACCTCGTCGACCTGCACGATGTCAACCCCTCGGCCTTGGCAACCCTCGAGACCCTCACATCCTTCTCCGAGATCGAATCCTACATCACGGAGGCCGGAATGACCCTCCTCGGATCCTCGTCCCATAAATTCGAGTGTGGGGGTATGACCGCCGTCTTCCTCCTCTCCGAATCCCACGTCAGTATCCACACATGGCCCGAGAACAGGTTTGTCGCCCTCGACGTCTACACCTGCGGCGCGGGGGATCCAGGGAACATTGTCAACCGCTTCGAAAAGTTACTCCAACCGGGCAAGACGGTCAAAACGTACGTCGAGAGGGGCACGATGCACCATGTGACGAAGGACACGCCCACCCCGCAACACATCATCGCCGACAAATCCTCCTCCTTATCCACTTCCCTCACCCAAGTCCCCCAAATCGTCCCACCACCCACCCTCGGCCACGCCCGCGACTTTACCCTCGCCCTCTCCCCGCCCTCTGTCCCATACACTGCCCACCTCTGCATCAACGCAGACACCCTCACCGACGACTGCACCCTCCTCCGCCACGCCACGATCCTCGCGGACGTCACATCCCCTTACCAACGCATCGAGATCGTCGACACGCAGAGCTTTGGACGGTGTATGTTGCTTGACCGCGTGGTGCAGTTCTGTGAGAGTGACAATCACGTGTATACGGAGGGGATGGTGGGGAGGGTCATGAAGGGGTACACGGGGAGTGGAGCGCCGCGACGTATCACCCCTTCTACTGATATGAAGAAGGTGAAGACGATCGAGGCGGGAAAGACGACGACGGTGGATGGAAAGGTGGTTGAAGATGACGAGGATGATGAAGACGACTGGGCCGCCCGCCACGAAAACAAAGTCCCCTCGGAAGGCCTCAACATCTTTATGATCGGTGGTGGTGATGGTACGTACCCACAATCCCCTCCCCCCCCCCCCCCCCCCCCGCTCTTCTCCTTTTCTTTCACTTACTAATCAATCCCACCATTCTCACAGGCTGGGTAGCATCGCACCTCCTGGACAACCACACGCCGCTGATCAACCGCATAACGCTGATCGACATTGACGCGCACGTCACCAACCTCACCCGCACATTCTTCGCCCCCGCGGGCGCCTCCAACTCCTTCACGCACCCCAAAGTCTCCTGGCACCACACCGACGCCGCGGCGTACCTCACCATGCACATGGACACCCTTTCCTCCCAGTTCGACATCGTGCTGATCGACTGCACCGACAACACCGCCGAGAGCGCCAAGGTGCTGTACACCGCGGAGCTGTACGCGAACGTGGTCAAGATCCTCAAGAAGGGGGGGAAGGTGGTGCAGCAGATGAACACGGACGAGGAGGAGTACAAGGGGTTCATGCGCGGGGTGGAGAGGACGTGGGGCGCGGTCGGGTTGGGCGGGGTGGAGAGGTGGAGGGAGTGGGTGCCGAGTTTTGGGGGGATGAGTGTTTTTTGGATGGGTGAGAAGGTTTAACCGTCAGTGAGACGTCCCCCTTGCTTTGGAGATATCGGCGTATGGCGTTGGCTGGACCCACACCACACTATATATAGAGCAGTCCACCTTTTTTCTTCTTGTACATTGCCATCCCGGACATCCGCTACTGCACATACACTCTTTCTCGTCCTCTGTACATACATATATATATACACCACCCACCTTGGCGCGTAACGAATACAGTTGCATTCACTTCATTTCAGTATTCGAAAGGCATACTCGGCGCTCGTCGTCCCTTACTCACAAAACACCTTTAACATCCGCGGCCGCACACGGATCCAGGCGCAAAGCGAACGAAAGCATGTCCCCCGCGAAGCCTTCGCACTTCCCTCACCCCCCTCACAGACTTCGTACGTTGCGCTTCCGATTTTCTACCCCCGCGCGCAAAACATCCGTGCTGCGTTACACTTGCGGTATAGAGTATGCCCTGCCGACCCGGCCCCGGCTGCCCAAGCCGCAAAAAGCCCCAAATCCAATCCGGGACGCTGACTGTAGCCGCCCATCTCCGTGCCCAACCCGTCCCCGTCGGCCATACCCGCGTGTTGTTGAACGTGGGCCCCGCACTCGCTCACATCTCCCACGGGGTTGCGGAATCCACAAGGGGAGTATCTCGACCCTCGTAGAGTATTCCGCGGCCTGTATTGATCAACGGGAAAACAGCGGTGTTATCCAGCACGTCTTTCATGGTAGATTGAACCGGGACCACAGTCCCCCACGAACACGCCATGAGTTCGCAGCGGGGGGATGTCGGGGTCGTACCAATGCACCCCCCGGATCCGTCTAGCATCTCGGGGTGTTGGTTCCACCTCCCTTCCTTGCTACCCGCACTCTCGGCGGATTGCCCCGTCCGTGATTCCGGGCTATGCGGGGCATCGAAGAGGGGGTGTTACAACAGGGTTGGCAAGCAACGGGGGTCTTGCAGCCAGCGCCACAACTCTGTCGCTATTCTTGTGAGGTATGGCGGTCATCATAAACGATTTCGAACGAAAGACTAATGGATAAACGATGAGCGCCATACGCGACCCGCGGTCGGAGGTCACGTATGGGGCCAGTCTTCGCCGAATATCTCACGGCCGCCGGTCGGGGTCGGGGGCCGATCCTGTCGAGATCCCGTCGAAACTTCCTTGCGAAACAGGGGGGGCCCTAGCGCGACAGAACATCATCTAGTACGCCAAAACACCCAGCCAAGAAAGACAGGATCCCCTCCCCCCCCCCCCGCCCCCCTGCCAAGTCAGCCTGCCGCTTTCCCCTTCGTCGGCGTACCCCCCGTTCTCATTCCACACTCATACGCTTCACTCATGAGATTGGAAACGCCCGTTCCTTGCGTATCCATCACCCGAACCGTTAAAAACCCATCTGCGTTCGCCAACAGCGGGGTCGGGGGTTCTCCATCGTCCGATTTGCCGGTGAAAAAAAAACTACGCGTCCAATATATACACCGTACATACAGTACATCCCCCGCATCCCCAAAAAAGAACCCCCAAAACGCGTCCAAAACGGGGTGTATTCGCTGATTCCAGCTCACGTATACGCGGACAAACAGCGATCCAGATGCGCGTTCACCGCCGCCAGGTTGCGCGGGTCCGGGAAGGGGTGGGCGCAGACGGGGCATGTCGACGTGGCCTCGTTCCCGCTCTGCTGTGATGGTGTTGCCGGGGACGTATTCGACGTCGGGGCGGCGGGGGTGGACACGACCCATTTGCGGATGCCTGTGCGTTCGGGTTGGTTCGCTGCAGCGGTTGCGGAGGGATTCGTCGCGGGTGGGACCGGGTCGAGGTTATCAGGGTTCAACGGCGGGTCGTGGGTATGGTTTGGGTTACCGAGCGACTCGTCCAGACACCGCCCGACATGCTCGTTCATCGCGCGTTCGGCCGCCTCGTCGCCTTTCTCAACCCCATCCGGTGCTTCCATGCCCTTGCCGTTGCTTAGGCCACGGAACAGGAAGACTTTCCCGCAGACCGGACACGTCGGGTGGGTGGCAGAGTCTCCGTTTTCGTCAGCGTCCAACTTACGTTTTTTGTTGCGGGTGGTGTTCTCCGCTGCGTCGTCGTCGTCGTGGTCGTCGTCAGGATCCCCGTGTCTGGCCGCCGGACCTCCATGTGGGTCGACCTCGGAATCGAGCACCAGGAACTTGACGATCCCAAACTCGCGTTCCCGTTTCCGTTCCGCGTCGGCGTCACGTATGATGGGCGCAAAGAAGCCCGCCGTCGTCCGTCCCACCGCGCGGTTGATCACCCCGCTCTCTCCCTGCTCCTCATCTCCCTCCCGCCCTTCGGCCTGTTCATCGGCTCCGTGCGGCGACGACTCGGCAGGCCCGGGATGGAGCGACCGTACAGCCAGTTTCGACATGCTCAGCCCCATCAACCTCAACTTCATTCCTCCTCCCCCCTTCATCATCGCCTCCCACTCCCGATCCAACAACCCCCTCGCAACACGTTCGATGTCCCCGCGTTTCCATACAAAGCGTTCCAGAGTCTTTGCCCGACTCCAGGATCTGAAGTCGGCGCTTTTCAACTTGAGTGTGACACGCAGCCCTTTCCTGTTGGCCTGGCGCAGATCCTCCTCCAGCAGGCTCGCCAGATGCCCGATCTTGGCATACATCTCCTCGCGGGTTGCGATCGGCGCAAAGGTGCGTTCCACTCCAATACTCTTCCGCTCCCCTGCGTTCTCGCCATCCGATGGAGCGGGTGATGGCGGCAACCCAAGCGCCGTCCGTGCGCAGAACGCAAAGAAAATGGGCGAAAACAGCTTATATATCAACACCAACTCCCTCCTCATCTCCCCACACGTGCGGATCCCCAGTGCGTTCAATATCCGTTCATTCACTCTCCCGATCCCCGGTACTTTTCTGATCTGAAGGGATTCGACGAAAGCTGGGACGGCGGCGGGTGTGAGGACGTACTGCCCGTTGGGTTTATTGAGGTCCGAGCAGACTTTCGCGAGGGGTTTTGTCGGGGCGATTCCGGCGGAGGCTGTTAGGCCTGTTGTTGTGAATATATCGGTTCGGAGCTGTTGGACGATTTCCGAGGGTGTTTGAGTAGGATGGGCGGTGAGGTAAGGCGTGAGGTCGAGGGTGGCTTCGTCGAGGGACATGGATACAAAGTGTGGGTCGTATTTCGCAAAGACTTGGCGGACGACGGTGCTTACGCGGGTATATTTCTCAAAGCTCGGTTTGACGATGACCAACCGGGGACAGAGTTTACGGGCGATGTATCCTGGCATAGCGGACCGAACGCCGTATTTGCGGGCCTCGTAATTCGCCGTTGTCAGCATGCCGATGCTGCCGACGGCCATGGGTAAGTGTTTGAGGTGGGGTTGGTCGAGTTCCTCTACCGAGGCGTAGAAGGCGTCCATGTCGACGCAGACGATTGTTCGCGGGGGTTGGAGGGCGGCGGCAGAGAGGAGGGTGGAGGTGTAGGAGGCGATGTAAGATTGTTCGCGGGTGAGGGAGGGGAGGGAGCGGATGTGAGTTGCGAGACGGGTGTAGTGGGTTATTTTGGAGGTGAGGAGGGCGTCGCGGCGTTGTTGGTCCAAAAAGAAGGGTGTGCCCTGCGGGAAGATTTGGTTCGTGGGTCCATCAATGTATCCAGCAATCACTTTCCAAATCGCCAACACCCTCTACGATAATACCTTTGAAGCCTCATAGATAATCTCCTGTATCCGCTCCTTGTCCACATGCTGCGTTCCAGCCTTGTTGGGGTTGATCAGCAACCGGGCTTTCACATTGTCTTCGGACTGCTTTTCCTTCTCCTGGTCGTTCTGCTGGTTCCGTATCGCCCCGTCTCTCTGTTGCATATGCCTTCCCGTGTCGTTGATGGATATCGTATGGGTATCGTCTACCACCATCGTATGTGATGCGGAGGGCTCGCCGTTAACGCCATTCGCCAAGATGTCGCCATGCCCATCCCCATGTCGCTCCCACCGCACATCCTCCTCCATCACATCACAGTCTATCCGCCCGTCGCTCTGCATATACTCCTCTTCGGCCATGTAGCGACCCGCGTCGTCCATTTGCACCTCGTTGGCGTCGTCCTTGTACTCCTCCTCGTAGTCGTTGTGGGTGGCCTCATGTTCGCTTCCGAGTTCCGGCGCGTCAAAGTCCAAGGGGTGGTCGCGGCAGTGCTCTTTTAGGTGGAGGTAGTTGGGCTCGCTACGGAAGTGGGTTGTCTCGTAGTCAGTGCTGTGGGTGGGAATAGGGGTGGCCGTTGCTGGTGGTGGTGGGTGGAGTGCCATTATTACCTGTTACCGTATTATCCTCGTGCGCTGGGGCTCGCCCAGTTCAAATTGAGCAGCGCAAACACTCCCGCAGGCGCAGGGGGACATGGGCGGAGGAGTCACTGTGAGTCACTCCCATGAGTCACTGTGACTCCTCCAGAATGAATCCCATTTGGCCGCTCTTATTCTTGTTGTGGCCAATGTGATGCGACTCCCTTTTGGACCGCGTCACACGAGCAACATACGCGCCATCACAGTACTACGGAAATCTCAGAAAAGGGTTAGGGTTAGGACACCCTGGCTTTCTTATGGGCATGTCAACTGGGGCGCTGACGGATATCCTGTGGAGTCGACGTGATGCCGCTTGCGGGCATGTCTGTCAGACTCTGTCTGGGCTTGGAACGTCGCTGGATCAATCATCCATGCTTGATGACCCCCCGTGCACGTCAAGGCCAACGTCAATTTCAAAAGTGCACGTCAAACAATTACAATATCAATTTCAATTGGGGTGAAAGAAAAAACAAGAAGCTCGATCTAAATTCACTCAAGGGGTCGCCGGGGCAATGGCGCGGGTAGGCCCGAGTGAACAGTTTCCACAGCGATCGATTTGATTCACGGGCAAAAAAAGTGTAAACGGGAGCGTATGCGCGGGAAGCGGTTCGTTAATGATGTCAAGACACCCGCAGAAAGTCCAGTGCCCCTCCTATTTCGAATAACCCAATATCCAATATTTTTGGGTTGAGAAGGCTATCGGAGTGCATTGGAGACCTGCCGGTTGACGGGCACTGTCGCAGTATAGACCAGGGTGTCTGCGTATGTACAGTATTTCCCCTCTTACGCGCGCGCTGGGACACGTTTCTTGGAAGTGATCGGCAGTGGGAGATATCTGGGCCAACAATACGCAAGACAACGAACACACATAAACATCCCCCAAATCCCCTTCCCACACCATTCCCAGAGCGCCTTCTTTTGCCCCCTCGCTGTTTCCACCAGCACCTTCGTATTGGGAGAGGAACCGCTCGCCGGCACAGAACCGCTCGACGTTACCCTCACGTTACCTTACCTTAGCAAGCGTGACACGACAGTTGGACACCCTGCACCGGCTTTCGTCAGCATACGGTTTTTTTCTCTTCACAACACTCTGCACGAACGGACTGCGACTGCGGCCACTGGCGTTGGTTGGGACTTGCGTGCCCGAGAGTGACTGAGTGCATCGTCGGGGAACTGTACCACTTCGGAATTGCAATTCACACTCCGACGGAACCGACTTGAACACGGGCCATTCACTTTGGCGGTCGTGTAGAGACCACGTACGTTACAGAGGTGAGTGACAGCCAGTGGGTTAGTTACGTTGGGTGCCTATTTACTTCCGTGAGAGTTGTTGGCGTTATGTTACTTTCAAGTTTGAGCTTCGTATTCGCATAAGTATTTGGTGACCCCACAAGCACCGCTAATTACTCTTAGTCTCCCCTCTCGCAGCAATCGCCGTGCGCGCGCGTCACTCCACCCAAACCCCCTCGAAGGCCCAGGCCAGAACACCCCCCCAACTGCTGCCTGCTCATCGCCAACCACAACTCCCCTTCCCTTCCCCCAACCCCCCTTCGCCAACTCGCAAGCGTACCTAGTGCGTGAGGGTCCGTCTGCGCCTGCCCTATCCCACCCAACAACCCTCCGGCAACGAGCAGCAGCAAACACCCGGAGTTTGGCCTCGCTTCCCCGTGTTGATTCTCGCACGCGTACAAGATACCCCCCACCGCCCCAAATCACATCGACGAGGAAACACTCCCCACTCGTCCCGAGCAATATCCTCGTTTTTGGCCCAAACCCCGTCTATCCTTACCACAGAAGATTGCGAAATCTCCGACGACCCCGAAAATCTCAAATCACCGAACGCGCGAATCTCGATTTCCAAGCCCCCGACGAACATCTTGCAACGGATATCGCCCAATCCTCCATCCCTTCCGCCCCACACCCCTATCCGACGTTTTCTTTTTTGGAATATCCCTGGCGGACAAAAAAAACGAACAAACTTTTCTTGGGTTCACTACTGAGTGACACCAATTTTGCTCCCCAAAGCGTGACAGACGGAATAAACACCCTCGGTGCTCGATTTCCCATTATCCGCTCGCTTCTCTTCTGTTCTGTCGCCGGCGACTGTACACCCACCGACCCTACCCGAAGCGTAATTTATAACGCCCATATACCCCGCCCCGCCACAACGGTTGATTTGACAGTACCAGTCGATTCTTTGTCACCTACGCGCTATCAACTTTTTTGGGGATAACTGCCTCAAAAGAAACAGTCCGCGCATACCATGTCCACCAAAAAAAACCTCCCACGCAACCTTGTCGGCGCCCTCGGGGACCCCGGCAGCATCAAATCCGTGCCTCCCCCCAGCACATCCTCGACCGCCGCGGCACCGTCCTCCACCGCCCCCTCCACATCCTCGACCTCCGGCCCGGTCATCAACGGCGTGCACCTGATGAACGAACCCGACTCGACAAAGATCATCAGTGTACCCGCTAATGATGGACGTACGGGGGAGAGCATCGAGCTGCAGTATACGGGGTATAAGGTGATTGGGAATGGATCGTTTGGGGTCGTGTTTCAGGCGCAGCTGCTTCCGGGACGGGAACAGGTTGCTATTAAGAAGGTTTTGCAGGATAAGAGGTTTAAGGTATGTTTCCGGCAACTTAATTTTGGTTTTGCGAAGGGTGTTTTTTGTTTTTCGCCTGTTTGTGTGTATGTCTTCTGTTCGCCGCCCAACACCCCGATTAAACCCGACGACTCTCTTCATTTATTAGAACCGCGAACTCCAAATCATGCGTCTCCTCGACCACCGCAACATCTGCTCCCTCAAGGCCTTCTTCTACTCCAACGGCGACAAAAAGGACGAGCTGTTCCTTAACCTCACCTTAGAGTATATCCCCGAGACGATATACAAGGCCTCCAGACACCATTCCAAGGCCAAGCAGACTATGCCCATGTTGCTTATTAAGGTGCGTCAAAAAGTCGCCATGGGGGAAGGTTCAGTTTAGCGGAGTGATACTGATAGGGATTGGATTTTTTCGTAGTTGTATATGTACCAGCTGTTCAGATCGCTGGCGTATATCCATTGCTTGGGGGTTTGTCATCGTGATATTAAGCCTCAGAATCTGGTAAGTCTCGTCTCATTATCGTTCCCTCTCTCTCCCTGTGTCTCATCATCGTGCACCTGCTAACTTGGTCTATGACCCCCTATTTCTTTTGCAGCTCCTAGACCCACACTCAGGCGTCCTGAAGCTGTGCGATTTCGGCTCGGCCAAGATCCTGGTCAAGGACGAGCCGAACGTGTCGTACATCTGCTCGAGGTATTACCGCGCACCTGAGCTTATTTTTGGCGCGACGGATTATTCTGTTAGCATCGGTACGTAAAAAAAACCCCCACCGTCCGCTAAGCTCCCCACACCTCCTTCATGAACACCCCTCGTCAAAAATATCTCCATCCGCTGACTCTGTTCCCGCCAAATGTATACTCACTCCCATTATGAACTTTCAGATATATGGTCCACAGGCTGCGTAATGGCCGAACTAATGCTCGGCGCGCCCATCTTCCCCGGCGAATCGGGCGTCGACCAACTCGTAGAAATCATCAAAGTCCTCGGCACCCCGACCCGCGAGCAGATCAAGAGCATGAACCGCAACTACACCGATTATAAGTTTCCGCAGATTAAGGCTAGTCCGTGGCAAAAGGTGCGTGCGGAACTCACACACCTCCCGTCCTGTCCTTTTTTCGATCTATCCCCGCGGGGAGTGTCTCGTACATTTTACTTTCCATCGTCCCCTTCGCGTGGGGGGTATCACCCTTCCCCAATCAACAACTGACGATATTTTGGCGGCCATCGCTATCGCCCATCCTACCCCCGCAGACCTTCCGCGCAAAACCTACCACCCCCGAATCCCTCGACCTGATCGCCAAGCTCCTCGAATACACGCCCCTGAACCGCCTCACCGCCATCGAAGCCCTCGCCCACAACTTCTTTGACGAGCTGCGTGATCCGAACACGCGCATGCCCAACGGGAAGGAGTTACCCCAGCTGTTTGATTTCAGTCCCATGGGTGAGTCCCATCACACACTCTCCTTGTGGGGCGTTCGGTGATATGTGACCGGGGGAATTATTTTTTGCGATGGCTGAATTTGCGAATTTGTTTTTTTTTTGCAATCTTTAGAATTGTCGATCCAGCCGGACTTGAACCGCGCACTGGTCCCGCCCCACGCGGAGGCCGCGCTGCGCGCCCGCGGTATCGAGCTGGATACGTTTGTGCCGGTGAAGATCGAGCGGCCTACCTTGAATGACTGAGACAAAAAAAAATTTCGTCATCCCGGGTTTCCAAACTTCCAGAGGAAGATTGGGAGGGCTGAGAGGGGGCACGCGGGGAGTGAGTGAGAGATTATATAGATGGGGACACCACCACCTCCTCCTTGGGATGAACATGAACCACCCACCCACCCACCCCCCCCGTCTCGCATTTTTGTATTCATCGTTACACCCGCCTCGCTCCCGCCCCCCCCCCCCCCCCCCTGACGATGGAGGAAGGGAGAGTGGAGCGGGGTTTTTGTTAAACCTTTTGTGTTTTTTTTTTGCCCTTTTTGTCGCCTTCTTCTTTTTTTTTGTTAAGTGTTTTCTTGAAAGAAAAATGCAGAGGTCTCTTTTGAAAGATGTTTGCTGGTTTTTTTGGGGGGCTGACGTACTGTAGGAGCGATGTAACCGCGCGGGATGAGATTGGAGGGTTGCGTATGGGCCACCGAACGCCTGCAAAAAAGGTTGCCAAGAACAACAAAAGTCGTACGGACGCCATGCGTTGGTGTTCATGTGCTAATAGGATACGGACAAGCTGGGGCCGAGAGCGCATAGATCGCGCAACGCATGAGAAGGGGCCCGCATGCGGCAGGGGATAATCAGCTACGTTGCTCATCATCGACGCCGGAACGGTTTGGGGACATCAAGTAGATATCCCCGTCGCCGTGCGGCGACGGTAAGCCACTCTCGTTGGTTACTGGTCAGATGTGGGCCGCCTCCTGGATGAGGTCGCTAGGCACAGCCCACTCACATGTTTTGCGAGCCGTTGCATCCCACCGGATTGTTTTCATGCAGTGCTAGTATGCCGCATCTACACCCGTCTGATGCGTGCACCTCCATCCTCTGAACGTCCTGTCCATGCAATCAGATATCTACTGCCGGGGTGCCGTCTTCATCAGACGAACTAAATCCATGGGGATGGATGATGTTAGGAAAAATGAACGATTTGCATGGGTGGGAATGACACATCCATGGTGCAATGTCGCCGGGTTCAAGGTTTCGCTACGTTCTGATGTGTACTATATCCCGCGCTGTACCTTCTGCCAGCGACGAATACGCTCGACATTCCGCACATGCGGTCCACACCCGGCGTTTGATGCCTCAATGGGCCGGGTTTGAGGGCCTTAAATAATCCCGACGGCTTATTACTTAATCCAAGCTCCTGTTCGACATGTTGGGTATTTGCACGTTTTCTCATTCCTGGAGGGCGTACAGTAGATGTGCGAGGAGATGTGCAGGGAATGACCAACGGGACGGCACACGGACGGCAAGTTGAGGAGACCGCACCCGGCCGACAGTGAGACACAGTCCCGTCGCAGTCTTGGTGCTTGGTATTGACATCGTTCAGTGAACTTGTTCGTGGTTCGCCAGCGCGACGAAGCTCTGCACGAGCCGCGTGGGACAAAACGATGCTGGCGGGACCCTTCCTCCATCTTGTAAAAGTTCCTCCATTTCGTAACGGAGTGAACTTGACAGGTGGCCATGTCCTCCAGGCGACAATGGCGCTCGACTTTCGAGAGAAGGTGTTGTGTATTCTCACTGCACTGAATGGACTCCGTTCGGAGGTTACTAAGCAACCTCCTCCTCGTCCATAGACTCTAGAGGACTACGTTTCTCGTCCAGAGCACACAGGATGGCCTTGGCCGAACCTCCGAACGCGTATGATCTAACGCGTGTTTTGGCTGCACGCGCCTTTCCAACTCCGACTCGCGCTTCCCACATCTGCCCGGCGGACGTCAGATAGGTCCATTATGTAGCGGTGGACGCTCTCCTGCACATCCGCGCATCCATGAGACATCCCACGGTGCCATGCCTATCCGAACTCTTCTGGAAAGGCTTTGCGGAGCTTTTTGAGAAGAAAAGGTGAGGCAACGTACCAGGCCAGTCCACGTAACTCTGGCGGCGGGATAGGTATGCGAGCATCCGATGGGACGTATTGCCGCGAGTATCCCCACTCCACGCTTTCTTGTGCGCGCCCCACATGTCGGGTGATTCCACGCTGGCAATACGTCACGGGGTTGCGTTGCGAGTAAACCCGAGCGCACTCCGCGCTTGTCCCGCAATGGTGGTTTCCTCGGATTGAACCCTACATCGGTTTCCGGAGCGCCCTTTTAACGGATCGCAAAACAGCTGCAGAGGCGCGCTGATTTGCTACTGCGGGTCGATTTCCGGGCGCCCAGTATGGCCGTTTGACGAGCGTAGGCCATGTTGACCGGAGATACATCGCAGTTTTTCAAAGCACTCGCCCAGGACCCAGCTTACGGAGAACATCCGGTCCAGATTCAGCGATATGCAAGGTCTCGGTGCGCTTCGTGTTGACTCCGCCCGCGCAACCAGGTATGTGTTTGCCGCTGCCCAGGGAGCCCTTTGCGTTGTCGAGAAAGAGTAGAGATTGATAAGTCGTCGGAGAGCTTTTCGTTTACGCGTCTTGGAAAGAACGCGTCTTACGTATGTACTGTACGCGGTGTCCGAATTCCCCGGAGCCCATGATCGAATGTCCGATTCCCAGTCTGCTCGCACGCCCGCCGTGGATAGAAAGGCGCAACATGCGGCGGCGGTCGCATGTTTCCTGGCGAGGAGTCGTACGACACCTTTGAGTGACCCGATTCTATGTGAAAGGCCTCATATCCATGTCTGCGATCCACGCAGTGCGATGAAGAAGGATGTATTCCGTCCGTCGACCTGTTTTGCCTCACCACGAACCCACGAACCCCTCAGTGGCGGCGGGGAATCTCTTTTGTGGGAGCATTTGCTTGCGGGTCCGGTTTATCTTCGAGACCATGGAGGAGCAACGAAGTAGTCGATCCGAAAATCGGAAGTAAAAAGAAATCCGGGGAAGAGGAGCAAAGACCCTCCTCCTTAAATGCCCCGGGTCCTAACACCAACGCGGGTTTGTCAACTGGAAGCCACACACGCAGAGGCTCATGCGTCCACTTCCCGTCCTACATACGCACATCTAGTGGGGGTTATTGGGATAGAGGTGCTCAGCTTCCCGCGTAAGACGGGTCCCAATGTCACAAAAAATGCCGCACGGCTGCGCTCCCCGTCTCGCTGTCGGTTCGCGCTGTCGAATCTGCTGCGCCGGCATCACTTACTGTCGAGTGTAAATAGCATATGCAGAAACTACAAACACTTGCAATCAATGAATCATAACATTTCTTCCTGATTCTCGCCGTCGTTTCCTTCGAGACATAGGACGACTCACTTGCTCATGAATCTAGCCCGGCAATTTCTGTTCCCAGCAACATGGTTACAGATTCACTTGCCCACCCATGTGGGGCCTGGCCATTGACAGAGTTGCTGATAAAGCTCGGCAGACGGCGCCAATGGCGGTCGGATGGGTCCGGGTGCCGGTAGTTCATTTGACGGTGCAATCACCCGGTGTGCTGGCAACCTCTGGGCAACTAGTCTGAAAGCATCTCGGCCGTTACGCTGTTGAAATACGGCACATTGGTAGATCTAGATTTCTTGTTGCTTCATTCCCTTGAGGACTTCCTCAGAATGGGACGATATGCAAGTCATGTGGAAGGGGTCACGGAAAATGGCGGTCAGGGGTGAAACTGTCTCATTGTACATGTAGTGCAGCGGTGCTGCGGCATGCAGTTCGGCCTTCCTCGTTTGTACGGTCTTCGCCATGTTGCTTCCCTGCATCCCCCGAATAGTGAGGAGGCGTGCTGGACATTCCTTTCTGTGCGACCTGCTGTTCCGTATGATCGTTGGGCCCAACCGTAAAACTCGCCTCCACACGGAGACATTTAACAGGAGAGGTAAAGGAAGGCTCTCATAAAGCCCGGCCCACATGGCCAGGATCGTCGGCTCGGCATCTACACATCCACCCATAGCTGACCACTTCACGGTTCACATGACTTCGAATGAACGTAAAACTCTCGGGGGGTCAGCTCTCGGTCCTGTTTTTGAAAGAGGTAGGCAAAGTGAACAGAACCCCCATGGCGTACCTCGCATATCCACGACCGTTTGTCCAATGCGCCGGACGATTCCAATGTGTCGAAATTGAGCTGGATGAGCTGTTGCATCTGGCGCGCGAGACCGCGGAGAGGAAGGACGGCGAGGACGAAGATCCCGGCGACCGCGATGCTCATTCCTACGCTGATACCGGCGGCGATGGCTCGGCTGCGGCGGGTGGCGGCTGTAAATCTGGGGAAAACATTCGTGCACGTGCTGGGTTCAGTGACCGTCCCCTCGCGGAAACGCCCGATTTATGAGGGGCTGGGGAAGAAGATCATGGCTGACCTCGGTCCGCGGAACCCCAACGACCACGAGGTATGTGTCGATGGTGCTGATCGGCGTCCCGCCCATGTTGATAATCTGTGTGTGGGGTGACAATCTGGTCAACAACTTCCAGCAGCCTTTTCAGTTCGCGCTTCGTCGGAATGCTCACCCATCGCTGTCCAGCAAGGTCAAGCTCAAACTGCCGTGAGTGCGGCCGGCACCGTCCCGAATTTCTCCACCAGCTTCGCACGCAGATCGACGGTCCGCGGATCCTCGGTGGTACTCGCCCACTAGCATGCCCGTCGAGGGGTCCACGGTGCTGTTTACGAGGATGGTGCTGCTGCTGCCCAGGGTAACGAATTGGCCTGGCTTGGGTTGGATCGTTCGAGAACATTGCAACGACTGCAATCCACACTAAACTAGTAAACACTTGATCTCGATTCGTTATCCACACAGCCGAACGTCGTGTGCCACCCACCGCTGTCGGAAGTCGGTTTGGCGGATATCAAGATGTGGATCCATGAGGTGTCCACCCCGGAAACCTGCCCAAGCAAGCGAAGATCGGCGTGGTGTTGGCGCCGTCGAACTTGGCCAATGTCGTGTATCCTGTGCTTTGCGTTCCCTGTGTATTCACTACCGGAGTTCAAAGACGTCACTTGATACCCCGCTTTGCCCGTGTATATCCGTGATACGACACTCACCACCAAAAGCAACGCCGCGCGGAATCAGCTCAGGTGGGTACTATCCCATGGATTGCTGGGCCCCCCCTCGGAACGCGGCCGTCGAAGGGTTGGGGGATCGGTGAGCTCACGGGTTCTCGTGCTACATATGCAATCCGTTTAACCAACGGAACAATGACCCCTGTGCGTTTCTTGGGTAGGCGATTGGAACTGAACTCACTGTTGGGGGTCCAACACGTGCATCCGCGCCCTGGTCTGATCTACAGCACATATACAGTCGCAAAGGTGGGGTGGTATCACCACTCGCATATAATAACGCCGTTCGACGAGAAAGAGACATGTGGCTTGCTGTTGAGGTCTAGGATGGAGGCCAGATGGTAACCTTTTGTCTTGTCATAGAAAGCGGAGATCTAACAGCGAGGTGGAATCCATAGGGAAGCTGTTGGATCCTGCGAGGCGAGGACGTGGTTGGGGAAGATAAGCCTCGCATAGACCATGGTGGCGATATGGGTGTTTGGGCTCGTCATGTTGGGCGGGAGGGTGGTGCTACGACAGCAGTCGGAATGCCGATCGTTGCGACCAATCACATGCGTTAATGGGAAATCAGTAGGAACTCACTATCCCGGTTTGAATTTTGCGGCCAGACAGACGAGGGAGTCGAGCTTGAACGACTCTCGGACCATGGACAATGTGGGGATGCCGGCGGATTGGTGGAGGTTGGTCCAGTCTACGGCCCCCCTCAACAAGTGTAAGCCGAGAGAGAACGTTGGTCAACAGAGGTGTGTGATAGCATACTTCCGACAAACGCCGCTTTGATATCGGGATTGTTGGTCGTCAGACTAATGCCGGATCGACCGCTCTCACAGAGGATACGATGGAGGCATTGGTCTGCAAAATGATGAAACTCTACATCAATCGCATGCATCTTTTTTGAGATCACCCGTCACCGTGATCACCGCACCTTAGACAAGACAGTCTCCATGAATCTAGTCGACACGTACGCGGTCGAATCTCGGCTCGCATCGTTCAGAACAGATGTGTTCTTATCCAGCCCGGTCAGTCAGAACAGATGCTGGGGCTTGCATTATCCGGAAGGCGGTTGGGTGGGGGCTTACCGGTAGCAATACGCCCGTGAGTGCGAGTGCAACTAACAGTGGGGCCAACAGCGTCAACGGAGTCCGGGGAACCCAACGCCCTTAATCCTCAGGGCTGACTCCTTGGCGAGCTCCTTGATGTTGGGACCTGCATCTGCATTCTCCATGGCGTTCGAAATCAACGTAACGCGACGTGGACGGCCACTGTATGGCAGAAGGGAGGAGCGATGAGACGGGCGGCTCGTACGGGTCGCGGTTTGTACGGGGAACGATTTCTGTCGGGCGCGGATCAACTCACGAAACTGCGGAGGACGTTTCCTCCGTGAAGTTCGATGGGATCGGAGCTCGTTAACTGCCGGACGGTATGGTGTACGACCGTAGCCGGAGGCAGTGGAGCCGATGGAGGGAGGCCATGCACCCGAGCATTTGAATGAAAAAGCGCACGGCGGATGTGCCGTGTATGCGATGGCCGTGCCTTTTGCCATATCGCTTCCTCTGAATCCATTTGCAACAAAGTTGATTTAGCACAGAGCTTTTGCTTTATCGATTAGAGACACCAACTGTTAGCCCCATTGTTCTCGATTAGAGCCACCAAATGAGGAGCGATTCCCACGCTCGCCAAATGATCTGGGCATCAGCCATCGTCGCTGCAAAGACGTACGCGTCCACGACAGATTTTGACAGAGATCGGTAGTGCGGAGTTGCTTACGTAACGCAGGTGCAGCAACCTGCCAGCCTTCTGGCAAAGTGATCCTGTTGTCGGGGTGTGGTCGGCGTGATATGGAGCCCTCGGGGAAGGCGGCCGTGAGCACCCCTTCTGATAAATTATTATATCAAAGTTGACAACATCCAGCGGAATGGGGGAGATCAAACTCGGCACAGTCTGATCTATAATCCGGTCTCGATGATCTAGAATACCGTAACGGTTTCCACGGCGACCCTTGACGTACATGCCCAATCCACAGCCGTCTTACGGACATTCAGCGGTCGCCTTTGATGGGAAGATCTTCCCTGGGCCGGGTTGGATGAGGGTGCGGCTGAAGGGGGATGACAACATAGTGCTACCCTCTCATGCCAGAAAAGAAGCTTCGAAGTCCGTCAAGTGCCGAACCTAAACCGCTTCCGTGCGAATACCTCTTCCTCGGGAGCTGATCTCCTCTTCCTCGAAATCACCCCCCCGTTCGAACAAAAAAAAGAGGGTTGGCGATGCAGGTGCAAGGGTTCCTTTCACAATGCCATCGCAACACGGACGTATGTAACTTGGTATTAGAGAAGCAGGAGATCTCCTCCCAACAACCTGATGGCGAAGACATCGGATGGCTGCGGAAGCAGGCAGGTGTGCGTGTACACTCCGCCGACAAGAAGGGCGGTGAGGATGCACACAGGATCAACCTATTTCGGGATGAGTTTTTTGTGACAATGGAGAAACAATTTGTGGCGGGAGATGCGCGTCAGTTCCAGTAGAGTGTGGGTTGTTGCAAAAGCGTTGGTTGGTTGGTCGAACCGATACCCTGCTCGTCCCGCTCGCTGACGTGAAGGTAACATTTTGTGAGGGTATGCCAACCCTGTCAATGATCGGCGTACCCACTTCCCGGCGCACGGCGCTCACACGTGGGGTGGATTGAGCGACGATGATGCAATGGTGAAGCTGGAGTCTGGAGACGCGTTCGCCTTGGAATTGCCATGAATATGATCTCTGATGAATTTGCCGATTCACGGGAGGGATGAATGAGGCTTGCGCTCCACGATTATCACAATGCCCCATGAGGGAGCTCCAATGAGTCACGCTGAGCAATACACTGTGAGACAATGCGCCCCCCCCCCCTATTGTCTGATAAGGGGAAAGAACGAACACGCACAATGAATGGGGAACAAGAAGAACAAGAAGAACAAGCACAGCAAGCACAGCAAGCACAGCAAGGACAAGGGCAAGGACAACCCTCCCCAAAGAATAATAACAAACACTGGGAAAACCCCCACAGAGCAACTCACAACCAACGCAATCTCACTCGCAACCCACCAGTGCACGTCTATCTATCTACGGAAGGGGACTGTGAGAACAGACAGAGCAGCCAGCTATTTGTACTGTACAGAGAAAGGGACCTCCGGAACCGCAGGCTCGTCTCCCTTTTTTTTGCCCACCCGCCACCCACCTGCCCTCCCACGCCCCCATCACTCTTCTCCGCGGCCTTCAAATACTTATTCGTACGCCCACCCACGCCCCTCCCTCCCCTCGGACTTCTTCAACCCCTCTACCCTCGGAGTTCTTACAATACGTAGTATTCCCACGCCACCCCTACTTTACATTCAGCTCACACAATTCAAAACTTCCACGATGTCGCCTATGCGTGCACACAACCACCCCCCTCCAACCTCCGATAACTTCCGTCCAAATAACGACACCGATGCTACCACTCAAGCACTGTACTGTCCGCCGCCGCCAGTACTGGATATTATTGATTCCCATCAATTGCTGATCAGAGCTCAACGGACAGCACCGCAGGACATTCAACTGTTTCCGTCACAGCCTATTCAGTTTTTGACCGATGGCGGTGTGAGGATTTATACGAACAACGCGGCGGGATCGGGAGACCAGCAGCAGCATCAAGTTTTGCTCTCCCAACAGGTAAGCACCGCGACCGTTGGAGCGATGGATGTGGATGCGAGCCATGCGAGGCCGTGAGCGAAGCGAGCGATGCTGGCTGTCTGCGGGGGTGAGCAAAGCGAGGCACCTGCGGGGTTTCTGGTTCGTGAGCGACAGGGAGCAGTAAACCTGAGCGGCAGCGAACGATCGTCCTTATTGCATATACGCTTCGTTCAAACATCATTCAACCAATTATCCGCCCCACCTTCGCTTCGCTTTCGCTTCGCTTTCGCTCATTCGTCGCTTAGCTCACCGCGGCACTTTGAAACTTGAAGGCGGCACATCCTTGTGTTTCTTTCGTTTCAATCTCACGTCCTTTCTCTCTCTCCCAAACAGGAACCACACCCACACCGCCACACCTCCCTCTACGCTAACCAAGACTACGTCAATTTCGTCGGGCACGGTCTACCCAGTTTCACTCAATCCCACACCCACGTCCCCTCCCATGACATAAAAATGCACGGCTTATCCACCGCCGATATCCACCATCGGGAATCGATCCCCCAACACCAACAACAGCAACAACAACAGTCGTCGTTTTTAAATATGCTATACAGCGAGGCAGCGGGGCCTGGTGCGACTGGGACGAGTGCGGATTTGGTGGGGACTTTATCTGGCGTTGGGATCGCGGGATCGAATGGTGGAGGGAATGAATGGATCGTGGGTGAGGACGCCGTCATTGCGACGGAGGCGAGCTGGAATGCGTGGCAAGCCTCCAACACCACCACCAACGCCAACAACAGTCCGGGAAACTTTCACTTTGAGAATGCGTTTTATGAGACGCCACATATGCCCTTCACCCCACTACCCACCGCTGGATCGTATCATCAGCCACATTCTCACACTCAGCAACAACAGCAACAACAACAACAACATTACACACACCCCACACCATCATCCTACCACTCTTCCGATTGCGCCTCGAGTTCGAGATCGCATTCACCACCTAGCAAAATACCTGTGCGGAGTGAACCACAACCGCATCAACAACAACAGAAGCCGCGTGCCGCAACGACTCCAGTCACAAACACGCAGCAGCAAAGAACGGGTAAAGCGAACGGACGCCGAACTGCATGTGGTACGTAAAAGAAAGCGCCCCCCCAACATAAACGAGGTGAGATAACATCTACTGATATACTGGTTTACGCTTTGTATTTTTGTGATTAGATCAATGCCGCCGCCGAAAACACCGCTGCGACGGCGGCCGGCCGCAGTGTGTACCTTGTTCGATTTCGACGGCGGGGAGGTGTACTTACGATGGGGAGGTGTTACCTGGACCTGCTAATCCACAACAACAAGCACAGAAAGGGACAGGAGAAGGCCAACAGGGGAGTGTGATGGATAAAGAGAGGGAGGAGAGGGAACGGGGAGAGAGGGAGCGGGAGTTGGAGGAACGGGTGAGAACGCTGGAAAAGATGTTGGGGGATGCGCGGAGGGGGATGGGTGGGGGCGGGGGTGAAGCGAACGGAGGGAACGATGGTGGAGCGAACGAAACGAGTGCCGGTCTGGATACTGCACCACCTGCTACGAAACCGAGAAGTCAAAGCCAACCCACCCTCGGAAATCCGAACGCCATGGACACGGCCCTACCCATCAACGCACCAGGTAAAAAGTCTAGCAAGTCCCAGCATATCACTCACCCAGCCCTAATCTCCCACAACTCTCTCAATGTGATCGACAGCCCTCGCCCCCGACACCCTCCCCCTCCTCCGGATCCACTACTCCACCTTCGAAGAAGCCGACCAAGTGATCCACAACCTCCACCTCCATGCATCCTCACCCGCGTCATCATCACCACCGCCTGCAACTGAAAAACCCGACCCGACACCAAGCAAAGTCGTCGAACAGTTCTGCAGGGAGTACAAGCAGCGGTACGCGAATACGGGCCCGACGCCGGATATCTATTTTGTGGACGATATCACGCGGTTGACGGAGGAGATGAGGGTTGACGACGACGACGAGGAATCGACCGCGGCGACTGAGAGGTCGAGTCCCGGGGCCGCGGGGACGGGGGCGGGACAAGGGGAAGTGGCGGTGGTGTTGCCGGAGGATATCAACGAGCCGTATGTGAATATGGAGCTTTTGGAGTTACATTTCAAGTAAGTCCCATCCCATCGTCTCCGTGTCTCGCTACATCCTGTCCTATGCATCGTCGCCTCCCGCTTCCCATCCCTTCACCCCATCTTCAACCCGCACAAAAAATTAACCAGTCCCCCTTTTAAACAGACACGCAACCTCCCTGATCCCCTACCCCCTCCTCCACCGCTCCACCGTCCTCTCCCGTCCGTCTTCCCTCCCCCCACTAACCCTGTACGCCCTCTACGCCAACATCTGCACCCTCCACCCCTCGCCCTCCATCCGCGCCCTTCAAAACCAATTCTACACCCGCGCACGCAATCTGGTCGTGAGGAGCATGGAGAATCCGAGCGTGGGTGTGCTGCAGGGTCTGCATCTGCTGACGATCGCCACGTTGATGCGGAGGAGCATGAGGGCCGCGGGCGTCGTGGGCGGGCTGGCGGTCAGGATGGCGGGGTGGTTGGGGGTTGGGAGGGAGGAGGAGGAGGAGGAGGGGGACGAAGGAGTTGGGGCGAATATCATGGGAGCGCGGGAGGGTGGAGGCGGCGGGGATGAGGAGGGGGAAGGTGGAGGCGGATGGAACGAAAGGGAGGATGGGGATGGAGGCGAGTGGAATGGAGGGGAAGGGGTTACGGTTATGGGGCAGGGGGTGAGGAGGGGACGGAAGAAGAAGATGGGGTGGGTGGAAATCGAAACGAGGCGGAGGATTTGGTGGGCGTTGTATATTTCCGATATGTAAGTTCCCATCCCTGTCCTCCACATCCATTTTATACATTTGAAATTCCCCCCCCCCCCCCCCCCCCCCCCCCTTCGCTCACTCACATCTATATCCCCATCTTAGATTAAAATCAGCCATCCAAAACCAACCAACCTTCTTCGAACGCCCGCACCACTACAACGTGCCCCTCCCCTGCGACGACGCCCTGTGGGAGCTCTCCGACACCACCGGCCGTCTACCTCTCCGATACCTCCACCTGAAATCCGAGAGTTATTGCGCGTTGGGGACGTCCTTCATGTCCGTCTGCGCTCGTGTACGTTAAAAACAAAAAATTCATTGGATCATGTGGAGTTTTTACTAACATACTGTGAATATGTTTACAGGCGGTGGCGTATAATCGCACGGCATTGGCGCAAGGGGTGGATCTGACGCGGTTCGATCCGGTGTATGCGGGCCTGGAGGCCGAGGTGCAGCACTGGTACATGCGGTGTCCCGGGACGGTGTGGCGGGCGGAGGGGGCGCGGAGGTTTACGATGAACCCGTTCGGTGATTCGGATCCACAAGACGGCAGCAGCTCAACTCACGATTCGCCCAACGCCAACGACGATGGGGAGGAAGTGGTACCCTACCACGCAGTCGATCTGTGTCTCCAGCGACTCGCGACGCTGTGCTTGCTGCGACGGCCACGCATGGTGGCGGCGGTTGGGGAGGGGAGGGGGACGCGGGAGGCGAGGGAGTGTGTGGAGGAGGCGGTGCGGATCGCGAGGGTGTTTGTGGGGGTTACTGAGCGGTTGGTGGGTGGAGGCGGTGCACCCGACTCGGGGGTTGGGGACGCCACGCCGAGTGGGGAATCACAACCCACTTCGACGACCGCAACACAGACACGAGGACCGAGCGACGCCACGGCATCAACCGAGACCAAGCATATCCATGTCCCCCCAGTGACACTCATGACCTGCCTCGGCATCCGCGAAGCCGGGTTCATCCACATCATGGCGAGCTGCCACGCCCTCGTCTCCACCCCCTCCATCACCGCCTCCACCTCCACCTCCCCGCCGCCGTCCTCTTCACCACACAGCAAGGAAAGCCTGGCAGCCTTCGACCAAGCCCAGAATGATTTCAAGAAAGTGCTGAGGTTTTTGAACGCAGTCACCAGACGCTACCCCCCGATCCTGTGGATCACGCAGCAGCTGATGCTGGTCAATGAACGCGTCGTCGGCGGGGTAAAGATCGGCAAGGGGATGCTGGGCAACACTACGGGCCCGGAGCCGTGATCGTAGGAGGGGAGGTCAGGGAGGAGACCTAGCCCTCCTTGTATGCGAGATGAGAACCATTTTTCTGGCATTTTTGTATATATGTAATTTTTTTCTCGGGATTGGGAATGGGGATGGTGAATGGTATTTTTTTTTGGGGATTGACCGCGGTACTTTCTTTTCCTTTTTTTTTTTGAGGAGCCGGATGGATGGCGGCTTGTGGGTGAGGGACGTCTCGAGGTGGGCGGGCTTGGGAATTGGGGACGAGATGTATAAAGAATGGAGCATGTGCGATCGTCTTTTAGAAAATCCGCCGTATGCGATGTTGGGGTCCCGCCCCCCGCCGCCGCCGCTCCTCAGCGAGCGAGCGAGCGAGTGGATGTGCGGGGCATTTGAATGGATTCGGGGCGGTCGTTCGATTCGGGATGTAGATTCTCCCCCCACGACGATATAGGGTTGCCCTTATGTTTTCGTGCTCTGGAGGTTTGGGATTCCATTTTTCCGCAGGGAGGACAACTGCGGTATGCATTGCGTCGCAGGGCGGGGACGTAACGTAGTCTCCTACCCATGCGTTTCTGTCCGAAAGTGTGCAGTGTGGTTGATGTATATACAGTTGTCCGGTGGTAAGAAGGGAGGGATGTTCGTTGTGATATGGGGAACTGGAAAACGTTCTCCCTTCCCGAGCAGCGCTGCAAGGGATGAAACTGATGGGGTGTCTCTTATCGTAGGAGTGGGGTTTGCGGTACGCAGATGTGGGTGTGGGTGGGTATATATGTACATGTTCTTCTTGTAGGGTCATGTGAACAGGTCGGCGTAGAAGCTGTGGATGGGGGTGTGTGATTAGCACGGGCTTCTTTTCACCTCTGGCCTACGGTAGACTCCGCCACCGAGAGCGCAAATACGCATTGAAGGGGGCAAACTTACCGGCCCAGTGATAAGCTCGCCTTGTGCTTGTTGCACAGCCCTTCGATGTCGTGGCGGCGGATCAGTGTTCTGTCGAGAAAAAGTCGGTCAATCGCAAACATCCCGTCGAACTACTGTAGCGGTTACTCACGGCCGACGGTAATTCATCTTGAGCGCCTTGCAATGCTTATGCGCCCGTTGCGCCGTGGCGCGGACCAGCGTGCCGAGCGTGTGCCGGCTGATGATCATGCCGTCCATCAATGGTCCGATTTTCTGAAATGCCAGAAACACGGGTTGAGCAAGGTAATATCGATACAGAAAGTGTTCAGAAGGCATCCGCGTCCGACCTCGCTCACGGTCGGTCAGTCAATCCGCAACTCACCGTCAAATCCTCACTCCCGGCCTGTCCCACGCCCTGCAAGCTCGCCAACGCCGGATGCTGATGATGGTGATGCCCGCCGACCGACCCGGGCGTCGGATGCACGCCTCCCACCGGCAGGATGCGAATCCAGTACAACCCGGGGGCGTGCGGGAGCGGATGCACAAAGATGTAGATCTGCGCGAGGGAGCCGGCGCGCACGAGCCGCTGCTGGATGCGCGAGAGGCGGTAGATGTCTTCGATCCAGATGAGCGTGACGACGTCGTCGTGGGTGAGGTGGGTGAGGAAGTCGTGCGGGTGGGTGGGGTTGGATGCGTGGGATGTGGTGGGTGGTTTTGATGCCGATGATGATGAGGGTGACACCTCGGATGTAGCAGAAGTGGGGATGTTACGCATCGACATGGAGACCGAGGATGCAAGTGAGACGTGGCTCGCTGACGTCGCGTGTTCTTTCGTAAGGGTCGGGTCCAGCTCCGGTACGAGTCCAGCGGCGGCTGGGGTGCCCTTTACGACCGCCGAAGATGCAGCCGAGATGCGAGCCGGGGGATGCGAGATGGGGCGTTCGCGGGGCACGCCTAGCGGCCGCGGGACGGTTCGTTGGGGCGATGTAGAGCGGGCTTTCTGTGGAGAAGAGGTTTGAATTGAAGTATGTGATAAAGCGGGCGCGGCTGGTGATGACGAGGACTGCGATCCTGGCAACGGTTTCGCTCGTCGGATGTAGTACGGACAATGAAAGACCATCTCGACATGTTTGCTTGCAAAGTAAGGCGCAGTATCGGCGATAGACGAAGACAGTGCGCCTTTGAACCCGACGTGCGTCGCCAGATCGACAGGCCAGCCCAAGCAGTGCATGAACTCATCAAAGTCATTACTGACCGTAGCCCGATGCAAGATCTCGTCAACCGAGTCGTTACTCGATCTGCAGAACAGCACCGAAATACTCATACAATCGCGTTCGGGTAGCTTGTCCACTCGCTTCAGCTCCTCCAGCAGCGCGTCGGTCATCGTCAGCGGCCAGAGTCGCGACTGCAGGTCGGGTTTCAGGAGTCCGAACTGGGAGAGGAAGATCCGGAACGCGTTGGGGGTCTTGGTGTGGGGATCCGTGAGATCCACGGGTGCTGGCGGGATGGCGGCCGTGGTTTGCGGGAGGTGAGCACCACTTTTGTCGACGTTGTCCGCCCACTCCTGCTCCATCTGGATCTGGTTCTGCGTTACCTTCTTGATCACTTCATGTCCTTTACGATCCGTGTCGCCGTCGCCTAGTACGTCGTCCAGGGCCGGGATACTCGTCTCGTTCACGCATTTGTAGTGCACGACCGATGCACCTTTGGGGGTGTAGGGATAGGCTGCCGGGACGAAATGGCGAGACCGAGATGTTGATGTTTGCACCGTGACCCCTGTTTGTTGTTGCGGGGATACGGGAGATGCAGGCGCGTTGGAGGCATTGATGAAGGGAATAATCGACTGGTCAGGTGAGGTGATATCGCCAGCCGATGCATGGTGGACGTCGTCAGTGCTGCTGGAACTGCATGTGCCCAATTCGGCAGAGCCGTGACGAGAGTCAGACGAGATGGTGATCTTGGGAGGCTGAGGCGACCCGGGAGTCTCACTTGGTGCGTCGGTCTGCGCGGGGAGAGATGCCACGGAGGTATCCGCTGTTGTTTCGGCCGCTGAGGGTGGTTGATCCATGGTCGTGTCCGGCGTACGGTAGTCCTCCTCGACGTACCGGAGCGAACTCATCCAAGTGTACTTTCCAGTCGCGTCACGTAGGACGAGGGTCATGTACGGTGTGAGGCGTTTTGGGCCACCCAATCGCGAGACTTGTCCTGCGGAAGGCCGTGAGAGGGACGAGGTTCGACCACTTTCCGGCAGTCTGCCCGTCACCGACGCTGTCTCCTTCCGCGCCTCTGCTGGGTCGTCAAGTACCGCCCAATGTGGCGTCTCGACAATTCCAATGATGATCCGTTTCTCGTACGCATAGAACCGCATATACTTGCGATAATCCGCCAGCGTGACTTTAGGAGTGGGTAACGCAGCCACCTCCTCCGCGGTCAACGAACTCGCGTTCCCATCCTCGTCCCCGTCTTCATCACTACTCCCATCCCTTGCACCAAACTCATCCGCCCACATCTGCCTGCGCCGTCTCTTCCCCAACGCCTCCCTCACCGCTACAATCCTCCCAACCTCCCCCTCCTCATCCCACATACTACTAACCTTCGCGACGCCCGTAACCTCTCCATACGGCGGAAAATGCCCGAGATGATTCACCATATGCGCCAACGCCATCTCCGCGGCCCCTTTGATCGTCAACTCGGCCGTCAGGTTCGCAAACGTCGGTAACCCCAAACCGGCATCTTTCGTCCCCGTGCTCACTGACCCCGCCGCGCTCGGCGCCGCGGACCCGCGGAGTTTGGGGATAAGTTTCGACGCCGCGATGGTATGCCGCTGCCCTTTCTTCTTATCCCCTCCCCCCGTTTCCACGCCATACGCCGCGATCCCAATCCCAACCCCGCCGCTGGCGAGCTGGCTCAGATTGCCGACGGTCGAGCTTGCGGTCAGCGAGGAGGAGTGCTGTGGGGACAACCCGGAGTAGGTGTTGGGCGGGCTGACGGCTGCAAACTCGTCTTCGCGGTCCAGCAGCCCGATCCCGCGGCAGAGGGTCGCGATGACGGCCCGGTGGCATTCTTTGTCGTCCGTGATCCAGTCGCCCGCGGTTACCCAGCGGACGAGGCAGTCGTAGGCGGCGATGATGAGGGGTTGCGCTGCCTGTGTATATCGGGGTTTAGATTTTGAATCACAGCTTGTTGTTTGTGGGGTGGGCGGGCGCTTACCACTAAGTTATCCTCCAGCAAACTCTGGTCGACATACCGACATAAACTCAAAACCAGCTCGCGGGGACAATTCTTATTATCCCGCCAGATATACTGATAGAAATGCGACAACGTGTTGAGCGTCTGGAACGCCGTGCGGGCGACATCTGGGGGCCAGCCTCTTATCGGCTAAACGAGAAATTCCAATATCAGAAAACGATATCGCAGAAGCCACATTGCAGAACGATAGATGAAAATGAAGCGCAGACTAAATATACAAACCTTCTCCTGCACAACCCGAATAACCAAAGCCGGCAACCCCGGACAGAACGCCACATCCTCCGCGACGAAATTGTTGACGAGGTGCAGGATGTAGCGCGCGTTGGGCGGGGAGTGTTCGGTGGTGAGGGAGGCGATGAGCATTTCTGCGAGGTGGGCTTTGAGCTAACGAAAAATAAATCAGCATGGGTCTCAGAATGCCTATTGCGACGGGGGAATGAAACACACCTTTTTGAACAGCGGCACGTCCTCTCCCCCAACCTGCGGGTCCTCGCTATTCGCATACATTGCCTTAATCTACACCAAAACATCGTCAACGTCCCATCTCCCGCTCTCCATGCTCAGGTCATCTCCAAAACTCACCGTCCGCAAAAGCAACGCATCCTCCCCTCCTTTCCCCACCCCCATCCCCGCCGCGGCCCCAACATACTTATCATACCCCATCCACGCCTGGCTCAACGGGACACTCTCGAAATGATTGGGCAGTGCGATGATGCATCCGATCACCGTATATGCCGCGCGCCGGAGGATTCCGTCGTTTACTGCTGTCGCGGTTGATTTCTGTTGTTGGGGATGGGGGGCATTTTGATGGGCAGGGGTATTATGGGAGGCAGGACGGGGTAAGATACGACGTAAGGCGATGACGAAATCGGGGACGAGGATGCGGGAGCCGGAGAGGTCGCGCGCAAAGAGGGTGCCGCTGTTGAGGAGGATGGAGGTTATGGCGCGGGTGTCGTTGCGGAGACCCTAAGAACAATCCATCGTAAAAAAGAGATTGTAGATTTGAGTATGCTTCCATGCTTCCCGGGGAGGAGGGGGAAACGAGGCGAAAGGGGCAGAACGGTTGTATGCGATGTGAAAACGATTACACAACAATACCTCTTTCACTGCCGTGTAGAAGCGTTCCAGATACGTCCGCTCAAACCGCCGTCGCCGCTGCGGTTGGCAGAAGATGCGGCAAAGGATGCCGAGGGCTTCTGCCCTTCCCGCCGAGTAACTATCGCATAACCAATGACCTCTCTTTTAGCTTCCCTCACCGCGACAACGATAATCCACATGAAACGAGCAACGTACTCGGACCCCGTCTTGGTCGTCGCCTCAAACAACCACGTCCCAAACATATGCAGCAAGGTGCTGCCGTCAGGCACGCCGGGGGTGTGGCGGTCCTGTTACCGAAACCCATCAGTTATCCTTCAACACAGAGCACGAATCCCGCATGTATGTGTTGACTCACGGCAGGCTCTTCATCACCCCCAATCCGATGCCATACGTGCACGACAGCGCCAATGCCCTGCGAATGCGGTCAACACAAACAAGAATTATTCATGAGCCATCACGCTTCTCCGGTCTATGCCACGCGATAGAGCAACGTGGATTTCTCCCCTGCGCATACCTTAACAGCAACCTCGAAATTCGCCGCTAGCAGCGCATTAGGGTCTCCTATCAGATCTGCAAATGGAGCAGACTCCGGGTCAGTGGCAGAGTTCCCAATAGCTTTCCACCGTCTCTGTTTGCGAGCGTAAATGAGGCCTTACAGATCGTGCGATGCCACGCGTAATACACGAATTCGGTGTCGAGTACGAGCGTCACGTTGTAGTTCTCGTCGCTGCAAAAAGACATGGGCCCGAAAATGGAAATCAGTACCGCATTTCCGCAACCGCCAGGTAAGCCCCCTTCCCACCCCACCCCCCGCCGCCAACTGTCTCCGTGAAACCAGTACCCACACATCAATAACAACCCTCTCAGCCCCCTCATTCGTCCCATACAACAGCCCAACAACCCGTTTGGTGAGCCCGAGGATGGTCGCGTTCCATTGGTGCAGGATGGGGAGGCGGTGTGTCCATGTTGTGAAGTATTTCTGTAAACACACCATCAGCTTTTGCTTCCCTCTTCCATGGGCTGTCTGTTCTGACGCACCTTGAGACAATCCCACATGTAGACTCGTCGGACTCCAGCACGTAACCATAACTCGATGAGCACGCGGATGAGGTGCTGGCAGAGAGCATCGGCCATCCTCGGTCCATAGGTTCCCAAATCCGTCGCTTCCCTCTTCTCCCGTTCCCTCTCATTCCCCCTCCCCGTCTCGCCATGCTGATGAGATGGCTGTTGGCTCCCCACCGGCAAGCCCAACAAACAATCCGCAACCCCCAACATAACCTTCAACAGCACAATCCACGTCTCCTCCGAGAACTCTTCCCCAAGCTGTCGGGCCGCGGTGGAGATTATGGAGAGGGCCGTGTGGCAGAGGTCGACGTGAATGCTGAGCAGGTCGGTGGGGTCTGTTGCGGAGCCGAGATTGGGTGGGGGAGCCAGTGGCGCGGGGAAGCTTGGTGGGGGCGACGTTGCTGCGGCTGTTGTGGGGAGGGTGGGGGAGCGTGGTTGGAAGAGGAGGGAGAGTTGTTCGAAGATTGTCTGCCAGAGAGAAGAAAAGGGTCAGTAACAATTGGACATGCTGATATGAACTGAATGAAGCGAAGCGACGTCTGGATGGATGGTTGGATGGGTGTTGGTTGATTGAACAACACCCTGGTCGCTCCGCGCCGACAAGGATGTTGGGCTGCGGTGGGGGAACGTAGCTCGCTTCGCTCGCAAAAGATCTGACGCACTCCGGAGTTCGCTAAGGCCGTGATTAGGGGTATTTGGGCCTTTCGCGCAAGGAACTCGCTCGCGAAAGCACGCCCTGGTCGACCTCGCTACGCTCGGCCTCCCAGACCGGCTTCAAACCCTGCACCTCGCTTTGCTCGCCGCAAACAACTGCAGTCACTCGCTCCCCTCTCGCTCTCCCTCACTCCTCTCGCATGAAACGCACCTGCCAAAACCTCTGCTCAACCTCCGTCCCCGTCAATTCCCCAATCGCCACGGGAGCACCCCCGACCTCCCCATTCCCACCCCCCAGCCAACTCGCATAAACCCCCAAACACGCCCTAATAACCCCCCACTCCTCAATCGGCAACGCAAACCCCTGCCCCACAACCTCCATAGCCCACCGCACATGCGCGGCGGACGTGAGCAGCGCCGGTGGGGCCGCGACGAGCGTGGAGTTGGGCAGCAGGCAGGAGGTCACGGAGGAGATGAGGGTGAGGCGGGTCGGGAGCGGGAAGGCGGATAGGATGTTTGTGTCTGGGTGGTGTGGGAGGTCGCGTAGTTAGACCGACGACGGCGGGATCATGTGAACCAAACCCCACACGCTTACCGATGGCATGCTCGAGAAGGCCCAGCTCAGCGACCCGTTCGATGAACATCTCGTGTGGGTTTCAATTCCTCCTTTTGGTGTGTTGTCTTGCCTTTCACACTTTTCAACGTTTCGGGACAGTATACCTTCCCCTCTGCGTATGACTTGGCTAGCACCCACTCCTGAATCCGCGACTATCCCAACACGAATTCGGCGAACACGGGCCGCGAGACCAAAGCCAGCCAATATCGTCTTTTTAGTTCGTGACAAAGATGAATGTGACAGCCGGGCGGGCGTTCGCCTGTTACGCTGTGCATTTGTGTCGTGCTGCCTGTTGAGTATCTGCCCCCCCTTCCGACCCCCTGTTCGCGTTACTTAGTGCCATGTAGACGGTGACTCCGAAAGTTCGACAGCGCGTTTTAATTGATTCATGCGGCGCACGTGACTTCTTTTTCTTCTTCTCAACCTATCATACAGTATCCGCTCCTCCCAACCGACCGTCCAACTAAAGTGTATGACGGGATATGCATTGCAACATTTTCTACCATGAAAAAAAGAGCTTGGAAAACAAACAAAAACTCTCTGTTTTTCTACATGGGGGACACAACCCCCAACTACTAAAAACCTAATTACGCAAAAAAAGAAACCCCACAGAAAAAAGAAAAAAATCACTACAGTACGCCCAGCGCATTCGAGAAACAAGCAAAAACCAAAGGAGAATCAGAAAACAACCGAAAAATAAAACTACATGGGGGGTGATGGATGGAATGGGTACGCCGCTGTAGGGGGCGCATGATATGTCCATGAAGGGGGATGTCGCAAACCGGATGTGTGATGAATGAATGAACGCGGGATGAACGAATGGGTTACGAAAGTGGGTTGAGAACCAATGTTCCCAGGCGCCCGCTGGAGCGTCGGGGGTGTGAATGCGTGTGAGGGGATGCGTGGTGGCCATCAGCAGCTGATAGTTCGATTCGGGGATCCGTTCGAGCCGGGGGCTGGGCTATACCCATCATCTACCGGCCATATCCATACCCGCCCTGTCCATACCCCTGCCCCTGCTGGCTGTACCCGCCCTGTCCATACGCACCGTCCTCACTCTCCCTCGCAACCCCGTACTGCGCCCTGCCTCCGCGTTCACTCCCGCCTCGTTCGCTGCCATACCCTCCTCCCCGCTCACTGCCGCCCCTCGCGCTCTGGGATACACTCGTCGGCGACGTGTACCCGTACGCGGGTCCGGTGGTCATGTACGCGAGCTCGGACGCATTCCCGGTGTTGGAGCGCACGGGGGTGGGTGAGCGGATGGAGCGGTTGGATGGGTTCGGTGTGGGATTGTGGAACGCTGTGGTGGACTGGGAGTCGTACACATCATCGTAGTACGATACATTGGTCGCGTTGGTGGTCGTCGCGGGAGTCGTCGCGCGCGTGAGATGCTGTTGGGATCCGTTGTTGGTGTAGCGGGGGTAGTCGTTGTACCCGTCCTGGTGCGGGGAAGCCACCTGAGAAGGGGCGTAGTACTCCTGCTCATCGTTGGTGTAATCATACACGGGGTACTGCCGAGCGGCCGCGACGGCCGGGTAACTCAACCCGTCCTGCTCACGGGTAACGCCATACGTCTCTCTTGCTGCACCGCCGGATTTCGCGGACTGGTCGAGGTAGTACGCGCGCATGTCGTAGCCGTCGTTCTCGACCGCTTTGGTGTTGACGCGGGTGTTGTGGATAGTGGAGGATGTGGGGTTGTAGGAGGAGGTGGAGAAGTTGGAGGGGCGGCGGCCGGAGGTTGTTGAGGAGCGCGAGGAACGGTTGGTGAAGTGCTTGTAGATCGCGTAGGGCGTGGAGGCCATGAAGGCGGCGCGGCCGGTGCCGAAGACGAGGTAGGCGGCGAGGCCGAGGATGGCGCCTGGGTCATAATTTTAGATTCACATTCGGGAGCAAACTGAAAGGGAATATGATGTGACAGAAACTCACCAGCATAAAACGTAACCGGAATATGTCTCGGGTCCGCAGTCATAAACTTATTATTCGCCACCGCCTCCACATACTTCCAGTTCGCAATCACAACCACCACCAAGAAAACAACCACCCACACTCCAAACCTGACACACATCGCTTTACTGATCGTCGCGCTGGAGTTCGGGGACGTGCCGCCGCGGCTGCTCTTGCCAACACCTCCGCTCGTGCTCTCATTGTTCGTGCTCATCTGACTACGGTACACGATGAGTTTTCCGCCGGCGTGGAGGATCATCGCCACACACGCGAGCGTGGAGAGGCCATTGTACCACATGGGGCCGTAGATAAAGGATTTGACGGGATAGACGGGCTGGCAATAACTTCCCAAGAAGGCGAAACCGGGCTCGGGGATTATGGGCATCATGACGGTGGTGCCCGCGGGGGCGCCGGGGACGGGCACGGGCACCATCACGGGTACCGCGGAATTCATTTTCTGGATGTTGAAGTAGGCGACGACGGCGGTGGGGATGGCCGCGACGATGAGTGAGCTGGTGAGGTAGATTGGGAAACGACGGGATTCACGGTCCCGGAATTTGGTCGAGCAGACGGCGGACCAGACGTTGAAGGTGATGAAGAAGTTGAGCGCGTATCTAAGGATTCATAGGGGGGAAAACATGATGTTGGTGAGTGAATGAATGAATGTCGTCAACCCATCGACGCTAAGTGTTGATTGGCGGGAGCTGCTCGCTTCGCTCGCAAAAGATCTGACGCTCGCTGAGTCTCGCTAAGAGCCGTGGTTAGGTGTATTGCGCCTTTGGCGTAAGGAACTCGCGAAGCGTTTGCGATGTTCGCCCTCTCGGTCTCCCAGACCGAATCAACCCTGCACGTCGCTTCGCTCGTTGCAGAGAGCCATCCTCACTCGCTTGGCTCGGACTCTAGCGCAATTGGACTCGCTGGCTGTCGATTTCTCTTCGCTTCGCTCCGAACCTCAAGCATTTCCCCTCGCTATCGCCGGCCCCACTCCGCTCTCTCACTACTCACATAACACTAATCAAATAAAGGATGACCAACGCCTGCCCTGCACAAACCCCATCACTCAAGGCCTTCTTGCTCCCCGGCACATTGCCCTCCCCACCCGTCGCAATATTGCCCGCAAAAACGATCAAAGCATAGAGGATAGTGAACCCTGCCCACACGCGGAGGGTGAGGTTGCGTTTGACACGGGTGAAGATGGCGATCAGCTCCAGGGCGAGGAGGACCGAGATGCCGAAGGTTATGAGGAGGATTAGGAGGGGGGTGTCCATGTTGGGCGAGGTGTGAAATGGGGGGAGGTGTGAAGTGGGAGGTGAAGGCGATCCCGTTGTCCAGTGCCGACGCTACGTCCAAGCTATAGAACAGACACCGAAACTAGCACCGCACTTTCGGGGGAGGTGAAAGCTCGCAATGGACCAGCCGGGCGTGAAAAAAAAGGGAGGCGAGAAAATGGATTGAGGCGAGAAGCGCTCGTTTTCTGCCCGTGCAAAGCCTTTCTTGCGAGCTCCGTTCGCGGAGATATTCGAAGAGAATAGTAGTCGGCCAGCCGCTATCCTATCCTCGGGAACACCTTTGGGAGTTGTTGTAAGGTGAGGGTTGAAACTGGCTGTACGAGTCTCGAGTCGAGGTGTGTGAGCTTGGGGAAGGAGGGCAGCGGCAAGGCTGCGGGCGTTCGGCTGAGACGAGGTGAGGCTTCACTACCTTGCAATAACGAGAGAGAGCGAGAGACCTGGTCCGAGGATTTGGGGTGAAGGACAAGGATGATCGGTGGGTGCTTTTACCAATTGGACGGCCGCAAGACGTTGTTCAACACCAACGTTCAAGTTACTTGAGAGGAGTTGATGCAGCGGGCGGCGGAAGCGGGGGACAAGAACGACAGACCTTGCACCACCTGGTATGGGAATATTTTCGCAGTTGGAGCGGTAATATGATAAGAGAGGAAAGTCTTTCTCCGGTCTGCGGTAAAAATGTTGCCTGAATTTGAAGGACGGCGAAAGATGCAATATGCGGTATGCAGGGAGACGCAAAAGCTTCTCACGCTTGTGCCGCTATGGCGAAATCACGGAGTCGGGACAGAGAGAGAAGGGAGACTGCCGCCGCAAGCTGCATATCCGCAAGCTGCATACTAGTAGATACTACTGTTCCTGCTCAATCCTGATGCTTGCATTCCTTGGATAGTTGTTAAATGCCCCCCCTCATGACCCTGCACCCAGATTCAGAAGCCACCCACCCACCCCTCATGTGGCCTGCTGCCCATGCGGGTTTGGAGTTGTTCCCATGCTGGCGATGATTTAAAAGTTGGCGACGGTGATACCGGTGCGAAACAACCAGTATTCGCTGGTACGGGTACAAAAGGGCATGGAATAAGGTCGCTGACGATGATGGCCGTGGTTGGACAGAAGGACTCCGAGGACGCACGGAGAGGCGGAAAGGAAAGAGAAAAGAAATCGGACACACGGAGTCACGTGTCCACTTCGATTAAAAACGCGCTGTCGGCGAAGGAAGGAAAAGACACTCTCGTATGGAAATCATATAGGTGACAACTCCTTACTCTCACTAGAGCTGAGGGCCAGACCCCCCCCGTGCACCAAAAGTTCATGCCGATGTATACTGTAGGTCGTCGATCAGTCTCGTCGCACGTTTGGCAACGAACTTGACGTTCCGATCAGGTTGTGCATCTATACTGTCTCCTTTTTCAAGCCTACAGCTCGACCTTTGTTTCCGACGGAGAGGTATCAGCCGCACTGGTTTTTGGTGTTCAAGGGAGATTACAGTCATAATCAAGCAAAGTTTTTCCTACTGTACGGACGAAAATCCTGGAGGAATATGAACACACTGACAGGGCTGGCGCGCTGTGAATTTTCGGGAGTTCTGCCCCGGCAGGCAAGGCGCTCCTGGTAAATGCGCAAGGAATGGGATGCCGATTCAATATCGCCCATGGGTCAAGTTTCTTGGTACAGTACAACACAGCGTGGCGACGTTGAGTCTCTTCACTGTTTTAGCGGGGAGCGCATCCTCATCAAGCCTCGCCCCGTTCGTTTCGTTGGTGTCCGGTTCGGTTTTGTTCTCGGCGCCGTTCCTTCTCTAGCCCAATAGCTGAATGTCAAGTGAGGAGAAGCGATGGTTCATTCTGCTTTGCCTGCGGTCACGGAAGAGCCGAGCAAATGCATTGACAGTTTACGCGGACGGAGACGCGCTGTCGAACTTTGCAAGAGAGTTCATTGTCGGGAAGGCACATTGGGTTAAGATAGGGCCGACAGATCCACCGACTTGAGCGACATTGCAATCTGAACCGTGGTCAGACGCCGGCAGGTTTCCCCTGGTAATTGCTGATTCCCCGGCCCTTTCGCCTTTTTGCCATTCTCCAGCCGCACGTGCGCCAACAGAAGCGGCATGTCTCCGGTGCAGGGAACGGGGGATAGCTCGTCGTCCATTTAACTGTGGAGAGCAAAGTGATGCGTCCCGTCAAATTGGGGATATGCTGGAACCCCATTATCCATATGAGGATGCCACGGCATTGGCTTCTCGGGAGTAGAATTGGGGGGGGGGGGGGGCGGTCGGGCCATAGCGATAATGTCAACGGGGAAATTTCGAATCCGTAACTGACACTATTGACAGCACGCAAGTGAGTCAGGAATAGACCGGCGGCGATGTTCCCATCATTCCCCACCAGCCAAGATATGGGAATCCATGGCTTCCTCGGCCCCATTTCCATAAGTCTTATCATTCGGTTCGTCAGAACAGGATCTGCAAAGAGATGGGGAGGTGTTCTAGCTGAGTGCCGTTTGTCCCGACAACCCAGTCTTCCTCCTGCCGTTTCTCTGCGTCGTGCGATTGATACACATATTCAAACTGTTTCTCAACGGAGTAGCGCTCAGAGGCAGAGGCAGAATTTTCGGTAAGCCGCTAAGACAGTCAGGACGATGGGAAGGGATGCATGGATTTCTGTTGGCGTGGTTCTACTTCCAGTCTCCCCGTCATACAATCTGCCAAAGATCGATTGTAAGCCTCTCCACACCCACGTTGACGAACTAGTGGAGATTATGGTGTCTTGATGGTTTTACGAAGTTGACGAACACACTGCCTCTCCACTCCTCACGGCATGGTCAGATATATCATGGGGGAGGCTCCGCAAAATCATCCCCTTTCTCCAAACTCCTTGATTCGCGCCTTTTCTCCCTTTCCATTGAATCCGCACCTCACCATAATCGTTCCCATCCCTTTTCTCGTTTTCGACCGTCATACCCAGGCTTCCGTTCGGATTATCACTCATCCCATTCGCAATCCTTCGAGCCCTTCCCATCACGACAGGGAAGAGTCTCAGCTACCGGACCGAGACTCCGCAGGATTGTTCCACAACCTCCGATCCCGGACCCCATCCACCGGGCGATTGATCTACCAGGGTCTGATCTTCAGCAAGGTACGCTGTGGGGTAATGTTGGGGTGGGGTGAGCACGGATAGGCGGTAGCGGGAAGGAAGGAAGGAAGGGACATGCCCCGATCCTCTACGCGAGATGTGGCTTTCTTTCAAAGCCTTTCCATCTCTTCGCCATCCGCCGGTCGGAGATGAATGGGAGATTTTTCGAAAACCCTAATTGTTTTTTCGAAAAGGATGGGATGGGATGGGATGGGATGTGAGATGAGGCTTAGGCTGCGCAGCTCCGTTTCTCCGGAGAAGTACTCCTTCTCAGAACCATGGCCGGCGGCCCGGCACCTGAGTAGGATTGGTGAAAGTTAGGCGCAGGCCGGGTCCAAGAATTCTTCGCCTACCAGGGATGGTAGTCGGGCATTACGGACACCAGGGGTGCGCTTCTCAACCCCGCGACCGATCCTCCATCGACGGCATTTAAGTGCGGCCTATCGTGCGCAGTGCCGGCGGAGGCTCCGTGATGAAAGCGTGCGATGCGGAGACATCGATACTTGCGCTTGTTCGACAGCATCGGCTCTAACACTCGCCTTTGTTCTCGTTCACCTTCCTCTCTGCGAACAGATCTGCTGTCATCTGAAACCGGCATACATTCTGAATCTCTTCTTTCTTAGTTTCGAGGTGAGTCAAGAACCGGCGCCCGTGGGAGACATCCACCCACTCGTGTTTGCTAATCCCCATCCCACAGCAAATCGAAAATTTCAAAGAAAAACTTCGGAACAGATGGGAAAACGCAAAACGCACCCCGGCCGTGCACACGACGTATCCAATCCGCCATTACCGTCCGAAGCACAAGCATCCGCGTCTTCCCACCACACCCGGCGCAAACGCGGCAAGGCCATCAAAGCGGGCGAACAACCGTCACCGATGCCGGACCCACACGCGCAGGACTACGAGATGCCCACGTCGTCAAAACAATTTGACTTCATCAATACTAGCTCCGTTGGGGAATCTGAGACATCGTTGCCGAGCGCGGAGGATGTGCAGGCGAGTGAGACGGAGCTGGAAATGGACCGGGAAATGGACGTACCTTTGGCGCGGGACCCTCGCTGCGCTGGACATGCGAGCGGCATCGGTGTTGCCAGTGCGTATGCGGGAGTAGACGAGCAGAGCGGTGTGCACGGAATGCACCCGGATCTTGATGAAGATGAGGTACATGGTGCCAGAACGATGAGCCATGCCCCACCGGCTTCTGAGAGGATAGGTGAGGTTTTGCGACCAGGCGGGATATCGGTGCCTATGGCAATGGATGTGATGCCAACGTATCCGCGCAACCTCGCCGCTGCATCGCATTTCGATGATGATGGGTACGCACTGCTCCACACGACCGGGTGGGATTACAATGACGAGACACCAACGCCCATGTCGTCCTACCCGAGCACACTGGGCCACACGCCGTTGGCTCCCGGGATGCACTTCCCGTTCCCTCCCATGGATCCGGGTGCTGTGGTGCGGTCGCAACCACCCTTGACGTCCGGGGAACTCCATGCACTCCTCGGTGGCGACGATAGAGCACCTAGTCCTCTTACGCATGCGGGGATACGCATGGGTGAATTCGATTTCATCGAGACTAGTCAGCCGGGCGGATATACTCCTGCTGATGGCACGTTTTTGTTCACGGCGCCTGGATCTGTGAACGTACCTGTGCCCGTGCAGATGCAGTACCACACTCAAGCGGATGTGTTCGACACAATGAGGTTGCATCCGGGCTCGCCTACGAACATCAACGATTTGTCGAGCGCTGGACCGGTGTCAACCGTCCCCCCGCTTTTCACAGCACCCGTAGATCATGCCGCCACAAACGGGATCAGTAGTCCCGCCGTGCTGCCGCTTACGACACCACATCCACCTACACTTCCATTGTCACTGCCCCTGCCGCTTCCACGCGATCTGGACCAGGATGGAACGACACCCGTGCCCACACCGATTTTTGGCTCGCATGCGATGATTATGGAACGGCCCAGCGGCGTTGATCCCCTGCCACGCTTTCCTGCGCCGCATACCATACCTCCGACTGTACCACCGGTGCTGGAAGAATATGCGCCGCCAACTGTGGTAGCGCCATTTGGGGTGTCGGGTGCATCCGTCGGTAGCATCCCGATACCCTCATCAGCCACCCTACCATCAAAGACACCAATCCCGCCACCGTACGTCCCACCGTCTACAACGCATTTGATGCAGATTTCCGTGATACCTTCGCCCATCCAGCCACACACCCATCCGTACCACAATCTCTTAATGGACCCGGTTCCCCTTCCCTCATCGGCGCCTGCCCGACCATTTGAGCAGCGGAAGGGCTCGAGTGTGAATATACCGCCACGACCACCTGACGCTAGATTTGGGGGAACATTCGGCTTGCGTAATCCACCGCAGATAGTGCCCGATGCAGTGGAGACCCCCCTGGTGGTCTTCCCGGTCGATGTGCATGCTACCTCTGTCCCAGCACACGGCATGCCGATGATGCCCACGTCTTCAAGCATGCCGCCCCCAAACGTCAATCCGGACGAGATCCAGCCCTACGACGATGATCCAATCCCAAGCACATCGACATCGACAACGGCGGCGGGGTTGTTCACTGCATCGACCACACATCAGTCTCCGCCTATCCCCGCGACTCGCGGACGCGGCCGGAAACCCAAGACCCCAACCGGCACGGCAGCCCCGAAGGCCGTCTCCGACCCGATGACTCCACAGACCGCTCAGCGACGCCGCGGCCGTGGTGGCGGACACCCTGCAAACGTGTTTTCGACGCCGCATACGCAGATGTCAAACCGGTACCATACGCGCGCGGTGTCGGCGCGTGAGCTCGAGCTTGAGAAAACTGGGATGGATGATGAGGAGTTCCTTTCTCAAACGACGCCGACGCCGGCACCTGGAGCGCGGAAGCGGGGTGTATTGCCCGCAACTACGACAACACCTCCGCCGACATCGGGCATCGCACCTCTCATCGCTACTTCTGCCAACCCACCTACCAGTACGGTCTCAACCACCACAGGCCGGCGGACAACTGCCAAACGCGTGCGGGTAGCGTCTCCTTTGCATATATCCATACCCATAACGCAACCCATAACCCCAACAATACCGATGTTCAAGGCAAAAGCCCGGGGCGGTCACACAAGATCCACGGTGAGCGAGTCGCCATGGGCAGAAGAAGATGAAGATAGCGATGAAGAAGATGGGGAAGAGGAGATGAAGGCCGGTGACGATGCAGTTGGGGAGCCGAGGGAGAAAGTTGGAGGCGGGAACGCAGATGACGTGAAAGCGCCTTCAGGGTCGGATGATATGCAGAAACGACGGGCGAAGAATACAGAGGTATGTGCTGGGAATGGATTGTGCGGTTCCGTCCTTGGTGTGGTGTGGAATGCGGGCTGTGTGGGGGAGTAGCCATGGGTCCTCTTTCAGGGATGCGGATGGGTAGGACCTCTGTTCTCCCTCCGTCACATCCTCGCCTGACTCCGTATGTGCCGACTCTGCAACTCCTCCCTGCTCATGCACCACGAACATAGGCCGCCCGCCGCTCCCGTCAGAAGAAAGCGTCCAAGATCCATACGCTCGAAGCGCACGCCTACACTCTCGAACATCAGACAGCGCATCTCACGCGCCAGTCTGAATCGCAGACGACTATGTTAGCCGAGACCTTGAAGCGGGAGGCTGATCTGCGGGTGCGCGTTGCGGGGTTGGAGAGGCTGCTCGTGGAGAGCCAGAGGGTCGTGCTGGACCTTGTGAGGCGAGTTGAGGGGGTGGTTAGCGACGTGCAACAGCGTGGACATCCGGGGATGGGCATGGTGAATGCGCCTGTGCAGATAGCTGGCGGGTTGCCAATCCAACAACAGCCGCCACTGCCACTGGAGCAGAACCAGCAGATGCGACCTCTGAGACCTTTCCAGATTCCGATGCCGGCCAATCCATTGCAAGCAACCGCAATGCACGCGATGGCCCCATTGCACACAACGACGACCGTAGCGCCGCGTCGTCAATCACACCCGGGGCCTCTACGAATGCCACCGAACACATTCGCATCACATTCCCACCGTCACTCATTCGCGTTACCCGGGGCGGGGCCTGTGGGGCACCCCTACGACCATCATATGCCGATCGGGCCCCAATCACCGTTGTCGGGAGGGCTGAACCAGACCAATCGGATTGATACAGCGTCGTATATGGTGCCGCCTCGCCCGATGATGCTCAACGCGATGGGACTGGAGGTACCCTCGCCGTCGTCGGTTGCCATGGGTGGTATCACAAACTTCTTGGATGGCATGGACATGAGGAATATTGGGCGTACGTCTCGCGATGGGGGGGACACAATGATGGGGGACGAGGTCAGGATCGCATCCGGCGTCGACCCTCCTGCCCCTCCGGAGGTTGGTATGTCGATACATGACATGCGGCGGTCTTCCAGCGATGACCATGAAGAGACGCGGAATCTATGCACAGACCGTATGATGGGAGGTGGTGAATACATTGCGCCACCACACAGCGATTCCGACATCGCGGCGTCTCCTCCCGTGGACGCCGATGTAAAGATGGAGGGTCAAGGCGGTCATCAGCTTTTCGGGGACTCGACAGCATTTTTCGCGTTCCGACCGGCCTCGATCACGCCATCGTCGTCACTCTCCGTATTTTCGGACGATCACAACGTGTATGGCGACCCGCTTTTCCCCCCCACGGAGGGAATGGATATGGACGGCGATGGGTCCGTTGAGCCGGGAGATGATATGAGAGGAATGAGGACTGAAGAGACGGAAGAAGGTAGACGTGAGCTGACGGTGGTGTGGAGGGGCGACCCGTTGGGGTCTGCCTCGCCGCGAGCGGTCCTCAACGAAGGGATATCACATTCGCAGGTTCCGGATAGTACTGCCGACGATGCTGGAGATGCCACGCAGCGCACAGCAGACAATGAGGAAGCTTGGATGGACCTAAATGCGGGTGTCAGTACAATCAACATTCGCACGCAGGCCGCATCTAGCTCGTCAAATGCCGACATGTATTCAGCGCTTCCGGCCTTCCACGACAATGACACCACCGATCCGAGTCAAATGCATTCCGTCTTGGCAAAGACTGACGATGAGGACATGGGCGATGAGACGACCGGACCGAGCGCATCATCATCCGCCGCGGAGAGATACGTGCGCGAACACGAGCGTGAATCCGATCGCAGTGGTGCGGTGGATGCGCTGTATGCGCTCGCGGCAGTGGCGACGGCAGAGATGCGGGGGGAGGAGCCGCGGTAGATGGTTTGGGGGATTGCTTCTGTTAATTAGGGGCGCGAAGGAGGGATGTAGGGTGGATATGTATGATAGCACTCATGTCCTATTACAAGCGTAAAACCTGCAGTGTACTTTTAGGGTAGAGATCTGCGTTCCAGGGAATCGCATATGATTTGTCTGGGTCTTGAAAGTCCTGGATGTTTGTGAAAAGGATTCGATTAAGGGTAGACTTGACGCCCTCAGGGTGTGCATCCGTTTTGGCTGCGTCCTGACAACGGGGAGAAGAATCAATGTTCACCACCAAGCTTCGAGAACGGCTCGTAGGGCCGCGGTAAGGCATTTGCGGAGAGTCACAAGGACGATGAGTAGGAAGGTTGCCAAATTCGTTCCCTTGTCATGCAACGAAACGGGCTTGCCGTCCGAGTTGAACCTGACGCTCCAACTTTGGTCTGTGTTGCGTTCTGTGCCTGACGCCGCCAGAAGGCCGATACCGCCGAAGTTGGCGCTCAAATCGACCCGACTGCTGAAAAGGAACTTGTTCTATGCCGAGTCGATCCCATTCGCTCGGGAATTCTCCGCCGTCCTGCCCACTCATTTCGACAGCGCGTATCCCCCGTTCTCACGTCGTCGTACTGTACTGCCGCACGCTGGCTGGGGTCTTTCTTTCCACCAGCCAATGGTGGAAGGCTGGCCAATGGGAAGCGTGGCCGATGGGAAGGAACGTTAGGCTGGCGTCGGCGGCGTTGCTGGCCAATGGAAAGGCCACGTATGTAGGGTTCCCATGGGCCAATGGGAAGCCTAGAGGCGGCAACGCCGCCGACGCCAGCCCTTGCGTACAGTTAGGGTTACATGGCGAGTAACAACCCGTGCGAAATAACGGCCCTCCCCGCAAAATAACTTAAAGTTAGGGTTATATCCGCGAGTAACAAGTCCACGAATCTAGAGTCCTTTCTGGAGGCGGCAACGCCGCCGTGGCCCGCCTCGTGTATTCAATCAAGCAACAAAATCAAAATCGTACAGGAAAGGGCGGTCGTGTTATTAACGGGAGACGGTGAGATTAGCCTCCGTTACAGAGTCAAGTGTGCAAAGGCACATGTGGGTTGCTTTTGTACCGTTTGGGACACAAAGGACAATGTGATTTGACTGGTCGTTCACGTATGCTCTCCTTTTTCCATCTCATGGTTCAATTGATGTTTCCGCCTATCCCCCCTGCCTTGCTATATAATCCCCACGCCCCCTTCAAACCCACACGCCGATAATTGGATAGTCGCACCGACGAAAGTTCAAAACAGTCTTCATACAGGCGTGATTGACCCGCCTTCCGTTCCGCCGGATGTCGCAGGAAATAGGAGCTTTCCATTGTTCGGCACGACAATCTCCCCGTTGCCAGGGCCGATCGTGATTGCACCAGCTACGGTAGTGATAATTAAATTCGTCCCTGTCCCATCCTTCGCCGTACTGGGGCCGACGCTTCCGGTGTTACCAAAATGTATCCCCGACCCAGACATCCTCCTTGCCCCGCGTGGAATGAATGTATTCACATCCGTCAACAAGACGTCCCATGTCAGAGTCGTCCCTCAGGTCATCATATCGTCATCTGAATCATTGTCGTTGTCGTTTGTGATTTGTCGGTCGGGGATGTCGGCGGCTTGGGAGAGGTCGCCTTCTTTTTGGAGGCGTGCGCCTATGAATGTGAGGGTTATGCGAGTTAGGTTTTGAGACTACGAAGTGTAACATTCCCATCCACATCCGCAATGCAGACATCACGAGTTCGATCCCAAACCCCTCCCAAAAACCCAGCAACGCAACACCTACGTATCGCATTCGCCACACAAGCCTCCGTCCTCCTCTCCAACCTCTTCAATTTCGCCTCCAGATCCCTCTTCAAGTCGAAATTCGGCTTCTTGGGCGCCAGATCAGCCATCTCCAGCTCCCCGTTCTTGGCCGTGCGCTCTTTATCTAGCTCCAGGGCTTCCTTGGCGATTTGCGCGGCTGTCGCTTCGAGGGTGGCGGGGTTGGACGGTTTGGAGAGGCCGATTTTGGTTGTCGTTGTTGTTGTGGTGGTGGTGGGGTCGGATGACGGAGTTGAGTCTTCTGATGGTGGGTGCCCGTTTTCAACGTCGGGACGGTAGCGTATTGAGGGTCTACGTAAGGAGGAGTAGGAGGTTAGCACGTTTGGCGGTGGTCCTCGATTGGGTTCAAATTGGACCACCTCAGCTAGTCCTCCCGAATCCCACAACACCTCAACCGAAAGCTGCATTGCCCCAACACCTCTCCCACAAAGGCCGTGTCCGAGGCCCGTCCCCTCTGGTAACAGTCCTTCAGATCACCCTTCTATGCAACATACTTTGGTGCAGTTCCGCCGTTCTCCTTCGCGTCCTTGTTGTTGGCTCCTCCTATCTTTGCCTGCTCGCGGGCAGCCCTGAGTGCCGCGAGCCGCTCTTTCCGCTTGTTGGCTTCTGATTGTAGGTCCATGGCGTCTCGTGAGTGTGTTGTGCTGGGGCGTTGGATGCAGTTGCCACCGGTGTGAACCTCTGGAGAACCTTCCCTAATTCCCACAGTCCTCAGCAAACGCCTCAAACGCGCCTGTTTCGCTCGTTTCGCTGTTTCCCAGACGTTGAACTCGGAGGTTGCAAACGGAAGAAACCCCAAGGCAACGAAGGCCAACATATACCTACGTATACATGCATACGTACCAACCACGATGCTCGCCCGTCGTATAGTATCACCGGTCTGCAGACGGTCCCTCACTCCGCTGGTAGCCCACCCAACCGCCTCCGTCCGACCCCCATCCCGGTCCTTCCGCTCAACCACCCCGAACTCTAGACCAATCAGGCCATCCGCGACCACGCAACAACAAACACCGACCTCCGAAAACTCGCCCCTCCGAACTTACAACCTCTTTCCGTCAACCTCCGAAGCATCCGCCTCCCTCCAACTCTTCCGCTCAGTAGGCAACAAATCCTTCACGATCGGCGAAACCCGCGTGCAAGGGCCGGTGATTGTAGCGAACGGCCATATTTTCTTGTGGGATGTGCCACAGTTTGGCGTAGGGAGTCCGGAGGTGGAGGTGAATGATGAGGGAACAGGGACGGTTGCGAAGGACCTGGGAGACCCTGCGAGCCCGTTTTATGGATGGACGGAGGATTGTTTGCGGATATTTGAGGTTATGGAGAATGCACCAGGTTCGTTTACTTTGAGGGATGTTCGCACTTTCATTGGCATCATGAAAACGTTTGCGGGAAGTGCAGTCACTCACCATTGCATTTCCATGTATCACGTAGAAATCATCGTAATAGGCACCGGCGCCCAAGTTCATCCGCTACCCCCACACCTCAAACGTTACCTACACAGCCTCGGCATGCAAACTGAGGTGCTAGCGTCCCGACAAGCTGCATCGACGTACAACATCCTTGTGCAGGAAGGCAGAAGACCTGCAGCGGCGTTGCTACCTCCTGTGCCAACATCCGCAAGGACGGGACAGGTGCTGGTGAAGTTCGAGCGGGGCCCGGATAGGAGGGAGGAGTAGAATAGTTTGCAAGCCATTTTTCAAAGAGCGCACGAAGCAGAGCAAATAGTATAGTTCAAAAGTAGTTTTTTTTGAAAGCAGTATTATGATATATAGTACTGTACAAGAGAGATATACGAGTCGTCATTGTCCACAGAGTCGCCCCAGCGATCCTTCCATGGCCACCGAGTCTCACGGTCGCTTCGGTGGATTCAAACCTTCCAGAGCCTTTGAACGCGGTTGCCCAGCACGAGCACACCTTGTTTCAATTCAAGCCACGACGTCAAACACCACATTCGAGGACACGACTCGGAACGGGGGATAAGGCCGGCCTCCACTCACATACGGGGATATACGGGGATACATTGCAGCCGGGACACTCGCAGAGAGCAGGAGACAATGGAAACCATGGAGGACCTCTTGGCGAGACACCGGAAGGAACTCAAGGACTTGAATGGGAAGATAACTGCCTTAAAGAAGTCAGTTGGAGGCAACAAGCAGAAGGTACTCCCGTCCAGTGTTTTGAGAGAATAAAGAATGGGTGTCAATCGTTCATTCCAACAGAAAAAGGAAGTTCAGGTGCAAGTGGCACTACTTGAAAAGGAGTTGGACGATAGACATACAAACGAGAAAAAGGAACTCGAACAGAAGGCGGCACAGGCCGGCGTCACGACCGCTGGAGCTGACACTGCGGAAGAGGTACAGCATTCCTGTGTTGCAGAACGCTTGTGGGAGGGGCTGCTGACCGGTTCCCGCAAAAAGGTTGACGTGCCTGTAGAAGACGCAGCAGAAGACTTGAGAGGGCTATCTTTAGAGGACAACTCAGCTGGTACACCACAAGAGCGGAAGCGCAAGCCGAACAAAGCGCAATTACGAAAGGTATGACATTGGCGTCTTCTGTTGCGCTTTCATTCGAGAAAGCCATTCGACAAAGCTGTCTCACCCTCAATCCTGTAGCAACGGAAAGCAGCAGAGTTCGACGCGATGAGGCGGCAGGCGGCAGAAGAGGCGAAGAATTCCGTGAATCATAAGGAGATTGAAGAGAATGTTATTGCAAACATGTTGGGACCTATGAATTTGAGGATAAAGCAGATTCCGCCTGATGGACATTGGTACGGATTTGTGAAGGTTCGCATGGGTTCATGAGGGAAACAGGCTGCAATACTCATACCGCTCTTTTTAGCATGTACAACGCGATCGTGGATCAGCTGGGGGCGAAAGGTGCGGCGGACGGAAAGGTGCGTTCTGCTCGCGTTTCCCGGTGATGCGGCGGATCTAACTTTTCACTCGCTATTGAATCACAGACATATAAGGACCTGAGAAGGATAGCAGCGGACTTCCTACGAGGTCATCCAGATGACTTCCTCCCGTTCCTTGTGACCGACGCTGGCGATATGTTCACACCGGAGGATTACACAGCTTACTGTGATGACGTGGAGAACACGGCAGCGTGGGGTGGGCAGACTGAGGTATGAGGGATGGGTGATGGTTAATGGCTGAAGGCGCTGCTCACCCTTCCAATGTTCGCAGCTGCAAGCAATCTCACGCGCGCTGGAAAGGCCGATACATGTGGTCCAAATGGGAACCCCCGTGTTGAAGATTGGAGAGGACTTGGATGCTGATCCATTATTTGTTTCGTGAGTGCTTGGAGGATGGGCAACATGTGACGCCTTGATGGAAGTGCTGACGCAACCGCCATCCTGTGTTCACAGATATCATCGACATGCATACGGCCTGGGAGAGCATTACAATTCCCTTTTGCCGACACTCGAGGATGACCATGCTTAGTGCACATGGCCAATGACTAGGTTTCGACTACATTCCAGGCGTCAGTGTTCCGTGCGGGTGACTTAGATTCGATAGAGATTGTCTATGTATAGCAAAAGGAGGGCCAAAGACCCTCCATCGATTTGGCGGTATGCAACAAGTAGATAGTGGATTAGCGCATAGGGATGGGGTTAGAAAGCGGTATGCGCAGACATCATATGGTCAGTATAATGCAGGACGAGATGGGACTAGATCGATCGACCGCTTCTCATCTCAAAGAACCTGATGCGGACAAACATGGTGAGGTTCAGATCAGAGCGCTGTTTCGCCTGTTTCACTCCTGCTTACCTCTTCAGGTAGTTGATCTGGAAGTACACGACTCCCACGAGTGCCAGAGCTTGTACAAGCGACCAGTACAAGACGCGACTGTTCGTGCTATCCGCAGCTGTTTACAATTGATTCCGCTTTAGTCCATGTCACTCAGGATTCCCAACAAATACGTCTGACAAGGACTCACTCATCCTGTGCCTGCGTTCCCTTGATTTCAAGAAAGCGTGCTCTTCCCTAATGGCCCTGATCCCCGCGTCCAACACCCTAATCTCGCTTTGGAGGGATTCCGTTGGGTCATCTTCTTCATATCGAAACGTAGTCGAACGAGAGTCCAGAATATAATTAGACCATCCGCCGGCTCATCGTGATGCCCACTTCGCGCTCTTTCTTGTGTGGTACCCACCGAGACTCATCTTCATCTCCTTCTCCTCGATCTTCCACTTCTCATCAGGCCCGACCACCGTGAATAAGATCCGTTTGTCCGCGAACGACGACCTTTTGTTGTTGAAGCAGTAGGTGTACGTGCCATCTTCCTCAGCGTTGAAACCCCAAGTGAAGAAGCTCCCTGCGTTGTGTGATTGCAGCGGACGATTGCCGGGTGCAAAAACCTATGTGGTGAAGACTATGAACATCACAAGGGAACTTTGGCTTCAGATGCTCCTGGTGATGCCTACCACAAAGTCGACGTCCAGATTCCCACCGTCCGTTATCTCATAGGACAAGTCCACTCTATCCTTTGTTTTCAGCACCTCTTTGAAACACTGCTCCTCTCCAGCGTGTAGCAACGTCGTAAAGGTGTTGAAAGCTGCAACCTGCGTCGATAAGATGGCAACAAGGCATACCAGCGCCAGGACTAGGGTGGAAGGTGGTGGCTTCCTCATGGTGGGCAAGTGGCTCAACGTTAGGATTGGTGATGGAAGGGTAAGTCTGATGGAATTCCATTAGCCGCCGAGGCGAAGTCACAACGCGCTTTCAGCCTTTCAAGTCGCGGCCCATTGCCCCATTCTGAGCCAGATTCTGAGCATCCAGCAGACGCCTTGAGCCACCACACACGCATCATGTCCCTCCCACACAACATCCACTTCGTCCCGTCCGCCTCCAAACCCACCCGACCCGCAAAAGTCGTCCCCCCCGCCTACAATTTCGCCCAAAAGACCAGCGAACTCAGCAGTAATTCAAGTGACAATGCAGCCAACGCCAATGACGAAGACGACCGGGATACCCACAACAACGAACCCGATAACCCCATCACCAGCATCTTAGATGACACCCCGGTTGAGCCGGATGAATATGTTGACACGTGGTTGGATGAGGATAACCCGATCTATGATACGGTTATTGAGCGGACGTTGGCGAGGAGTGGGGCAAAGGATATGTATGTTTTGGGGGAGGGTTGGGTTTGCGCTGTCGGGATGCACGAGTTCTTGCGGAACTGATGGCTGATGTGGGACCGTCTATAGGCTGACTGAATACTTTCGGCAACGGTTGATTGATTGTGGGTGGCGGGATCAACTCAGAGCGTATGCTGCAGGTGTGTAGATCACGGATACGTGTCCTGTGGACGGGGGGGTAGCTAGGGGCTGGGTGCTTCCTCTATGGAATGCTAGACGCAATTCGGAAGCATGCCACAAGAATGTCTAACCGAATACACCTCATTGCAGAAATCGTGCGAAAGAAGCCATTGGACGACCCATTGGACATAGACGAGATCATACAAGAAGTCACGCCCAAAGGCAGATGTAAGCTGAATTGCCAACCAGGATTTGTTCAGCCGTCGTTTCCCATGTGGCCCTCACCTCCTGCACCTATACCCCTCCTTTCAGCATTAGTCCCCGCAACAGTCAAAGCAGACCTGATGTTAAGAATACAGCAGATCATCCAGGATTACGACCGGACGCACCCAAAGCGGCCGAGGTAGACCTTGAGCGGTTCCCGCATGCTTAGGTGAAGGCTTTGAGCCTTCGTATATATACCCCAGGGCGTTGGAGAGAATAAAAGGGGACGCCTCAACATTTGAGAGCACTTCTAAAATGCGGTCCCATGGAGAAGTTGAGATGTTTGAGGATCGAGTTCACAAGGAGCTTTTCATGATAATGTTCACTCCTGTCCAACCCTGGTACAATACCGAATGGTTTGTTGGAGCGAGCAAAAGACTTACAATGTGCTGACGTAAACCCAAGTGGGTGCTGTCAAACCGTCAAAAGACTCCTTCATCAACGGCTGAAAATGACATTATCTTTTCGTTGCAGGGTCCTTTACTACTTTCGTTGGGTGCAAAACATTGTTGCCAGAGTCTGTCTGCGGATATGCGCTTACGAAGGGTGGAAGAGTATCGGCTACGGAGGCCTTCCCGGCGACTCGCCGGTGCTGATAGCCCAGAATGGCAGCAGGTATTGCCGGGTGCTTCCAACTGACAAAATGGGGTTGCAATAAATCCTGTAACTTCCCTATCTCTTCGGACAGTTTTCCTACGTAGTACGCCAGGGTTAGCTCGTAGCGTATAAAAGTTCATCAGCAGCGGATGGGCATTTCTTCATAACGCCATCCATCATCCACATCCACTCCGGAACACCCGCAAACGAATCGACGAAAACCAAAAAGGCAGCCCAACCCAAAAAATTCCCCCAAAAATGAGCCCCCTCCGCCCGTTCCTCCGCCTCTTCGGCCCCCGCAAAACCACCACCTCCACCGACATGCTCGACGACTCCCCACCCACCACCCCGACCCTCCCCACCGCACGCACACCTCTCAACGACAAAATCAGAAACACCGCCGACCACTTCCCGCCCAGCGCCTCATCACCCGCCACGCCCTCGTCCTCCCCACCACCACCACCGCACGCCCTCAGAAAGGGCAACAGAGAGACCTCGTCATTGCTGAACATCGAGTCGCCACTGCCGCCGAGCCCGCATATCCATATGACGGATTATCAGCTGGAGGAGGCGAGGAAGCGGTATGATAAGTGGCGGACGAGGCTGGTTGTTGTGATGGTGGTGTGTGTGGTGGATGTGGGTGTGTTGGATTGGTTGTGGGTTACTTGGGCGGGGAAGATGTGAGGCGTGCGGCGGGACGGTGTGAGATCGCGATGATGCGTTACGAAGCCTACGAGGAGGGTGTGGAGAAGTAGGAGTAGCTGCTGTATACCGTAGATGGATAGTAGGCAGGCATGCAAGCACAGGTTAGGTAGGGACATACAGTATATCCTTTGGGAAACCACACCGCCAGGTGAACGGAAAGCGTACGAGTATAGATGGCAATAGCAACAGCCATAATCATTCAATTGATACGATTTCAAACACAGATGCCCATTTGTTTTCCCTCGCCCATCAAAAGAGCAAAAGCAAAAATACATAACGAGACCAAACAAAATACGAGACGGGGGTATACATGAGACCTACACGAAACTACCGAAATACGATAAAAGAATGCGCAACACCGACGGGGAAACGGGATGGTATAGATAGGGACACTGAAAGGGACGATAGCGATAACGAAAAAAAAAAAAATAGACATGCCGAAAGGAATACGAGAGCAGATAGTGACGAACAAACCAAAGTGGGGGCGAATGTTTTGTTTGCGGGGGGTTCGAAAAATGTTGATTGAGGGGTGTTGCGGTAGAATGCTTTTGACGTGGGTGGCAGTGTTTTTCCGGGTTTGGCGTTTCCCTTGCCCCTTCCTCAAACAATAACACTCCTCCTCCACTCGCCCCTCGCCCCCTCACCCTCCTCAATCCGTTCCTTCCTCCTCACAAACTCCTCATTCATCCTCTCCACGCTCACTGGCTGCAACGGGTCTTCCACTTGTCGCGCATACGCCGGTTGTGGTGCTGCTCCGTACGGTGTGGCGGTGTACGGTGAGGTGTAGGCGACGGCCGTTGGAGGGTAGGTTGAGGCGGAGAAGGATGGGTACTGCCCGGTGGGAGGACGTGCGGGGGCTTGGGAACGGCCCCAGGAGGTGCGGACGCGGATTCCGCCTGTTTAGGCAAAAAGAGGGTCAGTGTTACGTGAGGGCAACGGCCTTCAACGGGATCTCTTCCATTTCTTACCAATGGGGTACTGGTTCATCTGCGCAATGGCCATCGCCGCAGATTGATGATGCGCGTACTGCACAAACCCACATCCCTTGTTGGGCGGGATGCGCGTGTACACAATTTCTCCAAAGGGTGCAAAGTAGCTGTGATCAAGAAATCCCAAGGGTGAGACTCTCAAACTCCGTGGGCAAGGATTCCACCACCGCATTCACAGAACAAACCTTCGCAGTTCCTCATCACTAATCCCCATCGTCAACCCACCCACAAACACCGTCGTATTGGTCGGATCCACCGCCTCATACCCTCCCCCGCCTCCACCACCCGCCTGCCCTGCACCGGCATAGTACCCTGCACCAGCCGACATGGCCATCCCCGCAGCCCCCACAGACCCCGCTCGCGTTCCCACGCCCCCCATGCCCCCTGCAGCGCCAAACCCGGCACCACCAACCCCAGCACTTCCGCCACTAACGTTTGATTTCGGCGTAGCGGGCGAGATGCGCATGGCGCGGGACCCGCAGTACTGCCCCTGCATTTCTGCAAGCGCGCGCTGTTGTTCGGATTCGTCGGAGAAGCGGACGAAGCCATAGCCGCGGGTGAGGCCGGAGACGGGGTCGGTTACCACTTTTGCGGATTTGCAGGAGATGTAGCGGGCTTGGAATGTTTGCTTTGGGAAATAAATGGAATGATGTGAGAAGTGGAGCTTTGGCGAAGGGAATAACCGATCTGTGCGTCCTCTCACGATACATACCAGTAGCATGAAGTCAGTCACTTCCGGTCCCAGGTCTCCAACAAACACCGAGTATTCAGGGCCCCTGTCATCCCTTGCGCCGCTATTCATTGAATTTGGAACTACATCAGCTTCCCTCCACCTCATGTACTACAACCCCCCATTCCACATCCGCCTACCCCATGACAGCAGCACTCCCACCAGACGCCCAGTTCAGCTTAAACGTGCGACTCGTGCCGGGAATAAGCGTGCCATTGATGGTGGTCAAGTGCCGCATCGCTGCTTGGTTGCTCATAAAGTCGACGAAGCAGTAGCCTGCGTTCTGTCTAAGGAATCAGCATCGAAATAGACCGTTAGTCTCAGGGTCGCTCACACTCTCTCACTATCACCCCAAACACACCCCGTAAGTTTGTCACGAATCATCTTAACATTCACATTCTCTCCCATGGACGCCCTAAAAGAAGCCAAAAACAAAAATAAGCATACGTCCTGCTTGCCTATACTCGTATCATTCCCTTTGCATCGTATGGTACGTACCACAACTGGCGAATATAGTTTTCCTCCATCCAGCCCTCGAGATCGCCCATCCACAGGGTCGTTTTCTGAGCGTCCGGGACGGAGCCGTAGGCTAGTTGTTGTTGTTGGGCAGCGTAGGGGTCCCACATTGTTGTTGATAGTGCGTTGGTATGTGTGGGACTGTATGTACGGTGAGACGTGCTGGAGGGGCAGTGTTCAGTGCAAGTCCACGGGGGGGGGGGGGGGGGGGGGAGGGGGGGGGGGGGACAGGGAAAACGAAGGGAAAACGAAGGGAAAACGAAGGGAAAAGAGCAAAGCTTGTTGGGGTCGCCTTCATTTTCGATGGTCGGCGACGCGACTGCGGAAACACATGCAGTTAGGCATATCACGCCCATTCTGCTCTGGACGAGGAACGCAGTCCTCTAGAGTGTATGGACGAGGAGGAGGTTGCTCGCTTAGTAAGCTTCTCTACAGTATTTTTCTTCTCGAGTGTATAAATAACAGATAATCCTACGTAGCTTCCCTTTCCTTTCCTTTATCTCTTTTGAGCTATCGAGCGCTATGACAGAAAGCTACGATGGGAGGAGGGATGGTTCGATGAAGAAGAACTAGCTATCGGGAGCGCAGAGCGCACTTAGGACCTAATGTCCAGGGAAACCCGTAAACCCATAAGATATTTGTTGATCGCGCCGTGCAAGGCGAGATGTTGATAAATGAAGCGATGCGAATAGCGCGGCGAATGCGGCGTCGGGAGGAGGTGCTTAGTGCGGTGGGTAATGAGGTGGGATACTAAGCAACCTCCTCCTCGTCCATATACTCTAGAGGACTACGCTCCTCGTCCAGAGCAGATTCCGCAAGGCTTCTATCACAACCGAGTGGGTATTCCTTGTGAGACAGTAGTCAAGCGAAAGGCGAACCCGAAACTGCCCAGCGCAACAGCCGTGACCACCTGGCTTGATTGCTGATTCCTGCCATCCACGCGAAACAGCCACGCCCCGACTCTGACTCAAGCGGGAAGCTGACGTAACGCATAACCCCCCCGCGCGTCTCAAAATGCGGTGCGGGACACCCGTCAAAAGAGGGATAAAGGCAAGACTCGGGCTCTTGGCTCGACTTCACACTCCCACCGCCGTTGACTCCCATATCATTCATAACCTTATGATCGAACCCCCAGTGTTCCCTCACGATAGGTCATGAAAAACGTGAGCCAACCCTCCAACCCTTACAGTGACGAGCGTTTCTTAAGAAGGGTGCTGTTTACACCTGCCGCGCCCTCGACTTTCAGCGAAAAGGTTTCGACCACGACTGCGATACGACTTTTGACCTGCTCCGACGCACCTATCCTTTCTCGTGGACTCATTGTTCCTCCCGTCAGCAACAACGCCTTCTAGGACCTGTTCTACAGCGACCAGCTCTATCCAACACCGCGCGCATATGATTCTGCCGTCAACCAACAGAAGTTAAAAACCGGTGCAAAGTAGCCAGTGGACGTAGTAGGGGTGGTGGACGGCATAGGCCGGAAACGGGACGGCCCGACCGCAGGATGCCAGCAATCCCAGCCGGCGCAGCCAGCAGACTCCCCCCGGCCGTAACGCTCAAACTCATCCTCCCAAAAGCAACACCGATACCCCAGAAGCAATTCCCCACGCCTACACCAACGCCAATACCAATGACAACGCCCGACCTCCGCTTCAATGGAGACGGAGCCGAGCACACAGTTCCCATACTCATGGAACCCATCTTGCCCGCGCAGGAGAACGATGGGTTCACATCCTCAGCCGTCGTGGGGATCGTCTTTGCGGTGATATCGATAGCGTTGATATTGGCCGCTATGTGTTGGCGGTATAGGAACAGGCAGTGGATGCCGCGGGCGGGTGTATCGCCGAACAAAACGAAGCTGCCCCGGCCGGCGCCCGGCTCACCCGTACATGACTCGTATCAACTACCAGTGGTGCAGAGGCCTAATCCGCAGGAGGATATCGAGCGCCTCACCGATGCTTTTTTCGGCTCAACGGCGACAGCGAGATCTAAGCAGTCGACTGTTGTTGCGACACCGGAGGCGATTGATATCAGCCTGCCTACATCTTGGGCGTTGAAGACGCCGCCATCAGCGTATGAGGATCCAAGGGCGTCGTCGGTCGATCTCCCAATGGCAGATTTCCTGTTACCTCCGCGAGCAAGCATCGTTCCTGTAGGCCCTCGGGTGTACAATGAACGGAGCTCTAGCATACAGCCTAGCAGGCGGTCTCTCATACACCCCACCATCCAACCGAACATGCGGCACCACAAGCCGGTGACCGCCCAGCCACCACAGACCAAACCGAAAAGAGGACATACGAAAACCCCACGGCGTAATTCAGGGGATATTTTATTACGGCAGCTATTCGATGCGGGCATGTTTGGCCCGCCAGCGAGAATATCGGCGTCGTCGTCTAATAGTACTGGGACGGAGGCCAGTCTTAGTAGATATCTGGATGAATAGTTGTAGCTAGCTTTGCTCCTCCCAATATTACTGTATCACCGCTATTTAAGCTAAAGTTGGTAGAAGCGTAAAAGTCAAAGTTCAGGTTGTCCAGGATTTAGACCCATGGTCACGAACGTTAAACAGAGCGAGACCAGATCGAGCGAACCGATAATGAATCCCAAAATCAGATAGAATCTGGCACCCCACCCCAAGTATGCTGTACACGCACCTTGTACAGTAGCCATAGACCTACGTACGCTCCTGCGAATGTCTGCGCAGGCCTCCTTGGCAACAGGCGACCCAGCGACCATCACCGCAACAGCAACACCGAGTACAGCCAGGCCAACCCCAAAGGTGAGTTTCCTGAGGTTGAGAAAAAACCAAAACCACAAGATCACTAATTCCCACCCTCCCTTACATAGCCGCCAACAACAAAACAACAGCTTGGTGCCATCACTCGCGACTCCCGCAACGCCGAAATACACCAACAATACCTCTCAGAACTGATCCAGTTGACGGAATCCCAAACCGCTGGCTTGCATGCCGCCCTCCAATCCCACGCCGCTCTCCCCGCCACCACCGACCACAACCTCATTAACGAGCTCAAACGCGAGCACACAGAGCTATTAGCGGAACTGACCCGCCTTCGTGAGCGCGCGACACAGTCGCTGGATACCTTCACAAAGGAGGTGGTTCAGCCGCTCACGGCTTTAAAGGGAGAGGTAGAGGAGGCGACAAGGACAAAGACTTATCGGCTGACGGAGTGAATCATTCCTGGAGGGATGGGAAATATGGAGACGGCTGTTTGTGCGAAGGCGGTTGCGCAGGTGCTGAGGGTGTCAGGGTTTGGTGGGGCAGAGAAAGAGGCGTTTGATTTGTTGGTGGAGACTTATACTCTGTGTGAGTGTGAGACGATGCAATAAGGAGCGAGATGTGTCTACCACACACTCATGCAATCCATCCCCACACAGACATGCATGACCTGTTCAGTCGCACAAAAGCCTACACCGAATTTGGCTTACGTACTAGACCGACGTTGAACGATGTGCTCCTGGGGATGGCCGACATGGGCGTCTCGCTGCCCGACCTCGATGAGTATCTCGTGTACTGCGAAAGCAGGGGCAGGCAATCTGGTACGCTTGTGTGTGCAGGATGTGTCCGCTGAAACAAACGCCTGACTTTACCGTCATCTCTGACTCCCTCCCCACAAAGATATCCGCATCCCCACGCCGCCCCGTAGCGAACCCACCGAATTGATTCCCATCTCGTACGAATTGGACAACTTCACCTACATTGGAACGGTCGCATCTGCTACTACTGCTGCGCATCCACAACACCTGCCACCATTTCCCAACCCCCACACCTACATTCACAATGAGGTCAGTCTTACCGACGCCCCTCTTCCTTGTCCCTCTTGATCTCACAATAGTATTCTCTTTCACCCTCGTTGTAGCTTACGGTGGAAAGCAAAGACCCATCGCAGCTCCGCGCCCGAGCAGCCGCAGAGTCAAGACAGGTTGAGATGAATCTGACACGTTTCTTGTCAGATGCTGCAGGGAGAAGGAAGAGTGCGCATAACCTTCATTTTCCACAACCGCAACAATGTGTAACAAACGCAAAAGCACCGAAGAGTGTAACGATCACCCTTCCCGCTGAACAACAACAAAAGCTGCGGGACCAGGCTCCGGATCAGACACTTCCAGCGAACTATGAGAGCGGGTGGAGGCGCAAGAGGCGGAGGATACGGAGCGGGGAGTCGTAGAAGTAGTACGTGATGAGCGGGGTTGTAGATAGGGTGGGAAGGATCAAGATCAAACGGGAAAATGGAAGCGTGGGACGGCTGGGGGAAAGTTACGTTTTTGGGGAGACTAGGAGCTGCTGTATGAGGAATGGGTTAAGAGAATGGGCGCTGATGCATCTATGTAAATACTCGGTGTATTTACCATACAGTACGTAGTGGGAGGACCGAAGGAAGACAGGGGACACCTGACTAGCTGGAGTTCAATTTGCCTCTGGCCCCTCTTCAAATGTTCCCCCTTTCCTTGTGTAGCTGTATAGTGTTAACCGAGATACACAAAATTCATAGCATGTGCAAAACAACACTCCCACATTCCTTTCCAAATGTATCATTCCGGTCCACTCTCCGTGTTTCGTAGACATCCACCATTTCCATGCAAAAAAAGGGTATCAGCCCCCGCCACTTCCATCTCGCATCAGCCACCAAAACTTCCTACCACAACAAACCCTACCACGAAAAAAAAAAGAAAAAAACCTACACAAACTACAAAGCATCCAAACTAGAAACCACCAAAATCCCCACCATGAACACCGCATACATCGCAATACACCCCATCCCGAACGTGCGGCTCGCCGCGAAATCGTTGGTGGAGATGTACAGGAGGGAGATGCACAATCCGAGCATCAGGGCGCCTATTGGACCGTAAGAAGCGCCGGTTTAGAGGAGAAAAGTGGGGGCTTTGAAATGGATAGGGGATGTGGGGAACGCACCTCCACAAGCGTAGATAGGCACCAAAGACTGGGTGAGTTCGTACGCGACGCCTTCTTTTGCGGTTATGTAGGTTGAGGTGACGCCTATGCCTAGGACAAGGTCTGAACGGTGGGTGGGGGTGGGTGATTAGGCTAACGTTGCAGGTGATTGGTAGAGCGTGGTGGGGGACGTACTTAGCATAGGACTCCCGAAACACGCGCCGACGGCCATGGCGGGGTAGCCCATGCGTGCGATGCTTAGGTTTGTTATCAGGTCTATGTGCCGTAAAGCGTGGGGGGTCAATTTTAGTTACACGAGGAAAGGTAAAAAGTGACTGTTTTACGTTACCTCCAACACTGTTCCCGATTGCAAACAACGTCATTCCCTGGCGAACGAAAGGAGAAACCGTTACTCAGTGCCGCTGCCAGTGATTCCAGCACTTGCATATCGTAGGCTTACCATGATAGTCTCACTGATCTTCAGCACAGTCGCCATGGTGCTAAGGATCACCACCGCTTCGCTCGCAATCACTGCATCGCGACTAACATCAGCCTCCCATCCCCCTTCTCACACATTAAACAAACGACTACCCTCAAAGCATACCATAGACCCAAACAACAGAGACACAAAACCCGACAATGGCAAGCATGCGTCCATAAGCGAGCACGTTTGTGTGCCGTGTTCCGAAATGCAGCGCGAGCGCAGCGATGAGGCCGAGGGGGATGCAGAGTGTCCAAATGGGGATGGTAGTATGCGATATCGACGATGTGGCGGCTGTGTGAGAATGGAATGAATTCATCGTTTTGGTGTGGTGTTGTGTGAAAAATGACCGAGAGAAAACGACACACTTACATCCAGAAGCAACAACAACAAACATCGGCGCAAGCCCGACCTGCGCGATCGTCAACTCCCTATTCAGCTCCCTAAACGCCGGCACCCCATCTCCCTCCTCCCTCTCGCCATCTTTCGCATCTCCAGCCTCCTCGACCACAATCTCATCCAAACTATCCGCCCCCCTCCCCGCCTCCTCCTTCTTCTGTCGTCGGAGATAGAGTTCCATCTCCTCGGCATGCACGGCCGGCACGGTTGCCGAGAACGCGAAGAAGACGGGGGATAAAATGACCGATTGCACGCGGTCCAGTATTGAAAGACTTCCCCACTGCGGAATCACGGGGAAGAGCGTTTCGAGCAACGCGCGCCATTTACTCGTCGGCGGCGTCCATACAAAATCGCCCTCTTCTGACCCTGTTTCCGAAACTGCGGGGCTGTCGGTGAGGCGATCGGTGTACGTGGGCGATTCGGGGGTGGGTGTGGATGAAATCGGCCGTTTGGGTCGTGCTTCCGGCATGGATGCGACGTGTGGGGGTATACGCTGGTGGTGGTTATACCGCGTAAACGGGCTACTCGACTCCAAGCTCGCTGCAATTGCGCGGCCGCGGTTTGGCGAGATGTCAGTGCTTCGTCGCAACAATATCGGTCGTGTATCCGCTCTATGTTCCCGGCCTCCGAAACTGGTTGGGGGTGAGGAGGTGAGGGATCTGCTGAAGCGGACGGGGAGGGATTTGTTGTGGAAACTGAGGGGCAATTTTGGGGGCTTGAAGTGGGGGAGGAAGAAGTCGGTGTCGAACGGTTCGTCGCGGGGGAAGGGGGATTCCACCGGGGTGGAGTCGCCGAGGAGGGGGTCGGTTTCAAAGAAGGGCCGGTGGGAGTGGTGGGATATGGAGGAGTAGACTGAGGCTACATCTAGAGGAAGAGGGATCACGACGGTCAGCGAAATGTCGTCGTCTATCCTCCAATAGCATGCTTATACCATCGTCCACGTCCTCATCGTCCACAGCGACAGTGGCACTATCCGTCCTCCGCGCTTTATGCCGTCGATACAGGTACGCGCCAGCCACCACCACCGTCACGTAGATGAAGTAGTACGCGATCAGGTAGCATCCTTCCAGAAGGGTGATCTTCTTATCAGAGCATATTACTAGAACGAGAATCAATGCACCGATGAACGCTATCAAGTCCTGCAAAGGGGTGTTAGACTACGAGTTCAATCGGAGCGGATGCATATCTCCTCACGCAACCCACCCGAAGAAATGGCCGCCTATGCTGTCGTGATGTTGATTGAACTCGTGAGAAGCCTGCCACTTGATAACATGACACACACACAAAACGCACCGTGGCAGCTTGAACGGGTGAACGATCGCAATCGACCCCACAACGACGAAAGTGACGAACATGGCAGCTCCTAGAAGTTCGCCGATGGCTACGCCCTCTTTACCGGATGTCATGGCGGAGAAGGTAGAGACTAGGTCGGGGGATCCATTTCCTATGGTTTGACGGTGGGATTGTTAGGGGTGCGTGGGCGGTATTGAAACATCTGACGAGACGTACCGAGTGCTGCGAGTGTGACGCCGGCGACGGATTCAGACATTTGCAGCCACTGGGAGATGTTTGCCAGATTGGGACCTGTGTATGCGCCTGTCAGCCTTCTGATGCCTCCCGGCGTACTCAGATGTGCCAACTCCCATCGATCCCCGATACAAATCGAAACGTACATAGAAAGTCTCCCGCAGCCATCCCTAGCATCAAAAATGCGTAAATCATAGCCGAAAACTAGATTTAATGCCATCATTAGTTCATAGAGACCACCGCCGGCCAAATCAGCAAAACAGCCATATACCAAGATAATAATCCCCAAAACCCTATGTTCACCCAGCCGGCAATAGTACATAATGAAGTAATTGAACACTCCATCGGATGGAGTGCAGTTGGCCTCAGCGAAGGCACACTGGTTGTCGGGAATGCTTCCGATGTGCTTGCATTCCGTCTGGTTCGGGCGAGTGTTAGCTTGGAACACCATCCTTCCTTCATACAGCCCAAGCACGCTACCTGTGACTCCAGATGGTATGCTCGTCGACTGAGGAAGCGGCCGCCATTTGAACCTTTAGGACCAAACCAGGCTAGCGAGAGCGATGTAATGAGGACGGCTAGGAGGATGAGGGAGGTGAGAACCTTGGCATTCTGCATTGCTTTCCTGTGTGTTAGAGGGACGCTTGGAGGCCGCGTAAGAAGCGCCGTGAGGGAGGACATTGCGTCCGCTGTTGGACGGGAAGTCTCTTGCAAGCCCCTCAGATGGGATACAGTAACTCTGTTGGATATAGGGTATCACTCCACCGAGTCCTCTCACCCCACTCTTGCTTGAGTGACTTTTCGAGGTGTTTTTAAGGTTGGACGCAGGCGAGACGTCACACGGCGTCACAACGGCAATTGACGGTCGCTGTCAGTTTTAACAAAGAGGCGGACTGGCAGGCAGGAGTCTCACCACGAGTCTCATCTTCAGGAGTCAGTCAGCAATTCTGCTCTGGACGAGCAACGTAGTCCTCTAGGGTGTAGTATAGACGAGGAGGAGGTTGCTTAGGAACCTCCGAACGGAGTCCATTCGAGAAACCCATAAATGTAGGAAAATGCTAAAACGACCCCGGGTGTAGCCAGTTTAGAACGACGCCTTCTGATCTCGCCGGCATCCAAAACGCTGCGTGGAAGTCCCCTAACAGTGCTGACCTCACATCGCCGTCGCCAGCGAGATCCTTATACTGTATATTTTGGACAGTAGCATAGGGGAACACAGTTTTTGGGCCAAATAAGAGCAACGACCCATGTGTGGAAAGCAAACAGTCTTGGAGCCCGTTGTTGTTGAGTTTGCGCGGGGTTCGGAGTGGGTCATCACCGTGCGCTCCTTGGGGATGGCTAGAAGTGGGTAAACTCGTGCTAAATGTGAGTGACTTGGGTTAGGGTTGGTTAGAGTAGGAGACTCACCGAAGGCAAAGGGGTTAGGGTTAGGGTTAGGGTTAGGGTTGTCTTGCGCGAAAAAAAGCCCTTGTTTTTCCACCTCCGACGGCCCTTTTCGGCAGTGAAAGCTCATTCACTTTCCGACGACTTTCAGCAACCGCCGTACTGTACAACAACACCCGCAACAATGGCCACAGTCAAAGAGCTCGCCCTGCCCCTCTCCATAATAGCAGTCCTCCTATTTGGGATACTCGCCCTCGTTATTGCGAGGAGGAAACAGAGGTTCCAGGAGGATAGACAGGACTCGACAGAGTTCTTTTTGACGGCGAAAAGGAGCATTCCCACTTTTCAAATCGCTTGGAGTTTCTTTGCGGGGGCCACGGGTTCTTGGTGGGTGTTGGAGTCGGAGCGTCCGAGCGATAGCGATGAGAAGGCGAGCGCCAGCGGGCCCCAAATGGGCCCTAGGCGCAGGAATGCTTGAGGCGCAAGCCATGCGAGCCGCGAGCGAAGCGAGCGATCGTTGTTGTGGTGCAACGAGGCGGTCTCCCAGATCGAACGCCTTCTGGTTTGCGTGGGAGCGCGAGCGGGAGCGAGCGCCACCATCGCAAACGCCTTTGCGAGCAACAGCGTGCACGAGCGGAGCGAGTTCCGTGCGCCAAAGGCGCAATACCCCTGGCCACGGTACTTAGCGAGCGCCCGCGAGCGTCAGATCTTTGTGAGCGAAGCGAGCTTAGCACACGCATCAGGGTATCGTTCAACTTTCAACGTCGACCGATGGGATCTCGAACTTACTATCCCACTCTTTCGTCGCAAAACAGGGTCGTATTCTCACTGCCAGCGTACGCGGTTACTGGCTATGGCTACATCGGCATGATGTGGTACGCCTTTTTCACGGGCTTGCCATTGATTGTGATTGCATATGTGGGAGACGCCATCAGGAACAAGTACCCACACATCATGTCGTGGGGTGATTTCGCGCGCTTCCGTTACGGAGTTGTCGTCCAGATCTACATGACGTTGATCGTTTTGTTGAACATGGGCATCAGTGAGTGCCGCAAATTCGTTCAGTGAAGAATGTTCGGCGGTTGACTTTTCCGCCTCCACAGACCTGACGGCCGAATACACCGCCATCGGCTCTCTCTTCTCCAGCATCGTCGGCGTCAACAAACTGATCCCTATCCTCATCGTCGGCGCAGTGACCATGACTTACACCGCAGTCGGTGGTCTCTACGTCTCCGTCATCACTGACCAGTACCAAGGCATGTTTACTCTCCTCCTCGTAGTCATCACCGCAATCTACATGGCCGCAACAGTCCACATGCCCAACCCTTCCCCACCCATGACGGACGACCTCGCCCCCAACGAGGCAGGCTGGACCTCCATCGTCACCATGGGCGTCTCCATGACCGCGGCCACCTTCTTTTCCGACGCCGTCTGGCAACGCGTCTGGGCCTCCGTCGACACTCGCTCCCTTCGCCGCGGCGCAACAGTCGGCGCCCTCATCGCCACCTTCGTCGCCTTCTTCTTCGGCTTTGGCGGCGTCCTCGCCGAATGGCTCGGCTACTACAACGCCGCCCCGGAGGATATAAACACCTGCACCAACTGCGACCCCAACCTCGCCTTCTTCTACCTCCTCACAAAGGGCAACACATCCACAGACGTCTGGATCATCGTCCTGGTCGTCATCCTCGCCGCGGTAATGAACGAATCCGCCGTCGACGCCTTCCAGGGCGCACTCACCGACACCGTCGTCGCCCTCGCCTCCACGACGCACACCCACAAGAGATTCGGCTACGACCATTTCCCGCTCACCGCCGCCCGCCTCCTGGTCGTCGTCATCAACGTCCCCATCGTTATCGTCGCATTGCAGGGTTACAACATCAATTCGTTGTACCTCATCACCAACATGGTCACGGCCTCTGCGGTGCTCCCGATGCTCCTGGGTCTCGTGCGCCGGCTGGAACCGTACATCCACGGCCGCCAGGTCCTCTTTGCCTGCCTGTTCTCCCTGCTCTCCATCGCAACCCAGGGCGCGATCGTATCCGACGGTGATTTTGGCGCAGGGATCAGACGCAACTTTTGGGAGGTGTATGATTGGGTGGCGTTTGTGGTTGCGGTTGTGGCGAGTGTGGTTGGGTTGTTTTTGGCGGCGGCGGCTGAGGTGGGGCTTAGGAAGGTGCTTGGGCGGCCGGTGAAGGTTGTGAGACGGCCTGCGACGTTGGGGGAGGGGGATGTGAAGGGGCAGTTGCATGAGGACTTTAGTGCTGCTACTCTTTAAATGCTCTCACTTCTTTTGAGAAGAGCATCCAATCTGCTATTTGCCCGGCGTGTATTTATTTACCCCTCGCATTCGGACATTTCCATCCTGGACATACTATTCCCTCCCCTCCTTGTATCTCCATCTCCCCAGTTCGCTTAGTATTTATCCCCAGCATTGCATTAATGAGCGGACGTAACGCTAATCACACAGAACGTTTTCTCAATACACATTATGCCGAGTGGCCATCTTGTGAAACTGGGCGAATACGCGAATCATCATCCTTGTTAGCCACAATCTGAGCCACAATCAAACTGTAACATACACCAGAACTCTTTTTTGACACTTTTGATACCGTTGAGCGCACGTACAAAAAGCTGTTTCTCCTCGAGACTAAGTCAGTGTCGCGAGGCGCGCGCCAGCGCGTGTGGAACGGTCATCGACTTCAATCAGGAGGAGACGCAGCTTTTTGTCCCCTGACTGTTACATGGCAGGGGCCTCAACTCGTCCTCAATTCCCGTTCCCATTCCACCCCCGAACATAATCAACAATGTCATCAAACATCTTCACCCCCAGCAACCAGGTCCGCCTCTTCTTCAGCCCCACTCCCGTGCTGGTTTTTCCACTCCCCCCCGTCCCACTTACCCCATTCGTCTTCCATGTTAGATCCGGTTAACGAATGTATCCGTCGTCCGCCTGAAGAAGGGGGGGAAGCGGTTCGAGATTGCGTGTTATAAGAATAAAGTCACTGAGTGGCGGAATAACGTGTGAGTTTTCGGGAGGGGCGGTGGGTGGAGGGACGCAGTTGGGGTGGATGAAGCCATTAGTCGGACCTGAGTAGGGAGGGGGTGTATGCGAAATGGGTGGGACGGACCTCATTCCGATTCCGCATACTCAGTCTTTGAGCGAAAAGGATGGGGATACTGACAAAAGGGGGGCACTTTTTAGGGAAACGGATCTGGACAATGTACTGCAGACCCGGTCGGTGTTTGTGAACGTGTCTAAGGGGCAGACGGCCAAGCAGGAGGATTTGCAGGCGGCGTTCAAGACGGGGGATTTGGATAAGATCATCCTGGAGGTAATGTTGAGCAGTCGTACATGGGGTATCAATGCCCCCCAGCCACGCACGCTAAACCCCCCATACATTTCTTTTGCAGATCCTCCGCAAAGGCGAACAACAAGTCTCTGAAAAAGAGCGCACGCAATCCCTCACCAACCTCTCCCGCGACATCGCCACCACCGTCGCCGACAAATGCATCAACCCGTCCACCAACCGCCCTTACACGGTGACCATGATCGAGAAGGCCATGACCGAGATGCATTTCAGCGTCAATCCCAATCGGAGCGCAAAGCAGCAGGCGTTGGAGGTTATAAAACAGCTGCAGGAGAAGAAGGTCATCCCGATCGCTAGGGCGCAGATGCGGGTTAGGGTTGTCGTGGGTGGGAAGGAGGGGAAGAGGGTGAGGGAAAAGGTGGTCGGGTTTGTGAAGGTGGAGGATGAGGATTGGGGGGAGGATTATGAGATGGTAAGTGTCTTTTGCGAATCGTAACGACAGGTATTCCAAGACAGACCGCCAATCAATGTGATTCTTATTCCCTCCCCAAAGGTCTGTCTAATCGATCCAGGCCATTTTCGTACCATCACCGACGCCGTGGCGGGCGAGACTAAGGGACGCGGGCAGGTCGAGGTTCTGAATATCAAGGACACGGAGGATCGGGATGAGGCATTTTGAGTCATATATTGCATGCTCTCTCTGCTCTCCTACGCATTTTGGTTCTATTATATACATATTTCGGGCATTAGGGGACATGGCGGATGGCGAAGTGCAAGAAATGCCCGGTTTCGTTTTGCGAATCTTGCCATCGGAAGGGGAATACATCGCACTATTGCGTGGAAGATGTGGAGATGGAAGATGTGGGGATGGGATGCAGAGATGTCGGCGTAAGAGTTCGAAGCTTACTGAGCAGATCCGATTAACTCGTACGATCCCCCTGATTAGAATATGCACCTATCGCAACCATCGGACTACTGTATGTCATATTGTATACATAGACGATTCTGGTTTGATTCTCGATTATTTATGAAAGCTGCATTCTTTGATACGGCCTTCCTTCCTAGGAGTGAATGATGATAAGCAAATGAAACAAGGAGGAAGGGAGGGTGGTGACGCCGATCGCTTGCGAACACGCGGTGGTAGAAACTGAAAGTGATGATGGCCGTGGTCGACAGGATAGATCTACATGACGAAAACCTTCTTCTCCCCCGCAAATCCCTCACCCGCCTTCCCCACCGCCCCCAGCAACCTACTCTCCTCCTCCTTCCCCCCGCCTTTGGCAAACCCCACCTTCCCCCACCGCACCTCCCTCAACTGGCCCTTGGCAATCATGCCACACAAATCCACAGCATGCGCTCACGCAGGGAGGTGTCGCGCCGCGTGTTCCAGCGGGCCATCCAGAAGCCGTGACAGGAGAGGTTTTTGAAGATGAAGGGGGAGGTTGGGAAGGTGAGTAGGGTGCGGGACATGGCGCCATAGGTTACGAGGTGGGCATCGTGGCTTCCATCAAAAATCATGATCGGTGGGTAAGTCGGACACTTGGACCATGAATCAAACACCCATCTCTCACTGTCAATCAACAACTCTCCGATCACAACTCACCCCAGAAGCCTCACAAGGTTAGTAGCGCTGTGCCCGCCCACACAATTGAACGCCAGCTTGACGCTCCCCCCTCCGTTGTTGTAGTCCCCATCGGAAGCGGGAGGAGCGAGTGCTTTGATCTTTGCGGCCGTCTCGGGCATCCGCAGATCTTGTTCGGTGATGACCAGGTCGGCGCCCAGGGAGGTGAGGTGGGCGCGGAGGTCATCGATGTTGGGTCTAGTGAGGGGATAGTGTGAGTGATCTAGTGATTGTGAAGGGATGGGGTGGTGAACTTGCATCGAATAGATCTTTGCTCATACCTATCACGCACGACATTGACGGTTTTGAACCCCCACGCCTTCGCCAGCTGGATAACAGCCTGACCGAACCCCCGAGTTGGCGCCGTTCTGGATAACCACATTCCCCCGGCTTCAGGTCGACAAAATCTTTCAGCATTCTGTATGCTGAGACAGGGGTCAGTCTTCAGCGTGGCAAGTCGTCCTCTTTTGACAGCCCATATGGTCTTTTTCTCACCAGTGCACGGGTTGACGCTAATAGTAGCAGCTGCAATCTTCGACACGCCCTCCTTTGGCAACTTGATCAGCTCCACCTCCATAAAACGTGCATGCATTCTCCATGTTCTTACATCATATCTCAACCCTCAATAGACGGCTCACCACATCCGCAGGTCACAAAACGCAATGTACCAAATCCGCTGTCCTCAGGAATGACCCAATCGCCAACCTTCAAACCCTTAATATCGCTGCCGGCCGCGATGACTTCCGCAACCCCTTCGTTCCTGCCGATGGCGCCGAATGTGTCGTTGAAGGTTGGTTTGATGGGGTATGCGCCTGTGGGGAGATGCGATGTTATGGGAATATGTTCCAATGCGGTGATCTTCCATCCAATTCATCCACACGCATCAAGCAAGTATACTCTTGGACAGACAAACCCACCTTGGATCTGATTGATGTCCGCCGGATTGATAGGGCTCGCCAAGAAACGGACATGCACGGTTGAGGATGTGAGTGGTGGGAGCGGCACATGTACCAATCTAGGATTCACCCGTTGAACGGACAGTAAGGACAAATGAAGGATTTCCAGATCAAGCTCTTGTTCCTGCGTTGGGACTCGGGTGGTATCCCGCATCCTCCCTTCCCTTGCCTCTCCTCCAACCTGTCCCCGACACAAAACCACACACCTCAAGACATCAGTGGGGTTCCCAAACTGCTTATACATCAGTGCCGCATATGAGGTCGGAGCTACGCCTGCTCCTGCGCCAGCGTTCGTACTGTAAGCATGTGCTGAAGAGGGGATGGCGGCGGCGGGGATGGCGAGCGGGATGGCGAGGTTGGGGTGGGTGAGGTGACGCGCGAGGGCGTGGATGCGGAGCGTCGAGGGGAGGGTGCGGGCGGTGCGGGACATGGTTTACGAGTGGGTTTGCCAGTGCTTAGAAGTCCGTCTTTCTTTCAAAGGATGGAACACGCAGTCTTGCTTGTAATGGGACTGGTGGGGAGGGTAATGGGGCCTGATCATGCAACGATCGCAACGACCGGACTACTACTGTACTGTTGTATGCGCGAAATAATGACCTTCCGGGCGCGAATAAACAGCCTTCCGCGACGAAACTCAGGGGCCACCACATAAGTCCTGCCCATCTTCACGAATGCCACCATGTAGCGTCAAAAGAAGCTTGATGGAAACAATGGGCCCTTCCGAGAGGGCTGGAGATACAACCCGATCGTCTGTATGATGTATTGAGAAGTGAAGAAAACGTAGTCACTTGGTTACATGAAAATCGACGGCACTGCAAAAGCCGGCCGGCCCCCCGTCAACCATCCGTCCCCCACCCTGCTTCCCTCTCAGTGACCGACCGCTCCTCATCTTCGATCTTCATCGTATCCCCCCGCACGGTATTTGTCGGATGCGTGCCATTGCGTGTGGAGATGTGCATGGCGACTACTATAAGCTTCCGCGACGCAGATTATAGAGCTGTTGATATATCGATGGGTGGGACGGAGGGATTTGCTGTGACCGTGTACTGAAAGAGAATAGCTCATAAAGAGCATGGGCCACCCGGCGGTCATATCTACGTCCATGATTGTGATGCCGAAAGGGCGGATCAGAATCCCGTCCAGAATTCATCATCAAACAACTTTCGCATGACCCCCCAGTGTTTTTCGGCACTCTCGATTTGCAACGTCGCCAGGGGGTTGTGTTTGTCCGTGATGATCAGCCTCTCATCCAGGTTCCCCACCATTTCCTCAAACACTGGCGAGTCCGTCGCCCGACTAGCAGGGAACCTATCCACGAAATGTCTGTACATATGCGACGTATGTGGCAGCGTCGCCGTTTCCGGAATCGTGAATGTGATTGGGTGCGTAGACGCGTAGAACACCATGTTGTAAAGCGGCGACTCGGCAAGGTTCTCTAGCTTGTCTTCGGTGTAGATCTCGAGGTAGGGGAACACGTCCTTGAGGGTGCTCACGACCGATTTTGTGGCGATCGATTCCAAGGTGCCGACGAAATTGAGGGCGAGGACACCTTTGGGTTTGAGGACCCGTTTGACGCCTCTTATGGCTTCCACCGTGAAGAGCTTGCCTGGGACAACACCGCCGGTGAACACGTCGTGAATGACAAAGTCGTAGGTGTTGTCCGGTGCGTCGTCGATGAATGCTCTCCCATCCCCTATGTGCGTCGTGGCAGGTTCCGGGAGTGCAAAGTACGTTTTCGCGTATTCAACCACCAAGGGATCCAGCTCCACCAGATCTAACGACACTCGGGCATGTTCTAAGAGCGTCTTTGTGGACGCCCCTACGCCCAAACCAATCTGCAAAGCTTTGCGCGTCGTTGTCGCAGAGGCTCTGCCGCTCGTGATGTACTGCACAAAGTCTAGGAAGTAGAAGCTTCCGAATACCGAGTCAAAGTCGTATTCTGGGTAGCCACCGCCAATTAGCGAATGGTCGCATCGCATCAATCGCATGCCGCCGTGTTTGCTGTTGTCTTGAATGACGTACAGATATCCGGTAACGGACTCGTTCAGAGCGAGGAGCTCGTACTTGTTGTCCAACTTCACCGAAGCGCTGCACTGACGGGATTCCGGGAACAGGCTACCGAGGAAGACTGTTCCGGTTGACAGAACGATCAACGCCCCCATAGAAAATAGCCTATTTTTCGCTGCAGATGCCTGGGGCGTCTTGGCAAGAGCTTTGGCAGCTTTGGCAGCTTTGCCAGGCTTCTTGCCGTCATTCTTCGCGTCGGTGGTCGCAACAACGGCCGGGGACGTGCTCATCCCTGCCATCAACGCATCTACAGCGGTCTGAGACAGCCAAAAGAACGATAAAAATCTCAGAAATCCGCACGTGCTGCTGCCGCCTGTAAACTCGCCAATCTTGTCCACGATTGCATCCGCTCTCCGCAGACTGCTGATGAGGGCCGCGGACACTGCCGTCGCTTCCATGAAGGGATTAAGTGCTGGTGTAGCAAGCACTGCGACGGCCGACAAGAGGGCTATCGCCGCATACACCGGCGCCATGGTCAACAAAGGTCCCCATTCTGGGCCCCACTCTCTGCTATGCGAGAACAGTGTTCGCATCACCCCCGGCGCTGCTGTTAGGAGTAACGACACAAGCAGGGAAATCACAGTATGCGGTCGTGCTTTACTTTCAGCCGTCGCTCTGACGGACGTAAAAGCATATCCAAGAGCGGCACCCAGCACGACGGACCCCAAAGCCGCTTCGAAATGGTGCTGTTCCGAGAGGAATTGACCGTACACCGGGGCAACAAACTTTGGCCCGCCGGAGTAGAGGACGGGGATCGACAGCGCGGCTGAGAGTAGACCGAGCCGAAACGCCATCCTGGTGGTTGGTCGCTGTTGTATATATGGGATGCGAGATTGCGGTTTGCACGCAGTCCGAAGTCCAGCCACGCCTGTCGTCGACGATCGAAACCGAGAAGGCTGGCACGGGACAGACGGGCGGGCAGGGCAGTGGGCATAGATAACAGGTGAGTCATGGTGAGTCATGGACGCGGGGCTCCTCGGGCGGAGATGTGAATCGCATCCAACCGGCATCAACTGGCATCCTCCACCACCAAAGCATATACATACGTATATAAAAGGACAAACACTTCCCAACGAGGGAGGGGCCTTGTATATCCACAAGCTCATCAGCTGCATACGTCGCCGGCGCTAGTCCTCCACTCAACTTCCTTTTGACCAGCAACCAACAAAAAGTCGTCGCCATGTCTCTCTGGGGCGGTGAGTATCCGCGATAGGCGGCGAAAATTGACAGGACGGAAACTATAACTCCTCCCCCATTTCTCCAGGCCGCTTCTCGGAAAAGAATGACCCGCTTATGCACCAATTCAACCAATCCCTTGGCTTCGACCGCCGCATGTGGAAGGCCGATATCCAAGGGTCGCAGGTATACGCACAAGCCCTCCACCGCGCCGGCATCCTCACCTCCGAAGAGCAAACGCAGCTGGTGAACGGCCTTGAGGCCGTGGGAAAGGAGTGGGCAGCGGGCACGTTTGCGATACAGGAGGGAGATGAGGACATCCATACTGCGAATGAGCGTCGGTTGGGTGAGCTTGTCGGGCCCGTGGCTGGGAAGCTGCATACGGGACGGAGTCGGAACGACCAGGTCGCGACGGATATGAGGATATGGTTGCGGGATGAGGCGAATGCGCTGTTAGGGTTGCTGAAAGCGTTGATAGCGGTTGCAACGGAGCGGGCGGAGAAGGAAATTGATATTCTGATGCCGGGGTACACGCATTTGCAGGTGGGTCGGTCTGAGTCAGAACAAGGGCTGTGGACGTGTAGATCTCATGCAATGTTCAATAGAGGGCACAACCGATCCGATGGAGTCATTTCCTCCTCTCACACGCCTGGAGCTGGCACGCCGACGCCGAGCGACTAGAGCAGCTCATACATCGCATGAACGCACTGCCACTAGGAAGCGGTGCACTCGCCGGCAACCCTTTCAACGTAGATCGGGAATGGATGGCGCAACAGCTCGGTTTTCATTCTGCGACCCCCAACAGCTTGTACGGCGTCAGCGATCGTGATTTCGTGGCGGAATTCTTGTTCTGGGCTAGTCTCACGATGGTGCACCTAAGTCGGTGGGCAGAGGACTTGATTGTGTACTGCTCTGCTGAGTTTGGGTTTGTCGTGTTGGCGGATGCGTACAGGTATGTGCAAGAAGGCGCCAGGTGGCATTTGGGGCAAGTTTACTCAATGCTTTTTCGCTATTGACAGTACGGGAAGCAGTTTGATGCCGCAAAAAAAGAATCCCGACTCGTTAGAGCTCATTCGCGGAAAAGCAGGACGGGTGTTTGGAGGGGTGAGGAACCTATACTTTGGTCGTCTCAAGTCCAGCCGGCTCATGAGCGTTATCCTCATAGATGACTGGCTTTATGATGACCGTGAAAGGCCTGCCCAGCACCTACAACAAAGATCTACAGGAGGACAAGGAGCCTATGTTTGCCACTCTCGACACGCTCAGCGCATGTCTGCAGATTGCGGCGGGTACTTTGAGCACATTGAAGGTGATTGGGAAGGAGTACTGATTCACAGCTGCGTTGGTGAATTGCTGACATTGATTTGACAACCAGACAAAGCCCGAAAAGATGAAGGCAAGCTTAAGCATTGACATGCTTGCCACGGACGTGGCAGAGTACCTCGTACGAAAAGGGGTAAGCATGAGCAAATATCCCACAACCAAACTCCGATCCGCATCTAACCCGCAAATACCCTTCGAAAAACCCAAGGTACCCTTCCGCGAAACACACCACATTGCCGGCCGAGCCGTCCGCCTCGCCGAAGACCGGGGCGTAGACATGAGCGCTTTGGGCGTCGCCGACTTTAAGCAACTGCACCCCGCATTTGCGGAAGACGTGACGGACATCTGGGACTATGAAGTCAGCGTGAACCGCCGGTCTGCTAAGGGTGGGACGAGTCGTGTTACGGTGTTGGAGCAGATTGAGAGTTTGAAAGAGTGGTTGGGGAAACAGGGATGAGATTTGTGGATGGTCGAAATTTATCTTTACGGCGTACTCTTGAGTGGACCTGTGAATAGATATATCGTATGTGTTGCGGCGTATGAGATAAAATTGAGGCATTTGGCCCAGGTGGTAAGGACCTTATTCAATTACGTACAAACAGCATTTGGCCCAGGCGGTAAGGACCTTATTCAATTCCCTACGAGATCTCTATGTCTATGTATGATACATGTGAGTAAACAGACTTGGAGTCACATTTGCAGAACTACCATCCGACAACAAAAATGATCCCTTTCCAGACTCTCAAATCGTCAACATCACAGTGTTGCGACCCGCAATCGCAATAGCCCCAGACGTCTTCGGGGCAGTGGTAGAGTTCGCAAGCTTATCAGCCGGGCACGCATCCAACAGCGTCTTCACCTTCGCCACCTCTCCATCCACCGTCGGCTTCGCATACGCCGGCAACGAAGGGGTATCCACCGAAGCATCATACTGGGCCTTCGCACACGGCGTGCAAGCATCCACCGCCATCCCCTCTGCGCGGCGTCATGCTCATCCGCCGCACAGTACGTCGCCCCGTTCTTCACGCACGCCGTCTTCCGCAGGTAGTTCAGAATCGGCGAGATGTCCGCCGCACCCAGATGCTTCAACAACACCTGCGTGTCCGCGTCCGCCGCCGCCGCGCCCGTGATAGACGGGCTCAATAGCGGTTTCTGGTTCGCACAGGGTCCCGCGACGACGCTTCAATTCGAAAAGAACCTTGCTTTGGTCGCACGGCAAGGTTGACGCGCGAAGAGTCGTCGAGCGACGAGAACGGAGACATTTGGAGAACGCGTTCTCGGGCGTGTAACCACTACCTGTTGTACAAAGGGTTAGGGTTAGGGTTAGGGTTAGGCCCGTTACGAAGGAAGCATTAATTTAGACTCATGTGATTCACGACTTCTGATCATGTGACAAAGAAGCGCATTAGGGTTTCGCCTGTAACCATCTCGGCTGTGTACAGCTTTTTGCCCAGCGAATTCCCACGGACCAGATCAACGGAGGTACAGTACGAGCAGCACAGAGCAACAGGCGGTGGCGCAACGGATGTCCATGTGGGGTATATAAACCCGCGGGGGACGCCCTCCGCCGTCTCAGTTAACGTCGTCACACAATTTTTCTCAAGGCATCGTACTTAAGGTGCGCCTTATTTTCTATTTTACCTCTCAGAACAAAGCTCAGCAACATGAGCATTCTCAAACTCATTAAGCCCCGGGTCCTAGCGGCCATCAAGGCCGTCTCCACGGCCGCCGCAGAAATCCCCACAGTAGCAGATTGCGGATATACCTCGGGTGCCGGAAACCCAAAACAGGCTCTTCTCGCCGATATCCAAGTCCGTGGGATCCTTAGCGCCGCCAAACGCCTGAAGCTGGATCCTACGGACTTTGCGAAGCAGATTGTCGAGAAGCTGGACTTGCAGGGTGTTGGGAAAGCTACCGTTGATGGGCCGGGGTTCATCAACATCAAACTGGATGATGCGTGGTTGGGCGACAGGATAAACAAGCTGTTCTGGGGTGCGGATCCCAGGTTGGGCGCTGAAGAATGGACGGGACGGGTGGTTCTTGATTACTCGAGTCCTAACCTTGCGAAGGAGATGGTAAGCTGCTTGTACAAGCGTTTGACTTTCGGTCCGTTACGCACGCCCATCGCTGACTCTGGGGTCGCCCCATTCTAGCACGTCGGACATCTTCGATCCACCATCATCGGAGACGCCCTTGCCCGAGTCCTCGGATTTGTAGGAGCTGACGTGATTCGCCAAAACCACGTTGGAGATTGGGGAACACAATTCGGAATGCTGATTGCGCACGTCTACGACACGGATGATGTAAACCTCGACCAGCTGCAGGATCTTGAGGCCCTGTACGTCCAGGCCAAGATTCGATTCGACGTGGAGGAGGGATTCGCCGACCGTGCTAGGGATTACGTCGTGAAGCTACAAGCTGGAGATGCGGATATTGTGAAAAAGTGGGAGAAGATCGTCGAGGTGTCGCTGATGCACGCCCAGGTAAGGACGGCCGCGTACATCTGTTGAGAAAGCTGCGTGAGAGGTGGAAGGAACCAATTCCCTAACGACTTCTGCTTACAGAAAATCTATGACACCCTTGGAGTACTCATCAAGCGCTCCGATGCCTATGGAGAGTCGTCATACAATGCGGACCTTCCAAATGTCGTCACAGACCTCGACAAGGCCGGTATCCTTGCCGTCGATCAGGGAGCCAAGGTCGTTTACACACCCGCCTTCCAGAAGGATTTCGGCAAGGGCAAACCCGTGTTTGTTGTCCAGAAGACCGGAGACGGCTTTGGGTACGCCGCGACCGATTTGGCCGCTATGCGATACCGTGTGCGCCACCTCAAGGGCGACAGGCTATTGTATGTGATCGACAACCGTCAATCCCTCCACTGCCGCCAACTATTCGACGTTTCCCGCCGCGCCGGCTTCCTCCCCGAGAACGTGGAAGCCACGCACGTTGGCTTCGGTACCATGATGGGCGCCGACAAAAAGCCCTTCAAGACCCGTACAGGCGGCACTATCAAACTCGCCGAACTCATCGCGTCCGCTCAAGAACGCGCCTACGCCCTGGCCAAGGAAAAGAACGAGAAACGCTCCGAAGCCGACCGCTTCACCGACGCCCAGGTCCGCGACATCGCCAACAAAATCGGCATCGGCGCCATCAAGTACGCTGACCTCTCAAAACAGCGCGACCGCGACTATGTGTTCGACCTCGACGCCATGGTCCAGTTTGAGGGCAACACGGCGCCTTACCTCATGTACGCGTACACCCGATGCCGCGCCGTCGGCCGTGGCGCCACCGCAGCCACCGAAGCCTCCTCTTCCGCACCCATCGCCACCACGACCACTACAACACCACCCAAGTTAGTCCTCACCCACAACGCCGAACACGTCCTCGCAACAACCCTCCTCCAATTCCCCGACGAGATCGCAAACGTGATTGCCACCTCCTGCCCGCACCACCTGTGTGGATACCTCTACCGCGTCGCCGGCGCGTATTCGCAGTTCTACCAGGCGTGCCCGATCTTGAAGTCGGAGGGCGAGGTTCGGGCGAGCCGGTTGAGGTTGTGTGAGGCAACGGCGGAGCTGTTGAAGACGGGCTTGGGGTTGTTGGGGATAGGGGTGTTGGAGGTTATGTAGATGGCTTTCCTATCGAATCCTTCTCCGCCTCCTTCACTCCCTGACGGGATTGGATGCGGTTAACTCCCCTCGGCGTATAATGTCACATGGCGCACCACCACCCAGAACTTTTAGATTCCTTCGACCCCAAAAGTACTTCCTCATTGCAAATATAATATAAGATTGTGCATGATGTTACATACATGTTACCCCTTGATGGAGAAGACTGTTTTCACCCCATGTGTGCAACCAAATTGATTGGCAGAAGTGTTTTCAGAAGGTTCAAATGTCAACGCCTGTGTGACCGGAGACGAGACGGCCGCATCCAATAGCCCTAACCCTAACGCGCGTTGACCATCATTACTCAGACCATCACTAAGGGGGGGCGGAAATTCGCTTCTGAACAAACGCTGATGCGACTTCTTCAACATCATTTGGCGTCGGAGCTGTGGGGAGCCCGTCCGAGTGTCTGTCTGCTGTTTCCGACTTAACCGGGTCGGCCCCGTCATCTACTCCCACTCCACAATCCGCTCCCCCCCAAGCAACCGGGTCTCAGAAGAATGACAGCCGCCGTCGCTACTGCAGTAGTCGCCGCGAAAGCTCCTCTCCGGATTCTTTGCTTGCACGGATATACCCAGAATGCCGAGGTACGGAAAGGAAAGGGAACTCGGAGACTCTCACAACGCAAAACGGCCTGACCGATTTCTGTCAACCAGGTCTTTCGCAAGCGGCTAGCAGTCTTGCGGAAAGATGTAAAGGACACCGCAGAGCTAGGTGAGTCCGTGTATGATTCTCGAAGTGCTTGTGGCGTGAGCGAAGGGACCGCGAGCGTAGCGACTTTGTTGCGCCAAGGGCGCAATTCCCCTAACCACGGCTCTTAGCGACCCTCAGCAAGGGTCAGATCTTTAGCGAGCGAAGCGAGCTACGCTACTGCCCACCGGAACAACATCATTGCGAGCGAAGCGAGCAGGGTATCGTTTGTTGATGGTTGATGGGTTGATGGGTTGATGGGTTGACGGGTTGATTTGTTGACGGTTGACTAGTGATGCTTGACAGATTGATGGTTGACTTACTTCCCTTTGAATTTCAGTATTCATGTCAGCACCCCACGATGTCGCCCCAGAACACCTCCCACCCGGCTTCTCCCAAACCGAATCAGAAGGCCCCAAAGCATGGTTCCGCTTCAAAGAAACCGCCGAAATTTACGAAGGCATCGACGACTCTTTAGCCGCTATCAGTTCCATGTGGTCCTCACCTTCAGCCGATCTCAGCGCGACGAGGTTTCATGGAATCCTCGGCTTTTCGCAAGGCGCGACGATGGCGGCGATCGCGTTGCCGCAATTGGAGCCGAAGCCATTGTTCTCGATCCATGTATCGGGGTTTTTGCCGAGGGACGCGAGCTGGGCGGGGTTTCTGAAGGAACGCGCGGCGATGTTGGGTGGTGTGCCGTCCTTGCATGTGTTTGGGAGGGCGGATACGTGGGTGCCGCCCTTCAAGAGCGAGAGATTAATGCAGTTGTTTGGAACTACTGCTGACTCTGAGCCAGCCCCCGCGGCCGACGAGGCCGACAACAGCGCGCCCCTGCGTAAGGGCCCGCAGGCACTAGTCCACGACGGTGGGCATTTCGTACCCATGGGAGCAGCCCACCGCCGCCTCTACAAGAAATTCCTAGGCCGCATTTCCTCACAATTGACGAATCCCCTCGGCGCCCGCGCCTTCTCCACATCCACCACCGCACGTCAATCCGACCCCCCAACATTCCAACAGTTCGCCACAGCCCTAGCCAACGCAAAAGGCGGGCCTAACCGCTCCCCAACCCGTCGCCGTCCCTCCTCCCCACCCTCCCCACCCACCCCATACGACCCATCACTCGAACCAGAAGACCTCCCCAAATCCCTCACCGGCGTCCGCCAAACCCACCACATCCCCGGCAAATTCGAATCCGCCTTCCGGCAAGACGAAGCCGACGCGCGCCGCGCCCAAAAACAAGCCGCCCTCGATCGTCTCATCCCACCCATCCACAAAACCCCCGCGCTCAAACCCCGCGCGCCCGATAACCGCAACCTCTCCCCTTCACCAGCCGACGACGCCCCACAGCTGGGCAAACGGCAGGGAAGACTGGCGACAAAGATCCACACGGCTCTCACCGACCTGCACACCTCCGCGCTCCTCCCGCTCCACACGCACTGGTCACTCGCACGCATCACGCCGTCGGCATCGAAAAGGTCCGTGTTTGTTTACTACCACATCCTCGCCGACTCGGATGTGCCGCCGAAGGAGGTTGAGGAGACGTTGAGGATGTACCAGCCCGCGGTGCGGAAACTGGTTATGGAGAAACTTGGGGGGAATGGGAGGAGGGAGTTTCCGGCGTTGGAGTTTAGGAGGGATAGGGGGAGGGAGAGGGAAGGGGTTTTGGAGGGGGTTTTGGAGAGGATTGAGAGGGAGATGGAGGGTGAGATGGGGAGTGGGAGTGGTGGTGGCGAGAGTGAGAGTGGGAGTGGGACTGAAGACAGTGGAGCGAGTGGGGGTGGGAGTGGCAGTGAGAGTGGGAATGCGAGTGCGAGTGGGAAGAAAGGCGAGTGAGCAGGGTGGGAGTGAAGAGAGCGGACGCCGGTGATGGCGGGCGGACTCACCCGCAATTATGAGATACTTGGATGGCAAGTATGAGAAGAACCCAGGGCCCCTATCTGGCTTTCGGGTATCACAACGCTCCAGGCCGTACATACTAGTGCGGTATCTAATCCAGATTCTGGGATGATATGGCAGACACTGTAGACTGAAAAGGCGTATGCGTTCATGTACAGTATTTTGCAGCAATAGATTTAGACACTGCGCCAATACCCCTGGTCTTGGAAGCAGGAGAACGACGAAAGCCCCCGGCGAGCACGAAGGCGACAACCTTTTTCAGCTTGAGCACCGTAACCCGCCAGGCTCGGTTTCATCCCGACATATGAGGAGTTCGACACCGAACCTGAGGGTGGAGTTTGCTCGCCAGAAAACGCAGATCGTTGAAAGTGCCGTCACACCCAAAAGAATTCAAATTGCCTCCCACCCAGATTTATTCCGCAAAAAAATGCATACTGTACATATCCACATTCCATACGCACCACATACGCAAATGTACTGTACATCCGCTCCCATAATATACATATCCGCCAAACGGGGTAGTGAAAACTACCAGGGTATACCCATCCAACGTTCCAATCTTTCCCCACTTGCCCTACCCACACCATTAACACATCAAATACTTATACATCCCCCTCCCCGCTCTCCTCCTCCAAAAGTACCCATCGTCGCTTGGCATTCTCCTCGCCCTCCTCTCTCTCGTCTGCATCATCCACCCGCGAGTTTTCAGCAGACGTAGCAACAACAGCAACACCCGCCTGCTCCGTCGGCGTAACGCGTCTCCTCACTGCCGGGCTGGTGAGTGACAGGGGTGAGATGGGGTTCGTGTTGTCCGCGGATAGGCTGGTGAGACGGATGGGTAAGGGAGCTGTTGGGGGGTCGCGGTAGCCGGGTTGGGTTGGGTCTGCGCGTGAGGGGGGGATGGAGGCGGGGCGGTAGCGGTGGTGTTCGTGGTTCGGTGCGGGATTCGTGTTCGCACCGGCTGCCGTTGGGAAGGAGGCGGTTGTGGGGTCGCGGTACCGTTGTTGTGTCGGATGACTCCCGTTCGCATTCCGATGTCCACCCCCCTCGTCCACCCTCCCAAACGACGCAGTGCTCCGATCCGTATACCGCTGTTGCTGTTCAGTCCTCATCCTGTTCCCATTGCCGGGGGTATCACCACCGTTACCATCCCTTCGTTCCTCCGCCCCAGGTTTCGCAAAGAGATACGCAAACGAAGACGATGTCGGAGATGTCAGGACCGGCGGCGGGGGTGACGGTGAGGGCGCAAGGAGGGAGGAGACTGTTACCGAGGTTGGTCGTACGGGTGGTGGCATAGCCGCTGTGATCACGGTCGGTCGATAGGGTATATATGGCGGTTTCGCAAACTGCGGACTCGCAGTCGTCGCAACCGGCATAGACGCGGGCGGTAACGCAGCCACGGGCGGAGATCGTGACATGGACAACGAGGTAGGTCTTCCATCGGACTCGTGCACATCACTCGTCGGCCGGGTATCGCGAGACGCATTCGCATGCCCCTCTTCATCCCTCAACAACCGCTCCCGTTCCCTCGCCCGTCGCTCCACAACCCCCATCTTTTCCTCAGGCTCGTCGCTCACGACGCCGCTGACGCGCATCATTGCGTGGAGGGTCTGCAAGCTCTCGGTGGATAAACCCTGCGGTGGTGTCGTTCGCTGCTCTTGCGCTGTATTCGTGTTCACGCTGCTATTGTTACTCCCCGCCGAAGACCGTCTGCGGTTGTTGCTCATTCCCGGCGTGGCAGCGGGGGGACGGCTGTTCGAATTTGGTTGAGTCGTCGTAGCCGAACTACGACTCTGAGCGGGAGGCAACCCCCCAACCGCCCCTGAACTCCTCCTCCCCTGCGCTGCCGTCGCATAGGGTGAGTACACACTACTCCCGGCACTCGACAGCGCCGAGGCCGAGGATGTATGTAGTTGGGATGAGCGGCGTGATGAGGGGGGGTTACTGCTATTGCTGTGAGTGTTGCTGGTGCTGGTAATGTGTCCCGCGCCGCCGCTTGCACTGCCGCTGCTGGGCTGCTGTCCTCCTCCTGGTTGCGGGCGGTGCATGATCTGAATACGCAACGGTCTTTGATTTCCGTCCTGTGTTTGTGTTTGTTGTTGTGGCTGCGATTGTTGCGGGTGATATTGCGTCGGCATACGAGGGTACTGCTGCTGCTGCTGCTGCTGCGGGGGTATATGCTGCCTCTGCTGCGGGTGATGCGGCACCAACGCGGCCGCAAGTGACTCTCCTCCTGGCAACGGATATCCTGCCGTCGGGGCCGTTGGCCGCTGCTGCTGATATTGCAGTTGCTGCAATTGCTGCTGTTGAATCCTCTGCCGTTCCCCCCGTGGATGCACAGCCCCCGTCAACCCCGGCGATGATCCGCGCCTCGGCACGGCTATAGCTCGAACCTGCATTGCTTGGGTCGCCTGTGGGGGTAGATATGCTGTTGCGTGCAGGCCTTGCAGATGTTGGTGGGGATGTACATACAACTGCTGCGGTGTGTGCCGCTGCTGCTGCTGTGGCATCCCATATCCTTGTGGGGGCGGTAACGTCCTCCCGGCAGCAGCAATTGTACTCAGAGGCGGTGGCCGGAATTTGAGGATATGATGCGGGTGTTGTTGCTGTTGTTGTTGGGAGGAGAGCGAGGCCCTCCGCGGATGCACAGGATGTCCATACCTCGCCGCGGCATTCGCAAGTTGTTGTTGTTGATGTGGGTGCATCACCCCTTTCATCAGTTCCGGTTTCGCTGCCTGCCCTGGTCTACTCCCACTCGCCCGATTGGAATTGACGTCACCCTCGTCATCACTCAAAGTGAGATCAACCACCTCGATCCTCGACGGCGTGCTCGGTTTGGCTCGTTTGGCTGGCCTCGGCGGCGTCCTCTCATCCTCATCAGCAGTGCGCTTCCTTCCCACTCCCGTCGCCGGTGTCGCCTCGTCATCGGAATCCAATGAAACAACAGCCGACACCGATCGGGACTCTCCACGGCCGGAAGGGGTCGTTGAGTGATGCTGATGTTGATCGTCGGGAGATGGGTGGTCACCGGCCCCAGCGACGACCCAAGATCCATCAAGCCGCACATCGACGCTTTCGACATCCTGTGAGGTGTTGTCGAGGATGGATTGAAAGTGTTCGTCTACATGTAACGTTTCCGCCGATCCAAGGTATTTACTGCAATCATAAAATAAAAGAGAGAGGGGGGTTATGTCAACATGTCGGCCATTCACGTCGTTCGGATCCACCTCGGAGATCCCTCCCGCACCGAAATATGCCCCTGAATCCTCACAACCCACCTGCAAACAACACAACACCAAGTCGGCAAACTCTCCATCAACCCCAAGAAAGTCTCCAGATCAAAACACTGCGCATGCTCGCACAACGTCGACCGGGCCGCCGTCGTGATCCGTAGCATCGAGGTCGGGTCGTGGAGGGAGATGCGGTGGGTTGTTGTTAGGGTTATTATGTCGTCGTCTTCTGCATCGGTGTTCTGTTGACCGTGCGGGTGTTGGGCGTGTGCTGGGCCTGTGGAAAAACGGTGTGAGCGAACGTGAGATGAAAGAAAGAACTTATGATTTTGGACTTACGCATGCCATCCCTACTCATCCTCCTCTCCTTCACACCCTCCACGACCCTGCCCACAGGTACACGTTTAACCAACAACACCGTCAATATATATCGGGTCGGGTGGTCTCTCTGTTGCTGCTGCGGTATCACGCCTGCCTGATCGAGCATGGGAGGCACTTTCTGCGTCTTGGGCAAAACCCCCACCCTCAACTCCAACTTCCTCCTCCCGGGACCCTGGGAGAGGTTACAGAGGGGTGTGATGTCGGCGGGTTGGCCTGTCCATGGTTTGCCTTTCAAACCCGTAAACCTCTTCAAAAAATGCCGTTCATCGTCAGCTCAAGATAAAATTTACAAGAACATTAGTGATTCAGCTTACCTTAACCTCGACCCGTGAACCCATAACCCACAACTCACAGGGTACGGGCCATTCGACGCCCGTCCCTCCCGCACCTCCCGAATTCTCAGGCGCGATAAACACCATAACCCTATGCTCGTCTCCCGCCTGTCCAGACTGCGTCGACGGATCCACAATCAACTTCGGGAAGGCGCGGTGGGAGATGTCGAAGGTCAATGAATGTGTCGTCGACGTGTTCCGGCCTTCCAAAAAAAAAGGCATCACAGTAGGGTAAGCGAGACGGGAGATGGAATAAGATAGAGGGGAGATCTGGGACGTACAATCACAAACCCTGGCTTGACACAACGGGGCGACGATCTCGTAGAAGGGTGACAGTTTCCAGTGCCCAATCCCGCCTAGGCCGCCGGGGCCTGCTCCCAAATTCCCATTTCCCCCTCCAGCTGTCCCGTTTCCCCCTCCCGCACCACTGGCACCGGCGTTCTTCACAGGCCCCCGCCCACTCGCAATAAGCTCCCCCATCGTCGTCCCAGCCGGCGGCGGCCGTCCGATATTGATCTTGATCCGCGGCGACACCATTTTCGGCACCTGTGGCTGTGATACAATCCCCGCCTCACCCATAACCCCCCTCACAGCCTTCCACACACCCTCAACGACCTCTCTCCGTCTTCCTGGCCCGACACCCACGCCCGCATTCACACCCCCGACACCCAGTACGACGTCGTCCAGCAGTCTTTCGATCCGATCGACGAGTTCCGCTTTGAGGCCCGTTTTTGGGAGGGAGAGGTGTTGCAGGACCGTTTTGAGTTCGGGGACTTTGAGGCGGGGGAGGAGGGTTTGTTTCAGTGTCTGTTGGGAGGGGAGAGGGAGAGAGGCGGGCGGTTAGGGTTAGGGTTTGTGATATTCTATGAGACGGATGCAGCGGTGAGAAACGTGAAAATCGCCTTGCTGCTGATGTAACGCGTCCCCGGAATCCTGTGCCTGCTGGAATGGCCGCCGCCGCGCACATATTGGGTACATCTATTCCTGACCGGAATCCCCGCATCCCCTATGCGTTCCGATACTTCCCCCTTTCATCCTCTCGGAACCCCGGCTTGGCTTCTCCAAACCACTCTCTCCTCTATCACTTCCGCTTCATCTCCCCCTTTTCTCACATGTTTTTACATACCCGATACCGCTGAACAGTCAAGTCGTCCATCCCTCCTGCAGTTTCTTACACCCTCCAATGGCTCGCTATCGTTTTTTTTGTCTTCCCGTCTCTCTCGTCGCGTCTCTCTTCCTATCTCTGTATCAAACTCCGCGTGGGGAAGCGTAAAGCGTATGGCGTCGGTGTATGCGTGTGGGGGTGCATTTAAGGACCGGTGCCGTTGACGCTTGACGCGCTGTGGTTTTTTTATAACTGTGTTTTCGTTCGCCCGCTGCGATATTCTCGAACGACTGTTTGTTGGAAATGGTGCTGTGGTTTTCGATGTTGTTTGTTTCTGTAAACGGCCGTGTGTGTCGCCGGGTTCCGTCGATGTATTATCTGTTCAGCCCAGGTGGGTCTTCCTCGCTGCCCTTCGGTCGCTCACTCTCTCGTCAAAGGGCAGTAAGTCTGTGTGTGCGCCCGTTCGCTCGTCGTCGTCGTCGTCGTGGGAATATGCGCTGTGTGGTGTAAAACACCACGCCGGGACGATTCGGAGCACAACGCCTGGACAGGAAACGCGTGACAAACGTGTGTGTGGGTGGGGGGGGCAGCGACGGGCTGAAATAGGGCGTGTTATGCGCAACGCACTTCGCTTCGGTAACTTCGGTTGAGAAGAACGACAAGCGAACGACGACGACGACCGTGGTATGTATGGGTTGATGGATATGCGGGGCCAGTTGTTTTTGCACGCCTCAGTTTTGTTGTCGTGGCGATATTCGCTCGCGTGTTGTTGTGGAGACCCTTGGGAACCCTTGGGGAGAAGGGGTTTGGAGAGGTCTGTGGGATGTCCTGAACGAATACCCAACTAACGTCCGCACTCTCCAGAAACCTCAAGGCAAAAGGCGAGAAAGGAGAGAAAAGAATCCGGAAACGGGCGCGAGGAACGTGGTCTTGGGCTTATATACTTTTTTTTCCCACAACCCTTCACACACACCCCTTTACGATACGACGGAGACCAACAGGGAAAAGGAGGGGGAATGACATGCCCTTGCCCTCCAACCACATGCGTAAATGGCGTATAATATGAGCCGTCCGTACGCGCAGTCAGGCAGTTTCCAGGAAGGAGAGGCCCACACCGCCCGAAAGACGTGAGATTGCAGCACTCACGCGAGCGCGTGCCTGACCTTGCCCTCGCTTCCGATCTGGTCCGAAGGCAGACGGACAGCCTCTCTCAAGAGAACTCGATCGCCCCCTTCAGACCAATTCATTATTACCGAAAGCAAGCATGGATCTACTATCTACTACTACTATAGCAAATTACATTACGACGACAACGCAGAAATGCGCAAGCCATTTTGTGAGAAGAGCGGGCGAGGATGTCACGACGCACGAGGCGTGACCACAAATGATGACTGCCACGCGTTACTTTCCCCTTATACTTCTCGGGTGAGGTCGGGTGGTGTGCAGTCGACTCTCCTTCATTCGGACATGGATCTGGACTCGCCTGGAGGGGCACGCAGCTTCCCTTTCCATGGCGGCCTGCCTGATGAGCATGTGCAAAGCCATCGTGGAAGTCGCAAAGAATGCCGAGCCCTGCCTGACCTGATGAGGGTTTATTACGTCTACGTAGTCTTCATGGCCAAAGCAAAAATTCCAAAACGGTTAGAGCCCGCGGGGTTCGTCGCATTGGTCCTCCTTTCGCCCTTGAAAGCTCAACCTGACCGCCGTCGACGATGGGTTCTGGACGTGTCGTCAAAAATCAGCTCTCGTGACGACTGGGGCGTCCATCACACCCTCTTGAAAAAACTGACACCTTTTGGGCGGGGTAGGAGGGTATGGGCGGGAGAGGGGAGCTGCGCGGACATGCAAGGATACCGGCATGTCTCGTGAGCTTTGAAATTCATTTCCCACAACACCGCCGCACCGGCGGGATCGTATAATTATGCAAAACTGCCAAGCGAGGTGGTGGATGACCGCCGATCGACGTTTTTTTGTTGGAAACCCACCATGCGCCCTCCTCTCCTTCCCCTTCCCCTCCCCTTTCTGTCCTGCAGATGCATGACAGCGTGGTTGATGAGTGGGGAAGGTCACAGGGTATTCCGCCCCGTCCAGGGCGCTTTCTCCTATGCCAATGTGACATTTTTTCTTTGCCCTGCGGGGATGAGTTGGAGCGTGATTTCTTGGAGCGTGAAGCGAACGTGAGCGTGTCTCAGTGAGGGTGTCTCAGTGAGCCTCAGCTGCATGAGTTCCGTAATTGCCCGATGAGAAAAAGAAGGAGAGGGAATAAGACGCTCACGTGACTGCGCGTGAGCAGAGAGGGATTAATATGTGCTAACCCTAACTACAGAAGTCATCGATGAGTGCGACGAGCGCAATCGCTTCCACATCATCCCTGGAGAAAGACGGCGTGGGAAAAACGTCCTCATCCCCCCGCCAGATTAACACTCATCTTCACCTCCAATCTGCGTCACAACCCACCAGCAACCACTATGTCATCCCCACCAAAACACCCCTCCCCAAACAACAACTCCCCCCGTCCGCCCCGCGCCGCCGTCGCCTCTTCCTCCTCCTCCTCCACTTTCACACCCGCCCCGCCACAAACACCAACAGACGATAACCTCCCCGCTTACTCACCGCCACGAGCCCAATCACCAGCTCCCACGACAGGACCACCGATTAATACACGACCTGATGGCTCTCGGCCTGAATCTGAACCGGAGGGAGATGGGGATGGGGATGAGGGGTGGGAGGAGGATGATGGGGAAGGGAGGGAAGGCGCGTTTTGGTGTGTGAGTATTTTTGAGGGGGAGGGGTGAGTTTGGGAGGGTGATGTGATGGTGAAAAGATGGAACGGTGCGAGCAAAACATGAATGCCCAAGAACGCTTGAGGTTGGGCCACCGGAGCGAAAGCCTTTGGCGAGGGTTGGATGTTTTGCGAACGAACAGGGCTGAGACCACGCAGCTCAACATCCTTGTCGCGTGCGGAGCGACCAGGGTATCATCCAGCCCAGTCCATCCGACCAACCTTCGCATCACTCATCCATTCCTGCTTCAATCCTTAGCACCTGTGTCAGATTGAGGTTAGACCGATGATGGATTCAGGGACACCGACGTGTCCTATTTGTCATGGGGAGTTCGTTGAGGAGGTACGCAGAATCTCCTTCCTCCATTGTCAGTTGATTGACTACTGCATTGACATGCAATCTTCCCTCCCCCCTCAGATAGACGAAGACAACGACCCTCGTGGCTTCGCCGACGAACACGAGCACACACACGAGCACGACCATTCACACGAACACGCCGGACAGCCACACGTATTCCACTACACCACCGGCCTCCAGCCAGGCGCACCTTACAATCCCGACCTATCCATGATGTCCTTTATCTACCCCGGCATGACCATTGAAGAAACATTCCGGACCGGCGCGCTCGATGGGCGGCGGGCGTTTCAGCCGTTTACTGCTACCACTACTACTACGACATCTAGATCTACGACTACTACTCGGAGTACCAGCACAGCGAGGAATACAACGACGAATACCACAACGAATACAGCAGCAGGGCAGCCGGCGCCAACGGGACCGATATTCCCATTTGCGCCCTCTGTGACTATGACTGGCACCACGACTTCGAATCCTACGACCGCGAACCCAGGCCCGCGCCCCGCAACCCCCAACACGCCCCCTAACGACGTCGCGCGACTCCTACAGACCTGGCTCCAGCAGATGGTAGGCGAAGGCGCGGGCGTCAACGCCCAAGGCGAGCGATATGCCCACGATGATATTCAAGAGATCCACCCACCATTCCCCGGGTCCGGATCCATCCCCCGGTCTACAACAACAACAGCACAACCATCAACAACAGGCCACGCCCCAGCAGCAGAAGCACCCGGCGAAACTCCCGGCGCCAACGCTGCGGCTGCTGAAGGGCCTGATGTGGCGTTTGGGGAGAGGGTGAGGAGAAGGAGGGAGAGTGAACGTGAGGGTGCGGGTGCGGGTGTGGGGGGACAGACGCAGGGGTTCCCGTTCATCCCGGCGATGCCGCCAAGTGGACGGCCGGTTTTGGATCTTGCTGCGTAAGTATCACCCTTATCTTCTTGCGCTGTCCCGCATAATTCGATCTCACCCGTCCCGCAAAAAGGTTCCTAGAAGGCTTCCTCGGCCCCACCATGAATCCCGGCACCGGAACAACCGCAGGCCAACAACAACTACCGAACCCCTTCCGAGAACTCTTCAACATGGTCGGCAACCCGGGCGATTACGTGTTTGGACAGCGCGGGTTGGATGATATCGTTTCTCAGTGTACGTAAAAAATGTCACATCATCGGTTGGTCATGCCCTCGCATATCGCTGATATATGGTTTTCCCGGTGATAGTAATGGAACAAACGCAACAACGCAACGCCCCACCCCCCGCCGCACCATCCACCATCGCCTCCCTACCCAAGATAACCATCACGGAGAAAGATCTCGGTGCCAATCCGACATCCACATCAAATTCCTATAACGCGAACAGTGAGAATACGGATAAGGTATATACCCGCGACTGCCCCATCTGCCAAGACGACTTCAACGTAGGCGACGAGGCAGTGCGGTTACCTTGCAAGCATGTGTTTCATGAGGGGTGTGTGGGGAGTTGGTTGGGTGTTAATGGTACGGGAGAAATCATATATTTTGTTTCGTTTGTGTGTGTGTATCTGATTGTGATATTTCTAGGAACGTGTCCTGTGTGTCGGTACTCGTTGGTTAACCCTGCCGATAACGCTTCTACACCTACAACAACTTCTACCACCAACAACAACGCGTCGAATACAACACAGCAGCAGTCGCCACAACAACGAACAACGAATAGCACAGGGAGTGGTGGGAATACAACGACACAGACGCAGACGCAGACGGGTCGGTATGTCGCGCAGCCGCCTCCTACTACTGCCCGGGAAGGAGGGGGTGCAAGGGAAGATAGGGGAGGGGAAGGAGATTTGGATTTGGATTAGTGGGGTATTGTTCGGTTATGCGCCCAGATGAGAGGAGGGGCGGAAAAGCGGCCATGCACGGGAGAAGCGCAAAAGGGAAAGGGATCTGTCCTCCTGGATCATCGATATCGATATACCCATGAGCTATCCCACCCACGCGCACATCATTTTACGGGCTCCATTTGCGCCCGACATCATTTCTGTAGATACGTAAAAACACCCCTCGTTCGTTCTTTTGTCGTATCCACCCATGACGGAAATATAGTTGGGTGAGGGGTAAAATTGGTTGAGAGGTCGCTCCACCTGATCTCCACCTCCTTTCTCCACAACCGCGGAACCGATCTGCTACCCAAAAAAAACCCCAGCGGCACGTCAAAGCTCCACGAAAAGCGTCATCGGCACGGTGCCCGGAAAGCGTCGGCCATGAATCCTCCCAGCCCCGCCCAGCCCCGTGAAGGTCGTCGGATCAAGATTGTTTGCTGCGAATAGTATTCCAAGTAATCGATGACCCATCGAAGTTATGCTCTCTGGGGAATCGCGCCATCGGCCCTCGATGGCGTTGTGGGCGTTGAGTTTCACATCCTCCGGGCGGGGGTTGTCCGTTCTCCGCCCTACGCAACACCCGTCGGGGGGGCTTGTGGGTGGTGGAGCCGATCGGCCACGAAACGTTTCTGCTGAGAACCTTCTGCGGGGGGCCCTCGCAGAAACACGGTCGAAGGGGTCGGTCGGGGTTCGGGATCGGAGAATGTGGGGGAGGAGGGGTGGATCTGGGAGGGAAGCTGGGATGTGTATTATGTGTGTATACAGTACATACACCCCGGGGATCATTGAAGCAATCACGCCATCACACCACACGCCCGACATGACAGCCGAAGACGGAAGCGAAAGGGCGGTGGAAATCGAACGCATGGCTGGACCCCTACCTCAGGTCCTCCAGGTGTTTTGCTGCTAGTGTGGGACCCATAGTCAATATCTCACATGGCGGAAGAGGGGCGCTATGCTAGACAGGGAACGGAGGCGGACAGGGGCTAGCAGAGGGTCGTGTGTTTGTCCGAGAGGGGTGGTGGGAGCGGGAGGGGTGACGCTCCATGAAGTTCTTACGTCGATCATGTCTGGAAGGGATGGTGAATACGGTCGGGTTGGATCGATGGATAGGTGCGGAGCGACACCTATAAAACCCGCGGCCAGGGCCTCGATGTGGGGACGTTTTATCTCAGGAATGTCCGCCGCAACGGAACGGGCGAACACAGGACATTGAGACCGATGTGACCCCCGGGGTTCCCAACCACGACGGCACCTATGAGCCCGTCCCGGCCGGCTCGTCAAATCGCACCGTTACGGATCTGCTGTCGCATCGTCTGCTATGATTGGGGGGACCGTGCGCATCACAAGTCGAGCACGAGGCGTCTGTGAGGTTAGACCGCCATTCCCGCCAACCACGGTGCAAGCCCGATCGCCAACGAAAGATCTGAAGCTCTTGGAGAAACGCAAGTTCGTGAAGACAGGATCAAGATGGACATGACAATGGGCGATTCGGTTGTCTCCGATGCGTTCGAGGAAGATGTGGCATTGCGTCATACCACCAGGATACGTATGACGAGGGTGAAGACGAGGAGGGGCATGACGAGGATGAAGCCCGCCGCACGCCGCGCCGCGCAACCCATGCACCTGAAGGGCATCGACTGCAGGACAGGCAGGGAGGCGGGTATGAAGAAACTTGAGGGCGCTCAATCCTTGCGAGGCCGACGAGGCCGCAGAAACCATCATTGAGCCCATCAGGCCTCTCGTCGTTGACTCCCTTAAAAGCTCTCATCGTCGACCCCTTCAAGAACTGCAAGGGCCTCCCCCCCCGGAAACACACCCTTTTTGTCCGAAAAACATTCGATAACTATTACGTCGATCATGATTATCAATTTTCCAAAAGCGATTTACTATTAGCCATTGCACAGCACCATCCGCACCGACCTCCATTAGGGCTTGACACGCCGAATAGCTGCGGCACTGCATCGGCGGTATCGCTATGTCAAAGCACAGCGGACTCCACGCCTCGCTCCTCCTGACTTGTCTAACCGGGAATGCCATCGCAACGTTGGCGTCTTGTCACACAGGCTGGATTCGGCGGCCATGCAGGAACAGATGGGGGAGACCCCCGTGCGACAAACTTATTGGTGTCGCAAGCCTTGCCAAAAGGATGTTTGGACCGGAGTTGCGCCAGCCGTCCGAGTTTGCTGAACAGATCTTCTGTCGATGTTCTGAAACTGCCAACAAGCGAGCAATGGATATCACCTATCGATCGATCGGCGTTGTACCAGGAGACAGACATCGCCGTTTGGATAAATGACGGCCACTCATAGATACGCCCCCGGCACATATAAAGTGCCGATTTACCGGAGCTCTGTATGCAATCAAGAAGGCCCATCAACGTGGAGGCTCAAGGAGTGGAAGCAGTGGATTGTTCTCAGACAAGTCAAGAAGCGCGCCTCAATCAGTCTGAAAAATATGGGGCAATGTGCTTTGTGTCCTGCGAGCGAGGGATCTGCTCCACCGTTTCGTGCGTTTCAAGTTCGGTCTTCCACTTGCACTTCAATTTCTGTCCATGTACTTACTTCAGCTGCACAGCAACGGTAATGCATACGCTCTAAGATCGGATATAGGGGAGGCTAAGATGGTGGTTCGTCTTGACGTTTTCAGGAAACTCAAGCATTTTTGAGCGTTGCCCTGTTTCCACTTCCCTGAGCTGGCGAACTTACAGTTTTTGCACATGGGATCAAAAAGGAGAGCGACCACAATTGCTCGTTATTACTACTCCAGATATTTACCCATCGTAACCGTTCAGCGTTCCGATGGGGGGCGTCCGTAGACGCTGAAGAGTGCGTGCCGTCAAAAAGCTGTCAAAAATGCAGCCTTCTAGTTGCATTCCTCCGTTACTTCCCCGTTTCTCCATGCGTTGCTTTCCACCGCAGATTCGGGAACCCTACATGTATATAGTTTCGCAACTCAAAAGTTATAAAAGCGTTCTGCCCCAGAAAGCTCGCTCTCCCTCAAGAGTATAATCGCAAGCAAGCGCAGCGCACAGCAGTAACAAGTTAGCGGGAAGTGTTTCATTGCAACAACAGCAAGGAAGTACAGCACAGTGCAGCACAGCAGACCAAGCCCAAGCTCTTCTTAGTTGGGCGAAACTCCCACCCACCGCCACCTCTCATCCATCTCACTCCACAATCCCTGCTCTTCCATCGCATCCACCGCCACCGCCACCTCTGTTCCCTCACTTCCACCACTCTGACGAGCCCATTTACTCTTCGCACCCCAGCTCCCATCGAAACCGATGTCACAAGCAATGCAGCAACATATCGAAGATATTGATCAATTTTTGTCCAAGGACTGCAGCGCACGAGCAACGGCGATTAACCATGGGGAGGAAGCCGTATCTACATTTGAGCCCCGATATTCTATTGACTTCTTTTCGTTGTTCGCAGGTCCTCCAGGTTTACGAAGTCCGCCAGGATGCTGTTTGGGACGGGGCGGCACTGCAGATCGCACGGACGTTGGATCTCCGTCCCCAACTCGCCCCTCGGCTCCCCAAACTGCAGCAACACCTGCTCCAGACATCCCCATGACCGCCACGATCGCCGCAACACTCTCCGCCTCCCGTCCAATTTCCTAAAATCCCCCTACCCAACACGCCGCACCAACAGCACCTATTCCAGGTCGCTATGGTCGCCGTGATGAACTACATGTCATCATTGGGGTCCTCCGCCTCCTCCGCGACAACCTCCGCACCTACTCCGTGCGCATCAGCCCCGACCACCGCCGCCGCCTCCCCGGCTTCGCCCACCGTCCGCAGCTACCCCGAGGACCACTAGGAGAAGGAACCGCGAGACTGCAAGTCCGCACAACGTAGACGGCCACCGCGGACACAAACACAAAAAGAAACGTCATCGAGATTAGGTAGCAACGGCGAGGACAGCCAGATCGAGTCTGTCCCGCCTCTACCACGCTTCGCACGCACCACTCACCAAGTACCTCGTTTCAACGTAGCCCACAACTCTTTCGCCCGAAGTAACACCTATCTCTTCCGTTGGAAATGATCTGTACGTATGTAGCCCTACCCCAACCTTTTTCACCCATCTTCTTGTGGCGACTTCAATCATAACCGTGAATGGGATGCCGTGCGAAAAAAATAATGAGAACGTTCTGATGGCGTTGGACTGCTCGGAAAAACATCAATTCTGGTGGTCAGGTGGTCGTCGGTAGGAAGATGCCATTTGAAAAAATCTCACAGTTATGCTTCCCACATTTACGTCCAAAATTCCCATCTGCGATGACTGTAAGTTGCATAACTTTCGGTGCTTGCAGCCAAAGAGAGCGATGATAAATCAAATTTTTCAAATCACTCCCAAATGGCTCATTCTGGTATCATGATTAGCAGTGCATTTTTCCTTCCCATTGAGCTTTGAGACGTTTTTCGCCAGTCAATACTGTCGAAAACCTGTCAGGGAGCGCTCAGCAGGGACCGCCCTGACTTCCAAATCGACGCAGGAGTATAAAGGCGCGTTCTCTCCCTCACCCTCAACAAGTTGCTCCCACAGCACAGCGGTAGCAAACATAGTGAGAAAAACAAGGTACGGCATAATATTCCTCATTCAAGCACAGCCAGACTCCCCCCTCTGCGACCACCACAACCAATTCCCTCACATCGCAACCACCCCCACTACGTCTCCCTCCAGCAACCCGCACTTCCTTTCCGCCTTGTGCACTCCACTTATCAAACCCTCAGCGCACAACAAGAAACATTGGCAATGTCTACACGACAACAGCAACAACCGCAACAAGCCCAGCCTCCAGCGGAGGCGGCAGAAAGGGAGATGAGGAGGCGCATCGGTCGACACCGTAGAGAGAGAATGGCCTCATGGTTGCTGGAGAATGATGATGACTATAGACACGCCGTGGCTTTCGCCGTGATGTTTCTGAGAGAGTGGCCAAACCTGCACTCAATAGCCACAAGGGCAGCCTTGGATCGGGCAATCGAGACGTTCCGGCGCAATGGGGCACCCGGAGGACGGAATATTTACCGCTCTGTTGTGAGCACTCGCGAAATTAGGCTGATTCTCAGCGAAATCCTCGCGGTCTGCGAAGATGGCCGAGACATCGCCTGGGACCAGACGCAGCTGGCGACGGCACAAGCGTTAAACTTAAGCCCGCGGGTCCTGCGTGTCGTCCCCCGCGTATCCACCAACGCAACCACCGCCACTCAACCTAGCCCTCAAGCCACAGCATCCACCGTCGTTCCCGCCGCCCAACTCACCGCATCTATCGCCCCGTTCGCACCAGTCCTCTCGACCATCCCCACCGTCCCGACAGTCCCCACACCTTCAATGCTGACGTTTACGATACAGACGCCTACGACACCGCACCAAGGCCAACACTTCCAAGCCGTGATGGACGCCTTGATGAACTACACGGCAGTGCTAGCGACCGCCAATATCGCCCCCGCTACTCCGTCCGCATCTACAATCAACACCACCAACGCAACCACCACTGCCATCGCAAATAAGCGTGAGACGGGAAGCAGAGACAGCGCAGACGCACACAGCGCGGACGGGGACCGCCCAAACAAACGTCGCCGTGGTTAGTCAGCGACGGTCGGGATGAGCAGAGATGCCAGTCCAAGGATGCTACCGGTGGTGAGAAGAAGCGGATGTCGCTCGCTCCCGCTATTGTCAGAGCGAATTCCCTCCCTTCGATGCAGCTCCACGTCTCCCTTGTGGCGCAAACCATTTGTACATACGTAACCCTCCCTCCCCCCACGTTTTCTGTTAGCATGGCTATCCGTCATGTCACTTCCTAATAAGATGTTGTAGTACATCCGTTACTGTACGTGGTGGGGAGGACCGACGAAAACTGTCTCCAGCCGTCTCGAGTAAACCCGAAATCTGGTACTTGCGACCTCGCCGTGGACCGCAGGGCCTTATTGAAAGAGTCAACGGCGAACACAGTTCCAATGTCTCTCGCATCTGCTCGCGTAAATTCGCTGAAAGTACAGTAAATGTGAATCTTCCTGGTTGTTGTGGACACGAACTTTTCCCTGTCAAGCGCTGTCGAAAAACGTGAACCAGAGCCTCGGCGCCAGGTACCGCTTGATTGGATCCTGGTAACCCCAGTTCAGCACGCTGTCAAAGACAGTCACTTTCCAATAGTTCCCGACTTCTCCCCGAACCCCCGCACAAACTCATTTCTCTATTCCTTCCTTTTTGAACAGTCCAGCACATGAGCGCATTGGCACGTACACCACAACTATTAACTCCCATAAGTAAGCATTCCTTACTCCTTGTCCTTGCCCGTTGCCCGTTCCCCTCAAACTCATACGGAATAAACGCCCTCAATCTCGATCGCCATCTACAATTCCTGTGGCCTTTCTGGTTTTTGACAGCGCACTCGCCGACAACCCCTCTCACCTACATATCCAACCACCGACAAATCCATCCACCAGAAAATCCTCACACCGGCAAATGGACAGAGACGCCCAAGCGATGATGGCCGGGCTCCAGCCGAGGGACCGATCCTGGTAGCCAAACTGTCCGAACTGGACCCCCAACCAGGCGAGGCGACGAGCAGTTGCTTCAATGGCGGGCATGGACCGTCAAGCAAACGTGCTGGATCGCTTCTCCTGGAAAACACATCCCCAACAAGAATGTTTTTGGTCGTTGCGTCTGTTGTGAAACCCGGTGATGAAGAGACGCGTGTTGTTGTAACGCAAAGAGGGGTGGTCGATCGGTCACTGCGCTTGTTCATCCCTCCGAGGGACTGGTTGCTCGCGTCAGATACTGTCAGCAAGTGTCAGGTCATCACGGTCGGGTTGGAGCATTCGAGCTGCATGGCGCATTTGGGCCGATAGGGATCATTTCGTAAGCGGAATGTCGTCGGTGATGCTCGGCATGAACAAAAGAGGAAGCACCGTTGCATCCCACAAGGCTCATTTCATGGACGGTGCCGCAGGCTGGTTGGGGCGGAGTAGGTTCATAACATCATTACCTACCCGAAACTAGTGGAGGATGGCACATTTGCATGTAAATTTTGGTCCGTGGAGGAGAGGAAGGGAAAAAGAGCATGGGATGAGGTTCTGGTAGAGGCTTCCTATCTACATGTCTGTCGAAGTGCAACCGGTTCCCGAAAATGTGAGCGGGCGGGAGAGTTCCACCCTAGCCCGTGGGACGATTTCGACAGCGCGATCCCGTCAATCGCGGCCAGACTTTTGTTTCCTTGGAGAGATTTCTGACTTTGACTAGCAAAAGTTTTGGATTGCCGACAGCAGTGACCAGGCCCCAATTGAATCCAAGAAGAGGCTCACCGGACACTTGCCTGGCAAGCTATTCATAGCATGCCCGCAACCGGAAGCGCAACCACTGAAGGCTGGTGAACCGCTGTTCTATTTTTCGGGCTCAATAGACAGGCTACCCTGATTAAAGCCCAGAAACCATTTGTGGTTCGGAGAATCCACAGAGACACCTCCGCACGCCTCCCTCGTACTAACGCAGCCAGGTTGATACCGCGTGCACCTGTGCAGCCACCCGACTTGCATGTCTGAACTCGCCCCGTACTCAGTGCCAAAATCAGCAGACCGGTCCGGCTTCCGAACAGATACTGTACATTCCGCTGTCTTGAAAAGCCGAAAGTGATCATGGTCAATAGCGTCACAGCAATGGAATTGGACGGGGGACTCGGACTGAACATCGCCCATGCGAGCAAAGTCTGAGCCACCGCACAAGGAATCGCACGTCGCAAAGCATGGTAACGCCTTCCGAATTGACGACCGGTAAAACTACAACACATACGTATCCGAAGCACCCTCAGGCTGACCACACATTTGCGAGTCCATGCGTCTAGCTTGAACCTGTAGGATTTGTCAGTCGTACCTTCGCAAGTGTGTTGGCGAATGCCTTTGCAAGCAATAGGTGCAAGAAGGTCCCACACGCAGCGTGCTGCCATTCCTGCGAGTTGCCGATGCCTAACTGAAGGCCTCCGCAAAGCTTGATGCAAGAGTCGCAGCCTACCTCTCCCCAGGGTGCTTTCCTCAATGGTTCCGTTCTGCCCATGTTCACAACCCGAACGAGGTATGTCGGTCATCCAAGCTTTTTCGCCGATGATTTCCTGTGGCCCAGGTAAAAGTCCCGCAACGACAGCTGCTGGCATCTTACGATTCTCAGCGCCTCGCGGCTGCTTTCTTGCTGCATTGCTCTTGGCTTGTTGATTTAGTCTGCGCGGTTTTATCAGTGAACCGAGAGCTTGGGGGCCGCATGATTCAGTATTCCAAACTGGCAACCCCTTAGAGTCGACGCCAACCGTCTGTTTCGGCCCTTTGCCTATCAAGTGTTTTTGCGGCTCCTTCTTGTGCTGAACGAATATGTTGTGCTTCACCTTCGGTCTGAACAGAGGTGGATGCCGTTGGCAGAAACTTTGCTCCTTTTCACTTCCGAGTTCCCATTCAGTGTCATCAAATCAGACCGGGTATGATCAACTCACCCTCATCATCGTCCAAATCCATCCCAATTCCAGCATACGTCTCCCCAGACCACTCTTTTTTTTTCACACCTTCTTCTCTATCTTCTTGGCGTTTCCTCGTCAATTCATGCACTCGTTTTCTCGTTTGGCATTGAGCACTCGGTTTTGGGGGGCGGAGTGGATGGCGATTATGAATTTGGGACAGAGGGTTGTGGAAAGTGGGCCAGAGGGGTTTCAAGGAATGGAAGCTTGCTGTCGCTTTCTGCGGGGGGTGGAGTTGATATTAATAATTATTCGCTTCTGGGCAGCTCTGCTCAGCAGGCTGAGCCGGGCTGAGCTCTGGGGCAAGCTCTGGGACAGCTTCTGGGGACTCATCCATCGCGCTTTTCCTAGCAGCAGTACGTAGACAGACACGACAGACGGACCTCCGACCCCCGCACTGCCGCCCAAAGCAAGCAGCAGCGGCAGTACGGTAGTCTATAGTGGGGTGCGACGACCATAGTCAACATCTTCGATATCGCGACGAGTCCATTCGAGTTTCCTTCACTTTCCCACGGCCCTCTCTCGTCAATCATGCACTCGGAAGCCCCCATCTGCCGTCTTCCAGAGGAGGTCCTCACACTGAACGTATCCTACATCGGGTTGGAATCATATCCCATTGTCCGCCAAGTCAACAGGCGTTTCAGATTGTGCTCGAATGACAAACACACTATCGTTCGCCTCTTGGATGACCACTACGGACAGCAATATGCTCTTTCCGATGTTATCAAACACAATCTGACAACTTTCAGTGTCAAATCGACTCCATTCCTTCTTAGACAAAGGCTCGATGTTGTTCGTCTCCTTCTTGATCGCCTTCGCACAGCGGATGAGGTTGTGCGTATGCCCAGTTTGCGGTATTACATCAACAATCCTAGCCTGGAGACTTCAGACGAGGTCTTTTTTTACTCGACACTTGCGCTTTCGATTGTTGGGCAGACCCTGCTAAATGATTACGAGCTCATGAGGGAGCATGGGAGCATGGAGCTGGGGACGCCTGCCGAGACACTGCTTCAGCAATGGTACCATTACGGAAACCCCAACCTTGGTCAGGAATATTTCAAAAAATATGGGAGCCGTTGCAAGGTGGGGGTGCCCTGTCTGGTTGGCCGCGCTCCCTTTCAGCCCGCCTAAATGTCGTTCACATTGGAAGCTCAACGCAAAACTCTTCGAGTACACAAGCGCAGGCTCTTTGTTCGTAAGGGGTTCAAAGCTCTGGACGAGTGGGATAGTTACTGTCGGGAACTCTGCGATGATGGACGGGGTGGAATACAAGGTGCCTGGCTCGCTGCCGACATGATGTTAGCATTTGATGATTGGTACAGTACACCATCGCCACCTGATCGCCACCAGCGACATGGCGTCCCTCCTCGCGGCGTTAAACCGAAAGCCAGAGTTCACCACTGAACAATACTTTGACCACAAGCAACTGTCTCGAGGGTCATCGACATACCCAGGGTTGAGTTGGGAGCGCGAGCCCACGTGGATGGCCGTCCTCCAAGCACACGAGCATCTCGGCAATGGAACACCCTCAGAGCTCATGCGCGCATGGTGTGTCCGAGTCTTCAAGCCGTTTTGTGCTTGGAGGCTAACCGTCAATACAGCGGACCAAAAATGCATGTTTGGTTACACCATCGATCAACCTTTTCGACAATACATCGGTGCGCTCACTTCCGCTCTCTGCCAATATGACTTTGTTGACATGATAACCGAACGCCATCACGCACTCTCGGAATCCGATGAGCTTCGTGATATCTATGTGATTGAGGAAGGAACGGTAGTCAGGGCTGTCAATGCGGGCCTCACGGGGGACAACCTGAGCAAAATCATACACTATTATACGGAGGTGTGCGGAAAACGACTGGGGTCATCCAGTACGGGACGCTATGCGCAAGCTCCGCCTCGAAGTCTCGGATTAGTATATCGCGGCCCCGGCGGTTTAAAGGCTCGGCGGTCGGTCAAAACACGGCGCAAGTACTTTTAGAGGACGAGCCGACTGTTGGAGTTTGAGCCTAGTAGGTTTTACGTGGCACGCCCGCGCTATATGCGGCGAAGTGTCTGATACAACTTTTACAGTGTCGAGGAGGACCGAGCAACTTCCTGTGGACCTCGGAGCTGGAATACGAGGCGGAGGATGTGTTCTTCGGAATGCAATGGTCGAGGGCGTATTCTGTGGTTGTCGGCTAGTGGGCGGGAGGGCGGAGGGAGACATCGCTCATACCCTTGTGCTGTCAACCGTGAAGATCATGGTGTGATTGAGAACGCGGCGTAGTTTCAGAGATGGGGCTTGCAACCCTGATAGTTTTGAATATGTGTAATGTATGTACAGCACGGGTTTATTCTATGAACCGATTCTGCTGCACCTTAAGTACCTTCGCCAGGTGCTCCTTCTTCATCACCCCGCTCCCATCCTTCAACGCAAGCGCAAGGACAAGACGAATCAGACTGCGGATCTCCCTCCCGTTCATGTCGTAATGGACCAGCTCCTCCACATCCAACTCATGAGGCACGCCAGCGCGACCCAGGAAGATATTCCAGATTTGGCGACGAGCAGCATGATCGAGTTCAGGATACATAACCGACAAGCTGATCCGGCTCTTGAACGCCACGTCGAACGCCTCAACCCGATTCGTAGTTAGGAACAAGATCCCGCGGTGGTATTCCAGCAAGCGGAGGAAGATCCCAACAAACCCGTTACGCACAACGTCCATGTCGGTCCGCTGCTGCATGAAGATGTCCGCCTCGTCGATCAGTGTGATGGCCTGCCAGCGCGCGGCGATCTCGAGGAGGTTGCGGAGGTTTGTCTCGAGGTCTTTCAGCTCCGTACCGAGTTCTCCGACAGTGACGGAGTAGAGGGGCAGATGGAGTTTCTCGGCAACTGCTTCGCAGGTAAGTGTTTTCCCCACTCCGGGTGGTCCCGCTAGATTGAGGATCAGACCCTCGCTTTTGGTCGCGATCAAGTCGAGGTTGGACGTCGAGTCGAAGGACGTGACGAGGCTCTCGATCGTGTCCTTTGTGTCGGCTTCCAGAACAAGGCCGTCGAAGGCGTTGTCGTCGAACACGATCGCGTCGAGCTTGGCCACCTCGAGCGTCACCCACTGTTTGGCTGAGAAGGAGAAGCCGCGAAGGACCGGGGAGCAGGTGACGACGTCCTTGGGTTGAACGGCGGAGAAGGAGTGTTCGCCGGAGGCGCGTTGCGCTGACTGGAAGTTCGGGTTCATGAAATCGAAGGAGACGGCGTCGATCATCACCCGGCCGCTGGCCCGGATCCGGCGGCGGTAGCGTGAGGTGTCCCAGCCTGCGCCTTCGTAGGTGAGGTAGTGGTGGCCGTGGGCGTGCAGCAGGAACTTCTCCCCGCGGTCGCGCAGCTCCTTCCAGATAAGCGAGTCTTCCACGAGGGGTTGGAGCGAGAGGGACTTGAATGGCTTGGTACCCCCGAAAAAGGAGACCTCGACAGTTTCAAACTCTTGATGGAACTTCTTCCCGTCCGTCCCGATATACCGCAGCGTGATCGTGTACCATTTCGAGAAAATCGTGCGTTCCAGCCGGATCTTGTGCACCACAGCCCCGTGAAGCACGCCATCCGATACATACACCACTTTACTGCCGGCCGAAAACACCTTATCTAGCGCCGCAAACGATACCCGCATATCCGTCTTCAAATCTTCAATCAGCCGGATCGTCGCGGCATTCCGGCGTCGGATGTACGTTACTAACTCCCTGAGTGCTTTCCGCTCAACCCCGCTGCGCTTGTGGATCTCTTCCTCAAACGTTGTGAGTGGCCCAATGAGATCGCCAACCTCCATCATCGCCGGCTCGTCCCACAGGTATTGGTTGACATCGTCGTCGTCATCGAAGAGCTCGCGCACATAGTCTTTCAAGAAGGGGTTGGTGAAGACCACGCTATCGGCTTCGCCGCGGATGTGGTCGCCTTCGAAGTAGAAACGTTGCCCGCGCTCGAATTTGGTCTCGTCGTAGTTACGGAGGTCGTATGGGCCGGATTCTTCGATCTCCATGGAGGTGTCCGAGGAGGGGGGTGTGGGAGGGGTGCGGTCGCGCACGGTGATCTTGGTGTTGGCGGAGAGGATTTTGACTTCGATGGAGTCGCTGACCCCGAGTGTCGTAGCTTCATAGGTGAAGCGGACGGGCTTGTCGGCGTGGATCTCTTTGGTTAAGTCGGTGACGTGGATGGTCTCACCGACCGACGGGGTTTTGACCTCGGGCGAAGTGGCCCCCATTTGTTGTTCTGAGCTCGTGGTGGTTGAATCTAGTGCGGAAAGCATGGTTGATAATCGTTTTTGAAGTAGAACTCTTCGAGTGGCACAAAAGTATCTTCGAGGATGTTGCTGCTTCATGTTGTTGTCGGGTGGTGATGAGTCCACCGCCGTTCTTATATATGAGAAGACGCACACCGTCTCCCGAACGAGCGTTCATTCGTAAAACTAGCATGTGTTCGCGCATACATTACATGCTTGTCCACACGCTTTCCTTCCCCGCCTCCCAATGAAGTGCCGTCGAGTCCCATCTAAACCCTTCCCCCGCCTCAGTGACATCGACGTGATAAGTGGGGTGGGGCAGCCTTTTTTTTGTTGTGATGACATAGGATGACTTGTCCATGTAATCGTCGTACTCTCCCAGGGATGTGCAACTTCGACTGTGGCGTGGGGCTTCCTTAGCTCCTGTTCGTTTCGTTGCTGCCCCGCTATTTGCGAGTCATATTGCTCATTGTAAGGAAAATCGACAGGGCCGCCCTTTTAGAATCCACCCGCACTTATACAGATTTACATCCGGATGAGCGCTTCACAGTCCATCTCTCGCGAAAGCATCTTTTGGCACTTTTGTAAGTCTGCTTGTAGAGTTTGTGGTCGATGAGGGTCTACATGAAATCCATGCTTGTCCACCTACCCATTGCCCTCCCGCTTTCCGACAAAGGGCCACAGAGGGCCACAGAGGGTCCACTCACCGCCCCGGGGAAGAATTCTCAAGGAAAAATAGTATCGAATGACTCGTTTCTGCAAGAGTCGTACTATCATATGTAGGAGTTGAAATGTGCCGTGGACTTTCCTTCGTATTATTCTTCTCGTTTGCAGCCTCGCCAGCCGTTTTGCACAGAAGAGGAATTCGACAGCGCGTATGTGCTGTCAATTGGGTTTTTGTGCTGTCGATCCCGCCACCACCTTTCATTCTACATATGTGATCATATGATAACTAGAATTTTCTTCTATCCAAGTCCCCCCATCTGATTACGGCGGAGTGCTTCATGACAATGACCACATGCCAGGTCCCCATCGCTTTCGCCCTGTTTGACCGCTACTCATTGAGCGCTGGCCGACGCTCTGCATTTCAGTCACCTTGCAATCATTTCCGGTGCTCCATCTAGCCGCCTCAATTGATTTGCCCCAACCCAGAGCCATTGGCAAAGGGCCAAACTGGTTTCATCGCCGCGTATACGAAAAGCGAACGCGCGTGCTCCATTGCAACAGCTCAACCACCGAAATGGACTCTGACAAGTCGCTAGCAACACCAGGCTTCCCAACGGGCAATCAGAACGACTACAAACAATGCCCCCATCCTATTTGTGCAGCGGCACTCGACAACGAATGCACAGACCTGAAAGTGAACTATAATTAATGTCCGAGAGGCGTTGGAATCAATTCGCGCAAAGGTTGATATTCTGCGGGAGTGTTATCAAGATATCCTAATCCTGCATCGGCAGGATCGCACCTAAGGAGTTTCTGTGTTTGCATGCGTAACGACGAAAGCTGCCGCCAATTGCTCTCGGAAGGACTCCGGAGGTCATGGGACTTGGCAGCAAGCCGGCAGGAACACAGAGACAAACTTCTATGTCATAGACTTCCCGATTCATTAATCTAATCGTACCCGTTCCATTGCATTCCATGCCCCAGCGCTCGTCGAAGGAAAAACATGCAAGTGTGTTCATCGATCATTTCGTGACGCGTGTTGTTCTGACCTTTCCTCACCACAGGAAAAGAACGGGAGAAGGGCAGGAATTGGGCACTGGCAATGCATCTCATGTGCAAAACGCCTCCGCAAGGATAAACGAACCACCTGCCCTTATGGCCTTTGGACGAAAATCTGTCAATCTTGGTGACAGCGATAAAGGAGATCCATCTCATGGGGCAACATTGAAGGGACGGTGGAAACATACTACTGGCCAGAGCAATACTACGCTACGGCTTAGCACAACTACATGCGTAATCACACGCTGCCTGCGCTCCAACTTAGCCCGAGAGGAAAAGGAGAACTCTTCGGCATACCATGTGACTCGCCGCTTTTCAATTACACATCGAAACACAAAAGTTAACCCTAGGAACCAGGAACGTCTCTCCAGAAAAGGCTGTAGCTTCTTAGTATCGTTGGGAATATGTACATTTAGTTCTGCATATCTAGCATTAGTTGGCTACGCCTCCACAGAAGGTTCATGTGCCCATTCAGCAGACCGAATTAGGATATGGCGATACCAGCACATAAGATCATTTTTCCTCGTCTTTTCTCTGAGCGAAGGGGGATCTTCCCTCCCGAGCTTGACGTTTCTGCTCTGGGTCATTATTTTATTAGGATCATTTATTCATTTTGCTTGTTGAATCTTATCCAAGCTTTGCGAGCGAAATTATTACCGATGTCGGCGAAAAAATCGACAGCGCGACTCGGAGGGAATGGGAGGAACTGTCATGTTGTCATTTGATGTCGCGTGGAAGCACGGCAGGGCTCTTCCTGAGATATGGGAGTCCGCCCTCGCCCAAAAAAAGGCGGGCGCATCTCCAGGGTCCTACAAGAGATTTCCATCACAAGGCACTCCCACTTAGTTTCCACCTCGATCGTTAACGCAGTCTCTATCAGAAACCGTCATTTACACGTCCCCCGGCCCCTTCCTCGCAGTCTGGGGCCCGGAATCGATGAAAATCATCGATCTACTAAGCGGCGTCGGTTCTCGCGCCCGCACAAACTCTCACTCACTCGGCCCCGCTGCGATGGTTGATTCAATGAGCAAGCAGCGTGCCCTATGTCCCGAAAACGGTGCCAACGAAATGAAATGTATCATGTACTCACGAATCGCACTTCTTCCGCCTGAGGTGCGGCGATTGATCTTCAACATGCTGTCGTTTGCTACATTAATGCACTGTAGGAAAACCTGCCGAATCTTTCGAGCTGAAGCGGACGCAGTCTTATTCATCAAGTATGGGTGGAAGCCGAGCATGCGCAATGGCCCTCGCACTGCATTGGTCCTGCACTTGGGACTTTTGGAGAAATATCCCCGCAAGTCGAACGCCATGATTGCCTCCATCAAGGTACGCGGACCGCTCTATCTCATTGACACGCCGTACGTCCTCGTGCTCAATTTGACATTCTGCTTCCTCCCTCACCTCACACAGTACAACATTCTTTTTGACGGGGTAGGCAGCTCGCAAATGGTATACCACTACAGCGCATGGTGCCCATACGTTCTCCGCGGTCCGTGGCCGTCTTTCACCGGGCCCCTTAACTGGGCCATCGGCGGAGGCTGCAAACCATGCGCTCATCCAAAATGCTTCGCGGCTCTTACGGAGTACGACTGGGAAGCATCACATACCAACTGCAGCCATTGTCCGACAGGCACCGCCATAAATTCTCGGCCAGACTGCCAGCTTGCCGAGACTCAGATATCGACGGACCCTTTCTTGCCTCCACGACGCTACGTTCGCCTCGAATGGTCTGCAGATAGGGAACGTGCCGCCTACTGGTGTTTCGCGTGCTTGAGTGCCCAAGTCGCAACTGCACTTCACTGCTCCAAGAAGACATGTGCAGGCCATATTGCTTGGACTACCAGCCGTAAGAGAACCTGATCAAATGTTCTAGGTAGGGGGATGCCTTATCTGACTCCGATCTTTTATTCCCTGTCTCTACTCTCCAAGTTTACCTATACGGGTCATGCCTCGGTAAGTTTGTTCCAGCTTCTCAATCGCAGGGTGCGCTGGCAGGCCTCGATCTAATCTACTTTGCTGATAGCAATTCCCGGAAAGTTCGGGAGGGGTCGCTGGGAGTGTGACACCTGTCGAATGCGCTGGCCGACGGATAAGAGCACTCATTGCTCCTATGGTCTGCCCACCAGAATGTGCGCGAAGATTTGCACAAAGAAAACCGGATCCATCATTTAGGCGATGGCGAACATGCACATGCGGCGTATATACGCAAGAACGTTGCCCTTAGAAGCACGGCTGCCTTACTAGGGAAAAAGGAAATATGCCCTTTGCCCCTCACATCTATTAAACACTGCCCTCCCTTGAAAAGTAAGTCGAGCTTACGGAAATCAAGAAATCAACCTCATATGCAGTACAGTAATCATCAGTACTCGAACAATCTCATCTGTTATGTCTATACTGTACATACCTAAAATGGAGAGAATACCCGTCCCAATGAAATGAATACTCGTCTCAGGTCGGCGCACTGAGCACATTGTGAGCTATCTCTTCACTGGAAGCCACCGTCGCCGCCGAAGAACTATTCAGTACTGGCTCCAAACGCCCTCCGTTAAAAAGCTGTCCGAAGTGCTTCGTGGCGCTTACCGAGAAGGACTGGAAGAAACTGAACGTCAACTGCAGCTGTTGCCCGACAGTTGTTCCCATCAATTCTCGTCCACGCTGTGAACATGGCGATTTCGAAGTATCGCGTCTGAATCGGCACGCTGAAGCCGCTCTAATCGACTACGCCGATGGATAGTCCGGCCGCAAAGACGGGTCACTTCGAGTGTAACGCCTGTGGAATGCGCTGGCTATGGACTAAAACCACGGTTCCTACAAAGATGTGCAAAAAAGCTTGCGCAAACCATCCCACGAAACCTTCTTCCATGATTTGCCCGCATTTCTCAATCACCCCAATATCTAAGAAGTAGGCCACGACAGCCTTCGTGTTGATGAGACCGTACAAGTTAGCGAGGTCTGCAGATCTGTCTTTTCATCAGAGCCCTAAAGTAGACGTAGGTGCAATGCGAAGGTAGCAGCGCTGGGTAGGAGATTGAAGAGTCTCCATGGATTCTCGTTGGGGTGGGGGGTCCTCCGAGTTCGGAACTCGTCTGCACAACGACGTACTTCCCGTCTGAACGATCCGTCCGGCTTTTTCCCTGCAAGTGGCCCATTCCCGATGAAGTCCCTCATCGAAGGTTTACTTCAGCCGCTTACCGCATCGTTATTTTGTTTCATCGCTAGCTCGAAGCGTCAGGACGAGACCAGGCAACCGCAGATGCCGTCAAAAACTTCAGTCATTCGTCCCCTCATCCATCCCACGATGCAGCACAATCAAGCCGAGCAGCGAGTCATGTTCAAAGCTGCCCTCCAAGAAGCCGATGCTCAGGAAGGGGCGGTACTGAATCTTCGCCAAGAAAGCTCCGCGGAACGATCGCCGGGAAGTCGTTGTTCCAATTTCGCAAAGATCAGGAGTGCAACCTCCAGGTTGCCGCGGACAAGCTCCTCATCATTCTTCAGCAGATCATTGCCTATAATAGAGACAGTGGTGGCCCTGCCTATGAGAAGGATTCGAAAACGGCTGGCAAGAATCCGGTAACCACCAGGCCGTATCGCTGGTCTGCTGCTGGGCAAGGTGGTCATCCCCCTCGCACAACGACGCCCTAATGCACAAGGTCAGATCAAAGTCAAGCTTGGGAATCACATTGACATTACTCAAGGTGCGTTCCCATGCAACATCAACGCCAGTTGTAACACCCCCTGCCAGCCCCTTTCTTGCGGTTGTTGCCATCACCGCAGCAGTGTTCGAGCGATGTTCAAGCAGCGCAAGTGCCTGAACTGCTTTGCTATCACCAAGGACATAATATGTAGAGGCTGTTGTCGCAGATTGCAACAGCAAGGTGCAAGAGTGGAGTCGGGTTGGCGTTGTGGGAGAGGAAAGCGAGGAGGAGCCCTCTATCTTTGACATTGAAGCAAATTAACATAGGCATTTCTTTGTTTTTAAGAGAAAATAAAAAAATGTAATGAGACAGTTTTGAAGAGCGGCCTCTGGCGCACATATCCTACCACAATCACCTGGGGTGGCCGCTGCCTGTGTGTAGAGGCCGTGGGGTTGCAAGAAGAGATGTCTATGTGGAAAAGGGCATGGCAAAACGGGGAAGAGAAGCGTATGTCGGCGCTGAGTCTCGCCTGGCTTCAAGCTTCGGATGGGCCCATGCACACCTCCTACTCGTGGGGGACTAATGACTAGTGCTGGACCCGGCCCCATTCACTGTAACATAACCGTCCCTCCATGAACTGACTCCCCCGTCGAATTCTATCGCACAAAACAAACTGAACTTATGCCCTAGTCGCAAATGCCGCTCCTCACAACGCTTATCCTCGACTACGATGGCACCATCACTCAAAAGGACACCCTCCATCTCCTTAGCGCCGTGGCCTGTGCTCCGTGCACCTGCTCCTCCCCAGGAAACCGACCACCGTCCTCGCCACCGAACGAAGTATGCGCCTGCAAGCGGCAACACCAACAATGGGACGCTCTGGTCTCGCAATACCTCGACGATTACGAACGTACCGCCGCGTTAGCTACATTGCAAACGAACCCAAGCGCCAACTCCACGGCAACGATTTCAGGCTCACCCTCAGCGTTGACAGACTACCTGCAATCATTCACACCTGTCGAGTCCGCCTCCATCGCCCGCGTCGCGGCTTCACGGGTGCTTGCCGGTGCCACGCGCGCGGCGATGCGGCAGGCGGGGGCGAGTGTGGAGACGCGGGAGGGGTGGTGGGATGTCGTGGAGGTGTTCAGATCTGCGGGAAAGGATGTGGTTGTGTGTTCTGTGAATTGGTCCGACGATCTGATAAAGGGGACTGTTGATGCCGCCGCGGGGGGGAGCGAAGGTGATGTGATGGTCATTTCGAACAGTCTGGTTTTCGAGGCGGGGGACAAGGATCGCGGGGAAGTGTCGACGGGGCTGATCAGGCAGGTGTGCGTTACGGGGGTGGACAAACTGCATCGGGTCGCTGAATACATGGCAGCGAGACACTTTGATGGGCAGGACCCCACCACTGCAGACCGCACCGGTGCCACCCACCTACGTACCGCCGTCGCAATCGGCGACAGTGTCTCGGACCTCCCGCTGCTCACGCACGCTGGGCTCGGCATCCTCATCCAGCCGTCCGCGTCCGTCGCGTCCGCGTGTGAGCGGTTTGGGATTCCTGTGCGGCCTTTGACCACGTTGATGGGCGGTGCCAGGACGGGCGAGGGAGGGGATGGGGAGGACGGGTGGGAATGGGGAACGGTGCATGTTGCGGAGGACGGATGGAAGGAGATCCGCGGGGTTTTGGAGAGGATGATGGAATGAAGGGTCAGTCTAGGATAGAGATGGGAAGACGCGGGCCGTGTGGACGGCGGTCTCTGGGCTACCCGAGCTGCAGCACAACGAAGCGCTAGATAATAGAGTACGGCCATTTCCCGACGGCGGGAACCTGTGGCCCAGCTTTTAGGCAAGCACAACGCAACCTTATCAAGCGTGTCTTCCCCCGATTGCCTCGAGCAGTCTCCCAGAAAGACGGCGCGAAGGATAGGCTGTCTTGACCCCAGGAGCGGGTTCATGCATCGGAAGACGGCGTCCAGACGGGCGACATGTACCTGCACTCCTTCCGGGTGAGCGCCTTACCCCACATGCGAATAATCGCACATGGAAATCAAGTGCGGCCCGTGCACGCGTATTGTTGGGAACTGAGGCATAGTTGGGAGGGACGGTTGCGTCGGGTGGCCGTCGCCATGCACCCGTTCACGGCGTAGCGCCGGGGCGCATACCCGATATGCTTAGACACCTAGTCTAGGGATCTGGGAATGGTAGCGATCGGAGCCGACCCAGTGAGGAGCCTGACAGCTTCAGGAACGATAGGGCGAGGATAGATAGCGCATGGGTGTTTGTGCGGGAATCAATCGCTCTGCGTGGGTGTGGACACCGTGAATACACGTGTAGAATATGTTATCGTGGAACATGTACGAAGGAAAAAATCGTTGTTCCCAAGCTTGTCAACTCTACAAGGGAGGCATACAACGGAGATGACTATTTTTTCTTAGATGACAACATACATGGAATAAGTTACAACATGGACAGATGCTGTGATTTACACGACATGGACAACTACAAGTTGGATGACTCTGGGTTGGGGGGAATCGAGAGCCGGAATGAGAAGGTCTCGCAAAGCGGGGACGGGCTCGGATCCTGCAATGAGGAAACCGGCACGACGCATCGACGGTGCCATCCGCCATCCGACTCGATCCTTCCTAGCCGCTGCCGTTTCCACTTCCACTCCCCGCCGACCCCGTGACGTTTCCCAACCCCGCATGGAACTTTACACAGATATCCTGACAAGCCCCCAACTGCTCCCAATTCGAATTCTGACAAGCACCATGCGGTCCCTTCCCGCCATCCTTGGAGCCCAAGATGGGTTTACACACATATTTCTCAAACCGCTCCCAGATCTTTTCGCACTGCTTGGCACATTTTGTGACGGCTTCGTCGGTGGTTGTGCACAGGAGCCCGCAGTTCTCGAGGCGTTGAGTGGCGGCGTCGGTGCAGGAGGAGTCGGATGAGTCACAGTCGGCGAGTTGAGACTTGTGCGCGGTCGTGCAGTTGCCGTAGGTGGGTTTTTTGATGGAGGGGTCGGCGCCGATGGTGCACTTGGTGGACGTCGGGGGGGAATTGTCGTCGGTGCGGTGACCGGAGACGGTTGCGCTGCCGCTGCCTGAGGATTGGCGGCGGGTGATGCGGCGGATGGTAAGGGAGGGGGCGGAGGAGGTGGGTGGGGCGTGGAGGAGGGTGAGGAGGGCGAGGAGGAGGAGGAAGGTGTAAAGGCGGGAGAGGATGGAGATCATGGCTTTGGATGGCGCTTGAGGTCTTCGAAATAGATGGTTAGATGTTGATCTTGCCAGATGACTTTGATTGCTTGAATGTTTGGAAAACGATGGGATGCAGCACGTCCATTCCGTCCCTTTTATACCCCGCGCCGGGCTTCACTTTTTCTGAGGACGCTCACGCTGGCCCTACCCCACCCCCACCGCAAGCCCTGTTTCCTCAGCCACCAGCACGGCATTTGGGAAGCCCCATTGTCATGATCACAGGGCAGTTTGGACTGGGACCTCTCACCCTTTGCGGCCGCTCGTTTGGAGGTGTCGCATTGAAGTAAGAAGCTTAAGCTGACGTGCGGTGTGACGCGGGAGATCAGGGCGAGAGTATGAGGAGCTGACCGCCTAAGGGTCGCGTGCCGTCTTGCTTGGCAAGGTTACGCTTGAGCTTGATCCACCTCAAGTGCACAAAGGAAAGCACATCGGTATTGCCGTTTGCGTGGATGACTGGCTGGTTGGGTCCAGCGGTTGGATTGACAGGACGCGGGAGGAAGGGAGAAACGCTGTCGGTTTACGTGACGCGTTGCCCATTTGGAAAGGATGTCCGGAAGGTGTCTGGCTCTCTCTTCTCACTTTTCTCGTTCGTCTCGTGGGCCCAGTAAGAAGGCCGCGGAACCCACTTATCACTTCTTAAACCAATCTAATCTCTCTCACTCACTAGCACCGCCCTTCCGTTCGAATGGAAAGCGAGGACGCCGCTCTCGCCGTCCTCCTCAGCATCTTCGACTCGCCCACCCACTCAGAGGCCAAACTCCTTTCCGCTCTCCGCAAATGCAATGGTGACGTGCAGAACACAATCGAGGCGCTCTTGAGCGAAGACACAAAGTCTGTCGAAGAACAGCAGAAGCAGGCAAGCGGCCGCCCAGGAAGTACAGGGAAGAGCAAGAGACCTGCCAGCATCTCCCAATTCTTTGTCCCGTATGGCCGCGAACCTGCAAAGAAACCGCGGGTAGCCGACGAACTAGGAGCGCCAGCGTCACCGGATGAACTCTGCTCAGTTGAAGTCGAATCCTCAGATACCCCTGCTTCCTCCGCAGCCCCCGTCTCCCCACAGACACCAAAAGTGCCACTTCGCAACGCCTTCGATCTCCTCTCGGCTAAAAATGCAGACAACGGTCTGAAAACTGCACCCATCACGCTGAACAAGGATAATGTCGCCCAACATGTTCCTTGTGAACTTTTCCACGACGTGCTTCCCGATGGGTTAGCAAACGCCCTGCTGGTGAAACTAATGGATGAGGCTACTACTTGGAGAAATCGCCGTTTTGTCCTGTTCGATCGAGGTAGGTGAACCGAGCGATAGCGAGCATTCATGCTCGCAACCCACGCCTCCTTTTCGATGTCCGCACACTTTGACCAATCGCTGATCATCGTCACCCTCCCACAGAGGTCGAGTCACCACATCTTACGAGCTTCTACACCACACCACCACTCTCCACCGCAACAGACTCCGCCCCGTACGGTATCCCCGACACCGACTTCTACTACGGGGGCAAGAAGACAACCGACGTTCGGCATATATTCCCCGAGATGGCCGAGGCTCGCAAGATCATCGCTCAACGCGTCAATGAGAGAATGCTGGCAAGAGACAGAGGGGAAGCTCCGGGCGGTCCACGGCAGAAGATGGAGGTTCAAGGGGAGTGGGATTCCAATATCGTCGTGGCGAATTGTTATAAGGGGATCGCGGATGGTGTTGGAGCTCATACGGATCGGGTATGGTCCCATTCTCTTGTCATGGGTCTCCCGTCTACACCAATCTCACTCTTCCAAGACAGCTGACATACATCGGCCCCCGCCCAACCATTGGTTCCCTAACCCTCGGCGCCACCCGTCCCTTCCGCCTCCGCCGTCTCGCAATCCCCACATCCAGTACGTCCCAACCCACCTCCACACCCCCACCCCAAACCTACAACATCCCCCTCCCGCACAACTCCCTCCTCATCATGCATCCGCCCACCCAAGAATCTTACCGCCACTCCATCCCCAAACTCACCAACCCTCTTCACCTCATCCCACACCCCATCTCCGGCTCCACCCGCATCAACCTCACCTTCCGCGTCGCCCGCGACGAGTACAGAGCGAAGGAAGCGATACCCGTGTGCAAATGTGGAAATCCGGCGGAGTTGAGGGTGGTGTTGAAGAGGGAGAGTTCGTTGGGGAGGTATTTTTATATGTGTGCAGGGGGCGGGAATGAAGGCAAAGGGGTCAAGCCGGGAGTGAATTGTGGGCTGTTTGAGTGGCTGGATTTGGAGAGGGTTGAAAGGAGGAGGAGGAGGATGAGAGAGATTGGAGGGGAGAGGAGCGGGTGGGATGGCGTGCGCGGGGGGCCCGAGGCCCGTGGGGAGAGTGGGACCGCAATTGATGGGGACATCGGGGAGGCCTTGGACATCCACCCGGATGAGATGCCGCCGCTACAAGCGAAGCTGGATCAGGTTCAAGAACAGGGTGTCGATGATGACGACGAGTACGAGAACGAATGAGGTTGATTTGGGTTATCTGAGACGCAATTCTTCGGAGCGATACTGAGTGGGACCCAGTGTCTGGACCGATTACCTTCAGTCTAAAGATCCGGCGACGGAAGGCTCCAACATCCTCCAGTTTTCAACCCGGGCGAAGGCACACTGGCCCCTCAGCAAACTGGAAACTCATCGCCGATCCATCGCCTTGATTGTCAGAGTGCCTGGCTTCTGTATGCAAAACCCCCCGTCCGTCTTCCACCCTCATGGCAGGATCATCCTTTGTACAATAGGAATTGCCACTAGTCACACAGCGGCACGTAGGCTATATATGTAGGGCAGAACAATCATTTGGGCGGGCCAAGCGAGATACGTCGAAACTGTGATAGGATTGCAACGTGCTATTTGCAAAACGATACGTATACGTCCCAAGAGGTTCAGAACACCCGCATCAGTGAATGCATTCACGAGTACCGCCGTGATGGGCGATTTGGACTGATCATCCAAGAGCTTGGTGGTGTGTATCTGCAGGTGTACATAGGTGGTGCTCCCTGCCACGGGTCACCTAGTTGACGGAAAGTCAACGCATAAACAGGCAACGTGCTCGGCACAACTGCTGTTTTCACAGTGTACATGCCTTATCGGTAGCAGACATGCATAGGACTAACCGATTCCAGGCTGTGATATTGACGAGAGCAATGTCATACGGGTCTGCTAGGGTGGACCCCGGACATCATAAGAGATATTCATACTGTACATGCTTGAGGCATCGTAGAATCTGAGGGGAGTGATGTGGATGGCCGGGTGCCACGCGTTAAGTCACACTCAGCGTGTTCTTCAAGAGCCATGACACACGGTTTGCGGAGCTCTTGAGAGATGATGGAGCTCGTTTCCTATTCCTTGAACCAAGTACCTCTCTACTAGCACGGAATAGCAGCGAACTACACCATCCAGTCCGTCTATACTTCGATGCCGCTGCAGTATATGCGGATATCACCTTATTGAGCCCTGCAGACGCCAGTCTACATTACATCTGAGTGTAGGGAGACGTATGTGTTGTGCTCGAATCATAGAAAGCTGTTGTGTTCGAATCATAGAAAGCAGCTACAGAGGGTCCGGGTGAGCGTTTTGTCTTGGCAGACTGGCAGCACAACAGTATGCCGAAGGCTGCGTCCCCCTTCGCTGCACATCGCTCGTGACACATCCACATATCATTGTCATCCACTGTCCCCCCTCATTCCCACCCTTCTTCCCATCATGGCACCACCCTTAGGGTTAGGATTAGGGTTGGGGAGGGGGGGGGGGGAGGGGTTAGGGTTAGTGCATGCATAAGGTTTAAACCAGGTCTGAAATCGGACCTGCTCTCCGTTGGCCCGGTGGTTGAATGGCAATGAAATGATAGTGGCTCCTCATGGTTTCAATCAGCTTCAGTATGTCCTCATTGGCGTGGTGTAAGCCCCTCTCTCTTCCATGTGGTGCCGTGCAGGCCCACATGGAGAACACGGACGGAGGTGTCCGTAGTAGCGGTAGAAATGGGAATAGCGAGAGTTACCGAGAGACAGCAGTACAGTCTTCTCCATGTTCTTGATTCTTCTCTCCATATGGCACGACCAACGCAGGACCCACATTCGCCGGTAGGTGGCGGCGTAAAGTCCTTTTATGACGTCGAGGAGGACGTCGGAAGGGAGAGAACGGAAAGGGTAACAGATCTCGACGAGGACCCTTCTCTGTTTTATTTTTGTTCAGGCTCGTGACTCCACAGTCGGCAGCCACTTGTATTTCATTGACAAAGACACACAGCAGAAAACTCGAGTCAACTTAGAAACTTAGAACATAGAACTGGAAAAATGTAGCACAATGAACGACATTCATTAGGCGAACCGTGATAAGCCTTAGGATGCAGGGACGAAGAGCATCAGCAACCTCTCAGTGACTGCTGGTCTGGTGCTTGCTAATGGATCGGTGCCGAGGTCCGGCCGACATTTCTTTATTCTTCTTTATGGCGCCCGCACTGTAGAGCAGGATGCATTAGCGCGTTAGTGATGGTATGAATGGGAGTATAGCCGATGGGTTTGCAGAGTACGTACAAAGCTTTGACCATCTGGTCGTAATTACGGGAGGAGCGGATAAATGTGCAGACGGTGAGTGAAGCGCAGGAGCGGCATCTCTACACGAGCAATATCACTTTACAGCGACATTCAACGTACCGTTGAGAACACAATTTGAACTCGTCGGATCTCCGAGAACACACTGCGCTCATCCAAAACCTATAGTATGATGGTCAAAAAATGACTGACGTTGTGCTTCCCACGGGAACCCTTACATTCGACTCTTCCAATGTGCTGAAATCCAAGGTCGTAACCACCGCCATTGCCCGCGCAAGTTTGAACAGCGGTAACACCGCGAAAACGAAAACAATTGCCGATACAACGGCTAAAGCTACAGCGACCCCGATAGAAACACGAATAGCTTTCTTCCAGGCTGCGTCCGTAGCGCCGTACACCTGAATGAAAGGATGACAGTGGAGCTTGTGAGTGAACAGGAATGGATGGGAAGTGGTGTCATACTGGTCATAGTCAACTTACAACTTCTCGTGGAATGGCTAGCACGAGCACTACGAGGAGGTCGCGCCAAAAAACATTTAGCCGTCGACGATTATCATCAACCTACTAAGCACACCATGGGCAAGTTTACCATTGTCCTGATCTGGGAATGTACTGACTGATATCCGCTTTGTGAGTAGTATCTGAAGGTCATCATCGGGCCATAGGAAAGGTTGGGAGAAGTCATCAATTTCCAGTCAACGCTTCCAAAACTGCCTTCCAGGAATTGTCCAAAGCCTTACCCAAGACCCTGGATACCCGATGATCTCTACATCTTCGTATCTAGTCGGCTTGACACTGGCAACGTCGTCGAACGTCCCGAACTTACTACGCACAGTCGCCTGAAGCGCCAAGGTCAGGGCATCGGTGACGGGAAGAATAAATTTATTGTTGCTCTGAATCGCTGTGTCATTTGGAAAAGTGTTGCTGCTGGCAACATTGACCAGCGCTTGGTTGAAGAGTGTAATCACTGTAAACGGACGGGGAAAAAATTGGAATTGAATTCCGTTGAGATGTCCGCAAACTGTCATTGAGCTCAATCGGGCGAAGAAACAAATGAGGAGCAAATTCATACCGCTGTCAGGACTCGGCTTATTGGCTGCAAGCACGTCATGCCAAGTGGTATCCACCCGTATACCCGCAGAGCAGTGATAGTTCGGTAATTGACTCGTCGCGGTCGGGAAATGCGGTGTCGTCACATACGCTAGGAATGTATTGTAGTTCGAAACGTACGCTGTGGACGCCGCCCAAGGACAAAACAGGAGGAGTCAGGCTAGCGGGGCAAGATGAGCGGCAGGAGACGCGATCCTACCGTTCCAGTAGGTACGATTTCTGACGGGCAGCAAGCCTAATTGTTGATTCGTCGCCATCGAGAACTGTGCGATTGGCTGATACGCAGCGGGAGTACTTGGAATCGTATACGCTGATTGTGAAATTTGAACGCTACGTCAACCTCGACGCCGTTACTCCATACGAGCTCCGGCCAGTGAGAGAACGAACTTACCCTTTTTATCAATGAAGTATAGCGACGTGTTTGCGGTCGGGTCTGGGAACGAGATGGGTTGAAGGACATTTTCCGCAGGGTACCCAAATTCACGTGAGGGAAAGCTAGTCACTTTCCCTACTTACCATCCCAGTCGCTCTTGTATACCACGTAACCCATTCCATATGCCCTGTAGGCGGACATCTTTTGAAGAGGTTAGAAATTGCTGCATTGACGAACGGTTCCGCCGCTTTGTGGCACCCTCCGCGAACGTGCGGGAAGTTACTTACCTGCACCAATTGAGCCGTATCTGTCGTTACATTGTTCCCGTTTACGTTAGCCGGACTACGAAATCGTTTTCAGCTTGAAAAATATTTCCAGCCACTATGCGGAGAGGAACGCAGAACGACTAACCTGAAGCCTGACCTCCACACGGCCTGCGTGCAGCCTATTGTGTCCAGGCCGTATAGCAGTTCCATTCGAATAATGTCGGACACCCATGGGGCAGTGTTCAAATTGCGTGCAGCTACGTAAAGTAAAACGAATGGGGAGGTAAGAGGCCGTCATTCGAGAATTCCTTTCCAGGCGCTCAAAGTGAGCGATACATACTTCCGGCGAAGGTGCTGACGACGCTCGGCGATGCTGTGAGAACCTCCACCAAGGGGATGTATTGTTTGACTGCGAAAGAGATTTTGTCGGACACCTGACACGGATCAAAACCAGACTCTGTATAAGCTGTAGCCATGGGACGGCACTCTGCACTTTCCCGCCCTCGCTCGCATCTTCTCGAGAGCAGCAAGAAAGCCTCCAATACTTACCTGATCCATCAATGTATCCAAATAGTTGTGGCTCAGCGTGTTGACCGCTACCGTACTGCCATCGCTCAGGAACTTGAACGTCTGAGAACGAAAATATAAGCTGTAACTCTTTTACGTCGCCCAACACCAGAGAAGTGACCCTTGATGAAACAGTGCAAGCCTTGGCAAAAGCTCGAGACGCTAGCAAGGAAGCGAAGTGCTGTCATTCACCTAACTGGAATCAGCGTCGCCAACAGCGCGACGATTACAAGCATAGGCGCGAATACGGTCAGCGGAACCGCAGGCAAGTACGTGTGGGCTTCATGTCGGGTGGAGCGGACTGCAAGATCGGCGATTTTGGTTGTGTCGCCGCCACCCTCTTCCACCGCCGCCTGGCGGCGATCGTCGGTGCTAGCCATGAGGGAATATTGATTGAACGAGAATCAGCCTCGGGTTTGATAATCGTTCGATTCGGATGGTCCACTGTCTGCACTCCGAAGTTAAGATATAGCAGTCTCGGAGAGGAGGTGATACGAAATAACGCATGGAGGATTGCGGAAGTCGTACATACAGACTTGGTCAGCACAAGACGACGCTGTCAATTTTGTTTTTAGGTTTAACCTTAAGCGTCCCACCGTACCCGGCTCTGTTGCGTTGCAATAATGTTGTCATTTAGCGATGATACACAGTGCTGAGGAAGCAAAATGTCGGTTTTCGCAGCGTACTGTCAAAGCCGGGGTTTGGACCAAAAGCTCTGTCACGCAAGCAGTACCACAAGTTGGTCCACAATCCCCTCGGACAAGTGTTGCTCATCGAAAGGAAACAAAGCAATACTGTACATCCCTAAACGTGTTCGACACTGCATCAGCACTGCATGCCCCAACACGCATCCCACTGTGTTGGTGGGATGGGTAACGTTCTCGGAGTGGGGCTAGGTGCCAGTTGGCTCGTCCTACATGTGCATTCTCAACGGTGTGTGCGTTTGTGTATAGGATGCGAGCTTCTTTGGTAGGTACGTAATAGAGCATAACTTCTGCGGTTTGGACAGCTCCTCGTTCATCCATTGCTCTGCCTTCAACGCAACTCAGCAGCTAAGTCCGAGCGGTTTCCCGTCCAGCCAGTTGCTTCACGCTTCAACAGGACGGGACCGCAGTTGCAACCAACTCTTACTGACCGGCATTTCAGGACATGTCCCGAAATTCGGTTCCTAGCCTTGGCGTCAGGTGTCTGGTCCCAGAATCAGCATGTAATCCCGATCTTATATGCTACCGTCATGGTTTGACCTTCCCCACCGCACCAAGCCTTCACTGCCCATAACGGATTGGAAGTTCAGAAGGAGCCGGACAGCACAACCAATCAAAGGATGCACAACAATAACCGGGGAGCTGGAAACGGTATGGGATGTTCGCACTGATCTTGCTTTAGGGTTAGGGTTTATGGGTGATAGATTGGAGGATTTCAATATACAAGGTTTTCTATGTATGGGAAGGGTGGGGGCGAAAGTTGAGAAGGCCAAGCGGGCTAAGCGAGAAAACCTGCCAAACGAGGCGGTGCAAGTATCAGGAAGTCCGGGCGTTGCGGCGAAGGCCCAGAAAACCCGACGTGGCGGCGATGGTCGATCGTGGGGTGGAGCCGGCCGAGATGGGGGACATAACCTTGAATGATGCCACTGCCATCTCGAGGCTGTTGAAGTCGGCCCAGACGTTCGATACGGGTTGGTCGCAGTTTGCAAAGGCAATGGCGGCGATTCGGCGGGGGACTTGGAGATCCCGGTATTCGCCGGGAACCAGAGGAGGTGGAGTAAGGAAGCATAAACAGAGGTATCGCATGCCATTCGTCTATGACTGCGGTACGACAGGACGGGGTTGTCCATGTCTTCTCCGAGCGCAACTGGGGCTGGGTGCGCGTACTGGAACCTGGGCCGTAGATTCGCAACCTCGCCGAGGGCGAGTACCCATTTCCGGATTTCGTTTTTGTTTGAAAAACCACCGCGGATGAGATGCCAGGGAACGCGATGGAGCAGTAGGGGAGGAGTAAAACGAAAGCGTAGGGCATGGGATATCGGGGGGTGTATGGGCGACGTTAATACGCAAGGCTGGCGTCGACGAAAGGCCCGCGGTGGTATGATCGGGTTGACTGTCGCCCAAGGCATCCGGGGAGGCGGGAGTAAGGAGGTGAGAGCCGGTAACGAGGGTAGGGTAGGAGGGCGATGTGGCCGGGTTATGTAGATGTGCACCCACCCGCGTCCCAAGCAATAGTAACCCTAGCACATCAATGTTTTTGCTGCTCACTTGAGCCAGCGGCTTCTCATGAGCAATATAATTTGCTCCCGCCACTGGTGCAGGTGTAAAATCATTTAAAAGCTGCTCCAGCACTCGAATTCGACAGAGCAACCTTGCCTACGCTCCTGCAACCAAAGTATTGCACACAAAGTCCAAAACCTTCAAGCAAGCACTGAACTCGAGCGACTCAGCAAAGTGGAAGGACGCTATGGACGCTAAATATGAAGGGCCAATGCCATCACTGTTGAAGGGCATGGGAAGAACGAGTGCAAAAGACTCAAACAAGAGCTAGCTCAAGCCAACAATGCGAAGCAAGTCGAGCCACAGCAGGCTAGCCAGGGAACTGGATTCCTCTTCATGGCAGCTACGAAACGCACCAAAATCAGCCCAGAGTGCTGGATAATCAGTTCAGGAGCCTCCTCTCACATGAGACACGTTGAAGAATGGCTGCAGGACTGCAAGTCGCTGGAAACTGAGATCCAGGTCCCACTACACCCCCAAACACGCTCGATGATTCCGACGCGCTCCCCGAATGGCAACATCCGTCCAATAATCTTTCAATGTCCATGCCTCAAGGGGACTATCTAGTCGCGCATCATCTTGATTCTCGTTGATGAATTATTGGCACAGCAATGTCCCAACATAAACCGTCCAACATTGCTTCCGCAGAAGGCGCAATGAGAAGCGAATATGGAACCTCTTCATTGAGCCATTATGAAATACATCCGAATTGGGTAAATGCGTTTACGGCCGCCGTCCGTAATGAGTAAGCAGGGACTGATCACCCCTGGAGACTCGGTGGTGTGTATGCCCGGAGGGACACATAGGCGTTGACTCTGTCCCAAACGCTTATACAGCCCCGGAACGGCATCCTTACTTTCAAACACGTTCTCAAAGCCCTCCTTTCGCTGAAATTCCTCACGAAAGTGAATCTGTGAGATCTGTTACTCCCGTAACACCCCCTACGGCCGGCAAATCAGCTTCCAAAGTCTTCATCAACACTACGCTTAGTAAACTCGGCACCTACAACGGCGACCCCAATGTTACTAAGCTCCAAGACTTCATTGATCACATTGACGTGATTATGAAGTACCAGATGATTTTGCCTTCCGAATGCGTAGACTTCGTCGTCAACGCGCTCACTGGACCAGCTCTCCAGTGGTGGAAAAGCCTTCCTGAAAACGAGCGCTTCTCCATAATTTCATGGCACGATATTCAGGATGCCTATGGACTGCCCCCGCAACTCGGATTACGCTCCGCGATGTTAAGGCACTTCATTCCCCGGACTCACCTGCCGCAAGTTCTTCACAGACTGCGAGCTCTGAAGCCCAAGTCAATCACCCATCAAGGTTTAACCAAATTCGTCGCCCAGTTCAACCTTTTGGCTGGACAACTCCCCGGGCTCCCGGAATCCGTGCTCCGTGCCGATTTCTTTCAAGCTCTACCCAAGAATCTGAGTACCCAGATCAACTGCCCAGGAAGAATATGACGATCATCTTCGTCTTTCTCAACAAGCTGCTATCCGTATAGCCACCCAGATCAACGAGAAGACCCTGAGTATGCCTCAGTCGGGCGCATCCGCTGCCCACGTTACTTCCACTCTACCTCAGAAGAAGAACAACAAATCCAAGACTGGCGGCTCTAGAGGCAACCCCTCTACCCAATCCTCGTCTTCTGACGCAACCAAGAAGCCTCCCCGGTGCAAATACTGCCAAAGGGACGGGCACAAGTCGGAAAACTGCTTTACTTACAAAGCTGTCAAGGATATCATGGACAAGAACGCGAAAACCAAGCAGGACGCACCCGCTGCAGCCTCCATGGCTTATGCCATGCATGTTCAAGTCCAACCAGCCAACCACGACGTCTGCCTCTTCAAGGCGAACGTGGATTCCGGTTGTACGAATCATATGACCCCCTATATCGAGGATCTAGATCCATCTTCTCTTCAAGACTACCAACGCCTTATTGGACTCGCGGATTCGACTACCATTACCTCTCAAAAGAAGGGTACCGTACTTATCCAACCTACGTCCGGCGGCAACCTTCTCGCTCTTTGCGATGTTCTATTGGTTCCCAGTCTTGCCCAGCCGCTCATATCTGTTGCTAAATGCACTGATAACGGCATTACTGTCTCCTTTCACCCCACCGACGTCGTTACGTTCAACACCGACCGACATCTACTCGCGATGGGAATGCGCGAAGGCGACGCGTACTATTTAGAAGGACAGGCTACTACCTACAAGCCCAATGCACATGCACTGGTCGCTTGTATAAACCCCCAACTTCTGCATCAACGTCTTGGACAGCCTGGAAACCACATTCTCCCGGTTATGCCAAAGATAGTAGAGGATTGGCCTTCAGTGGGGGCTACGCCGGACTCTGGCGCACGCTGCGATCCATGCGCTCTCGGCAAAGCTACCCGCCTTACCTTCCCTGAATCGACATCCCCGCCACACAAACCCGGCAAGCTGATACACAGCGATTTACAAGGTCCATTTCGGATCCACGGCATTGACGGAGAGCGCTACAGTCTCGCATTCCTCGACGACGGCTCCAATTACGCTCGTACCTACTCCATCAAGGACAAGGAGGCATCCACTCCTACCGCACGGTTTATGATCTTTCATAAGTGGCTCAAGAATCAAATTGGCGTCTCCCTGAAGATCCTGCGTACGTATAGGGGAGGAGAAGACACTGGAGAGCTCACGTCGTACCTATACAACAATGGGATTACCCATGAGTCTACTGTTGCGTATTCTAGTCAACAAAACGGAAAAGCAGAGCGCTTCAAATGGACGTTGCTGGACCGCGTACGCGCCATCTTTGCGGACACTCACCTACCCCGCAAGCTTTGGCCGTACATCCTGGAGGCTGGCTCTTACCTGCACAACCTCTACCCGCATTCAATTGCATCCCCGGACGCTAAATCTCGCTCCGAATTCCTTACCAGTCGCCGCCCGAGCATCGCGCATCTGCGCAAGCTTGGATGTCACACGTATACTGTTGTTCCACCCAAGGGCCGGGACAAGATGGCTAATCGTGCTACCAAGACGTACCTCGTGGGCTATGCTCACCAACAAGGCACCAAAGGTTATTATGTATGGGATCCAGCACGCGACACTCTCGCCGTTTCCCGTGACGTTCGTTTCGAAGAATCTACTGGACTCCCTGAGCACCTTCGTCAAGATCCTGCTCTCCTAGATCTTCTAGAAGATGCTCCCGCCTCGCAAGAGGAGTTCCCTATCGAACACATCCTTTCCAAACATCAGCGCCGCGGCAAGAACGTCCAAAAGGAATACCTCGTCAAGTGGTTTGGTTTTACTACCCCTACCTGGCAACCACGCTCTGATCTCATTGAGACTGAAGCGTTGGATATTTGGGAGTCTCGTTCAGACGCTTTCAACGCCCGAACCATTGAAGCCCTCTCAAACGCCTTCAACGCGCATCCCGAAGACACGCCTCAATCCGTCACTATGACCTGGCGACAAGCGATGGCCTCCCGTCAAACAGCTGACTTCAAGCTTGCAGCTGATAAAGAGTTCCAAGCTCTAATCGATAACGGTACTTGGGAGCTCGTACCCCATCCGCGCAATCAGCGCGTATTCGGTAGTACTTGGGTACTTCGTCAAATCTTTGTTCCGGATGGTACTTTCAAGAAATACAAGGGCCGCGGTGTAGTTCAAGGTTTTCATCAATCCAAGGGTATTGATTACAACAACACCTACGCTCCAACCCTACACATGTCCATTCTTCGCCTTTTCCTCTCCAGTGCCGTCTCTCTTGCTATGGAAATCCATCAACTCGACGTCCCCAACGCGTTCTTACGCAGCGATATCGACGGACCCATCTATGTTGAACAATTTCAAGGCTACAAAGATCCGCACAAGCCGCGCGCAGACTGGGTATACCTCTTACGCAAGGCTCTATACGGTCTGAAGCAATCCCCGCTTCTCTGGTACCGTACCCTTCGCGAAACCCTCAGTTCTCTCGGCTTTACTCCGTTAAAGAACTGCCCCTGCGTCTTCTATCGCTACGCAAGCACGACGCGCACTCTGGACGTACTCCAGATGCTCCTTATCTATGTGGACGACTTCATCGCCTGCTGCTTTCCCATACACGTCAAACAAGTGAAAGGTGAAGTATGTTCTCATTTCAACTGTACGGATCTCGGTCCCATCAAGAACTGCCTGGGTCTAGTCTTCGATTACCAGCTCTCACCGTCAGCAATGTTACCAACTCAAAATCAGCAATGTTACCAATTTTGACGGTTTAGTCAAAGGATTTGGACAACAAAACGCTACCCCACTCTCTACGCCGTGCGCCGTCTCTGCGCGTACCCGACCAGCCTCTGCGAGCCCCCCCTTTCCTAACAAGCTTCTCTACCAGGAAGCCGTGGGGGCCCTCACGTGGGCATCCATTACCTGGCGCTGGGTTATTTCAACTGCCGTCGGCTGCGTCACACGTCAAGTCTCAGCTCCTACCCAAGCCGACTGGAATGATGTACTTCGCATCATGCGCTACCTTAAAGGTACCCGCACCTTTGAGCTTACCTACAAGTCCGGTCATTCAGATCAAGCTGGACTTTGCGTCCATACGGACGCATCCTACGCAGACGATGTCCACGACCGCAAATCTACCGTGGCCATTGCCAGCTTCTTCAACGGCCAGCTTATCTACTGGAAAAGCACCAAGCAGGAGTGCGTAGCTCTCAGCTTCACGGAAGCTGAGTATATCGCCGCAGCCCTCGGTTACAACCAGGTCATCTGGCTCCGCTCAATCATCGCGAAGGTCTTCGGCGACAAATACGGCAACATCAAGGACACCACGCCACTCTACATCGACAATCAGAGCGCACGCAAGATTGCCAACTCCACGGCTATTACTCAATGCTCCAAACACATCGACGTACGCTACCACAAGCTATACGACTGCGTGGTGAAGAAAGACGTCGTACTCCTCGACACCGCGACGCAGAGACAACTGGCTGATTACTTTACAAAGCCTTTTCCTCCCGAGACACATACGAAATTTATTCAAGCAATTCAAGAAGGACGTGTCGCTAGCAATAGACAGCCGGCGACGACTACGTCCAAATAAGACATACGGCACACCCATACCGGGACGGCTTCTGGGCACTACATACGACTTCGGCACCTTAACCTGCCACCGTGATAGTCGCCGCTGCCCCGGCACCGGGGGCTCCACCGGCTCTGGCTCCGCCTCCACCAGGCGGTCCCCCTGGACCACCTCCCCCGCCGTTTCCGTCACCATCTCCATCCTCACTCGAAGACGAATCATCCATGTGCTCTCGCAAGTACTGGAGCTGCTTCATCATCTTGTCTCGCTCCCGTCTCTCGGCCGCA